CTAACCTAACCTAACCTAACCTAACCCTAACCTAACCTAACCTAACCTAACCTAACCTAACCTAACCTAACCTAACCTAACCTAACCTAACCTAACCTAACCTAACCTAACCTAAGATGGTGTCTGGCGGCGCTGTCACCTGATCTTGGCCGCATTCGTGGGGGATTATCCAGAACAGTGCTTAGCTACATGTACCCTCTCTGGTGACTGCCCAAAGTGCACAGTGCCCCACGACGAGCTCGGAGATCACATACGTTACATGGCCCGCAACCTCAATGATGTGCAAGACCTTCTTGATCTTGCTAATGAAGATCCGGCATTATACAACAGTGCCTGTCATAACGCTCGTATTAAGCCAGTTTATCACCCCTTCTGGGAGGCATTTCCTTACGGAAACATATTTATTGCCATCACACCTGACATCCTGCACCAAGGCTATCAAGGGATTGTCAAACACCTCGTCATCTGGCTCAATGATGCTTTCGGCCCTTTAGAGATCGACGCACGGTGTCGCATGATGCCCCCAAACCACAATGCACGTATTTTTAGCAAGGGAATCACCACACTAAGCCGTGTGTCTGGAAAAGAACATCGTGACATGTGTCGCATCCTCCTCGGTCTTGTCCTTGATCTTCCCCTGCCCAATGGTCGATCACCTGTTCGTCTTGTTCGTGCTGTTCGCACGCTCCTTGATTTCATGTACCTTGCCCAGTATCCCGTCCACACCACCCACACTTTGAAATTTCTTGACGACGCACTTACTCGCTTTCATGATAACAAGGCAATTTTTGTGGAACTGGGGGTACGTGCCGACTTCAAGCTTCCGAAACTGCACTCATTTGAGCATTATGTGGAATCCATCAAGCTCTTTGGCACAACCGACAATTACAACACAGAGCAGTCAGAGCGGCTTCATATCGACTTCGCAAAAGATGCCTATCGTGTGACAAACCATAAGGATGAGTATGCGCAAATGACCGCATGGCTGGAAAGGAAGGAAAAAATCCTCCGCTTAGAGCTGGTGATCAAATGGCGCGCGCAATGACACAACGGCACTGATGCAACACCATCCCTGATATCCCAACCATCACTTCCACCGATTCATATGCACCTCCAGATGACTAAACATCCCTCTCGCAAAGCTGTCACGCTCTCGGATCTAGCTCTTGAATACGGCGCAATCGACTTTGCAGATGCTTTGGCCGACTTTGTCATCCTCCACAATCAGCCGAACCTCCATCCCACACTTGCTCACAAAGCCGCAAACAACCTCCTCATCCCCTTTCAGAGACTCTCCGTCTTTCACAAGATCAAATTTTGGAACCATGATGCTTTTGAACGTGAGGAGGGGCCAGACACTTTAGACGCGGTCCACGTACGCAATGCACGAAAGGACCGCCAAGGGCGCGCCGTACCCGGTCGTTTTGACACAGTGCTCATTGATGATGGGTCTGCAGGCCCTCGCGGTGTGACAGGTATGTCAATTCATAGTCCTGCAACACGGCCCCTTGAAATTATTTGCATGTAGGGCTCCACGTTGCTCAAGTGCACGTCGTTTTCGAGTTGTCCGAAAATGTCGTAGCCGAGCTGTTTGATCCCACCCGTCTGCCTCCACCGCAGCACTTTGCATATGTGGAATGGTTCACACCTTTTCCATCTGCACCAGATCCTGATCATGGACTATACATGATCAAGCATGCCATGCAGAACGAACGGCGTGTTGCGAGTGTTGTCCCAGTTGAGTGCATCCGGCGCAGTTGTCATCTATACCCCCGCTTCGGCCCTCCTGCTCCACGACACTGGTCTAGCTTCAATGTACTCCAAGAGTGTTCTGTTTTCTACGTAAACCCTTTCCTTGATAGACATACAGAAATGACAGTATATTAGTATGTTTATACACTCAAATCAAGAGCCCTGAGATGTGCGACAGGCGTCACGGTGTGATCTCTGCCGCTCTGCGTCTCTACATCAACTCCACACGCGCCGCTCGACCACAACGAATCTTCCTCCTACCACGGCAACTAATCGCTTCGCAGACGACGAAGGACCCAGCACGAAGAGCGCACCTTAAGCACCGACTGTCTCTTTGTACACAATCACAATCCATCCCTGCCGCGACGCCGAGCCAAGACATTATCGAGACACGACGATGTTCAATTGACACTATGCCGACTGCGACGCACTGCGGCCTTGTGCATCTGAAAGCCATCGGACAAAAATTTACCATATTTTAGATCACTTAGATACAGTTTTCTCACTTGGTGAGCCTCTTAGCTCATTTGCTCGCGTTAGCGCTAATTTGCGCTGTCCTATCCACTCTTACCAAATGGCTAATGCGGAAGGGTTTTCCTGATGAAGGAAGGCCGCGAGGCTGAGCTAGTGAGGAGACTGTAGGTAACGTACAAGAACACGGGTCCGTGATCAACCTGAACCGAGTTACAATAGCCCAAGCATAAACTTGTCGTGTGCATTGCGTATCTCTCCCCGCCCTTCGATACCTTGATTTTCTGGAAACAAAAAAGATGATATACGAAGGGGATACTGGACCTCCATCTCCCTACCTGCCCAATCAAAGTCAATGATCTTGACCTTGCCCTCGCTGTCGATCATCACGTTCGGCCTCCTCAGGTCGCCATGCACGAACCCTGCCTTCGCCAAAGTCTCGATCGCCTGAGCGATGCTCCCACGAACATCGCTCGGGAGCGCACGATCCCAGTACTTCGCCTCCAAGGTGTCTCCCTCCAAGTGCTCCATCACGACCATGCTCAAGCCCTGGTAGTTTTGCTCCGAGAATCTATCTGCGAGATCAGCAAAGTAAATCAACCGTGGGGCGAGCCCTTGTTCCGCCATGAATTCGTGGACCTTCTTGCCATAAGTGTCCACAAACTTGACCACAACGAGCTCTTCTTTTTCCCCATTGACCACCTTCCGTGCCAGGAACGTTGTGCACGACTCATGCTGTTGAAGTCCTTTGATGTAGTCAAACTTTATCACCTGACCGTTGCTTGGATAAGAGTCGATCTATGGGAAAAATCGCCCGAAATGTCAGCCCTGACTGTTCAGGCCCTGGTACCACTCGCGAAGGCGCTGAACGGCAAGGGCTAGGCAGTCGAAAACCTGTGCCAACCTGTCCACACCTGGGCTACCCAGATCGTTGACCTGATCGAGGCCGGTTGTGCGGTCCTCACCGATGAACATCCAACCCGTGAAATGTTGCACTACCGCCTTGTCCAGCAACACAGCCCCCGTGATACACATGTGAGGACCTGCCAGCCCCACGAGGATCGTCGGACAACAACACGCCTCAAGAATATTCCTGCGCTGCACAGATTACAATCACTGACTTTGTCCGCAATGAGCAAAGGCGCGACACTTACTGATGGATCCATCCAGTACTGCAGGTATGACAGCTGTACTTGCACGCTCGGATCGGTGGCCGTCTTTCCCATCTCTACCTTTTCCTCCAATATGAAAGGCGTGACGGTGCCCATGAGTTCATGCAAGTCCAGAGACACGGAGACGCAGTGGTCAGGAGAGGTGTTGTTCCCGTTCATGACCCTGATCAGCTGCTGTCCAAGCAACTCTGACACAAGGCCTCTCGTACTTTCCGAACGCTCGTTCTCCTGGCCCGCCAATTGAGACACGGATTGCATAAGTTTGAGCGTCTGGCGGACCATCTCGGGGCGCACTTGGCGGTTCCTATCACTGAGATCGCTTCGTAATTATGCAAAGACAGGGTGGTAAAGCTCAATCGAGGGGGCCCTGTTGTCCAAGCCCGCGATGCTGCTTCGCCCGTCGATGACCCGAGCAAACCCTCTCTGATACTTGACATAGCTACTGGCCTTGGCATTTTTGGAAGGGGGTCCGGATCTTTTCACTGCTTCTTCGAGCCGTACCAACCCTGCCAGAGCGCGTCAGCAGCATGAAAATCATCACTTTGTCCCAACTTACGGTTCCAATACCATGGCTCTTCGCCAGGCAGACCAGTGGATCTCTTGCTCTCCGTAGACCCATGTTGACTGGAGATGGGGCCTTCCAAGATCCGACCCACCTGGACCAGGAAGCTTACCACCCGCCCACCGCCGCCAGGCGCCTTGATATATTCGCGAATCTCGTCTTGCTTCTGACACAGACTGCCATCGTTCATCATCGCCCGATATTCATCCATAGAACGGGTTCTCACTGTTCTCGTAGGGATAGGATCTGTGGGCTGATCTCGTCTGAGGTCCGCTGCACCGAATCCAATACGAGGTCACTTACTTCGTAGAACAGGATGTCGTCAGGATCGAAGTTGATCAACCACTTCTTCAACATGTCCTCCTGCACCAGTTCCGTCAAAAGCTCCAAGGTCGCACCGAGGGGAGCGTAGCTGTTTTTGGAGCTACCCATGGGCTTTGGGTCCAATATGTTCGCATTTACAAGGACGGTCCTCACTTCCCGACGCTTGTTATGATCGTCAACGAGGAGGTAGTCAATTGGCTTTGAAAGTCGTGTGGATGGAGACATGAGGATCGACGAAGTGGGCTGGTTCCAATGGCAAGTTGAAGTGAACTTGACGCTATCACGTGACCTCGCCCGTGTTGGTTGGCACGGGAGTAGCACAGGAGTGGCACGGGACAGCACGGCACCCTATAGTGAAGTCTAACGGAACGGGTGTCCGGCGGTCGTGAGCAAAAATGTCCGGACGCGATGGACGCGGGAGTTGAACGTTGAACAGCGAACTAGGAATGAGCTTTCGATTTGGATTCTTCCCTATCAAAGGAGCAGCTCTCTGAATCGTCAGGTATATTTGTTTGTATGTCTAGATTAGCTCTGCATTTTTTTAAGACCTCTCAAACAAGCACATGGAGCAGGAGAGAGAAGTTAAATGCAATATCAAGTCTGCTACGATAATGAGCCCAGATCCGACCGATCTCACATTCTGAACCTCTATTCAAAAAGAAATAGGTGCTATATGTAAAGTGAACATTCTATCCAAATAATCTGAGAGTGGTCAGTTGGGAGTTCATGCTCAAAATGAATTCTTACTACAAGAGGGTGGGCAGAGTGACTTTGGCCTCGGAGAGGTGACTTTGTCTGAAGCTCCGACGTGCTCTTGTGAGCTGCAAGCTGTCGGACTCCTTCATGATCGGAGATTGATGCTAAGTGTCCAAAAGGGCAGTCTCCCGTTGAGTCGACGTACTTGGGACATCAGAAGCGTCGCCATCGTGACGATGCTTAGATAGGAGTTTGCCTTGCAAGTGCAATTTTTTCTTGTCGTCTCTGCTTGCATCATGCTTTTTATCTTCATCGTCGCTTGCATGTGCTTCTCCTCATTCTCCGTGCCTGCTTCATCGTCCACTTCACTTGTGTGTGCGAGATCCCCGATCCCATCCTGGATACCTCTTACCATCGTGCCTCCATGTATAGCATCAGGTCACTGAAGCTGCAGTCACGCGGCGTAACCCACATCCTGTTCGGCTTTGAGGCGCTAAGCCTTCGGATCACAATAGATGCACCTCGCCCGGCTTGGGTCGACGCGCTGTACGAGAACATGCATGCTATTCAAAAGGCATATGAAACCGAGATGCAACGCGAGTTTCGACCTATAAAGGCGTCTTACAACGATCTCAAACGCAAATGCGGAAAGGTACGTCTGGTCGTTGTCCTTGTCGTCGCCGAATTAGAATGAAAGCCATATAACCTGTAGATGCTAGCCAGCGTCGAAAGCACGCGTTTTATCCAAATCCTTTTCGTCAATGGATGGAGAAAGGCCATGGGATGACGAGGTATGGGCCTTGTATCGCGGATGTGCGGCTGTCGAAGATGCCGCTAGCACTGAGCGAGAGAGCGAGCGCACGAGGAGCATTGTGGGCTGCTTCGGCCCAAGACCTCTGAACGGCCTACCTTGCAGTCCCAAAGTCTCGTAGAGTCGCCAGCTGACCGCCCAGATCATGAGAGCAAAATACGGCCGCTCAGGCTTCCTGCTCAACGCCCTCTCTGACTCTCAGTGCTAAGAAAAAATAGTTGTCCTCCACCGTCAAGTCGTCTTTGACACGAAGTCTGCGATACTCAGACTTGACAATCACAGCCGTCCTGCCTCCAAAAGCGACTCTCCGACCGGCAGAAGCTCACGAATCAGCACGCCGACGCGCGACAGGACGAAGGGGTAAAGTCTCGTAGAGCTATGCGTCGTACTTGTGTTGAAGCGGGCGGCGGAGAGTGAATTCGTGTGGATCGTGAAATAAGATTACAAGCCGCATGAGGTGGCGGCGAGGGGGGGGGGGGGGAGGGGGGGGCGATGACTGCCATTCCTCATTCCTCGGAGCCCTCTGAATATATGCGCCTTAGCTTGTTACGCACGGCGGTGAAGAAGCGAACGCCCGTGGTCCCTGGAAGAGAGCCATCGGGGGTGAATACGCGAGACCTCCTCAAATGTAGAAACACGACGCCAGATGAAAGATATCATTCCGTTACTTTTATCACTCGGGCGCAGATTGAACGGGAGCCCGAGCAGGAGCGGCGCCAGCTCGTCGATCATGCGCAATATTTCCGTTCCAGAGATCTACACGAGCGCGACCGCATTCAAGTAGTCTGCTCCTCTCGTCGATGTTCTTGAAAAGGAGAGTGTGACGATCTTCTGGCATGTCCAAGCAGCACGAACGACTAACATTAAGAAATCGCTGGCGTGATCAAGTCCAGTTTGTGTCTTGGATATGGACCTTAGGACGGCGGTCGCAACAGGCCGCAACAAAAAGCAAAAGGATCGGGACAGAGGGAGAATGGTTGCTCTCTCTGCATTCGAGAGGATATCTGCTTGGTCGCTGTGATTGTGATTGTGGATGAAGACGCCGGCGACGACGCGACGTGAGTCGGCACGTACGCAGACGTACGCGCCTTTTTCCGGTCAGCAGTAAGCGCTTTTTTTTGTCGCGTACATCCTCGTCTCCTGTTCTTCCAGTGCTTCTTCTTGGCCTCAAGTCAACAATGCATTGTTGACTTGAGGCCAACCGCGATCTCCATCCCAAACCCACTATAAAGCCCGAACAACATCCTAAACATTTATCCCCCTCTTCGACATCACAACTTCGACAAGCTTCGACGTGACACGAAATCCGAGAGTGTATGCGCCCTGATATCTGCGTTTTCAACATACGAACGACTGACTACGCATGGTCACAGCTTCTCGCACGGTGCTTCCATGCAAAGTTCTCGGCTGGATGTCCTGATACGTGTCCAGGATGCGCGCCCTAGGTGTTGCTGGCTTGCGCACATCCCGGTAATTGTTCGAATCGTAAACGGCAGCACACGCCCAAACCACGAGTAAAGAGATGTGTCCTGCGCGGTGTCTTCGACTCTTCGTCCAATGAGAGGGCTTCTTTTTTCGTCTTCGTCTACTCATACTTCTTCGTGGGCACGTCGTCGTCGCTTCGTCTTACTATAGTTCTCGCTGACCAAACGGAGCTGAGTAGGCGCGACTTGACGTCGGCCGTGGACGCGTCTCGTGCATCGCCGTCGATTCGACTGGCGGCCCTGTGCAGGGATGGACTGGAGTCACGATGGAGCCCGCGGCGAAATCGGACCCGTCAGTGGCGCCATGGATGAGATCCTGCCGACAATTGTATGCACTCATTGCAGGTGGCGCAGACGTATGTACGATCAGTTGAACATCAACGTAGGCGCACTCAAAGCTGTCGCGATAGCAGCATCATCCGCCGTCGGAGGAACGCAGCCTAATTAGCAGGATATTCCATTCTGGCACGAACGGAACAAAATACGTGGAACCTGCGCGAAACCTGTTCGCGATTGGACGGCCGGGCGATTCGGAATGAGGCTGAGCAATTGAGCAGGGGGCACGGGACGCGGGGATGTTCCGCAATGGGACAGACGGATCGCAGCTGCCTGGCACCCCCGCACTCGTCTCCATTTCGTCTCTGCGCCGTGACCGAGGTGTCCCAGGATAAATTGTTGAGGCGCGCCCACTAGCGTATACCGACGGCATAGGGATATGGCCGGCGGACACACGCGACGACCTGTAGGACGTCTGTGATAAGCGGCGGATGGTGGGAACGCGAGGCCTGAGTATGGCGGGACAGGACGACGGGTACGTCAGAGAAGGTCACGCCGGGGAACGAGGGACCAAAGGCGGGAAGAGCCCACACACGCCTGCACGTGACCTGCGCCATCGACGGCCGACCTGTTTGAGATCCGGGTACCACTTACTAGTGTCCAGCTGCAGGCCACCGACGGTTATCGCCCCTCTTATAAGGCCCCGCATCTTCCCCGCAACCCCACATTCATCCATCCTCTTTCCCTTGTCGCCATGGAACCACAACCCCACACCCCCTATGTCTCCCCCGCACCCGCCGCGCACACCATCCCCATTGACCCTGTCCCGCCTCTCCACAGCGGCAGAAAGGCGGCCCTTACCCTCCACATCGTCGTCGTTGGCTGCGGCCTCGGTGGCCTCGCCGCCGCGCACACCCTCGCCCACGCCGGCCATCACATAACCCTCCTCGAGGCCGCCCCTGTCATCGGCGACGTCGGCGCAGGCATCCAAGTCTCTCCCAACGCAGCACGCCTCCTCCTCCGTTGGGGCCTTGGTTCTGCCCTTTCCGCCACCGCCGTGCGCCCCGAGGCGATCGTATTCCGGCGGTACGACACGGGCGAGCGCGTAGGCTACACACGCTGGGGTGACGTCATGGACAGATCCCACGGCGCGCCCTACCTCCACGTTCACCGCGCAGACTACCACGCCATGCTCCTCCGCCTCGCCCGCGCCGCGCCCAATGTGACCCTGCGGTTAGGCGCGACCGTCATCGGCGTCGACCCCGACCCCGCCAGCGCCGTCGGTGGCCCGAGCGTGACGCTCGCCTCGGGCGAAGTCGTGCGAGGCGATCTCGTTGTCGGTGCGGATGGTGTCAAGAGTATGTTGCAGGCTGCCGTGACGGGCAAGTCGAGCGCGCCGCGGGCGACGGGCGACGCCGCGTACCGCGCGATCATACCGACCGACGTGATGCTGCGCGACCCAGAGCTCAGGCCGTTCGTGGAGACGCCGGAGATGACCGCGTGGATGGCCCCTGGAAGACATCTGATGGCGTATAACATCGTTCGTTGCATCGCCTGTGATGGATCATATGAATATGTGCTGATTGTGAAATATGTAGAGAGGGAAGAAAGAATTCAACCTCGTCTTGCTCCACCCCGACGACGGCTCGGTCGAGTCTTGGACAGCGGAAGGCAGCGCAGACAAGATGCGAGCCGACTTCAAGGATTTCGAGCCAAGGTGCGCACCCGCTCCCAGCCGCTTCTCAGTCGGCTCACTCGCACTCTCGCAGGGTCCAAAAACTCCTCGCATATGTCAATTCAACCCTCAAGTGGCGCCTCATGGACCGTCCCGCGCTCGATTCCTGGGTGCACCCCAAGGGTCGCATCGTCCTCCTCGGTGACGCTTGCCATCCCATGCTGGTGAGTCTCACCCGCCCCCTTCGTGTTCTATCATTGATCATGCTCCAATTAGCCATATCGCGCCCAAGGTGCCGCGATGGCGATCGAGGACGCGGGGGTGCTAGGCGCGCTGCTCTCGCACCTGTCCACGATCGAAGAGCTACCGGTGCTGCTCAAGGCGTATCAGGATCTACGGTGCGTCACCGCCTCTGTTGATGACCCTTTTCCAACGCTTCGTGCCCGCCGGTGTCGATGTGTTGAGACGTGTCGAGATGTGCATGGTCGTGCGCCCCGGCATTTGCAGAGGCCCTGGCATGGACATCCTTCCGCGACTCAATCACTCTCCAGCCCGTTTCCACTGACCGACTGACCGACCGACCTTTGTTCTTGCTGACTCCCCGACCTCCTCCAGGCTGGACCGCACGAGCGACGCGCAAGAGCAGTCCCGTCTGAACCGCAGCATCTTCCACCTTCCCGACGGCCCCGAGCAGTGCGCGCGCGACGCGGAGATGCGGCGCGCGATGGCGGCCGAGTTCGCCGCGCTCGAGCACGCAGGCGGGCACCCTGCATCTGTCTCCGCGTCCTTAGCGGATGGCGAGACGCTGATGGTGGGCAACCCGAACCAGTGGGCCGACCGGCGCAAGAGCGAGCGGCAGTTTTCGTACGACGCGGATGGGGCCGTGCATGGGTGGTGGACGGCCGGTGGGCGTGCGTTGCTGGAGGAGGCGCGCGCGCGTACAGAGGCGGCAGCGAAGGCGAAGGCGAAGCTGTAGATGGCGAGCGTTGGGGCTGGCAAGGGCGGTGGGACGCAGAGAGGGAGTCCAGGCGGAGAGAGCTCGCGCGGAGCGAGGGTGAGGGCGCCTTATGTTCTTTGATGCGGCTGGCGCGGCGGAGAGAGCGGGGATGATGTGTGCGTTTCTGTTTTCCGGCCATCCAAGTCCCGCATTCCCTCCCACCTTATTGCATCTTTCCAATTTGTGACATCTTTCCCGGAATGCATCGTATCTCTGATTTCTGTCAATCGAGTGATGACTGGACCTTGGGCGCTTGAGCGCTGAGCATCATGCTGAGATATGATCGCGTCCGGAGGTTACCTAGTTGACGTTCGTGGTGGTCATCGGTGTGTGGTCATATTCCCTCCTGGCGGTGCCAGGTCGTCCACTCGAAACGCTTTCGTCGACTTTCTACGCCTCTGACGAATCTGCATGACCACGCTGCATCGCTCGACGAAGCCGGGCTGGTCAGGTGTGTGAGCAGAACGTCTCTAGGCGCTGCAGACGGCCCTATTTGCTCGGACAGATAAGGTCATCGCTCGGATCCATCACAACTGAAGCCTATTCCAGCGCCATCGCTCTCCCCATCATGATGCATCGTTGCTCGTGGGAGGACACTCTAAGAGGTATCTAAGACGGCAACCGCAGTCTACAGGTTGCCCATACCACTCGACTCGGCCAGTATGTCCACCCGCCCCTTCCTCCTCCATCCACACGTCCCCACACCCCAGGGCAGGAACAGTGCGACCTTCCACCCGCCCCCGCTCGATGGCACGCTCGCCGTGCCCGAACTCTTCGAGTACGATGCGGTGCATAGTCCGTTGCACCCGCTCTTCGTCTATCCCAACCCCGACGCGCCCGACGGGACGAGGACGATCTGCTACCCCGAGGCGTTGAGGCTCATCCACCGTACCGCGCGCATCGTGCACGGCTACCACTCACGCGCGGCGCCCAGATACGCCGCGCAAGTCGGCGTCAGGCCGCACGACCAGCCACCCACAATCGGCATCCTCGCCATCGCAGGTGTGTTCCGCATGCCGATCGTTCGTCGAAACCGAATGGCGGGTCTAAGGAGACCACCTCGTCCCCCCGCGCAGACTCGATCAGCTTCTTCTCGGTGCTAGTCGCGACGATGTGGCTCGGGTTCACCCCATTCGGCATCTCGCCGCGCAACTCGCCCGCCGCCGTCGCTCACCTCCTCCGCGCGACGCACGTCATCCAGCTCATCGTGAGCCCCGATCCCGCCATGCAGCGCCTCGCTGCCGCCGCCGTGGCGCTCCTCGCGCAGGATGGCGTGGTCGTCGAGATTCTCCCGATGGTCCAATACGACGCGATCTCAGACGCGCACGCGGAGAAGCAGAAAGCTGGAGGCGGAGCCGAAGTGTACGAGGGCAGCGATCTGAAGCTTGCAAAGTTCGATCTCGACAAAACAGCAATTATGTTGCATTCGTCTGGTAAGTCCCTTCTGCGCGTGCTCTCGCATCTCTCCAGCTCCGGGCGTTGAGTCGACCTGTTGTTCAAGGCAGCACATCGTTCCCGAAGCCGATCAGGATCTCGCACCGGACATTGCTTCAGTACACCATGCTTCCGGGTACGTTCATCTGCTTTCTGCGATCCAGCTTGGAACACCCTCAACCAACCCTCTTCCATCAGCCTTTGGAGAAGTCGACCTGTGCAACACAGTCCTGGGTATACAACCTGTCCCGATGTTCCGTACGTACACCCTTGTCCACTGCAGTAGAACATACTCCTCACCTTGCGCAGATGGAATGGGCCTCCCAAGCATCACATGGAGTGTGAGCAAGATCCTCGTCGCATTTTTCACAGATTGATCAACCTTGATACAGAGCGCTGGAGGAGTCGTTATGGGCTGCTACGAGCCGTCGTCTCCACCCGTACTCGCGACGCCCGAGAACTACCTCGAAGCCGTCATCGCTTCGAAAAGCTCGGTGCTCTTCACCGTGCCATCTTTCGTCGAGGTCGGTGCTGCACATTTGCCTCCGGGTGTGACTCTGTCTGACATCCTCCGGTACCCTGCGCAGGCATGGCTAAAGAACCCCTCGAATCTCCCTGCAATGAAGTCTTTGCGCGCCATCGTGTACTCTGGCGCACCGATGAACAAGGAGATCGGCGACGCGCTCGTCAAGATGGGCGTGACGCTCGTTCCCTTCTACGCAACGTGAGACTTGACGCACTCCTCTGGCATTCGTGCGCAGCTCACCACGATGGGTAGGACGGAGATCGGATGCTTCAGTATGGCAATTCCTGCAACGGTGCCGGCCGTAGACGAATGGGAGTACTTTCAGATCGCGGGCCATCTCGACGTCGAGATGCTCCCGCAAGACGGAATGGACGACATCTTCGAAGCAACCGTCATCGTCCGTGCTTTATTCCATCTATTACGCGTGCGACAGCTGAACGGTGTGCGTGTATATGCTGCAGGATAGCCCGTATTATAATCCAAATGTGCTCAACGCGGTCACGAGCGACGGCCGGCGCATGTACAGGACGAGCGATCTCTTGCAAAGACATCCCCGCGATCCCACACGGTGGAGGGTGTTCGGAAGGGCAGACGATCAGCTAATGCTATCGACGGGGGAAAAGGTGCGTCGCATCAGCGTCTGTTCTTCTCGCTGATTTGAGCATGTGCTTGCTTTACAGACAAACCCAGGGCCGTTAGGTGCGTATTGCTGTCGAGTCGATAGGATGCGGATCGTGCTCATCCGATTGCAGAGGCAATCCTGGTACAGGACCCCCGCATCGCGTCTGCGCTCATGTTCGGGCGCGGGCAATTCCAGAATGGCGTCCTGATCGAGCCAAAACCGTCGTTCACGTTCGACCCAGGAGATGAAGAGAAACTGGCAGAGTTCCGGAATGCCATCTGGTGAGTCATCCCATCGACAACTTGGACTCTGGATATCGAATAACGATTACGCGAGGGTAGGCCGACAGTAGAGAGGGTGAACCAATTCGCGCCTGCGCATTCAAGATTGTTCAAAGAAGTAAGCCGGCCTATGCTATTTTTCCGTGTCGTTGATGTACGATACTTTCCCAGATGATCATCGTGGCGGACCCAGCAAAACCCTTTGAATATACACCTAAGGGTACACCGCGGCGGCACGTAGTGATCAAGGCGTACGATGCCGAAATTAAAGCTCTGTATGAAGCCATCGCCGACTCGTCCCAGACCGACATTCCGGCCCCAGAAACATGGACCGAAGATGCGACGCTGGTATTCGTGCGCACGGTTGTCGAAAAGGTCATGAAGAGACAGCTGGCCAATGACGACGACATCTTCCAGGAAGGTTGTGATAGGTGTGTGGTTCTGTAACCGCATTGCCTTGGAGAGATCCACAATCCAAGATTTGTCGTCTAGTCTACAAGCAACGTGGATTCGGAATACCATCCTTCACGCCTTGCGCCAGTCGACAAGCCTCACGCTCCACAATCTCCCGAACAACTTCGTGTATAGCAACCCCACGATCAGCTCTCTCGCGCTCTTTGTCATCAAGCTCTTCCTTCATGGCGCAGAAGAGCGCAATGACATCTCCGTTCGTGTGCGTGCTATGGATGCTATGCTCGCAAAGCACACATCTGCATTCCCGGTGCACACGCCGCGCGCCGGCGTCAGCGCGGCTGCTAGCACAGACGAGATCGTTCTCTTAACGGGCTCGACGGGGCGACTGGGGTGTCATCTGCTCGCCCAGCTTGTAGTCAGAAGTTCCGTAAAGAGAGTGTACGCATTGAATCGCGGCGCATCGGAAGGAGACTTGAAGGCACGCCAGGCGAATGCTTTCAAGATATGGGGCTTCGACGAGAATATTGTGGCTTCGAAGGTAACCCTTCTCGTGGCGGACTTTGCGCAGCCGGACTTGGGACTGGGAAAGGACATGTACACGACGGTCAGCAATCCTGAAACAAGTAACCTAGGAAAGGTTGCGGACTGACTGGCATGTTTTTAGATACGAGAATCGGTGACCAGCATCATCCACAACGGTGCGTACGGCTGATTATCATCATTGTTAAATATTCTGATCATCGGCTTGGCTGCACAGCTTGGCGCGTAGACTTCAACCTTGCGCTGTCGTCGTTCGAGCCTTTGGTCATCGGCGTCCGCAACATCATCGACCTGTCTCTGGGCTCGTCTCGTCCAGCATCCCCTGCAATCCTGTTCACAAGTTCTATATCAGTTGTGATGAGTGAGCACATGTTTCCTTTTCAGCAGTTCCTGGCCCTCTCTTATAGAGTTGATTCTGTCTAGGCCACCCTTCTTCACCTGTCGCAGAGACGGCGCTGGAAGATGCCAAGGTTGCAGTTGGGACAGGTTACGGAGAGAGCAAGTGGGTAGCAGAGAATATCCTGCTGCGCGCGAGGAAGGAGGCAGAGGTGCGGACGACGGTGGTGCGCGTCGGACAGTTGTGCGGCGACAGCGCTTCAGGCGGATGGAATGAGAAAGAGTGGGTGCCGGCTCTGCTGCGTGGTGCACAAGTGCTCGGGGCGTTTCCCCACAGGAATGAGGTCGGTACTATTTGTCTCTCAATGGTTTTTCGTCTGACTGATTCGGTTGGGACGTGCAGGCGATATCGTGGGTACCCGTTGACGTAGCAGCCACTTCTCTGCTGGATATGTTGGGCTCCAAGGAGCCCGTGCTCCATCTCGTCCACCCACACCCCGTCAGTTGGAATGTCGTCGGAGACGCCGCGGCGCAGACCCTTGGGGTGCCAATTGTACCCTACAGTGAATGGGCTGCGAAGCTGCGCGAGGCAGCGCGAACGTCCGCTGCGGATCGCAACGCGACGAAGAAAAACCCGGCACTGGCGCTGCTCAACTTCTTTGTGAAAGATCTTGGAGAGGACGGGACGGTCGCGCTGAAGACGGATCGCGCTGTGGGTGTGTCGCCTACGTTACGGAGCGCGGAAAGGCTGGGGAGTGCAGACGTCGAGAAGTGGATTGGCTATTGGAGGAAGATCGGGTTCTTGCAGGTTTGAACGGGTCGCAGCTATCGAATCATTAAATGTGTATGTTACATGTACCGTCAGCTCAGGATGAAAGCAGCCAGTACGGAAAAGAGCGGAAGGACAAGTCGACGGCCGAGGCGACAGATGTAAACAGTTACACGTGATTGGTCGCTTGTCGTCCCCGGTTGGGTTGCAGCGGCTGCTCTCCGGCTTCATCCTCCTCGTTGCTCTCTTCTCTCTTCACCACCGCCAACGACAGTGCCAAAGGACGCTCTCTCGAAAATGGCATCAACCGCAGTGTTACGTTCCTCTCTTGCCCGACACATTACTCCAAACCTTGCGCGCCGTTCTTTGATCCCATTCGGTGCGCTTCGCACCACCCACTTCGCCCGGCAGGCTCACTCAACCCGTTTGACCCTCGCAGCGCGCTCAAACTCTCAGTTTGTATATGTACCCGGAGGCCGTGAGTTTCTGTTATTCCCTGCTAGATTGGTTCTTGATCATCATGACTTGTAGCTATCATCAAGGGCGGCCCGAACGACCCAACCACATTCCCTCCACCCTCTAAGGTTCACGGCTCGTACCACTGGGCGTTTGAGCGCCTTCTCTCTGCCGGCCTCGTTCCCCTCACCGCTGCTGCCTTCGTCACCAGCGGCAGCAGTGCACCTCTCCTCGACGGTATCCTCGGCGTTAGCCTCGTCATGCACTCACACATCGGTGTACGTCGCTTCCCACTCGCGTTCCTCAATAGCATCGCTCACCTTTTTCTTCACATGTGTCGACGGTTGACTGATATATATATATATATATATGTTGCTTGCGTGATGTCATCTCCTAGTTTGATTCCGTTCTCGTCGACTACGTTCACGCGCGCAAGTTCCCCATCCTCGGCCCCCTATTCACGTGGATTCTCCGAGCCACGACCGTCGGGGTCCTCGCTGGGGTCTACCAATTCAACACCCAAGATGTCGGTGAGTGCATCTCCTCCGATACTCGTGCCAAACTGGTTTGCTGACGTGTTGGGACGTGCGCTAAGGCCTCACGGAGCTGATCAGGAGGGTTTGGACCGCATAGACATGCTTTCACCGTTATTTGGTCCTATCGCAAGCAGTCAGTTGTATCATCTTCTCAGTCGGAATCAGAGCTTTCTTTCTCCCATTCATACCCGGACTATGTTGGGCTGAGCGCATCTTGCATTTTTTTTTACGTGCAAGGAAGGTGAGTAACAACTACGAGGTGGTCATGTCAGTACTCGATATACCCCTCGGACGTGCCAAATGTTCCAAGGGCGCTCAAATGCTGTGCGTTGATTGGCCAGTGCGCTTTGCTTTTGGTATCTAAATTTCTACTGGTGGGTTTTCAACTCACACGGGCAATGGCTCATCCCTGGAAATCAAAGATCATCGCTGCTCTACTTGGCTGTGCCATCGCCGCCTCGCACGTCACACTCTAGCCATCCCTGACCCAACCCAACCAGTAGATGTAGCTTGTTGCGATGCGTCCTGATCCTGATTTCTTGATGTTTTCGTCAAATACCTTCAAATACTACTGATCACTTGGTTCTACATAACCGGCTCACTGCGTGTACACGTAAAAGTGGAGGGCTCAACTCGGTGATTTGATGGTGGATCAAATAGATGATCTTTCGACTGACCTTGGATGTAACCCTTCTTTCCCCTTAGCGACTTTCCCCACAAATACGACAACTATCAGGCCTGAGGCCCATCTCATTTCAACATACATGGAAACTGTAGGCAGACGTCGAGAAAACCTGGTACTCCTATGTATCGTCCTCAGGCATACACTGCCATCACTTCCTGCCTGCCTATAACCTCATTGGTCAGATGTTGAATGATGTTTCCAATCGCATAAGGTTCATTGATCCAGCGATCCAGTCAAGCGGTTATAGGCGCTTGTGGTTGTCTGTATATCTAGCGGGTGAGGCACCTTACAAGACCCCCAGACTCGTGGTGATAGCCTCCCACTCGCACGATGGCGCCTTCCCCCGAGTATGCCCCAGGGGTACCAAAAAACGTGGCCGAACTGTGAGTATCTCATATCGAACGACGGCGATGGTGCTTACAGGATGACCCGAACCTGACATAGAACTGGGCCCCTGGTGTGTCTAAGTTTCTAGCTCTGTCATGTTGAGCGTTTCTGAGAGCACGATTTCCCTTCAAAGCACCTCGGTATTTGCTTCAACTGGGGGCTATTCGGTATACTCTGTGTGCAAATCTGTGAGTTCAAACCCGTCAATCGCTCCATCCGTACCCTTGTCGCGCGTGTGCCGACGGTCTCTTCTCTAGATCTATACTTCATCAACTACCCAAAGGACAGGTGGCGGAACAAATGCCTCGTCTATGGCCTCTTCGTCTTCGAAACCGCTCAAACGGCTTTGCTTACTCGCGACTCGTTCGCAATCCTCGGATCTGGGTGGGGCGACCTCTCTCGGTTAGATTACCTTGGTGAAATGTGGCTGAGCGGCCCTTTCATGAACGGGATGAGTAAGGATCTTCGTCCACAGTCGATCATACCCTCTCACATGATCACATCGCTATTTGCAGTAAGCGCAACGGTGCAGAGCGTTTTCGCCTGGCGCATATACCTCCTGGGCAAATCGAAACTGCTTTCGGTATTCGTAGTTGCGGTCAGCGCCATCTTCCTTACTTTGTCACTAATTTGTCGTATTCATTCTATTTATTTCTGAACAAAGGTCGCGCTCATGGAGAGTGCTGCGGCAATGGCTCAAGGTCTACTAGTCGACGTCAAATTCCATGATCGAGCTCACAACCTCCAACGAAATGCGTTTGCGGTGACCACTGTAAGCGCGGCTCTGTAGTCTCCAGTAAGTAACGCTGAAACTGATGGTTTCATTGCACCCGTAGGTGTGGCTAGTAGGCAGCGCGATCTGCGACGTGGTAATCTGCGTGTCGATGATTTACCTCGTAAGTATAATCGAAATCGTTCCCGTGTATGGTGTTTAATTTGATGTTTGAATTTCTGCGTATGCAGCTGAAAACCGCTCAGCGTCAGACTACATTCCGCGAAACTGGGGATATGCTGACTCGTTTCCTTCGTCTGTCTGTTGGTACTGGGATGCTTACAGGTACGTGTTCATGTTCAACACCATTTCCATTTAGTGCCAGGCTGACCGACCAGTACTAGCCAGCGTTGCTGCTATCGATGCAACTCTTTTTCTTGTATACCAGCAAAATAACTACTACATGGCACCCATCGCCGTCCTCGGTAAATTGTACTCAAATTCCTTGATGGTCCTCTTCAATGCCCGGATTAGACTAGATGGTGCGAGCAGGGATCAGCGTCCGTGGAAGAGTAGCACGTATTCGACTCCTGTGACGCGGATCGAGTTTGCTCGTCATTCAGCTCCTGTTATCAGCATCGAGGTTCGGACCGATACGTCGACGGACGGGGACGTGTCCACGACCGACGAGACTGTCAGTGTGAGTGCTTTTAGTATGCCACAACTCAGGTCAGACCAGTGATATCCTGTCCAATTTAGGATCATGGAGAGATGAAGTTGCATCCCGACGCTTCTTCAGTTCATATTTCTCGGGGCAGCGTTGGTTCAGCAGATGTTCACTATTGCTTAGCTTGATGGCGACAGTATTTCTTGGCATATGTCATCTTGAGGACAGTAACTTATAACCACCTCGGAATTTTGCTCCGTCTAATTCGTTGTACTCGCCGTATTCTGATGAGAAGTCGCCATACCATAGAAAAATCATAGCATTTCTGCAACAATATTCGAATGTTGGTAGTACATAAACTCTTTGTGGCATCCATATATCTCAAATATCTAAGAACGAGACGTCCCGAAGATATGAAACCCATTTACTGACATCATCTGCGGACATCGGCTTAGCTTCTCTTAAAACATTCGAAACAACCACAGCTTTGTCTGTGCTCAGCTCTGCATCCGTGGCCAGATCAAAGCTCTCAAAGAAAGGTCGCAAAGCTATAGCTGAGGTGGGTTTGAAACCAGGAGCATCGTCTTGAAGACCTCGCAGTCGCTCCACCCATTCAACGTACGGCACGACCGGAATGTTGAGTAGCGTGCTTGCCGTCAGCGTGAAGGTCGACCAGGGCACGGGATGCGGGTGAACAATGTGCAGAACTGGCTCAGTAGTGTCGAGCATATCGAGCAGGGCAGACGCTGCCGTGTCGACGGCGATCCAGCTCAACGTCTATGATGGGATGATTGAGGTTTTGTCGTAAGACTGTATTGTTTGACATGACGCACCTCGTTACGCATGGGTAGTGCACCGACTAGTTGTGACAGCTTGAGCATCGCAGGCACCCACTCCTTCTCAGTCCACCCTCCTATGCGTTTGTCGCCGCTCAATTGTCCGATGCGCACAGTTGTCGTCGGAACACTTGCCAAGCGTGCAGCTTCTTCGAGCAATTGCTCAGCGATCCATTTGCTCTCACTGTACCCACCCCCTATAGCGATATGAGGGTCATGCAACGCAACTTCCGTTGCTGGAGTATCCACTGTATAATCTGATCAAAATACGTCAAAGATAATTGAGGGTGGTGGATGTCGATTTCACTGACTTCGCAAAACCGAGATAGAGCTCGTGAAGATAATATGGGGAGGCGCTGCACGAGTCGAGCCAAGCGAGAGCTCGATGAGGTTTCGAACACCGCCGAGAAGAGGCTCAAAAGATGATAATGCGACATTGAAGTCTACGCGCCATGCTGATAGTATTCAACCATTCAGCACTCGAACGTTTAGGAACCGACATTTCCCTACCATTGTGAATGATGACGGTGACAGAATCTCGAAGCTAATCAAAGAAAATACAGCGAGTCTTAGATAGATGAATGAGCATGGAATTGAGAGCAGACCTCGCGATAGATATCACTCTCCAATCCCAGGTCGGTCTGCGAAGCTTCGCCCTCAAGTAGAACTACTTTATCCGAGTTCAGCACATCGTCATCAAGTCCCCAAGCTCTGAACGCATCCTTCTGTCTCCCCATAAGAGGAGACGAGTTGAGCGAAGCACCGGCAGAGGTCCTGTTCAGAGCATACACTTTACGGACGTCGTGCCTTCCAGCAAGCTGCGAGAGTATGTGGGAGCCGAGACGCCCAGTAGATCCCGTCAAGAGAACAACTCTAGCATCATCTGTTCCTCCTAATGTGCTCGCCGTGACTTCGCTAGGTCTACGTCGGAAGGAGCTGGCATACTTCTTCACGAATGCTTTCATGCTCAACACCTTCGCTTCTTTCCCTGCTTCTGTGTTGAGGCCGAGCGTGCCTGAAACAAGCCCAACAATGAACTTGGACATAGATTGAACGGTAGGATTGTCGTAGACAAAGTTGTAGGGGATGCTGTGTGCTGGGAGCGAAGTGGAAGATCGGAGGGCATGAATCACGGTGTTACGAATCCAAGTAGCTTGGAGACTGGACGAGGCCGAACAATGTTAGATGAAGACCAAATCAAAATGCAATATCAAGGAGAATTACCTGTCGCAACCGTTCTGGAACAGATCGTCGTTATCACCGATAGAGACAGTCATGACTCGTTCGACTGCCGTTCTCACAAACTCCAAAGTGGGCTCTATATCCCATTCTGTAGGGGGGAGTAGATCCGTCTGAGATACCTTATTTACTGCGTTATAGACAGCTTCGATTTCGTCCTCGTACAGGGCGAGAGAGGTTGGTCGACGTGGAGTACCCTTAGGAGTGTATTCCAGTGGTTTGGCTGGATCGGTGACGATAATCATCTGCGAACTTCATGTTAAAGATTCATCACCTGAGCGAATGATATCAACTTACTTCTTTGAACAACCTCGAGTGAGCAGGAGCATATTTATTGACGCTTTCCACAGTCGGCCTGGAAGATGCGTTATCAACGAAGCTTGGGTGAAGTACATCAAGAATGCTCACCAGATAAGGTTCCTGAACTCCTCTAAGCGTTTCTCGTCTTGAGGAGAGAAAATAAATGCTTCTTTTGGCTGTATAAGCACACCATTTTGAGTCCGTCCACGCCCAAACATGATCGCTGCAGTGATATGCTTGTCTTGAAGAAGTATCTCCTCTATAGGTGCGATGCCTTCAGTGTGAATACTCAGTGAAGCTTTGGTAATTCACTGACCCAACGGTACGGGGTTAGTCTTCGAAGCAATTCAGGTCTGTTGCAAATCGATATGAAGGAAAAAGTAAAACAAGCCTTTTCTCCTGTTGATAGCATGATCTGCTCATCAATCCGTCCGTACACTCTCCACCTGGTCGGATCCTGAGGATGTCGCTGAAGTAAATCTCCTATTGCGTATGCCGGTCGCCCATCGATAGTCATATTCGACACATTGGGGAAACACCAGTCGTTCGCCTAATTAGCAATGTGAGACTTTGGAATGGAAGAAAGAAACAAGGACAACTTCTACACTTACTACTAATACGGGCTCAAAAAGATCATGTTGACTTTCTTGCGGTAGCATTCTCATGTCGATGTGCGGCGCCAGTGAGAAGTATCCCCACTCGCCTGCAGGCTGTCGTTTCTTTGGGATGAACATCACGCAGCCACCGATTTCTGTGCTAAAACGTGGGTCAGACATACGTCGTGATAACTATTGTAGTTTGACACTTTTTTGTCTTACCTTCCCCATGTTGAGAACAAAGCTACTCCAGCGTCTGCAAGCTTGTCTCCAACCATCGGGTTCATAGGAGCACCAGCGTAAATCTTGGCTCACAGCTCAGGTGTGCCGCGGTGATAAAGAGACTTCGGCGTACAATGGCATCTAAGTTACTTAAGATTTGCATATTTGCGGGATCACGAGCACAGTTCTTGAAACGGGAAGAATTTTCAGAATCATAGTCCATGGATGATAGGTTTCGGTCAGACTTACCTCTACGATGGATGGGACGCAGAACAAGATATCACATCGATCTGAAACCGTGGCTCCCAATATATTATCTACCGTCGGCATCATGGGGGGTAAGATTGACTTGAAGATTGCCATGATGGCCCCAGAACAGGCCTGTATCTAAGCGTCAGAAATGCGCACTCAGCCCAAATAAAGTTTGGTATCGACCCCAAAGGTGAGGGTTGTTATACCCATCGCATCTGGTGATTATAGAGAGCAAAGACCGCGGATCAGATGAATGACTTCAAAGGGAAAGTGGCCTCGGTCTCACGGAACATCGGCACAGAGTGCATTCCGACGCGTTTCCCACATAGATCTCTTTCACCATAGTCTACAGAACAAGCTCAGTAAGGTGAAGACGGCAAATCAAATGAAGTACATACATGGCAGCAGCGTCCAATTAAAAAATCCCAGGCTCGAGATCCTGATGGGCTTAGGGAATGCGGTCGAACCTCAAAATATAAATCATCAGCATACGACGAGATACTACTGCAGACAGCGCATAAAGTGTATAAATGCATACCAGAAGAATGCAAAATGACAGCTGTCTCGTCTGCGCGCAACTTCCTCACCTTGCCCGCACTCTCGTATTGACCTTCAATCACAATTTCGCTATATCGTAGCATCGGGACCAGATCGATATCGATACCATCCACACTGAGTATTTGAACTGCCTCTTTATACAGTCGTTGTATCGCAGGATCGGAACTGACGACCATCTGCAGCGCCCCAGTTCTGAACAGTAAATTAGCGACTCCCGCAGCTGAGTTGCGCGTCGAGATCGGGAAAGGCGTCAGTCCGAGGCGCATGATACCGTGGAGGAGGAAGATGTAACTGAGGCTGTCTGTATCACGCAGGAGTCAGGATCCATCAACAGCAGTCAGGCAGACGGTCAATATCATGACGCACCAGACGTTGCGAGAACTGCGATCACTGGAGGTTGATTTTCCTCCCTCTTCTGTTCAGCATATCGCTGAGCGCATCGCTTGTAATGCACCTCCATTATCCCCGCAGCCCTCCTTATCGCGTGTAGAGCTTCGGGATAGCAAACCTCTTTGGATTGCCCTTGATCATCGGTATAGACGAGGTATGGGTGCTGTGGGCTGTGCTGTGCGTTGTACTCGTAGAGCTCTGGAACGGTCAGAGAGAAATCGAGCGGTGGGGGGTGAAACGTAAGAGAGTCAACACCCTGTCGGGTATATTTGGGATGCATTGACTCCGATGACCAAATTTCAGGATTGAGATGTTCTTTGCGATGGGGATTGTCACGTCTCGATGAGTTTACGGTAGAGGAAATAAGACTCTTATAGTAGAGCAGTTAAGTCCGGATCGGCATTTGAGAACATACAGTACTGAATGACGTTTAGTTGCCTGTCATTTCGGTCAGTGATAGAAGATGAGGCCTGGGAAACCCCGACAGCCCCACCTGGCCCAGAGTCCAAATGTGTACACATGACGATGAGATAGTGCTTCGCAAGGTTATGCGACATGGCGGCTGCTCGGTCACGCTTCGACACGCGTAGCGCACGAGCCACGAAGCTGCAGAAAGGCGGAGAGCGATGACGACAGTTTTGTCAAACTAGATATGAACGTAAGCAGGATTATAGTATTTCGAAAGAAACGAAAGCCTTCACGTTACCGTTGTAAGCGCCTCGAGTCCACAACGTTCCAAAGCCGATACACATCGTTGAGAACCTCCTTCTACGTAGCCCTCAATGACTCATGTTCCCCACTATGTAAGATATCTGGCATTCGTGTTCTGGCGTTCTAGACACACGCTGCCTGCTTCAACAAGCTTCAAAGGGTTTAAGTAAAGGCTTTTCCGTTGTCACGGATCACTGAAATAACAAGACCCAGTATAGTGAGAAAAAGCATTCGTGGTAGCCAATGGGTTCTAAAAACAGAATTATCGCCTGCCAAATCAGCAGTGGTGACAACTTACATGCCCCTCTTCTAGATTGCGCGAGAGACGTGCCGTGCACACTAGGTCGAGTATCAAGCCTAGTGCGTCCATGGCTCTATATTATGGGCAGCTATCATTCAGTCTGAAAGAACAGCAGCTAAGACCGACATTTGGTGTAACAATCGTTTTCGCTCCAATAATGAGTTGACTTCATCGATATCACAGCTGAATAATGCTTGGTTTCTGATTAGTACGCTGGGCATTGGAGTATAGTGATGCAAGGATTGAGGCAGTGTCCCGCTGAGACGGTCAAGCGCCGTTTGAATGCCTCAACACAATGCTAGGGAGGGTACTTCAGTAATGCATATCGTTGCGGGTAACAGGTGCTCGTACATATTACTTTGCTATCCTTCGAATCGTGAGAATGACGACATAATGTTGAGCCTTAGCAACAGCAGCATACTCAGCCCGCAGCTTGGTCACTTTCGTCCTCGCGACTCAAATCATCAAACACCACTTTGGTGCCTCGGTGCTTGTACCGTCAGGTTCGGCAATGGGGTTTCTCCAATTTTACCCTCAAGAACTGAAGCCCAAAAAGCTCAGGTCCCAGATCAAGTTTCTGTGGGAGGATGGTTATGGCTTCGAGCGAATTCGGGGCAGGTTCACATACTGGATTCAGCTGCGTTGGGACTTCTGGGAAAACTGATGTCCTGGAGCACAACAATAGAAGGTCTGAGCGAGGTGGCATTGCGCTTTGCTGCAGTTATTGCTGCCTGCTCAGCGTATTCTTACCTATTGATTGCAGATTTATGGCAGGGAGAAAATGACGATCACTCGATAGAATTTTTGAAGTGTCGAGTAATTGGAGGCAAACGGCAGCCAAGTTCAGCCAATAGACATTAGTCTCGAGCGCACATGCGAGAAGACAACCTGATGAAGATGTGAGCGCCTCATTTACCTGAGAAGTGATGGACAATCAAGATCACTTCGCGCTTCAATGATTGCAGCTGTGCGCGTAACATGGCGGATTAAGTGAAGACGTACCTCTTTTCGATCAATGCATCCTGCCTTGCGCGCTTGAGCCCTTCCTTCCCTAAGAGCTATCCCCACGTCTGTTATATGAGTCTGAATTACTCCTCGAGGATATGCTATACGTCTTCGCTGTCCAAACAGCGTGTGTTCCATGAAGAAGTAGGGCGGAGGAGAACGGAGACGTTGCAAGATGAACGAGTCAGATAAGGGTTGTAAATCATTTACGTAAGCTGTCTCCATCAGATCCCACCTGAGATCTAGCGTACCTCACGCCTGCTTATCACGGGTTATCGAAGGTTATCGACGGCGACGAGCAAAATGTCATGGCTATCTCCAACAAAGTCTTCCAGCAGCTCAGCGCTCAGCGCTCAGCACACAGCACACAGCACACAGCACACAGCTAAACTCTAGCAGCTCGTAGATATCTCACGTCGTAGACACGCCAGCTATAGCCAGCTATGTGTTATCGGCTATCATCTTCGAATTCCAAGACGAACCGCAGCGGTTCAAGTTGGATGTCCATGTGATGGCCAGGGGGCGGGCCAGGGCGGACCACCACAATTATGTGCACAATGGGCGCGGCCAGCTTGTTGAACACGAGATAGCGTTGAACGTTTTCGCCGTTGGAGGCATTGCTCCCGCTTATATTTGAACGGTGCGCGATATCCGTCTTTCCTTGAGTCGTGCTCTCATCGTGCACCTACGTGCAGGACTGTTTCGAGACAATGCACAACCTCCATCTCTTCGCCCTTCTCGGGGCTCTCGCTACTGGCGTCCGTGGCCTTAATGAGCGCTCCCCTCGTACGGTGTACTCTTCCCTGTCGGTCGGAGCGAAGCAGCTGTTCGACGAATCAATGGACTTCAACGAGCAGTTCTGGGACGAGTCGGAGGGCTACTTGTATCAGATCGATTCTTCCGGCATCCACGATACTCGCGCGACGGCCATGTGGGCTCCTGCTCTTCTCGCTCGCAATGGCAAGAATGGAGGAGACCTTGCGCGCGCGATTCGCATCTTCAACCAGATCGCCCCTCAACAATATGATCAGAACGGCACTTTGTGGTACGGTACCTACCCCCACACCCCTCAAGATCCGTTTCCGGGAACTTCGCTTCTCGGAACGACACCGTACTCATCGTATGATCCGAACTGGTGCGCTACAGTGTTACATTACATGCGTTTGGTCATTGATCATCCTCCAGGCGTGACTTCATCGCAACTTCTTGGGTATTAGCTCTTGAACAGAGCGGCCATCTTCTCCCCGAGTCGGTGATCAGCGGGGTGGAACAGTCTCTTCTCAAAGCTGGCAGGGGCAATCTATTGCGCTACCAAGGTCGCGGGGCCTACGCCAACTCTGTTTCCATCAACAAGACTGCTGATAACCTTGATGCTGTGCGCTCCCATAGTAGTCTGATACGATATCTTGTTTGCTGATGAGATGATCAGGCGTACACAAATCCATACTTGATGGGTACTTTGGTCATGAGGTAAGCTGGGAATTGAGTCGCTTGTTACTTTGCCTTTGGAGTATCTGCTAAATGTAATCAAATAGCTACATTGGACATCGCCTCAATGACGCGGAACTCATAACAAAATCTGAGGAAGATGCGCAGACCATCTACGATCTTTTCACATTCGGCCATTTCAATACTTTTGCGGAGTATAACAGCGGCACATATACTGGCGTCGGTAAGAGATTTGCGCCGATCATATTCAACATGTAATGATGTATCTCAATTTAGATCTGTGGGCATTGGCGCTGTGGAACAAGTACGCTCCAAAAGGAAGTAAGCTCGCCAAGTACGGACCCTTCATGTTGAACAGCACTCTCATCGATCTCGGCACACTCTATCATGCTGGACTGCGTAATCTTGCTGGCCCTTGGGATCGATCGTACGGCTACGACATGACTCGGTATCACAGCGTATTTGGCCAGCTCGTGACATCCCTCGCACCTCTGCACAAGGGTGCAGTCCCATCTCCGCCCGCAGGAGGCCTTCACACTAACGATGCCGCATGCTTTGCCCCCCTGATGCCCCTCATCTCTTCGATCATTGCCGATGCCGCTCCCAAGGGCGTCCTTTCGAGCTTCGCTGCATTCGGGGCCAAGGAGCGAACTCTCAAACGTTCGCTTCGTACCAACGTCGTTGACGAGACTGCTATCCGTAATGTCACGGCGTGGCTAGGTGAAACCACCTCTATCGGTGGTCAGTCGGTGCGCCCTCGTTCTCTCCATCGTCTGAACCACTCTTCTTATACTCGAAGCGATGCCAGCTCGACGAGCCATCTGCACGCCAGGCTTCTGATGTCGCAGCCGTGATCCAATGGCTTCTCCCTTCCTCGCTCTATCCGTACGCTACTGCCACTTCCCTCCCTAAGATCGGCTACATCGCATTGTCTCCGCCCACTGCATCCGTGGTCAACGCCACTGCCTCGAAGAACACACTCACAGTCTCATTCCCGCCCTCGACACGCTGGACGAACGCAACAGCTCCCACCCTTGTCACGTTCGCTGTCGGTGGCTTCGACATGCGTACGAGTGGCGCAGACATGACGAAAGGCCTCTTAGGCGTTCCGGGATTGAATGTCTCGGTAGTGACCTCAGGCCTGGGTAACCAAACAACGGCGTACAGCCAGGATGGATGGAAGTAAGTGCTCGACTTTTGTCTCCAGGGCCATTCAGCGACTGAGCTCTATCATAGTGGATTCTATTTCTTCAATGTCAGTTATCCGGTCACCGCAATTTGGCCATCCGTGCCGAGCATCGCCATCATCGTGTCTTGAATGTGAAGAGGGTGCCGTCACTAATTCAACTTCGCTGAAATCAATTATTTTAATGCTGTCCTTATTACGGATACGAGTTGTGTGTTTCGATGAGATGGTATCATAAGTACGGGATGCCTGTTCGGCTTGTTCTCTGATATCACATGTCCATCATTTGTTATGCTGGAAGGCAGTCGCAACACCTCTAGCCTGCCTCGCGACATCATCCCGACCTAGCCGCAAAGCTAAAATAGCACAGTACTCTAGAGATACGGGGAAAGCGTCGTTCATAGTTTCTTTGTATAGAGTCATAGCATTCGCCGAAAGTTTTACAGCTCTGAGCCTGCACGTTGTCGGCGCGGTCGTTAGCGTATGACACGGCAAGCTGGTTGAGAACCTTGGCAAGATCTACGCCGTACGTTTCGGGTGTCGATTCTGCAAGGAAGGTGTATACTTCTGCAGCCTCTACGAGCCAATCGTGCCCTTCCTGCTGCCGTCCGAGATCGATAGATAAGGTATAAACTCTGGACAGATTCAGAGCGAAATCTTGACTGTGCCTATCTGGACGTGCTTGTCTGAAAGGTCGCAGCAGAATCGCTACCTCTTGAGTGACATAGAGCTGTACCAAGTCCAGGTCCAAATTACGATGGCAGAGTCCGCGCAGAGGTGCCGACGTATCTTGACGCAGCAGCCTATTACCGCACATGCGAAACTCGTCATTCCAAGATCTCCGCGCGACTTGTGCTGTCGTCATGTCGGATTTTGTGCTTCGAAGGGATCGGAGAAGATCGAGCGCATCTCTGACGGCATCCTCCTCGTCGAATTCGGAGCTACCACGTTTGTGGTAGTAGACACTGTCTGGGGAGTGATAATAGTCTGTGGTGGCATGCAGAGTGTCACTGTCAACCATCTCAAGACTGTCGAAGAAAGACCCAAGCTTGCGTTCCAGGTACGTCTGATGTTCATTCACATACCATTGAAGCATGAAAGAAATTTGATCAGCGAGAAGCAATAATCATCAAAGTGGACAGACGCACCTCGGCATTGGTCTCCTTAGATATGATATCAGATTGTAAAGCGCGATTCCAAGCGTTTGTAGCTGTCTAGTGACTCTTTCTTCGAGTACCTTTTCTATCTTCTCCATATCGGCTCTCTGACTGTTTGTTATGACTTTCAGGCCTTCTTCTACAACTCCGACCTCTTGCCTAACAATTATCAACATTGTCAACTGTGAAGAAAAGATGCTCATTAGCAGATAAAAACACGGCGCGAGGGTTTCATGCACTTGAATTCTGTGGTGGAAATTCAGCTCCTCCTTCATACGTAAGAGCTCATCTCGTATCGCGCTGCTCTCCCCACACGCAAGCCCAAATGCCAAGATGTGTGCAAACCCGCTTTTCTTTTCTAGCAGCCTTTGGCATCTTGACAGGATTTTCTCCGAGTCTCTATAAATTGTCAGCAGCTCCTGACCTTCGAGGAACAGCCAATTTAAGTCAAGACCTTTGCAAAATTATCAAAGCGTGGCCTGCGAAGGGTTTGATGAATTACGGCTCTGACTCACGTGGAATTCGATACGCCGCATAATATCTCCGTAGACTTCGTTTCCTAGGTACTGGGCATTCCGCCTATTGTCGATAACGTAGGCGGTGTTATTTTCAATACTTCCCAAAGGAGTTCAATTAAATACTAAGTTGTTCACGCACTTTGTCGATGAAAGCTTTGATCTCCTTCGCGATGTCTATAAAATCTTTGACGCTCGATATACTCATCACAGTCCGTTTCTATTATCCACCAATTCCTCAAAGTTCATGAAAATAGCGTCAAGGGGTAGAAAGAGATAAGATTGCCCCTCAGTTTCAAGCTCGAGGTTATATCTGGTTATATATGGCGGGGGCGGAGGCGTGACCCTTGATCGGTACTTTTGATCTGTATTTGATATGATAGATGTTAGAGTGGCTAAATCCTTGTCAGTCAAGTATTGGCAGATAGATCCATATCATCTTTTTAGAGGAACTCATTGATGAACAAGGACATCGGAAATGATACCTCATGTATCTTCTCCTGACCATTCACACCCGCTTTAATGTCAGGACAACACTGTGCACCAAAATTCGATACGACATTTTGGGTCAAGCGAGCGACAGTGCTCAAACACCTGTGCCGTGGTCTATACTCTGATCGCCGTCTCGCAAAATTCTCATCCTTCAATAAACATGGCTTGGAGTCAGCAAATATACAGTCGACATCCATGCTTTTCGAATTGGACTGATGGTACACGCCTCTACTAATCTTTACATCAAGCCTTCATAGGGTTCGCCCATGCATCCAGCCAAGCTTGTCGAGAGGAGATGTCCTTGTGCCATCTGTCCAGAGTGGTCAATCAAACCATATCGGAGGGGTGGTTTTTACGCAAACACGCACCTAGACACATTAGGTCTTCTGTCAAACAGATCGATGCCAGCGCTGGATATCATGGTCGCGTAAGGCAGATGAAAGAGATCCGCAAGCGTGATGGTCTACCACGAGTATGTGAGACATCTTGCACAAGGAAGGCTGCAGAAGACCAACATACCTCGCCAGCGAGGTACTTCCGCTTGGACAAAATCCGATCGTATACTTCGAGGTTAGCATCAAGCTTCGCAATCTGATCAGCGAGGACGGTCTCGTTTGTCTGTCCGCCCAAGACACTGCCCCATAATGAATACGTGTATCATGATATCAAGTATTCCTCGGCGTACGGAGAGACGACTTTCTCAAATGCGATGACCGCCGCCAATGGCTCAAAGCTATTCTGCTCCACACTCGCGGCCTCCTCAAACAGCGCATTTGGTATGGCATCGCGTGGGATTAATGGCGCGTCTGCCTTCGCGTACGTTGTTGCAAGGTAGCGACAAATAGCGCGCGATTCGTATAACACAAAACCATCGTCATCCTAGATCAAGAATCAACGTCATGAATGGGATGATCAAGATGTATTCGGTCGAGAACGCACTATACATGGCACCATCGCGAAGGGATTCTTCTCAACGAATGATGGGGCCTTCTGTTCCTGCTTGAATAGATCGACAAAGACGAACTCATAGGGAACTTCCAGCTCCTTCGCGATGCCGACGACGCGCAGTGTGCATGCCGACTTGTCGTGACCGTAGATCTTCAAGACCATGTCGGGATTGTGGATCTAGGATAATTGTATAGATGGAACTTGACGAGCATCAGGTTCATGTAAGTGTCTTTATAGCGTTGCAAAGCTGCCAACTTATGAACATCAGGCAAGCAACCTCCTAGACCATCGGCCATTTGGCGTCAGCGTAGCGTGCGCCTGGCTTACATAACACCGACATCGGGCAACTTTACCTGTCCGCCAGTGTCGGCCTTCCTCTCGCTCTGATTATCCTACGATCCAGAAGATTGTAGGGATTCGAGATCAAGTGATCGCGATGTTTCACAGCACTGCCAATCTACAGCAATCTACGAAGTCAAAAAGAATGTCATCCACATGCCTTGGTCCCTGAACTTGTCTCCTTCTCTAAAGTTTGATTCTGTCCCAGCGTTACCAAGCATCAGTAGCATTACCTGCTATTACAGGCAATTGCAGGCTCTTGCTCTCTATTATCTGTTGAATATATATCTCCTGGTCAAAGTATGATTTTATCCGCGCCGATATCCGGATGATACCTTCTGACTCCCCTGATATTCCTCAAGTGTGTTATCTATAAATTGATGGTGCATCCCTTTTCTTGAACAAGCCCCAAACCGATACCATCATGACTTTCTCGGATCGACCCAGCCAACAAAGTGCAAGTAAGTGATCCAGGGCCTTGAGCGCTTAGCGCTTAGGTACAAGCTTCCTAGGTTCGTGATCGTATCACAAGGAACAACCTGGAACAACACGAAGCTGATGCAAATCACCTTCAAAATTTTCGAGAAGTCGGCGCGCTTCAAAGTGCGGGGATGATGGGATGAGATCTGCTCAGCAGACGTCGATTTCAGGTCTTCGGAGCCGACATCCAACGGCTTAAGGCGGCTCACTGGCTCTCATTGGCAGCTCATTGACACAGAGCCTCCGTGCTGCACTGCTATACGGGGTGACCAGAGGCCGGATCGCCTGCATATTATGTCTCCAGATGCTGATGCGTCTAGATACCCCCTGTGAACTCAAGATGTGTAATGATCCTCTGCCGAAGTACTCACCTTGGACGATAGCATCACCACGGGCGCTCGTCGAAATTTCAATAACAAAAGCGACATGGGTGCAGGGATATGTGGCTCTGATGGCTATGTCAGTATCTTCGGTTATCCATCCCCATGTGCCCTTTAGCCGACATGGGCGAGTTTACGATTGATCATAAAGCTCGGTGTTGCCTCGTCCGCAAGTTTCTTGCCTTCGCCGCTTTGTACTCTTCTTGTCACTTTGTCGTGAAGTCGACTTGAGCCATCTCTTCTCGATGACACCAAGAGAGGCGCAGCAGCTCCAGCATGCCGGCAGCGTGATTCTGAATAATGCTATCGCTCTGTCTTTGCAGGCATTCTTTTACGGTAAGCACCACGAATTCTTGCCGCATCGTCTTTTTTGCCAATCTTCAATCAGGCGTCTACACTATCCTTATCATTTTCTCCACGTACCATCTCGTGTGAGTTCAATGCTAGTTTCAAACGCCCATCTGCTGAAGATACGCAGACAAAAAGATATGCGATCTCGAGCAAATATCATCATGCTCATGGCTACTCTCGTCATGTTCGCAGTGTCGACTAGCCATGCAGCACTCGACATGGTCATTCTGATCCAGCAGTTTGTGAGTATATTCATCGGACATCCCGATCTACCACTAGCGACAAGATTTATTGTGGCAAATAATGCTGTGATTGGGTATGAAATCGGGCAAACATACTTGTACACGATCAATGTCGGTAGATATCTGTATCTTGCTTTCTACTACCGCAAGCTGATCGGGGTCCTCAGGGAATTTTAAGCGACGCTGTCGTTGTCTGGCGAGCTTGGGTTCTGTGGCAGGATAATCGCAAACTTGTCCTTGCGCCTTTGGTCCTACTATTAGGCAGCCTATGTGAGTTCTTGCTATTGCAGTCGAGACCATCACCTCATTTCTTTCTAGGTATCTTATGCGTGCAGATCGGGTTGCAAACAGCGTCCGATCTCACGGATTCTATTCCGCCGAATGCCTTGAATAAAGTTCGAACCTCCAGTTGGGCGTTGTCTCTTGCGACAAACACAGTCGCCACTTCTTTGATTGGCTATAAAGCATGGTTCGTTCCAATTCCCTTCCAAAGTGCAAGTTCATGCTCAAGTGAGCTTAATTACTAGGTCGCACAGACGCTTCCTGAAAGCTAACCTGAGCCACGGCAGCAGAAAGACCAAAGTCGAAAAAGTTCTTGCGATTCTTGTTGAAACTGGCCTCTTCTACTGCTTACAACAGGTGGGTAATAGTCTCTGAGTAACCGCTGACACCTGATAACTTTGGGGCTTTTTGTAGGCCATTATGATTGGTATGGGGTATATCCCACTTCCTGACAATCCTCGCTCGCCTGTCAGCTCAGTGCTGAACGGCGTCAGTGTACATCTAGCTGTGAGTCTTTGAAGCGAGAAACGCCAGGTTATTTTCTGTAATTGAAAGGATCTTCAGGGGATATATCCTACCATGATCATTGTTCTAGTCAATTTCCAGCGCAGCATCATGGACACGCCGGGTGTTAGTCTGAACGTTAGCGGTAGCGGGACCATGCCAATTGCAAGTCATCTATCATTCGCCACCCCCCCTGCCATGTCCGCTCGGAGTGATATGTTGCCGAAGCGCGGTACGGTTCACTTTGAGCCCCCCGAGAGGACTGGATTTGGCCAGGAAGACTTGGAGCTGGGACCTGCGGCGTTGGAGAAGAGTCGGACAGGTTGAATCCCGTTTAGTACGGTATCACTTTCCTCGGATCGCTGATGCCGTGGAAGCTTTCGTATCGGAATCAATTTCTATTCTATGGTAGAATCTATGTATGGGTAATACTTACTTTCACGACTCGTACCGACAGTAAAACTCCCTCCTCCCTATTCAAACCGTACTATTTCACATGGGACGTTTCACTTTTCACCCTTGCCTCGAAGGGGTCCACCGACCGAGATGTGTACTTCATTTGCGCAAATAGTTCGACCTCGGCTGCCATCATGAATTATGCTCGCGTGATAACAAAGTCAAAATGACTGTCAGAGGATATTACAAAGTTAGCGTTACAAACAAAATTCCCTTTCTCTTCTGAGCTTCGACTTGGGCTGATATCGAGTTTGTATCCCTCCATCAATTCTTCACATGCACGGGTGCCTCGCTTCCCTAAAGTCAAAGCGTTGGTCAATGTATGTAAATGTAACGACATCGAGCCAAAGACACCCCCAGGCAATATGGACTCACGCAGCACGTGTTATTGTAAATCGCAAGATATGAATAATATATACATCAGAGCAGCCGCAACCGGGAGGGTCTTCGCAACACTGTTACCACAGCGGAGGTGCGTGTGCGTTAGTATGCCCGCGAATAGCCAGGGCGGACCGCCGTATCTGCACCCCAGGATATGGTGACTCACGTTCTGGCGAGAAATAAGCTCGTCTCTCACGCTCCGAACGTGCTCGAATGGGTTCGGAGTTGCGACTAAAGCCGTAAGGAAGATGAAAGACGCATGGTGCGAGGATAACGAATACTATATCTGGAAGCTGGTCGATTTTCTCGAAAGATTTGAGCAAGGGACAAGTGGGAGACGATGTGAATCTCATTTGGTTCCAACTACTCTTTGTTGCACCAGGTTCAGCGCCTCCGTTGGCCTGCTGACCCTCAACCTCTCCACGATGTCCTGATTCTGGAACGATGGTGGAGTATCATGAAACCAAGGACCGAGCGCCACGGGACGCGCATAGGTTGCTGCTGAGCTGGGGAATACCTCTGCTATTACCGTGGTCATATGAACCAGTGACTGCACCTGGGATTCCGACTTGTGCGATAAGGTGTTTCTCTATATAGCACTTCTTTGATTCTCCTGACATGTGAAGCACCAAAACAATCTACATATTCCGGCCATTTCGTCACCCCACTACAACGATAAGTATTCATAGTATGATGATCAAATCATGGCACGCACCAAAGTGAGGTATACCGAAGCATACTTTCGAGCCAAGATCATCAGTACTCAAAAGATGCAGCTCGAGTTGGTGAATCATGCTCTGAAGTCTATTACAAGTGTTCTCTACCTCATAGACTGCAAGAGCCGATACAATCGAAAGAAAAGGGAGTAGAATATCTTGCATAAGTCACAAGTGGCGGCGAGAGATGTTACTATGACCCTAACCTTGAATTCAGGTCTGGACCCATCATTGCATCTGGTGGCAGCATTTTTCCAAGTCGCGACAACATGTCCAACATCGAAGACGAGCCTGGCCTCTCTCTTGACTCGATTTTCGTTGCAAGTCCTATCATTCACAATCTGAATACTCAGCGATTCACCCACTTCTCAGGAGCCTGAACGTCCTCCATCTCCTGATCCAACCTTCTCAACGTATACTCGCAAGCGTGCGCTGAATAAATTTGATTGGGAAACCATCGAGATCCGCTTGGTCGGAAGTCATCCGCTCTGGGGACACTACTTGAAAGTTACACATATCCCCTCCTTCTCGTATCCGTCTCGTCCCTAATCTTGAACAGCAGATGGAACGCATCCCGCTCCTTCGCGTCCTACCTTGATGAGCATCAGGAGCTATACCACGATCGTTGCGTTTTGGAGCTCGGTGCAGGTGGTGGACTTCCTGGAATCGTGGCCGTGAAGAACGGCGCTCGCAAAGTACGTCGGCGACCGGATCATTGTAGCAGCTCTCATACTTCACTGGCTTTTACTATAATAGGTCGTGTTGACAGATTACCCCGACACCGCACTTATTGACAACCTTGCTTACAACGTCGAGCGCAATACAGATTCGACAGCGCGCTCAAAGGCGGATGTCCAGGTGCGGCTTGTCATTAACAATAGCTTCGCAGGATTCGACCGTTGAGATAGGTGTAGGGGTATATATGGGGACATGCAGTTGCACCGCTGCTGAGCCCCCTTCAGGACACGTCGAAAACGTCTGCCTCTCAGCAAAAGTTTGACTTGATCATCATGTCCGATCTCGTCTTCAATCATTCACAGGTGCGTTGTCTCCATTTCTTGTTGGCTGATTTCTAATCTTATCACCTCATAGCATGATGCCCTTCTGAAGACCTGTGCTCTTTGTCTTTCGTCAACCCCATCTCCACCACCGGTTGATATGTCTCCTTGCCTCATCGTGTTCTATACACACCATCGTCCCCATCTTGCCGAGCGCGACCTCGACTTCTTCCGCAAGGCCCACGATCAAGGGTGGACATGCGAGGAAATCATCACGGAGCGATTTCCTGTAAGTTTCGCACACCTAATATGAGGAGACATATATACTCAATAATCATGTCTATGCTCTGATTCCATCCGGCAGCCGATGTTCCCTGATGATCCAGGAGACGAGGAGGTCAGAGCAACAGTGCATGGATGGAAGCTAACTCGACACGCGCCTTGATCTTGATGATCAACACCACAGATCAAAAAATATTCTTGCTTCTGTTCTTGATGTCTCATGGCATTTGCCATCTAACCCTGTGCTTGATATGAGATGGAAGCAAGTTTGCGCTGGACTGGAGAGTAGCGCCGGGCCGGCGTGGCCGCACTGGCTGGGCTTCCCGATGGGGTCTGACGCAGAATTGTCGGTGCCTATGCATTGGCCAGGGGGTTGGCGTATTCTCGTGTATATTTACAGTATGCGATGGGTCGTAACGAATCCGGATGCAACAGATAGCGGCAATCCTCAGAATGTAACCAAGAAAAAAAGATCGGGCAGACGACAAGAAACTTGAACCAAGCACGTTACCTCACCGTCCCGCTTTTCGCATTGAGGACCTGAGCTGACCAAGCGTCCTGCGCTCGAGCGCTTCCAGCGTCATCGCATTGCCCATGTGCAATGCCAGTACGTCTATCTCGTCATCGGCTCTGCTGCGGCGCTCGGCAAGCGACTCGGCAAGCGCGCACACGTCTCTGCGAAACATATCTTTCCGCGCTGTCGTGTGTCGCGCGAGGTACTCGTCCAGTGGCAAGAATGAGTGGCGCTGTAGACCCTCGGCGACACGCATTCGTGCGGCTGAGGCGGACGTTGTTACATATGTAAGTATCATAGCTGATGTGAAAGGAAAGCGTACGTACTCAATTCGCTGTTCTTCATCACGACCCAGAGATGCTCAGGCGCTGGCCACAGATCATCTGGATACTTTGTGTTGTGTTCCACGAGCATTGCAAGTGCACACCGTAGGATCTCCCTACAGTGTAACCCACCGCGCTCATCAACGCCGACACTGCCGAACGGCGAGAGACTGTCGACGACGAACGTCCGATCTATCGCACCATGTATATCAGGAGCATGCTTAAAGAGCGAGAGTGAGGTCATCGCGTACCTGGTATTACCCATTCGACCAGCCAAGCACCGCAGAGCATGGAATTGCTCGGAAACAATACCGTCGAGCGCCGCATGTTATACGCTAACCACTGGTCCGCACGCTTTGTGTCCTGGCTGGTCTGGGCCCACTCAGGCGTAGACTTGTCTCGCCGCGTACGTATTTTAGCCCAGGCAAACGAGACGAAACGGCGATGGTTCGGAGACTTTGGCGGTTTCGTAAAAAGCTCACGACCAGGAAAGCGCTGATAGAGAATGGCAACTTCGATCTCGGCAAAAGTTTTCAATTCGTTCTGATGTTCTAGAACCTGGGACAGAAATTAGGGGCAGTGTTGAGCGTTTGTGACATGAAAAACAGGAAGTTGAACCGGGCACATAATGTGTTTACCTCGGGTACTGCTAGGCGCGAGAGAACATGTTCACGCCACATTTGCTCACAGCACTCTAACAGCGAAGGTAGTTCTTTTGCATCTTGGAGATCGGTGGGGGCCTCCCATGTTGCCATCTCCATGTCGCGTGTCCCCAGCCTGACTTGCAGAGCATGAATGAATCCCCGTGTTGTCCTTAGACTTCGCGGCCCATGACACGCACCTTGCATGTGAGAGACTGCATGTTTTACGCCCGCCGCTAAATAGCTCTTTGCAGCGCCATTTACCAATTACTCCGCGGGCGGAGGTTCCACCGCAATTCGTACACCTGTCCACTCCAGCATTAGCGGGATAAAAACATGTCATGCAAGAAGACACTCGCCGTCTATACTTCACTGAGCACGAGAGGCATATCATCTAAGAACTTGAGTGAGCTGAGGGTCTGTTCAGGACAAGTTCGAGAGTGATCACCTCTGCGGTGAATGAGATAGTAGTGCGTTCCCGTGCAACAAACCCACCATGGCCCTTGATGCGCATGCACACGTCACATGCCGCAGGCGCGTTAGTGTCCTCCATTTCGTTTGTTCGCTTGCGCGACACCCCGCTAACGATCCCTGGCTGACATCCGAGGCAGCGATAAACCATATCGTGAGCGGCTGCGAGCTCCTCTTTGGACCCACGAAGTATCATCTTGGCCATGTGCATGCCACATTGGGTACATATCACGTCCTTTTCCTGTATCACTTTGCCCAGTCGTTTGCGCACGCTACCCTCAGCACTTGCCGATCTCTGAGGCTGTGGCGATGAGCCCTCGCTCTGCTCTTCATCTGCGGTAGCAAGCTCTCGAAAGGCTGGTTGTGACGAACCTGCGCTGGGACTCGAAGTGTTCGAGTAAGCGGGAAGGACACCTCCAGGATAAAAGCCATTCAATACATCGTCTACAAGCGGGTTGAACCAGATCTCCGTGGATTCGTTGGTATTGGATAGGTTGGGCGTCATGGTGAATTGAGACATGAAGGTACCCTGAGAAGCATCAAGAACAGCGCCGAGTTGCATGGGGTCTGGATGGACGGCGAACGTGGGTGAAGTCCATGCCTTGTCACGCGATGTCGATACGACCGCAGCTGAGTTAGTGTGCCTAGCTGGCGCGGATGTAGCAGTATTACTGAGCTGTGCGAGCGCGAGCTCGGCCTCGCGCTCTTTCCTCCGCTCTTCGCTCTCGCGGCGAGAGGCCTCAGCGATTCGAAGCTCAAGCTCTCTGATTCGACGCGTCTCTCGGAGGAGTTCGAGCTGGAGCGCCTGCTCTGCGAAAGAATCAACGTTGACGGCGGCTGAGGAGTCAAGTGGCAGCGGATGGTTGGGCTGTATCAGTGGTGCGGAGGAGAAAAGTGTATGCTGCGGGTTGTTATGGAGGTCATTATGCGAGAGCTGGGCATAAGACGAATTGCCAGCTGACGCGTTTTCGGCGTATACATCGCTGATGTAGGGATCCATTGAGCCTCAGGCTGCTGGGGGTACTGGGAGGGTAATTAGTAGGTCAGGTTGCGAACTTGTTTTATCTGCGAAGTGCAGAGAGCACAGCTTCAGCTTGTTCTCCGCATCGAACATCGTTGACGCCCAAACCAGGGCTTAAGCCGGATGGTAATCACCGGCATCTTCCGGCGAACCATTTGTGATCGACGTCTGGCATGGTTCTCGGGTCACTAGCAGTGCTTGTATTCTCAACGAGTCTAAAGGGATACTAAAGCGAGGGAGGATCGCGACTACGATTACACCAAAAGGCAAAGGCAATGCCCAGGTAATCCACACATCACTCCGTGTGGGTCATTCACAACCAGGCACTTGTACTATCCGAACTTGTAGTGTCAAGGTTGACGAAGAGGAATGGAAGGGCATATGGTCGTCTTAGGAGTAACGTATGACGGGTAGTACTCGTCCTAGAGGTTGGCGCAGATAAACAGTACCGGAGGGTCAGAGTAGCGACTTGCGAGCGCCCCGCTATGTCCAGCATCCGCGGCGTGTTTCATTCTGCCACGAAAATAGCGGCCCATAATCTCTAGGTGTAAGGCCTTGTTTGTTACTTCTGCACCCAGGAAGGTGATAATAGAGTCAGTGGTCCCGCCATCGTTTTCCGCGTTTCCGCGCCACGGGTTCGATGCTTGGGACACTCACAGTTGAGCTTGGTCGGTCGTGAAGCCAATTTTACGGGGTAAAGGGTTATCCGCCAAAAGGCCCCAGAAGATTTTCATCAAGCGGCGAATCATTCCGAAGAGGTCCATTGCGGCACTCAATACGGGTATGACCAAAGAGTGCGAGATTTTACAGCATATACAGGGAGGTGTACGCACAGTAGAATGTTCTGATTCTGATGTCACACGCCGCGCTGATAAACCCCATGTGGGGGCAACGGCAGACCGAGAGCTTCGCTGCAACGTCGACTACTCCATGTATAGTCTTGGAGACATTGATGAAGATCTTTTCTCAAAATCAGTGCGCGTTAGCACGTGGGTTATGCTATGCACGCGGGATTTAGGCTCTATCTCACTGGCGTGAAGCAGTGCCCCCTCCTTCAATCTTGGCTTTGAGTAACTCTTCATAAAAACATTTGTTTCGATAAACCGAAGGTAAGCAGAGGCCAGCGTGATAAAAGCTCCGCATGCCAGTGAAGTTTTCGGATGTTCATGGACAGAAGGAGTTAGAGCTGATCACGACATAAGTTTCGTGGCCAGCGTAAGGATCCATATAACTGCTCAGAAACAAGGCGTCTGAAGCTTCCATGCTTAACAAGCGTACGGAAAGCTTAGCTTGGCCTCTCAAATGCAAGGTAGCCAGAAAGAGACTCGAGCAGTACTCGAGCGTGCCACATCAGCGGTCGGCAGCCATCCTTGAAGCATTCTTGAAGCTCGATGTCAGATGGCCTGGCCACCGCTGACCATTCGAAGATTGGGCGATCATGAAGTAGTTAGTGATCTCCTTGCTGTATTCTCCAGATGTCTCTTTGAATCTTTTCCTCGTTGACTGATGATTGATCCATCATCCCAGAACTATCCTAGACTATGCGCCTTCTCAGCGCAGCAGTAGCAAATTCATATGAGCGGAGAACGTTTGACGACATAGCTTTCATTGCGATCGATGTCCTGTACAGTGCGTACTGTGATGGTGGCAAAAGCTGATTCAAGCTTTGCAGGGCATGTGCTATTTTTAGACGAGCACTGCCGCCGGCTTCTTGAGTGCATGTTTCCCTTTTGGGAACGCGTTTCCACTGGATCTCGTCCTTATCAAAACCCTATCCCCATCACTCGTGGTATTCGACTTACAGCATCACGCTGGCTGCGTTGAAATCCTCACTTGATAATGAGGGACGCTGATCCGCCTGATACATCTCGGAATCTCATCTAAGCCCAGAATCTCATCTATACCCAGCTATAGAAGGTGCATCTAGTCTCATCCTCGTTCAACGCGTTCTTCCGCCTGGCGCTCTTCGATCCGATCGCGTCAGGACGTTCATCTCGAAGAACGTCTCGAATTTGCAGAAGGGAGATGGTACAGAAATACAATTGTACTTCCGGGATTCGTCATCAGGGACACACAGCAGGCAACAAGAAGGGACTGAAGTGGGTTCTGGATAGCGCACTTTCCGTTCTCTTTCACCGTTTGAGGGGAATATCGATAACACAATGGGGTGCGCCGAAGGTCATCAAGAATGTGTTATGTAAGTGTAGAAGAACCTTGGAAATAAATGACGAGGGAAGTAGCTGTGGCACAATAAACCGCCGAGAATGGTGAATCAACCACCAGCGCCCAATAGGTTAGCAAGACCAAGGAAACAGATATGAGCGTGATACGACCATCACTCATATACCTTGACCCATGGAAACTCGAAGTAAGCGTTGACAAAAGCGCTGGGGTTGTTATTTACATAGTCTAATGGGAGTGTGATAAATGTAGTATAGCGTAGTGTAGGGTACCGGACAGCACTCACCAACGCATGTGCTCGGGCAACCCGAAGAAGCATAAACGTTCCCTGCCCAGTCGCCACCTGCGAAGGCATTCCAAATTTATCAGGCAGCTGAAGAGGAGATAGCTGCCGTCACTCACAGAAAGTGAGATTGATGATGATGTTATTTGGCCCGAAGTGCGATGAGATGTCACAGCTCGTATTCGGGAAGTATGCGTCCGGTGTCCCCTTTGTGCGCGAATTAGCGCATATGGCCTAATTCAGAAAAGAGAATGGGCCGCGGTCCTCACCCAGTTGCCAGTATTTACAGAGCTTGCGCCGCTGGAGACGTCGCTGGGAACACTGCCATCGTTGCGTGCCCAGAACCACACCTTTATGAAGCTGTTTGTGCGCTCGATTGCGTACCTGCGAGCGGACCGTGAATGCGGATTACTACACGCAGAACGCCGAAGGCCACGTACCAACCACCCCCATTTTTGTTAAAAGAAGGTCCATAACTGTTTGCATCGGTTGTTTGCACCCCACACCCAGCGTTACTGTTGACAGCAACGTTGCAGTCGTTCTGCAATGGATTGCTGCAGGTGCGGGGATCAGCCTTCTCCATTGAGAGACTCGGCGGTAGGGAGGCTTTCCGCCGAATGGGACAACGTACCCCGTTTCTAAGCGAGACGCTGGCATCGTGCATCCTGAGGGATGAAAAGGCACGTTGAATTTTAGTAGAGGGCGCGAAAGCTGCGCAATTACCTGAGCTGGTGTGCAACGTGGAAGTGTTCGGTGATTCGTCGTTGACGCCTTCTACAATGTCAACTTCTCCCTGATGACATTCCACAGGTTATCCGTACGGCATCGCCACATTTGGCTGCACTTACCCCATTTGGCCAGTTGTCTCCAACCTCCCAGATGGCAGGCCAGGTGCTGGCAGAAGTCATAAGGTGCCTCGGATCGGGGAAAAGGTTTCGGGGAAAGGCTCAGTTGGGAAGGAAATACTTACCCGCATCCCTCCGGCATGTGCTCTACATTGAATCTGGAGGTTCGCGATAGAAGATGAAATTAGTCCCACTCCGCACATATGCATGTCGAAGAAAGCTCACACAGCGACATGCGTGGTGTATTGCTTGTTCGACTGAATTCTGAATGAGTTGCGCCCCGCCCCGCTTGAACTCAGAACACTGGTATCGTCAGCGCGGAGGATGAAGTTGTTCCCTGATACAGTGGCTAGACCATCACTCTGCGCAGTCGATTTGGAGACGTAGTTACTGCGTGGGCACAGTCTACGATTAGTAATTCTATTTGATGGACCAAAGACACTCACACACGGCCGTGTGTAGGATCCGCTATGGCTTCGAAAGAGAAATCGTTGAAAAACGCGCTGCCCTGGAAATTGTCACTCAGAGAATACAACGCCGCAAGAGCACGACCAGATAAGAGCACAGAGACAGCAATAGTCGAGATAGAGATAAATCGCCACATTTAGACAAGGGGGGAGAGATCGGAGAAGGGTAAAAGAGTGGACAAAGCACTCAAAATACCAGAATGAGTAGAGGGTATATATACCATATTCGAAAGCTAGAATGAATCTTCGAATCGTTCAAAGAACCAACGACAGATGATGCGATGGGTGGTCATATTCTGCGGAGGGACCATGGGAACGACTTTGAGATTTCTTCGGAATCATGACAGAAAAGGGAGAACGAGCTCAAAGTGCCAGGTGGTAGCAGTATCGATGTATACGGGCGCACTTCATGATCATCCAAAAACGAGGCGTCAGGCCCAAAGATGGAAGTCCGGTTGCACACAAACGCCTCCGCCAGGTCAACTATCCCGGCGGATGCATACATAAGAAATGGGGTATGTCCCGAGACAGCCGAATCGATTGCAAGTATGCATGTGGGACCAAGCTCCCGCTGGCATCTGGCGTATATCAGCTGCTTGAAATTTCCGGTGTCATGAGCCCATGGAGCGCTTCACCGAAGGAAGGAGGGTCAGTAGACGCACTTGACAGCCGAAGTTTCCGATTATAGCTTGTCTTGTGTGTACGCAGAGTGCTTGCTTGGAAGAGGCAATATGCTTTCAGAGCGTGTTCAATCCTATCGGACATAAGTTGATGGTGGCAACAAGACGTCGGCGTCGAATTTCGATGATTTATTGAACGAAAGGGGGAGATAGCAATCGATACGATGAATGCGATCCCGCACCTATTGACCACCAGAATGCGGCGCTCCGTGCTGAACCCTACATCATCTTTGCCAATATGACCGAGATCAGTCGCAAGGTTATCTCATAGAGGTCAAATGATCTGGAAGCAGATATCGCAACAGGACCTGAGCATTCGAGAGGGACTGCCCCGATGGCAGCGCCGATTCGACATCAATGTGAGCCATCCGCAGATACAACCTTGTGACAAGAGCTGGAGATACTGTAGTGAGCAGGTGATCCGAGCAAGCATACACTAGATACGGAGAGAAACGTCCCTTTTGAAAGCCATTGGGAACGCCGAGAATGCAATCGTCGAAATGGCAGTCGCAATATGAGCTAGTCCCGCAAACACGTGACTGAGCTCTTGTGTCATGTTGTTCGAACTGCTTTTCGTAACGGAAGTCCGATCTACAAACGATCCTACCCATTTATAGGTGGTGTAATGCTGCAAACAGATTTAACTTTCTGTCGGTGTGGATGGTGGGGACTTGGAAGCTCGCGGTATGTCACTGGCGAAATTTGCGTGGATGAGGCGCGATGACATTGACATCGATTCTGCCATCTCGTTCCCACAGGCGCGTGGTGGTATTACTTCCATTCTATGTCTGGAAGGCATGATAATGTACGGCATTCTCCTCCGATGTCCATCGCGTCTATCACAAGCATTGCGTAGGTCAAGTGCCCACCCATACTTCTCTCTCTCCCTCTCCAGCCTTTATCGGACCGATAGATGGTCACGCCTTGGCTGAACCACCACCCGACTTCTGCCTACGAGAAGAAAGAGGTAAATAGAAAGAAAGAAAATAGTCGAGGGAGACATACAGCTGATACCAGCTAGCAACGAATGGGATAGAAAAACTTCCTCCCCAGAAGGCTATGAACTTGAGAGCAAGTGTTCTCTTATTAGAGTAATCGAAAGGTATGCCCTATCACACGCGAGACGATAAACTGGTGAGTTGAAGAATTCCACAAGGAACATAAGGAAATCATACAGAGTATTTCTTACTGCCAGTACTGAGCAGCCTCTTGTGGATGACCGCCGCATGGTGCGGAGCGTGTGTGAGGCGTGTGAGAGCAGTAGGAAGACGCGTAAATGACGAAGACATTATGGTAAGGATGATGTATCATTATAACGCGCTCCATCCCTGGTTTTATACGGGGTGGACTGTCGGAATTGGGGGGAACGCGCCGTATGCACACCGTACACGGAATTCCGTGCAGCCCCGATATTAGCATCGAGACTGTTTAGCGCATCAGGCTAACGTTTGCCGACAGTCCAGAATGGTCTTGATGTCGCCCAGAACGCGCCACATACGAAGTATGCAAGTGATTCCAGGGGTTGTAGGATGCCAAAGGGTACGTTTTCGCGATGATGCTAGATTTTCAGGTAACTTGCAGTAAATAGGAAGCATGGTCCTAGTAATTCAAGAAGCATAAGAGCACCCATGTATCCGGAGGCCATTGAAATGGCCTCGGTAAAGGTTTCGAGACTCTGAAAGACGAGATGATCGAGGTCGAGAGGTGAATCACTCCAGACGCGTTCTGGACATACCTAGAACCAGTTGGCGTCTAATATCCTGCACTGGTATCGACAAGCCATCTGAGTCTTTCCTGAAATACTGTCTAGTTTTTTATATGATGAGCTATACGAGGTTGTGGATGCCATTGCATGGCGATGTAGATGACGATGATGAAGTGAATCGAGAGGAGGATCAGCCGATGGGGATGGCCTTGGAGAATTTAAGGTCTTTGGCGTGTTTACAGATCATAATGACATCGCCGCGTTAGCGTAGTGGTTATCGCATCCCACTTGTAGAATCATCTGCATGGGAAGGTCACTCGTTCAAACCGGGTACGTGGCACGTTCTCCTTTTGTGACTTTCTCTTATCTTGGGCTAGCAATTCAAAGTCCAATTCCGAACGTGTGTATCTCGACATCGGTGCCAAATTGGCTGAATTGATTTTTGGGACTTTGATGCTGATCAACACCACAACACAACGAGGAACATGGTGGGACCCATGTAACACGCATCTAGTAGTCACATCTATGCATTGCAGTCTCTTGTTGATTTAATAACCGCGATGCTTCTGCCGTACCCCCACAGTCACTACAGATAGCTGCAGATGGATTCGCGAGGAAATGCTGGTCCAGATCCTTCGCTACAATCATGGAATCAACACGTCCAACATCTTTGGGGAGACAACGCAAGCTCTGCAGATCGCATTCAAGCAAAAGCTTCGCATCCGTCACATATACGTTGTTAGTGAGACGATGTGCTGCTGTAGCGTGTGTAGGACATAGGACATTTGCTGCCTCACTCATCCTTACTATACTTACATGAGCGAGGAATACAAGAGAAGAGAGTAAATGGCCCGGTCTGATCAGCGCCGGAGATATCAATTAACGAAGAGTTCATTCCATTGCATTCTGTCCTGTCCTGGCGCTGTTGATGATTCACTTCCAGGGCGCTCTGGATCACCTGAACTTGTTGACACTGTCAAGGTCCGGTATGGACTACATGATTCCACGCTAATTGAGTTTTTCACTGACCTATTTGTTCTACGACCATCTTCTCGCGTGCCTCTAATCACCGCTCCTGTGGGTTCTCTCTTTCAGAGATTTTTTCGCATTAAGAATTTCCCCAGTCTTTGACACTATCGAGGTCGGGGTTCTGTAATATATTGACAACAGCATATATGACAAGGCAGGGTCGAGTCCTGCTCTGAGTTTCCTCATTACCAATCCCACATTCCAAGCACCGATGAGTAACCTGTAGACAATGTGGATATTACCTATAAACCTACAATATGATCCTAGTCGAATAAATATTTGTTTTCGGGCACGACCAACTCGTGCTACTCAGAACTGGCAGCCTCCATGATCCTTGGTATCTTGTTGAGATGTCTTGCTCTCATCCTCTCGAGACCTTCCAGGGTGATCGCCTTGCCCAGGTACCTTGCCATCACACTCAACTCCTCATCTACAACGAGACGCCTATCCACAGATCGCGCGATACTGGAAGCTTCTGCGCTGAACATGCGGCGCGTTGTGTCAGGGTAGCGTGTAAGGTATTCCTCGATGGGAATAAAGCCCAATCGCCGCTTGAGCGTTTCCATCAGCCGCTGTCGGAGGGCTGCAGACACGGTGTAACGTTAGTGGGACAAGCTTTTAGGTTGCCTACTAATATGGCTGCTCACTATACGGACTTGACTTGATGGCAGCCCAGAGATGTTCTGGAGGATGCCATGGGTCGTTCGGGAAGTCAGCATTGTGCTGCATGATTTCGTTCAGTATGCGTTGGAGAATTTCGCCGTAAGAGAAGGTGCTGCGATCTTCGACATCGCCGTAGTCGAACGGCAATATCGTTCCCATGAGCAACGTGCGATCTGAGGGAGTTAAAAAGTGATGTTAAGCACCACGATAATCACTAGTGAGGTATATAGACAACGCACCTGGAACAACCCATTCAGTGATCCATGCTCCGCACAAAATCGAGTTTGCAGGCATTAGCACGTTCGACCGACGAGTGTTGTATGCTACCCACTCGTCCATGGACTTTTCCTCCTTGCTTGACTGCGTCCATTCTGGCTTGCTCTTGTCGCGACGCGCACGAGCTTTCGTCCAGGTAAGAGCAACATAGATATGATGCCCTGCACTCTGAGGGGGATCCGTCCACAGATGACGAGCTGGGAACTCGTGCTTAATTATCTTTTCTTCAATGTCGGCGAAAGTTCGGATTGCATCCTGGTGCTCGAGGACCTATACTTTAAAATTCAGCTTCGTGGAGGGTGCTAAGACCAGACGTGCCGACCTCTGGAACCGCGAGCTTGGCATAAAAATGCTCTCGCCTCATTTGTTCGCAGGCTTCTTGAAGCGCGGGCAGTTCCTTTTTTCCTGCTACATCTTGTGGTATCTCCCAAACAGACAGCTCCATGTCCCGTGCACCAAGCCTGGCATAGAAATGTTAACGCATGAAAGCGTCATAAGTCGAGTTCGAGCTTACCTAGCATGCGAAAGGCGACATGTCTTCCGATTGTCGTCAAATAGCTCCTTACACCTCCATTTGCCTATACCGCCTTTTGTAGATCCTCCTCCACAGTTGCTGCACCTACTCGTCATCAGCACAAATTAATTCCAAAGTGTCAGAGCGAGTACCGTTTATATTTCTCTGAACATGGTATACAGATAACCTGTCAGGAAAATCAGACATTGTCAAGCGATCAGCCGCATAGACGTACTTCGACGGTGAACATCAGCGGCGCCTTATCACGGGCGATGAAGCCTCCATGACCTTGCACCCGAGTGCAGACAGTGCACACGGTGGGAAGCGCGGTGTCCTCGACCTGATTTGTCCTCTTCCGGCTGGACTGCGTCGACTGAAGGGGAAGACACTCGTCACACTGATAGGACATGTCATACCGCACGTCCAGCTCGGAACGCTCGCCGCGTAGCTGAAGATGGCACATCAGCTTGTGACAAGACGCACAGTGCGCCTGATGTTCTTTCACGAGCCGGATAGTCTTTTTCTTGCCACCGAGATTCGTGGAAGAGGGCGCAGAGACTTCTGATGGCTGAGGAACGGTGTTCAAAGTCGCAGACTCGTGGAGGGTGGAAGTTTCCATGGGAAGATATGAGGGAAGAGGGATCTGTGACGTTGATGGGACGAGAGTCGAGGGCGTGCCGAATCCAAACAGGTCTTCCATTGAAGGATTGAGCCAGTTAAACTGTTGTGGAGTAGACGATGACGTTACGTGAGGAGCAGAGGTAGCGCGAAGATGAATCTCTGCTAGTGCGAGTTCCGCCTCGCGCTCTTTGCGACGTTCTTCGCTGTGCCTCCGCTGTTCTTCAGCGATTTGAAGCTCAAGCTCTCGAATGCGACGAGTCTCCCGCAGAACCTCTAGTTGGGTAGCCTGGTTCAAAGGCCGAGGCGAGTTGTCCGAGACGGGCTGCGAAACGTGACCTCGGATCGGCGGGGGAAAGTAAGCCTCTACTGGCGGATTATGCTGAGCAAAATCCTGGACACCACGAGAATCAAAGTGGTCGGATCTAGGCATTGGTGCGTCATGGTGTGCTGGAGACGGGTAGGGAGAGGGGTAGGCATGTGGGTCGACTGAGGGCATCCCTAAGGAAGGCTCTGTGAAAAAAGAAAGTTCTTGGGGGACATGACGATTGTCGGGGTGAATGTCATAATCGCTACTGGTACCATTCAAAGCGTCGTTGGGCACATAGAAGTACTGTTCCATGGTGCACGGCAGAAGGCGCAGTTAGTGAATAGTTAAAGACTAGAGGAGAGAGCTGACGGAGGATCAAGTGATATGTAAGACGTTTTCCGTCGACACTCATGAATCAAAGGGTGTATGGATTGACCACAAAAACTGGCTGCTCCCTACAGTCATCGACACCGTGACTAGCTTGCACCTTGCGGCAGTCGATATTTGGATCCGGATGACAGCCAGCGCCGAACTGCGCCGAACGCGGGAAACAGACCCTGGTATGTCACGCTCTGTCACACAGGCGTTAACCAACATCGTCGTATCCTCACGCTGCCTTCGTCCCTTGTTGCTTCATCTTCCTTTCTTTCGCGTCAGGCCAACAAGCCATACAGTGTCTATGATAGAGTATTAAGCCTGCTTTTCAATCATAACCAGTTGCCCCCTGCCTTCACACCTTGTGATGTCACCGCTTTGGCGCCTGCCGCAGTCTACTATCTTCGAAACGGTCAGCGCCCCAGTCGTTCACTAAGCTGTAGGCTACTCGGCGAAGCAAAAGTGAGCTTGTGCTGTACATCTATAAGAATCGATAGCTCGCAAGTCCTAAAAAGCATTCTCCTATCAGGCATCCATCTAGGGGGCCTCGGAATAAACTCGTCCATGCTTTCCAGCTTGCCGTTTTGAACTATAGGGCTATTGCCTAGTTTATAGTCTTCTTGGTAAGGTCGGAGGAGCCCTGTGTTTATCTTACAGCGGCGCGCCTCCCTTGAGTCTGTACGTAGCTTGTCTGTGGATGTCATGTCTGTCATCACTTATACTTTCGGCATTCTTTGCACAGGAAACCGGTAGAACCCGTGACGCTGGTGCAGGGTGTCTCGGAGATCAACGAGCCCGAAGCTCCCAGACTTGTGTACGCCTTCAACAACGACGTTTGAAGAAATGCAGGCACTTGGACTACATCAAATAACTGGAGCCATATAATAAGTTCTACGTGCTGATTGTTTTTTCAGTATAACATAACAAGACTCCCTCATAAGACCGCTATCGATCACAGCGTCGGTTCATTCACAAGGAAGGCATGTAGTGATCACAGTAATTTTCGTATGTTACAGAAGACGATTATCCATTTACGTTTGATGAATAGATATCGTTCCTGTGACTATCCCCAAACAGTGAAGGGGGTTTGATATCATAGTTCGCCTAGCATGACCAAATATGTAGCACTTACATGAAGGTGCCTTTTTTTTTGAAACCATTAGAGAGAGCCTGTCCGATTTGATGTTAGGATCCAATGCTGACACAGTCGAATAACTATGCAGGTGCCTAACGGAGAGTGAACGATCGCGTGAGTGCTTGATTATATATGCTTTCTCGTAACACTGTGGATGAAGCTCTTATCACACGTTGAAGCTCGCATCCGCTGTCCAACGCGAAGACAGGTATTGCGCTGGTAAGCCCGGCATCACCTTATCTAGGCAGGCAATTCATCTTCATTGGGGTCCTTCGTGCCAGCATATTTACGGCGCTGACGATTCTCACAACGAACTTGGCAGACGAGGCATAGACTACATGGTAACTTGCTGGCCAAGCTAAGACGAGATTACTGTTGCGTGGGACTTCAGGCCTTCAGGGGTTCAAGAGCCATGGAAAGGCCGCCAACCAGATTCCGGGAATCTCTAGAGGTGAGGACTTCCCCCCTGGAGGCGAGCAGGAGATGAGATCATACGACAAGCTGTTGCTTAGTAATTTCCAAATTTCGACGGCCCTGGCATTGAGGCATCTGAGTGGTTGGTTCAGTACGGAAATGAGATGAGGTATATGACGGGCATCCATGATGCATCGCAAGGTGCGGAGCTCTACTCACTGAGCGCGAATTCTCGCGTACTACATTGCACTATCGCAGGCCGACACTGGCGAATACTTATGGTATCATTCACGAATCCACAATCGCGGACGAGACAATAAAGAAGCATCACCCCACATCCCGCATCCTCGTCACGAACGTGAGAAGGACTTCGCTTGGGCTTCCCTTAATAGTCGGACGGAGGCAGAGTTATGGCGATTTACGTGATGCACAAGAAACGTAGATCAAAGGAGTTCTTGGGCGTCCATACTTCCCGAACGGCTGTACATCTCCATCAATAGATGGCATGCAATCTTGTTGTTCAAACGTTGTCGTATGTACTTGGTGAGTCTTCCTCTACGAAAATGCGGAAGCATCAAGGCCGTATGCAGGGAGGTTTTTGCGCTTATCGTATCAAGAAACTATTTTGAAAAAATACGTATATGCTTGATATACCCTAAATGAGCTAAAATTCAAACTCGATATAACTAACTTATCACCCGATGTATAAGTGCTTAGATATCATCCCTACTTGTCTTCGCCGCTTCGGTCTGTCATCCTTTCCCTGTGAACGTTGCGAACGCTGTCAATGATCTACAACTTCTCTTGACTGGACATCATTGTCTTGAAACTCGACAGCTCATAGTCCATTGATCAGCTCAAACAGACCAATGCCTCTCAAAGAAAGGCGAGAAAATATTGGCTATGATTTACATGCCGTTATGCTGATGCGGTCGTCAAATAGCAGTATCATAGGACCTCTGACCCAATATCTGCAGCAGGCCATCATGATCTCCGTTCTCGCTTGTATCGCGATTGAACAATGCTCACCTTCGATCCTCGCCTTCCATCGTATTGAAAAGCGTGCCAAAACCCCTTCCAAAAGAAAGGTATCCATTGAAGCCGGGATATCTGCAGATTTCAATGTCCCCCCCGAGCATGCCCTCAATCTCGGCATATCACCTCACAACGTATGAAGCGAGGCTGGTATAAATAATCTCACGAACACGAAAATCGGGCGCTCTTGGTGCATACCTCTCCACTTCACTTTAGAACGTGCTCGCGGTCATTATAGGCCAAGGATGGGTAGCATCAGCCTCAACAAGGCAGAGTATCTCGCACTGTTTCTCGAAACCTTTATTTTTGGTATGGCGTCCTTGAACATATAGCCCATACTACGCCTTTTGACCGTCCTGCTCTAGGAACTTTCTTCACCCTGTGCATCATAGCCATCATGATCGTCTTGCAATCGAAAAACTCGCGCACACCGAAGTTTCTGCTGCCGGTAGCGGTTCTCATGATGGTGTTGGCCATTGGCGTGAGCGATCGTCCGAAAGCCATTCCTGCGTTGTCCGGATTGATTTACCTTTCCTTTAGGATTTAGTCATAGACTTCATCCACAGTTGTAACGCGTTTGTAATCGCAGGAACCCAGTCCATCGGCGGGGCTGAGGTCTACTTCGACAATATATCAAAACCCGCTCTTCCTAGCGAAGAATATTCTCTATTGGTTTCAAACTATGCTTGGAGATGGCGTCATTGTCAGTCCTCTGCTTTTTCCTGTCATTCGCCGCTTACTAGTCGTCTTCAGATGTGGCGATGCTATATGGTCTATGGTCAGAAAGTATGGTCCGTTGTCGCACCAGTGATCATGTACGTCGTGGATCTTGGTATGTACGTCGATACCGTCGTAAGAACCTTCTTTGATATTTGCGATCGCTTCCAGCGGTCGGATGTTACACAATGAACCAGATTGCACATGCACCCTCCGCAGCGCCCATCTTTGACACACGGATCAACTAGGGGTTGACCGTGTACTTTGTCTTGACCATGGTCATCACAGCGTACTGCACCAGTCAGTGTCCCCTTGCTCGTTGACTGCTATAGAAGGTCTGAAATTGTCCGTCTTAGCCCTGATTACGATCCGGATCTGGAGTACTAGTAACGCCAGCCAGAGTGTTTCAAGTTTGCGACCGGTTATAATTGCTATGGTTGAGAGCGGCGCCTTGTACACTTCAAGTATTCTATGCGTTTTAGTCACCTACTTGGCTTCATCATACGGAACATACACCTCCCTCGATACTGTGATGCCTTTCGTGGTATGTCATGTGTCCGCATAACATCTTCGACTTCTCTTATAAGGATGGTCGGTCGGAGCAGGGCATCGTCTACTGTCTCATTTTTGCAGATCAAGCGGCAGATCAGCAGCGGCTCTAGTAACATGATGGACTCGGGAAATGGCAGCAACGGTGCCGATGCCATGCGTGCACCCATCGAAGTGTGGACATCATCCAGCGTACGCCAAGACCGAGATGCATTGCCCATGAAAACCTTTTGGTCGCAGAACGGAGCATCTGACGATACGAAGTACAGTGGGCCCACAATAGTATAAATACATGATTGATTGCACTGTATGACGTGATGATGTTTACACCACAAGATTCGCTATGGAGCGCCGCGCGCGGGAGACGCGTGCAATACGTGGATACTACGCAGGAATACGCAGGGTTACCAGTGGGTTACCCCGAGGATCAATGTCGCCGACCTTCGAACGTTTCATCTTTTAGGGTTACTTCGACATTATGTTGTAGAGCTCTCAATCCATGGCGCCCGAAACGTTCCGTGAAGGGTCTAAATGCTCACCAGGATTGGCCGCACGGAGCCTTATGTCCCATGAATTTGTCATCCGCTTCCCTTTTAATACTGCTATCGACGACGGTGGCTTCAGATCTCCTGTCTCTGTTCAGTGACTATGTCGTCTGCAGAAGATTCATCTGACCCGACACAAAGCGTCTCTCGAGCCGTGAAAAAGAAAAGGCAGCAAACTCAGAAGGCGTGTGATCGCTGTAGGCAAAAGAAAGGTTTGTCATATGTCTTGACTCCTCGCTCTGGTTATACCAATCTCGCAAATCGTCAATCTTGGGTCTAGTTCGCTGTGAGAGACATCTTTCACTCGCTCTGGTGGGATTTCTCTGACTAGATATGGCATACCAGGCGATGGAATGGACCAGTCAGACCATCACTGCTCAAATTGCACCTTGTTCAATACAGAATGCACTTATCTATACGTCAAGGTGAGTTGGTCATCTGACGCTGCGAGAGCTCGGCATCCTACCTCTGACCTCGGGTTGTGACTTGGAGCTTGCTCGGAGCTGGCGCTGATACTGGCTCAGTCCGAGTTCGAGGTCAGTCTCGGTAGGGGTATGCCGATGCGTCTGTATTCTGTTTCTACCATCAATCATTGTAATAACAAGCCTGACTATCTAGAAACGTCGGGTTGCGAAGGCGCCCAAGAAGGAGAAGCCTGTTCTAGATGCAGAGGGCATGCAAGGATATGTAGATGGCCTCGTAGCACGAATCCAATCCATGGAGGGCCTTCTCAAGAAGGTGCGTATCTGCCAACGTTGAATTAGTGCATTCATGAATGGGTAAATATGCAGGCGTTTCCAGACACCGATATCGATGCCGCATTGGATGTCCATACGGCCACGACTTCCAGAGATTCCCACAAAATATCTCTAGAAATGACCACGATGCCGGGAGCAACACAAGTCCAACCCTTTAGTCATTCGCGGTCCATTGATCGCTTGCCATTCGCAGGTGCTTTAGTATCCATCGAAGACGGGGATCCTGAACCCAGCGACGACGAATATGAATACGGCATGTCGCCACAAATATTGGAGAAATTAGAAGCCTTGTCCCTTTATCCTCTACGCAACCTCTGGTTGGGAAAATCGAGTGATGCTCGATTACTACAGAGGGCCGTTGACATGAAGTCCAATTATTCGGGCGAGCCGCATGAACGCGATAATCTAGATCCTTTATCATCGACCGCCAAAGCTTTCAAACAATACCCAGTTCGTCCTTGCCTTCTCTCTGCATATCCGTCTACTCATCAAGAATTGTGCAGTGGGAGCATATCGGGGACGACGATAAGCACTATCCGTATCATTTTCCTGAGGATGACCTTCTTCACGATCTCGTAAACGCATACTTCGACCGCATCAACAGTTTTCTACCTCTTCTCCATCGACCTACATTCGAGCGATCTATAGCTGATGCTCAACATCTCACCGATACACAATTCGGGAAGATTTTACTACTTGTTTGCGCGGTTGGTGCCAAATATCTAGACGATCCACGGGTTGTCCTGGAGAGAGCAAGTGACTGGTATTCGGCCGGGTACAAGTGGTTTTCGCAAGTTGAGATGATACAAAGATCCGTGGTCAGCATACCATCTCTGTGCGATTTGCAAATCCACGCGGTAAGTGTCCATACCGCATGCTCGTCTTGAGATAAAGCATAGACTGTTGAACTTGACCATTTGGCTTGATACAGATTACTGTTCTTTACCTTTACGGGTCTCAATCACAAGCGGCTTGGGTGACTGCCGGTGTCGGTCTTCATCTAGCAGTCGACGTAGGGGCACATAGGAAAAGGGCGTATAAAGCCGAACCAAGTGTGCGAGATGAGCTTTGGAAACGCGCATTTTGGTCAGCACCGTTATCGTTGTCTCAGCCGTGAACTAAATCAGTTTTCAGGGTCCTGATGTTCGAAGACGTTGCGTTGAGCTCTTTTTTGGGCCGACCGTGTGGAATTCTGGAAGAAGAGTGAGTACAAGCAGTTGTCAATAGCGCATCTTTGTTGTTGAATCGGACCTTTTCGCTAGATATGATCTCGACTTTCCGACGGAATGTGACGACGAATTTTGGGTGCATCCTGAGCCTAGCAAGGCATTCAAACAGCCACCGGGCGTACCATCATCAGTAATAACCTTTACCCTAGCCCTACGACTCACACAAATACATGCTCGTACCCTTCGAACAATTGTCAGTGCATGCGCTCATGAATCAGGATTGGACGTGACTGATAGCTTGGAATTCATGGTAATAGTATCAAACCAATAAATCCAAAAGCCTGTATGGTTTCCATGGACCTCATTGGGAGCAGCGAGCAGTCTCGGAGTTTGACTCAGATCTCAACAAATGGCTAGAGTCTATTCCTAGTCATTGTACGCCAGCTTCACTGTTTGTTCCATATGGTCTGCTGACATGACCCTCCTCGTATAGTACAGTGGGACCCAACACAAAATGACGCTCACGCCGAAAGCTCTGCATATCTTCGCTGCGTCTATTATGACGCTCAAATTCAGTTGCACAGACCATTCATCAGACCAAAGAGCACGGATTCTCCACTAGCTGGTACCTCGCTTGCAATCTGCACCAACGCTGCACGGTCAAGCATTCGTGTGATACTGGCCGAACGGCAAAGGACACGTCGAGCCGTGGGTCCGCTTTTACAGGTGTGTCTGCATCTTCCTAGTCATGGATATCCTCTGAGCTTTCGCAGGCGAGTGCATTCATATCTGGCGTTGTGTTGGCCATCAATGTCCTGGGCATGAAGCGAGCGAACCCCGCGATGGATCTAATTCCAGAGCTGATCACGGCGCATACAAGTGTACAGATTTTAAAAGAAGCTGAAGTCAGGTGAGCTCCTCGTTGCTGTCCCATCACCTTGTGCACCGCTTAATGCTCTAGTATAGATGGCATGATGCGGGCAGGATGCGGTAAGCATCTTTGAGGATCGCTCCCTTCGCCGTTGCTTACTCATGACGATTGGAAGGGATGTTTTGGCTGAATTGATCAACTGCGCTGATCCAGATCAGGGCACGCCCTCATTGCCTTGCGCTGGCAATCCCGTACCCTCTCAAAAAGTGGCAACTATTTCTCTTGAATCCTCCACCTCTGCTTCCACGCGTGGCAAGTTCCTTACGAGAGGGTTTTTAAATCCGAGAGAGTTGCGACCACTGCCAAATTGGAACGGCCTTGAACCTCTCCACATTCCCGTCGTCCATCCTCCAGCGATGAGCGAGATGGATCCATACAACGCTGATAACGCACACGCCTTGCATTCTGGGTACAGCGACCTGTCGTCCATGTTCGCTCGAGACGCCCCTCATGGCGTTGCGTGGGATTCGCATCTTTCCTCAACGCCAACCACTGAAGAACAAGCCCTGGCCTTGGCGCCGACGACAAATGCGTTTCATTTTGTCCCCCCGTTCCTGTCCGACCTGGCTCTACCTGAGTCTTCCGTGAGTGGGGCAAGTCAGCAATCATCGGCCCCCGCGCACATCGCGGCAGATTTCACCGCCCCGATGGCCTCACACTCTCGTTTATCCTTCGACGAGTTGATGCAGGCCAACGATGATATGTTGGCAACGTGGAACGGCGTGCCGGCTTCCTTTGGGTGCGTTATCGGTGGCTAGCCACAGCTTCGTACCTTTTGTATTGTCTCTGTCGCTGACTTAAGGACATCCGATGTATAAACGACAGCTTGGACCAGTGGGACGCCTATTTCCGGCATATGCATGATCCACCGGGCGCGCAATCGTAGATTTCGCACGAATGAGGTATGGGGCAGGTTGGTCAGGCTCGTCCACGGAGTCATCAATATGTACGAGCCGACGTATTGGAACATTATCCACCCTCCTTATAGCTAGAGCTCAGTAATACGCCTTCCGATTCTAGCTTGTGCGCTGGGATGTATTTTTAGCTAGTATTCCTCACAATTTACAAACTCCCCACTTTCATAGCAAAACGCACAACCATAGTCGATTCGACCGACCTTTGACAAGGCCACTGCCACTTCGTTCCGAGCGGCCATGGCGGCCAAAAATGATGATGGATTCTCCTTTCCATAGCATTACGTATGGGGGCTGCACACATCAGACAGTTCACAAGTGTATTAGCAGGGTCATCTGACCTCGCAAAGGTCTCAGTCGAAGCGACTACGATTTTGCTTCAGCATTCACAGTCCCGACTTGCATGACAATGGCATGGCTTAGTTTCGCGAATAAGCACTGTCGAAGGCACCGGTTCGATTATTTTGCAATAGCATCGTAGAGCCGAGCAGTGCTTAATACTTACATTGATGGCACCGAAAGTCAATACGATGAATGGCAGTAGGAAGTCACTGTGCTCTCGAAGGCGTTGACATTGACAGGGCTTTCTAACAAGGATTTCACTGACTTGAAGGGTACAGTCTGAAAGGGGCTGTGTCCCTGAGCAGTTCAATAACCCAAGTGAAGGTACGAGGACGTTGTTGTTGATGTAGTTAAGACCACGATGTGATACGGTCATTTCGATAAGAACGGCATATCACGTCCTGACATCGGCATTAGAAAAACGTATGTGGCGTTCCATGATATGGAGTTGTGTCATGGCGTAGCGTATTGTCTATTTGCAGGGATAGGATCTCCTAAAATGCGAACGATGATCGGATAGGTCGTAGGTCGGACGCGAGGCGCGTGCGATCAATCGAAGCTATTGAGGGGACTTTGGGGTAATTTCTATTTTGAGATCGATGATTGGGGAAACGTCGAGAACGCATTGATGCTTGGCTGCTTGGGTCGACTAATTGATGGGAAAGCGTGGCCAGAGCCAATGCTCGGTAGCCTATACGGAGAGAGGGATGAGATGTCCGTATATTGCGTGGAATAGAGAGTCCATTGGCCAGTAACGCGGGGTGCGTCGAGGCAGGAGCATTACTGTACATACGCAGAAAAGGACGTCCATTGATGGCACGGATTTAAATTGAGAGCAGGTGCAGCGCTGACATCCATATGCGTTCCATTCCTGCAGGGCAATCGTGGCAAGGGGTAAAACGGGCGCGGAGCAGAAGAGAATGAAGGGGATAACACAGCGTCGGTGTTATGTCTCAGACGCTCAAGAGAACCTCGACCCTGCACTGCGTAGTAATACACGGTAGATCGCAGTTTTTTTTCTATACAAGATGTCCACGGCCGCGACGACCAACGGTGGTCGACGGTGGCCCAACGGGTATGACCTGAGCACGAAGAACCGGAGGGCATGTCTGCAGACGGAGGCAGACAGGGCAGCGAGCAGGGAAGAGCAGCTGGCGGATGTTGCCGGACGGACCGAACGTACGATTTCCCATTTCCATTTTTGAAACATTTCCCTAGATTTATATAAAGCCGCCACACATCTGCTCATAACTTTCCCCCGTTTCACCTCTCCCTCCTCCTATCTCTCGCACAGCATGACTTCCAAATTTCAGAGCGTCGCTCTCGGCGAGGACGGCTCACGCCCCGTCCACCCAGGTCTTGCCGCGAAGACGAAGAAGGATGCGCAGGCAGCCACGCGCAAGCGGTTCGAGGGTGCGTTCGCGACAATCCGCAGCGAGCTTTTAGAGCATTTCTCTGGTCATGGAATGCCTCCAGATGCGATTGACTGGTACAGCAGAGTGCGTAATTTTCTCATGGCCTGTTTCTACTACCGAGCTGCCGGTCGTCAAATCTTCATACGCGCGCTCTACATGACGGAGGCCGAATGAGCTAGTCGGGACGATGCTTAAATCGCACGTTAGAGACACGAGAAACCTTAGAAACTGTCGATCTTGAGCGAGCCGTCGCAGACCAGAGCCTCATTTGGCGATCGGACGCGTGGAAGAGCCTAACTTTGGAATTCTGGGCTGTGCCAAATGAGCTGGGAATTAAAGAGATGAGATGCTGTTGTTGTTTTGACATGTTGGATCTGCCTGCCATGTTCTATCCCGGCCGTGCCTTCACTCCACCAGCAATTCCGAGTGCTCTCTGTTCTTCTCACATCACGTCTGGACAGAATCGGCCCGCTGATCCCGTTTCTCTCCAACTGACAGGTCCTCGACTACAACGTACCAGGCGGCAAACTCAACCGCGGTATCAGCGTCATCGACACCGCTGAGATCCTGAAAGGCCGCCCTCTGACAGATGATGAATACATGCGCGCCGCTGTCCTCGGCTGGGGAATCGAATTCGTGCGTCGCCAAATTCCCGTGTCAGCTGCCCTATTTTTATTAACAGTCTTCTTCTTGATGCTTGCGCAGATGCAAGCCTTCTTCCTCGTTTCAGATGACCTCATGGACTCGTCCGTGACCCGCCGAGGCCAGCCATGTTGGTATCGCCAACCAGACGTAGGCACCATCGCTGTCAACGATGCGCTGCTGCTCGAGGGCGCGATGTACCAAATGCTCCGGAAACACTTCCGCGGTCAGCCATACTACACGGATCTAATGGACCTGTTCCATGAGGTGTCGTACGAGACCGAGATGGGTCAGCTCGTAGATCTCATCACAGCGCCAGAGGACAAGGTCGACCTGAGCAAATTCTCTCTTGAACGGTACGTGTTTCACTTTGCAGCGCTTGACATCATCGTTATACTCACACTCGAATCTTCAGGCATTCCTTGATCGTGATCTACAAGACCGCCTTCTACTCCTTCTACCTTCCAGTAGCATGCGCGATGCTCATGTGCGGCGTCCCAATGTTCACCCCCTCCACATCCCCCTCAGAACCCAGCGATCACCTGACCGAGCCCTACAAGACCGCGCTCGAGATCCTCCTCCCGCTCGGCGAATACTTCCAGATCCAGGACGACTTCCTCGATTTCTCCGCGCCGCCGGAGGTCCTGGGCAAGATCGGGACGGACATTGTCGACAACAAGTGCTCGTGGTGCATCAACACCGCTCTCTCGCTCGCGACGCCCGCGCAGCGCACAGTGCTCGACGCCAACTATGGAAAGAAGGACGCCGAATGCGAGCGCCGAGTGAAGGTCGTGTTCGAGGCCGTCGGCGTGCGGCAGAAGTACGAGGAGTACGAGAAGGACGTGTACGGCCGGCTGTGCAAGCTGATCGAGGAGGTGCCTGAGGAGGAGGGCGGCGTAAAGCGGGCGGTGTTCACGAGTTTCTTGGAGAAGATTTACAAGAGACAGAAGTGAGCTCGAGTCGGAGATTTCGATATTCTTTTCACGATCCATTCATAACGCTACTTGCTTCGTTCGATGCTATTACACTAGAAGTTGAATACGCCATTTGGCAATTCTTGGTACCACAGATCCAGGTTTACTGGATAGGCGACGCAGGGTCCCGTGCCACCCAACACGGACACGATCATGTGATAGTGGCAAGCTCACTCCAACTTGCCATTACAGGGTCTTGCATAATTTTTGAGAGGATTGCATCAAAAAAAAACCGGGTTTCTGATCCCGAACCTGCCTAACTGAGCACCGCAGGCCGGGATGATCGGGGAAGCCCTGTCACGCCCTCAACACGGCAAGTTCGCACACGCCGTGGCCGCGCAGCGGAGAATGAAGTTTTGCGTGTGAATTCCACTGTTTTCTCCCCTTGACAAAAGTGTCCTCATTTTTGAATGATTTTCTCTGACGAGGCCTCGTCAAACATGTATCATGTATGTAAAATGACCGAAATAATATGCTGGAAGTTTTTCACCTTGAATGGAGGTCTTCTGAGCTCCTCGGAAAGATCCCGGGTGGTGCCTGCACATGTTGCGACCACATTTTGACCACATTTTGACTTGTATCTCACCATGCGCTCTTTTTCACAATGACATGGTTTGAGAACCAGAATAGTTCTTACTTTTCTTATCTTAGAAACAAATTTAAAAGAAAACTGTAGAAGATTACATGTTCCAATGTAAATTTATGAATATTAGTGCCTTTCCAAACACTACTCCAAGAATAGTACTGCTTTCAGTACACTCTCCGTAACACTTTGTCTAACCCTGACAGGCCTGACAGGCCTTACAGGCTTACCATTTGTTCAGAAAGCTCAGTTTTGGAAATCCATTGCTTTCCACACACCCAGGGTACTCATCAAGAATCTGAGCAATCAGACAAGGTCACCATCATGGTCTCCATTGAGAGGAACCTTGCAGTCTCCCTTGACAGAATTTACAAACACCTCCTCGACACCAATGATGTGTGGCATATCAAGGACTCACGACGGAGATTACAAACAAAGCGGAGCGTGATCGTCACATGCGGGTCACACAGGAAGGTCTGGCTATTAGGGCCAAGCGCTCAGGAACCCGTTTTTTCCTGGCACGACTCTCTCAAAAATTATGCAAGAGAACCAGCCCACTTCATCAATCCTCATGTCTCCATCCACACGACTTTCAAAGCCAATTGACTACCTCCTTGTTGACGATCATAACAAGCGTCGGGAAGTGAGGACCGTCCTTGTAAATGCGAGCATATTGGACTCCAAGCCCATGGGTAGTTCCGAAACCGGCTACATCCCCCTCGCTGCGACCCTGGAGTTTTTGACGGAACTGGTGCAGGAAGACATGTTGAATAAGTGGTCGATCAACTTCAATCCTAACGACATCCTGTTCTACGAAGTAAGTGACCTCATGTTGGATTCGATGCAGCGGATCTTAGGTGAGATCAGCCCACAAATACTATTCCTGTGAAAACAGTGACAACCCGTCCTATGGATGAATATCGGGCGATGATGAAAGATAGCAGTCTATGTCAGAAGCAAGACGAGATTCGCGAATATATCAAGGCGCCTGGCGGCGGTGGGCGGGTGGTAAGCTTCCTGGTCCAGGTGGGTCGGATCTTGGAAGGCCCCGTCTCCGGTCAACATGGGTCTACGGAGAGCAAGAGATCCACTGGGCTGCCTGGCGAAGAGCCATGGTATTGGAATGGTAGGTTGGGACAAAGTCATGATTTTCATGCCGTTGACGCGCTCTGGCAGGGTTGGAACGGCTCAAACAAGCAGTGAAAAGGTTGGGATCCCCTTCCACAAATGCCAAGGCCGGTGCCTATGTCAAGGATCAGAGAGGGTTTTCTCGGGTCCTCGACGGGCGAAGCAGCATTGCAAGCTTAGACAACAGGGCCCCCTCGATTGAGCTTTACCACCCTGTCTTTGCACAATTACGAAGCGATCTCAGTGATAGGAACCGCCAAGTGCGCCCCGAGATGGTCCGCCAGACGCTCAAACTTATGCAATCCGTGTCTCAATTGGCGGGCCAGGAGAACGAGCGTTCGGAAAGTACGAGACATGTGTCAAATTTACTCGGACAGCAGCTGATCAGGGTCATGAGCGGGAACAACACCTCTTCTGACCACTGCGTCTCCGTGTCTCTGGACTTGCATGAACCCATGTGCACCGTCACGCCTTTGATATTGGAGGAGAAGGTAGAGATGGGAAAGACGGCCACCGATCCGAGCGCGCAAGTACAGCTGTCATACCTGCAGTACTGGATGGATCCATCAGTAAGTGTTGCGCCTTTGCTCATTGCGGGCCAAGTCGGTGATTATAATCTGTGAAGCGCAGGAATATTCTTGAGGCGTGTTGTTGTCCGACGATCCTCGTGGGGCTGGCAGGCCCTCACATGTGTATCATGGGGGCTGTGTTACTGGACAAGACGGTAGTGCAACATTTCACGGGTTGGATGTTCATCGGTGAGGACCGCACGACCGGCCTCGATCAGGTCAACGATCTGGGTAGCCCAGGTGTGGATAGGTTGGCACAGGTTTTCGATTGCCTAGCCCTTGCCGTTCAGCGCCTTTGTGAGTGGTACCAGGGCCTGAACAGTCAGGGCCGACATTTCGGGCGATTTTTCCCATGGATCGACTCTTATCCAAGCAACGGTCAGGTGATAAAGTTTGACTACATCAAAGGACTTCAACAGCATGAGTCGTGCACAACGTTCCTAGCGCGGAAGGTGGTCGATGGGGAAAAAGAGGAGCTCGTTGTGATCAAGTTTGTGGACACTTATAGCAAGAAGGTCCACGAATTCATGGCGGAAGAAGGGCTCGCTCCACGGTTGATTTACTTTGTTGATCTCGCGGATAGATTCTCGGAGCAAAACTACCAGGGCTTGAGCATGGTCGTGATGGAGCACTTGGAGGGAGACACCTTGGAGGCGAAGTACTGGGATCGTGCGCTCCCGAGCGATGTTCGTGGGAGCATCGCTCAGGCGATCGAGACTTTGGCGAAGGCAGGGTTCGTGCACGGCGACCTGAGGAGGCCGAACGTGATGATCGACAGCGAGGGCAAGGTCAAGATCATTGACTTTGATTGGGCAGGTAGGGAGATGGAGGTCCGGTATCCCCTTCGTATATCATCTTTTTTGTTTCCGGAAAATCAAGGTATCGAAGGGCGGGGAGAGATACGCAATGCACACGACAAGTTTATGCTTGAGCTATTGTAACTTGGTTCGGGTTGATCGCGGACCCGTGTTCTTGTACGTTACCTACAGTCTCCTCACTAGCCTTCCTTTTATGTTCCGTTTGTCGATATGTGCCTATTTGACTACCATCTTGTTAGGAAGCTTTTAGGATTGCGCGCGGCAATAATGGGTCTCTTTTGAGTGATAACGAGTACAAGGTATATGAGATAACGACTAGAAATAGTGGACGAAACCGATGATATCGATGGACAGAACAAAACGAAATGAAAAAGGGGGCGGGACTAATCGTCGCCGATTTTAGGTGCCAGGTAGTATCGGATGTGCCCTTGGCCGAACGAGTAGGACACCTTACATGACTGTCAGATAGGTGAATAGAGAGATAGCAAGAGAACGACGCTTACCAGGAGGGGAACATCGTTCTTAAGCATCAGCTGAACGGTGTCTGAGAGCGACGCGCTCTTGGAAAAATTGACGAGGTACTTGAGCGAGAAGGTGAGCGTTACATGCTGCGTCATCTCGATGCTGACTCCGCCCGAGGGAATCTCATCGTCGTCGCTCTTCTTAGACTTTTTCTTGGCTTTGCCGTTCTGTCAGGCGAGATAGACAATAAATCAACGCGGTCAGGAGAAGCAAGTGACACGACAGAGATCAATGACGCACCTTGGTCGGCGCCCGTTTCCGCTTTTTCTTGTTCTCAGAATCGCTCACCTCGTCCTCACCCTCACCCTCACCTTCGTCGTCTGAGTTTACCTTGAACTCGCCCTCTTCATCTGCTTCATCATCATCGTCGCTTTTGGCTTCCTTCTTGACCTTTTCCTTCTTAACCTTCTCTTTTTTGATCTTCTTCGACGTCTCTCCATCCTCGTCCTCATCGACCCCCTTGTCCTCATCCTCCTTCATCTCGACATCCTCATCTTCATCGTCATCCCCATAGTTGGCGTACCGCTCGCGCGCGGCCTCGGTTTGCTTCAAAAGGATGCTCCCGTTCGCCGACTCGCCGTCACTAATGAAGCGCACGCCCTCCTTCGAGACCTCAATGCGAACGGACTCGCTGAGCGACGAGAGGTCACGGACGATGCGTGAGAACTCCGACGCAGGCATGGTGACACGGGCTTCATAGTCGGTGTCGGGGATGCCGAGCGTTTCAGCGTCGATATCCATGAGTTTGACCTCGTAGTCGGCGATGCGGTCAGAATCTGAAATCGAAGAGCAAGTCAGTGGACTGTCCGAGCACGTGTAGATAAATTTTGGAGAGAAAAGGTCCACCCTATCATAGAATCTGCCAGCTGCTAGCCGTAGATATCTATGGCAGACTGCACTTTCGACCGGTAACAATCCGCAAGGGGACACAACCGTGGAGAGAAAAAAACGCACTGCGCGCTTGATATGTGAGCCCAAGCACATCGCCGTCGTCTGAGGCTTTTAGGATACAGATGTCGTCGTCCTTCGCGCACTTGACCACCTTGGTAAGTGCAACAAGGTTAACACCAAGAGGAATCGGGCGGTCGCAGCGGTATTTTTGGAACCCTGTGACATCGAGTTTGACAGAGACGAGTGCTACATGAGAATTATCCATGGCTTGAAGGGTCTTCAAGTTCGTAGAATCGCGTCGTAAGTGTGTGTCTAGCAGAGAAAGGCACTTATACTTACAATTCCTTCTTCCGTGCACTCAAAGTTGGCATCTGAGACGAGCTCCTTGATAGCTGGCGAAGACGGATATGAACACAGGTTACACTCGTCGAAAGAGACAGATGATACCATCTAGGAGACGTTTCAAGACTGCAGCTTCGTTGAGCTTTGCTTCCAGCATGGTTAGTGAGTGGAGAGATGAGATCAGATGGAGGGTGGTGAAGAAATGGCGGGAAGAAGAGAAAGGTGGCTCTGGTCAACAGACGACGCGTCGGAAAGACGCGTTATGTCACATCGTGACAACACGTTTTCGTGATGGTCACAATGCCTCACAGGGTTTCCGGGCGCGCTTCAAACTTCGAGCGGTCCCTCATACTCACCAGACCCATTACCATACCGTTCCAATTCATTCTCATTTTACTCTTCTCCTTGGGATTTATGTATTACCCTGAGGTCCACGTATTGTGGGCCTCAATCACAACACTGGACAGTTAACTTGATAAATCTGCCTTGTTCAATTGCGAGCTAGTCGCAGGTAAGCTTTTGACGGTATCGAAATCTCCTCATGCTCTCCTAGGACTCATCAGGTAAGTTTAGTAACATCATTTAGCTCTATCCTAATATATATTCGAAGAGTCCATACTCTCACACACCTGTTCTAAGCTCTATGCCCCCTTTTCGGCGGTTTGCTACTTGGAAACGATCACATTCTCTCAGGCTGAATCATGTGTACTTTCGTGGTGGCGGATCTCCTCGATGCTTCAAAGCCTTCAAAGCTTCATGCCTCAGATTTGCGCAGGACGTGTCCTCGAATTCTTCAAACGTGCAAAGCCGTGCAAAGAGTGCGCACAGCATCTCCGAGCTCTTCGCCTCAAAGCTGTGTTCTCTTGGCAAGAGTAAGTCAATAATAAGTATCATGTGGGCAACGCAAAGCAACATAATAAAAATTGAGACTGTCTGATACGAATGTACAGTGTAGGCGTCGGAGATCCTAGTCGTCTAAGATTATGTAGGGTACCTGCAGATAGTGATGGTGGGATGGCCGTTGGTATGTATACGAGCATGCTAACTTACACACCTGACCGCCAGCACAATGCAGGCTAATGCGGGCAAACTCAAACGGCGTTCACCCTGACCTCAAGCAAACCAAACCTGCTGTTGTGATCGCCTGCCTCGCTCGACACCCCCTGAAGATTCGCCGCCTCGTCCAGGGAGGATGCCCTCTCTCGTAACAAGCCCCATCGGACCCACCAATCTTCCGCGTCGTCACGGGCATCGTATCCCCAGATTTCGCACATCTCTCCCCACTGCCTGTCCAACTCGCCGTCGTCGTCCGCCTCTGCGTTCGCGTCAGCTCCGTTTTTTGCTGCAAGCCTTGCAGCACGCATGGTCGTGTCCCTCTCTTCCTTCCCTTCTCCGGCGCGCAGTCCAAGATACATGTGATTGTCCATCTCGATTTGATGTAGTCGCGCTAATCGTGATGAGCGCAGATCCTGATAAGCGTAAAGGAGGGAGGGGAGCTGCGACCGGCTATGGAGATGCGAAAGGAGGGTGCTCAGGACGAAAGCAGATTCGAGGGAACCAGACCCCGCGTGCATCTCACAAGGCTGTCGCGAAGAGGAAGCGAAGAGAACATGGCGTCAAGGCGTGACGACGAGTGGGGCGAAAATGAAATGGAATACGTACTGCAAGCGGATGCGCGGCTTCGCCAATCAAGATTATCCTTTCTGATGCGTCGACCCAATCTTCAGCTGGAGGGCGTTCTATCCATCGCGCACGGGTGAGATGCTTTGCATTCTTCAAAAATGACTGAACACTGCAATAAATGTGTCAGAGATTACGCAATCGAGCGTCGAAAGACGAAAAGCGCGGATTTGCGTACCGTGGTTCTAGGTGATCGCACCGGAGATTTGATGATGCAACCAGTTCCCAGTCTAGTGCCCCTTCTGGCCATTCCTCGGGCGAGTAGACGTGCATAGCATATGAATTATCGCGCCCCTGACATGAGACGACGATCAGCCCGAAAGGAAACCTGCGCATATCCCGCTCATAAGACTTACAATAGGAAATGCTGCGAAATACAAACTCATATCAGCAACGTGATCAGGTGGTATTTTTGGAGACTTCTCTCACCGACAGCCATAGAGCCATCTCCCATCCAGACTGGGAAGTGAGCGTTGATGAGCTTCTTTAGGTGCTCGTTCCCCATCATCGTCTTGCCATCGAGAACACCGGTGTAGAGAGTTGTCCCGGTCTCGATCTCCCGCACGTCACCCGCGTCCTCGTCCACGACCAAGCGAATCAGACTCCGTGGGCCGTCAGCACCTATCACTAGATCTGCCAGGATTTCTTGGCCATCTGAGAGGATTATTGATGGCTGAGGGTGCAGTTGCGACTGTCTTGGTATGGACGGCGTAGATGGGGATGAATCAATGTCGGGCGCAGGCGACACGCCATTGACTCGAGCGCCAAAATGAAACAAAGCGCCAGCAGCAACCGCGTGTCTGTACAGCATCTGGGTGAGGTCCTCGTGCTATAGCAGAGAGGAATTGAATACAGGGATCTCAGGGTGTGAGCAAGGGTTAGGACGCACCCGCATGCAGCGGAACTCGCCGCCACTATCCTTGAACATCTCATGCGCCCATTCGGTGTGCCCTATGAGCTCCCCTATAGCCACTGCACGTCCCCGACGAATCTTAGACTGGCCCTTGTTCCATCCCTAGACAAGAAAAGACGCACTGTCAATAAAACTGTTGGACTTGACCTGAGCGCTTTTTTGGACGAGCTCGTCGTGTAGGCCCCAGTCGTCGAGAATTTTTGTGCCATTGGGAGGGATCCGTATTCCACCCGGCACAGTGGAGACGACCTTCGATTTCTCAAATACACGGACGCGATGGCCTGAAGCGGCCAGGGCGTATGCAGAAGCAAGGCCAGCCAAACCTAGAGGAAGACAAAAATAAGGGCTGAGAAGTCTGAGGAACTTGATGCCATCGGGATCTTCACCTGCGCCTACAATGACGATGTCTAGTTGAAGGGTGGCTTGTCTCTGAGTGGATGGCATTGATGGCTTGGGTGTATTCGAGTGTGATTTGGGAGGTGTGCTCAATTTGGAGCGAGGACGACAGCGGTGAATAACGTGGAAATAAAGAAGGAGACCGAGTCGAGTGCGAGGGGGGTTTTGATGTAAACGGATGTGTGAGCGATGATTATCATGTCAGGCCGTTTCCGGAGCCTATCAAAGGTTCTCGAAGCGCTTGGGTTCCGTTACGCTTACTGTGTGTTCTAAGCCCTTCAAGTAACGCCCATCAGACACCTGGGCAGACGACGGTGGAAGCAATTCGAGCGGCCTATTCCCTGCATGCTGTGAGCACTGGTCAGAGGCAAGATATGGACGGCAAGGAAGATGGATAACAATTAATTAATAAATGGCACTATTTTCAAGGGGAGCGGCACACTCTGGCACACTTTCCAATCGAGAGCGGAGCGTGTCGCCGGTTTGAGATCCGGGTCAATCTGCCGTCAGGGCTCTCTCTTTGGTCCTTGTTTGATCCACCGTGTGATTTGTTCGTCAGCGACTCGAAGCGCTCCAGTTGCCACATCATTGGTATCCTACCATAAACGAACATGGCAACCCGCAGAATGCACAAACTAGAGACTAAATCTGGACTCGCTTGCGATGAGCAGGCAGGGTGTTCATCAGAGTTCGACGACCAGCCAGAGTGAAACGGAAGCAATTATGCATCACGGCATCGACCGTGCTCCGCGATCAAACAGACTCGGCTGGGACCTGGCCAGTGCCTGCCGCTTCCGCTTTGAGGCAGGTCCTCCACCTAAATTTCTCAACCCGCTGCTCTAGGTCGCCGAGCACGCTGTCCCCAATTGTTCCGCGTAGTTCGATCATATTCCAGGTAGGTGAAGATCTTGTGGACTGCTTGTGATCTTACCAGTCTCTAACACCTGTTGTTGGATGATGGCCTTTAATCGTTGATACGTTGCTTAGAACCCATCGGTCGCGATGCCAAGTGCCCGCACACGGCCTCTAGTGGTTGTTGAACGCTTTGTGAAGCCTATGTCCGTCAAGGACGCGCGTGCAATCGCCGCTTTGGAAGAACTGTGATCCACACGAGCCCACACAACGCCTTGTCAGCGAGGCGCGCCGGAGGCCACCTGCAGGGCTGCTTCCTTGCCGGCAGCCTCAAACGCAGCGTACTAGAAGTCTCGCATCTGTAGGCCACGGCGAACTACTCCATGCACTCGCTGAGGTTGGTCCGGTGACCGTTATCTTGAGGTTCAGCTCTCTCATCACGAACAGATCGCAACTGGCTTATTGCTTCCTCCCCGTGCAGCTACTCCATAGATGCCGTTCTACGCGTCTCGGCGGCCGCAAATTCTCATATTGTTGATAGCAACCTCACGGTGGCAGTTCGGCTAGGGTGTGCTTTATGCTTAGACATCCCTTTGTGGCAGCTTATACAGCCGTCCTTACAGCATTTATGCGAATGCATTCTTACGTCGTCGAAACTTCTCACATCCAGACTCTAGATGCAAGTTTACTGGCGCAAGAGCTCATGCTCTGGCACAACGCTGGCGTCCTATGTCGATTGTCTCTTTCCTTGTAATCTCGTGAGATTCATTCCTCCGTCAAATGTCTAACTCTTTCGGGCGGGATATACCTAAACTTCCAAAACTTGATGGTGTTCAGGGCTCTTCCGCATACCCCCAAAACAACAGCGTCAGAGCTCACAGCCTTACGGTTAAATGAGCGTCTAACACGTCCTCCATCACACCATTCTTGACCTCAGGGTCCCAAGAGATCATCAGTTGTCGCCCGAGCTCCGAAGAACGAATGCTCAGCTATATTCTGCCGTGGATCCACACAGTCAAGGGAACGTCGAATCAAAGTCCTCACGCTCACGCACTCGCTTTTGACAGATGTACTATCGTATGCGATCCTCTGCAATAGCCGCTATTCGGATCGCGTACTATGTTGCCCATCTTTGTCCACGAGCGTCAAGCTTTGTCAAGATGCGCCTCAATACCCGGCTACCAAGTCGTGTGAATATGATGCCTGACGCACGTGTACCAAACGCAGAACTCCCCCCCCCCCCCCCCCCCCCCCCCCCCCCCCCGCGGACCTACGGATCATGCTCGCAGCTTTTCTCCTCCGAATCGGCCGAGACATACGGTGAACTCCATATCACAGCAACACCGCCGTTCCCGCATCGGGATAGCAAATGGGCTTGAGTAACGACATCAGGGTCTGCAGCGCGCGGAATACTGCGTAAGACTGCCACGTGGAGCCTCGGCCTGGTCTTTGTTGACTTGACGATTGAGTACGACAGATGGATATATCAAATCGGACTTCAGTTGGTATATTTGCTTGTTCAAGACGAACGAGGTAGCGTTTTTGCGCACACATTTACCCAGCTTCCGGACTGTCATCATGGCTTCGGCCCAGGACATGAACTCCATATGACTCCTGGATTGACTACTCTGGAACTTCGTTGTTGTGCTTTCACATACTCGATTAGGACAGTAGGTTTCTTCATAGGCTCTCACTGGGTTATTGAACGGACGTATACTTATAGGTGCGTATCGGCCCGTCGTTTCGCTTTATGCTGGCATAGGACGCCATAGGTGTATGGTCAAGTTTGACGGCGATATTGCCATCGATGGCATGCGAACCTATGCAGGCAGTCGAGACATTCTTTGTTGCCTCCCACGAAACTCTAGAGATTGTTCATACGTTGTCACCACACTGACGTTTGGGACCTAGACCTACAAGTCCGATAGCGACCGCATCAACACGAGAGAGCGGCTTGTTCGATGAGACGTTTCCCTGGTTTCATCTCTCCCATTGTGGACACTACTAGCCCTCCTAACTGCCTCAGAGTTCATCGTGACACGTACTGGCGAATGGGCGTTCAAACAGCTCCACTTCTCAAGGTACAGGTTATACTTAGAAGCTGGAGATGAGTTTCGTTGAACTCCCTAGGAGCTGATCTATCAGTGCTGCCAATTCTTCGTGATGCAGCCAATAATTAGGATTCCACAAGCTCGTATCAATAACGCTCACAGCTTTCGTGGCGCTCCGGATTGTAGTAATACCTAGTAGTACAGCCACCAAGTTGAGCGATCAGATCATTCGCACCACGTGCGATCTTCCGAGACCGGCTTTAGATAAATATCTCGAGTTGCTTTTACGCTTCTACGACTCGGAGGGGCCTGAAAGGCCATTCACAGCGATGAGTCATGCCCTGCGGAACCAACAGAAGAACTCTGCTTATCATATTGCAGACCGAGGTGCGGTGGTGTCGACGCATCGAAGGCAGGACATCTGACGCGCATCTGAGACCTAGACCTTGCCGAAAACTGCTGTCCATCTCCCCTTGATGTCAGTGTTTTGCATTCGCCTTCAGAGAGCCTTTTTGACGGCTGTCCAGATACATACGACATCTTGACCTAGATGTCTGTACCCTGAATCTGCAGCCGATAATATTCAAAATCTCAAAGGCTGTATTATTTTGAACATTTGATCACGTTCACCTACGTTCTGATAGAAGTATCGACTGGACCTTATCGGTTTACCCCAGGCTCTTCCCCACTCCCAATCGGGAGAATTTATACGGGCCGCTCGCTTTCGCGCTGCTATTCAGGATGTCAAATCAGGATCGAGTCTACTATGGGAACTTTTGGCAAGCATGCCCGAGCTAAGTCCCTTGCTTCGGCGCTATCCCTACGCCATGATACCATCAGTCCTGCATCATGATTCTGAAAAGCACTCGATCAAAAGCCATGTATAGAATTGGAGTTGCTCTGGACAATGGCGACCGGACTGCGCTGTGATTTTGCGTATCTCAGACCTTCATAAGTATCGCAAACCATTTCCTGGATCCAAATCGGTCCCTCCAAGCCCTTTTCCACCGGAACCCCCATTGTCTCCAGATCTTCCTGCGTGCGCAATGGGGATCTCTCTGGATAAAGCTGAGTTTCTATCGTTATTTCTCGAGACCTTTATGTATGGTGAGTTCAACAGTCCGTCGACGTCAATAAGCATGAGATCATTGCTCATCGCAATCTAGGTGTTTTCTTCACATTATGTCTGATCACCGTCATTATCCTCGTCCGCCTGCGGAAGGTGGGCACCAAGACTGAGCGTTCACTCCTGCCTGTCGCCATTGTCATGCTGTTCTTGGCCACGGGGGTACGTGTTTGTGTCATCTAAGCGCTGCCGGTGACAATGAACTCGCCTAGCACATAACCATCGACTTCGTACGAGCCCTCGATGCGTTTCTGCTTCAAAAATCCGAAGATCAAAATAGTGTCGCTAAATACTATGGCAATCTAGCGGATCCACTTTTTATTTCGAAGACTGTATTGTATTGGTTGCAGACAATGCTCGGGGACAGCGTCATTGTACGAGTTCACTCTTTTTCACTGACATTTCAATATGTTCAATGACGTTACAGATATGGCGATGTTATATTGTCTATGGAAGGCAGTGGGGTGCCATCGGCTTCCCCCTTGTCCTTTTGACCGCTGCATTCGGTACGTCCCCCCGTTCCGTGCCTCTTTCTGAATGAACCTCAAGTACAAGCCCGTTGATGTAGTATCTGGGGTGGTCATCATACGAACGTTCACTCATGTCATCCCCGGTGCTACAATCTTTGAAACGGGAAATGACTGGATCACCGTCTTCTCCGTCCTGACCATGGTCATCAATGTTTATTGCACCTGTAAGCTAGCTGTTAATTTTGAGCACAATCCATGTCTGACCCCCAAGACTAGGTTGCATTACATGGCGGATCTATTCTACGGATCGGCTCCATCCTGGCTTCGGGAACTTGATGCCCGTGATTGTCGTCCTTGTCGAGAGCGGCGCGATCTACACGTCCAACATAATAGCGTTTCTGTGTGCGTTCTTGAGGTATGCACGAGTTTCCTGCGTATCATGAGTGCTGTCCGTCTGATGCTCGCGGACAGCCATTCCAACGGCCAGTACGCTGCACTGGACCTTATTACCCCAGTTGTCGTGAGTTGAAGCTTGTCCTCTCGAAGAGCATGCGTCTACTAACGCTGAAATCCAGGGTATCGTGTTCTGTTTGATCATCCTTCAAGTGAAGTTCCACTTCGGCATACGTTCGGCTGGTTCAAGCACGGGCAGCAGCGTCCAGCAAGCAGCTCCGCGATCCGGACGCTTTACGGGTATACACAACGGACAGGCGACATATCCCCTCGCACCACTCGCGATAGAGATTACGACGCATACGGAAGGGCCGTACACAGAGGATGTAGACATAGAGATGGGGAAAAAGAGTCAGGCCTTGTCGAGTAACTCCATGTAATATTGGGACTCTTTTGGGATCACACTGGGATATCTGTTGTATTACGTATACCTATATACACTCTGTTGGTGTTCAGGTTATCTCACGGAAGTCGTCGCAGGAGCAGAGGTGAAAGCGAAGGCAAGTACAGTGGGCGAGCGGGGATTTGAATTTCTAGATTTTTCTGTGAAGTTCGCGTGGCCAAACACGCGTACACACAAAAGGACGACCGTGCTCCGCTGTCTGCTGCCTTCCTCATCCTTCTCCTCTCCTCTCTTCGTTTCCTCTACTCTTCTTCCTTCTTCTCTTGCCTACGATGCACTCCATCTCCAACACGTCTTCTCGTGCTCTTCGTCGCGCCGCGGCCAAGGCTTCGCGCTCAACGCCTTCGCTCACCCGTGGTGCCCATAAGGAAATTAAGTTTTCCAATGAGGGCCGTGCGAGCATTCTCAAAGGTGTTGATGTGCTGGCGAACGCTGTCAGCGTTACGCTTGGGCCTAAGGGTGTGTACTCGTCTCTTGGAGCTGATGTGTCATAACGAATGTGTGCTGACGTGGTGGGACGGCAGGACGGAATGTCATCATCGAGCAGTCGTTCGGTGGTCCAAAAATCACAAAAGGTCAGTTCTTGCTTACTATGTTACTGATTCTTTGCTGGTTTGCGGCGTCTATTTTTGCTGGGGAGCACGCTGCTGGGCGTGATCCTCTCCTTCATGAGCACTTTCTTTTGGCGCATCAATAGGTATATGTACGCTCTGCTGACTCCTTCGTGCTAATAGATGGTGTCACTGTCGCCAAAGCCATCACTTTGAAGGACAAGTTTGAGAACCTGGGTGCACGGTATGTGTTTCTTGATATTTTGCTTTCCTGTGTCTAAATCTATATATGTAGCCTTGTTCAAGATGTTGCACAAAAGACTAACGAGGTTGCTGGTGATGGCACAACTACAGCTACTGTCCTCGCTCGGGCAATCTACGCTGAGGGTGTCAAGAACGTCGCCGCGGGGTGCAATCCCATGGACCTTCGTCGTGGGTCGCAAGCTGCTGTCGAGCGTGTTGTCGAGTTTCTCTCCAAGAACACCAAGACGATTACCACCACAGCTGAGATCGCCCAGGTCGCCACTATCTCTGCCAATGGTGATGTTCACGTCGGCAACTTAATTGCACAAGCTATGGAGAAAGTAGGGAAGGAGGGAGTGATCACCGTCAAGGAGGGCCGGACGATCGAGGACGAGATCGAGATCACTGAGGGCATGCGCTTCGACCGGGGTTTCATTTCGCCTTATTTCGTCACGGACGTGAAGGCCCAGAAGGTCGAGTTCGAGAAGCCGTTGATTTTGTTGTCGGAGAAGAAGATCTCCCTGCTCCAGGACATCCTTCCTTCGCTCGAGGCTGCTGCTCAGGCTCGCCGCCCACTGCTTATCATTGCTGAGGATGTTGACGGCGAAGCCCTTGCTGCGTGTATCCTTAACAAGCTCCGCGGTCAGCTCCAGGTTGCCGCAGTGAAGGCCCCAGGCTTCGGTGACAACCGCAAGAGCATCTTGGGCGATCTCGCCATCCTCACCGGTGGTACTGTCTTCACTGACGAGCTTGATATCAAGCTCGAGCGTGCAACCCCTGACCTCCTGGGCTCGACTGGCTCAGTCACGATCACGAAGGAAGACACCATTGTTCTGAACGGAGAGGGCAGCAAGGATTCCATCCAGGCACGCTGCGAGCAGATCCGTTCCATCATTGCGGATCCCACGACCAGCGAGTTCGATCGCACCAAGTTGCAGGAGCGGTTGGCTAAACTCAGCGGTGGTGTTGCCGTCATCAAGGTTGGTGGTGCGTCGGAGGTCGAGGTCGGGGAGAAGAAGGACCGCTATGACGACGCGCTCAACGCCACCCGTGCTGCCGTTGAGGAGGGTATCCTTCCCGGTGGCGGTGTTGCGCTCCTCAAGGCTTCCCTTGCACTCGCTTCTTCCTCCCCTGGCTCCCCCAACCAGTCTTCCGTCTCCTCGACTTCGTCGAACCCTGATGTCAAGCCCATCCCTACCGCGAACTTCGACCAGGACCTTGGTGTTTCAATCATCCGTCGTGCGCTCAGCTACCCTGCGCGGACGATCATGAACAATGCTGGCGAGGAGTCGAGCGTCATCATCGGCACGCTCACATCGCAGTACGGCTCTCCTGACAAGTTCGCTTGGGGATATGACGCGAGCAAGGGCGAGTACGTTGATATGATCAAGGCGGGTATTGTTGACCCCTTGAAGGTTGTGCGGACGGCGCTGGTGGATGCGGCGGGTGTGGCGAGCTTGTTGACGACGAGCGAGGCGAGCATCGTGGATGGCGAGGAAGACAAGCCTCCTGCTGGTGGTATGGGCGGTATGGGTGGTATGGGAGGCATGGGAGGCATGGGTGGATTCTAAGTCGTTGGGCGGCCTCCTGTTCGAATTTCAGACATGAAAAGTATCGTCGCTTATCCTATTGTGTCTTGTCATACACGTCTTATGCACCCCGGGCACTCCCCCACATCATCTCCGTCTACGTCTTATCCCACCGCACACTAACCTCGCTCATGATTACGTTCTGCTCACTCGCACTACTTCCATACATTATTCACCTGTCATGTCGTTGCTCATCTGTTTTCTTTGGTTCTGACGAATGCAATCACCACTCATCGATCAATGCTTGTGCTGTGTATGTTCAAGAGTCTTGAATTTTTTAAGGCGTCCTTGCTATCGCAGGTCGTTGATTGTGTCACGGCGATCATATGTTATGAGATACCGCCGGCGGCACGCCGCAGCGAGCGAAAGCGGGCGAAGCGGCGCTGCAGAGGTTATGCAAAGTGTTTTACAAGCCGAGGTTCCGAACGAGACTCGCCACTGACTCGACTGTCTGAGTCAGATCTGAGGCCATAGCAGGACGGCGGGACGACTGCTATGAGTCCGGAGACGGAGTTCATGCCGGATTGAACATGGTAAAGCCAAGTTACGTGGAAGGCAGTGCGTCCGGCGCTTCGGTCAGCTTTTGGTGGTTGTAAACGAGGTGGAAGACATGATGCGAAGACACAAAGTGACCACTGGGACGTATGTGTCTAGGAAAATATCGATTTTTCTGTGCGATGGGATGACGTTCGGAAGAATCGGGCACGTGAGGGAGGGTAGTGGGAGACTGGTGGGAGGGATTTGATTTGTAACGGGGCTTACGCGGAGGGCCGATCTGCGATCTGGCCGCGTCAGCATGTGCCGGTCAGGCTGCGAGTCCTCCCCCTTTCTATAATAAACTGCAGCTGCACCTCTCTTACTCATACCATGTCCTCTCCAGACGAGCGCCCGAGCGGCCCATCGTCCAGAAAGGCGAGAAAGGAGGCAAAGCGCCAGCAGGCGAAACGGGCGTGCGACCGGTGCAGGCAGCAGAAAGGTTCGTTTCTACCATGCCTTTCCGGTAAAGCACCGCCCCCTGATATACAGGCTTGACTTCTCCATCTCCCAGCTCGTTGTAGGCGCATGTTTGTATAATTTTCCGTTGTGTTTTCATGTTGATGTTCTTATGCAGGCAGCGCTTTGGCCGGCCCTGGAAGTCGGTGCTCGAACTGCGAGCTCGCCGACGCGGAGTGCACGTTTTTGTATGTGAAGGTACGTCGGGTCGGATTTGTGGATGAGGCGCTTTCTCTTCGCGCTGGTCAATCTTGTATGTGCGACATGGAACTTGGCAGAGGAAGTGCATGTTCTTTCACGCACTTCGCTTGCGAAGCGAGCTTGGCTATGACGTCGCCGCTTCCCTTTTTGACTGCTACATCATTACCGTGTGCTCCCTGAATTTGCCCTGAATTGACCTTAATTTTTGGTACATCATACCTGCACAAGGCTCGAAACTATGCTAATTCTTTCTTCCACAAGTAGAAACAGCGAATACCAAGGAACTCCCAGGCATATGTTAATCACCTCGAGAATCGTATCAAGACCATCGAGGGATTTCTGCGGAAGGTCCGTCTGTTCAGCTTGTCGTCTCTGCTTGACACACTGACGAGAGGCAGGCGTTGCCCGATGTGGACATTCACGAAGGCCTGCTGCTTCCCGAGAGTCGCACCAATGCGGAAGGCATGGCTGCCGTGGCTCAACCTGCCTACCCCCAGCTATCTACCTGTGCTCCCTTGACGCAAGACCGACCCAGCGTGGCGACGACCCCGGAAGAGCCCGAGCCCAGCGACGACGACTATCAATACAGATTACCTGCGCTAGAGGCCAAGCTCCAACACCTTTCCATCCAGCACTACTACACTGCTTGGTTGGGTAAATCTAGCGAGGCAAACTTGGTTAAGCAAGCTGTAGAGGCCAGGTCAGAGTACTCGGCGGAGCAGAAAGGGAGCAATAGTTTCTCATTCCGACTGAGGGCCGACTTTTGGAAGCCGTTCCCAGTACGCCATCACCTCGTCATCGTTATCCGTGTGCAGCATTGATCCACATGAGCATTAGTGGGAACACGTTGGCCCAGAAGTCAGATTGAAAAAATATGACTTTCCCGCACCTGATCTTCTTTCAGATCTCGTAGCACTGTACTTCAAGCACACGAACCTCCTTGCGCCTCTCTTCCACCGTCCCACGTTTGATCGATCTGTCGCGGATGGTTTACATCATCAGAACGACGGGTTCGCTCGAGTCTTGCTTCTGGTTTGTGCTGTCGGAGCGAAATTCTCAGATGACCCGAGAGTGCTGCTCGAGGGGATGAGTGACTGGCATTCCGCAGGGCACAAGTGGTACTCGCAGGTTGAGGTGTCCCCGGTCTGGGGGCAAGGAACGGCGACCTTGTACGATCTGCAGATGCACGCTGTGAGTATTCCTCAATAAAGCGTGTGGGTAGTCGCACGGGGGACATGCCAATCTGACTCCGACGGTATGCAAGGTTGCGGTCGTGTACCTTTGGGGCTCCCCGACGCAGGCTTGTTGGATCACGGCTGGTGTGGGGCTTAGATTGGCTGTGGACGTGGGAGCGCACAGGAAAAGATTCTACAAGCCGCAGCCTACAGTCCAAGATGAGCTGTGGAAAAGAGCCTTCTGGTACACTGCTACGCACATTTCCATTTGCTTCCTACCTAACGTCTCTTGTAGGGTCCTCCTTTCCATAGACGTGATGATGAGCTTTGTTTTTGGTCGGCCGTGTGCCATACAGGAAGAAGAGTGAGCGGAAAGGTCCAACGCGTCTAGGTGCTATTGACATGTTCTGATCTGCCGCAGATATGATGTCGACCCTCCCATAGAGTGCGACGACGAGTATTGGTGTCCATCGGATCCCGCGCAGGCTTTCAAGCAGCCACAGGGGAAGCCTTGTGCAGTGACATTTTTCATCATGATGATGAAGTTGGCACAAGTCCAGTCTTGTGCGATTCGAACCATCGTAAGCCTGCGCCGTTACGACTGGCTATTGAAAATTCCCAACCTGAAGCATGAAACAGTACGCGACGGGAAAATCAAAAGCAATGCTTGGCTTCCAAGGGCCGGAATGGGAACAACGCGTTGTTTCCAAACTTGATGCCGAACTGAACAAGTGGCTAAACTCTATCCCCGAGTATTGTATGTTCCTTCGGTCTTTCTGGTTCCTAACCGCTTACATTTTGCAAATCTCCCGCTTGACAGTGCGTTGGGAGATTGCACCCGAGGGTGACTACTCGGTGCAGTCCGCGGTCCTATACTGCGAGTTCTACATCCTCAAGATCCTAATTCACCGGCCGTTTTTCTCTGCCCCCGTACCCCCGACGCCTCTTTCGCTTTCGTCCCTTGCGGTCTGTACTAATGCGGCAAAGTCATGTATACGTGTGATCACCGTAGCTCGAGAGAAACAGAGCGGGGCGGCAACGCCACCATTCGCACAGGTTCGGCTTGTTTTTGGACAATGGTCGGCTGGGCGCCTCTGACCTTGGCGAAACAATAGCATGCGGCATTTCTTTCGGCGATTGCTCTGTGGGTTAGCATCTGTGCCATGAAGCGCTACGGTTCGTCGATAGACGCTGCGGAAGAGATCAAGGTGATTTATCCATGTGTCGAAATCCTCACGGAGGCGGAGGGGAGGTGAGTATCCTTGATGTTCAATAAGTTATTGATTATCCTCACTTCTTGTCCACAGATGGCATCTTACGGGTAGGCTACGGTACGTGCACCGTTTCGGTACAAGTGTCTGATTTGATCACACTGATAATTGTCCGTTTCGGACGTAGAGACATCCTGGTTGATATCGTTTCCGATGTGCTGCCAAAATCCTTCGCCTTATCGGGGAAAGAGCGAGAGGTAGTCGACAGTGACGCGCTCTCGAGGCAGGCCCCGCTGTTCTTGGGTTCTGGAGCCAAAGTTCCCACTTTTCAAGCGACCACGATGCATTCGGGATCGAATCCGCCTCAGCAGAATGGGACAAGGATGTGGACGGGTTTGACGGTGCCGTCGACCTTCAAGTTCTCTCCTTCCGCAATTCAGTCTGTCGACAGTGGCCGACAAACTGTCCCCGCCGCCTTCCAGTCCACAGACCTTCTTCTGCCAAACCAAATGTTCAACATCGCCGGGCTCCGGCCCGCCCCTTCGCTTCTGACGGCGGGCACCGCATGGGACGGCCTTGCACCCCCACAGCACTCGCTTCCCACTCCGATGCACGACTTTGCAAGTCTGGAAACCGAGCTGACAAACGCGCTCACAATAAGTTCGCTGCCAGTGCCAGGCTCGCTGAGATTTGCGTCCTCCGAGGCTTACCCTCTGCATCCCTCCGCCCCTTCTTCCAACATGGACATCCTCCATGCTGCGCCCCTGCCGGGCGAGTACACGTATCCGGTGCTGGATCCTTCCACCCTCGGATCCTGGCCTGGCCCTGGAATCCAGGGTATGGTGCCCGTGGAAGGGGAGATGTCCTCTATGTGGGACCCTATGCCGTCCAGTTTCGGGTGAGTGCTCTTTCTCGTGTCGGGTTTCTTCCCCCGGAGGGTCGCGAGTCGCTGATGCTGAGCTCAGGCTGGACGATTGGGATATGTACTTGCAAAATCACCACCAAGGGCAGGAAGGCCCCGGCGCCCAAGAGCCGTAGAGAACCCCCCCCACGTCGTTCGTCGAAAAGGCATACTGATACTGGACCCAATATAGATTTTGGTACATCGTGTTCTATTCTATCCGATCCCTCATGTTGTTTGTAGAGTGCGATAGTCGCTTGGGCGCACGTAGACTGTAATATCATAACCGGTTCGTATAGACTTGTCCTCTAGACAATACAGCCAGCTTGAATGTCGTCGGTATAGAACTTGGAGGCCAGGGAGAAATTGTGAAGAACAGCATCTACCTCGCGCATAACGGGCCGGTGGTATTACAAGTCGCTCGTGGTGAGACTTGGGGACTAAACGTATATAAATAACGCCTTCCTGGAGCTGGAGAGCGGAAAGCTGCAGAAAATGGAAGGCCGTTGCTCTAGCCATCTCCTCGGTTCATCCGGGCCATCCAAATATCTGGCCGGCGGCCGGCGGCGGGGATGGGGACTTGCTGATTGCGACGCACCTGGACTTGCTTCGTGGCGTCTAACAAATCGGACGCCTACTCCGGTGGAGCACTGGGGTATGAAACGCGTACGTCGCCAAAGCTGACGGCTCGCATGGCATAGAAAGACCCTGAGAACTGACGAGCCCTGGCCTGTATCATCTCCATCACAGAGTAGCCAACAAGATGTGTGGACATGGAGCTCATAGCTGACTGTGGAGAAAGGAAAGCTGAGTTTGGACGTCCACTGGATGATGGTCAGTGTCGCGCCCACCGTCACTGTCACTATGTCTTCCATCCGGGATGCGACCTCGTCGAAATTTTCATGGAAGGATTCTAGAAATCTTTCCTCAAGTGGGTCCATGATATCCATCTGGGCAGCTCGGCCTTACATACATTCGTCAGATGGATGATTCTGTAGATGCCGGTTGAAGCTTGGAAGCGCGCGCGTAAATGTCCATAAGTCATGATTGCTCGGTAACCTCACGCTCTCAGCATCGACTTGCTGGGGATTCACCTCTTTCACTCGACAATTCTTCTCAAGTTCCGTCATGCTTTTCTCTAAGAGCTCGAGCGGTACTTTGGTAGCTGCGCCAGAAGCCACGTCACAGAACCAGGGGGACAGCTCGGAGAAGGACGGACCAGATGATACTGTGGAGGGTGGAATCAAGGCGTGGTGCGCTGTTGCAGGAGGGTGCGTATACGTGCGTTCTTCAGAGCATGTCCCATTGGGATTCTAGGACCGGACAGGTGGCTCGCGATGATGTCCACGTTTGGGTACACCAACGCGTTTGGTGTTTATCAAGACTTTTACACCCGGTCGCACGTCGCGTCGGCCTCGCGTACCAGCTGGATAGGCTCGACCCAGCTCTTCCTGCTCACCGCGACGGGCCTGTTTGCCGGTAAACTCGTCGATCTGGGATACTTCCGCCAGACCGTGTTGGCGGGCTCGTTTATCTACGTGTTTTCGTGCGTCTTATTTCTGGCTCCGTCGGCGAACTGGGATCGGTGCTCATGATGTGTGTTTGAAAAAGTCTATTCATGCTTTCTATCGCGCACCCGGACGAGTATTATCAGATCTTCCTTTCGCAAGGTATTGGGATGGGCCTCGGTGCTGGACTGATATACATACCGTGCCTCGCGATCCAGTCGCATCACTGGCGTACTCACCGCGCGATGGCTATGGGCATCGTATTTACCGGTACCCTTCGAGATGGCTGCTCTTCCTATCACGGTCTCATGTCTCAATTATTTTCCTCTTATAGGCTCCTCCGTTGGCGGAATCGTGTTTCCTATCATGCTCAACCAGCTTTTGAACGTGGACAACGTAGGGTTCGCGTGGAGCACCCGCGCGACGGCATTGATCGTGCTTGGCCTGCTGGCTTTGGCTAATTGTCTCATGAGCGACCGAGTCGCGTCGAAAGCCGCTAGCGGGCATGACCATCCAAAGCTGGATATTGGATCGTTTTTGACGGATGGGCCTTATATGTTGCTGACACTTGGGTACGTATCTGCATCGACGCGATGAAACGAGCGTTGGAGTGACGATGGGGTGTTTGTAAACAGCGCATTCATATGTCTCTGGGGCGTGTTTTACCCGTGTTCGTGCTTTTCACTTTTAACATGTCCGGACGCGATTCCTATGACATTTCCCTAGTGTTCTACGTTCAGCTATTCGCCATAACTCACGGCGTAGACCCCAAGATCGCGTTCTATACCGTAAAGGCTCTCTCTTCCGAGTCGAGTTGACAAGACCATCATTCAATCTCCTTTTTTGTAACAATAGCTGGCGATCCTGAATGCGTCCTCGATCCCCGGACGCGTCCTCCCGAATCTGTTCGTCCACAGATACGGGACGTACAACATCCTGCTGGCGTGCGGTCTTTGCTGCGGTGCGATCACGTTCGCTTTGTTTGGGATCACGACCGTTGCGGGGATCGTCGTCTTCGCAATCCTATCGGGGTTCTTCTCAGGAGGGTGTACGTGTGGCGCTTTCTTTTTCTGCGTTGTTGCTTCGGTTTGACAGAAGTGTGGCCACGGCAGTCTTGTCGGTCATCACGGCCGCTATAGCCTCACATGCGCGCCATGAAGGAGAGATAGGGTGAGGGGTTTAAGTGTACTCTGGGCTCGCTTGATTGATATCTGGGTCTTGAGATACAGCTTGCGCATGGGGTTCGCTTTTGCTCTGGCTGCCGTAGGCTCGTTGACCGGAACGCCCATCGACGGCGCTCTCCTCGGCGATGCGTTTACATGGTCTCGAACGATCATATTCAGTGGAGTGAGGGCCTTTCCTTCCCTCACCCGTTCACGTTGGTTTTTATGCTGACCTGACTCGTCGCGGTATGCAGGTCACAGTGCTCGCTGGCACCGCTGTTCTCGCGGTGTCTCGCCAGATGCTGGTGAGGCGCAAGGGGACGCAGATCATATGATACTGCGTCCGTGTTCTGTCGTGGCGTTTTGAGCGCCCCATCTCGGTTTATGGACCCTCTGGGAATTTTGATCGCGGAGATGTTTCAGCACACTGTTGTGGACAATGCCAAGCAATGTGTCGAGCGAATTTACGAGCCGAGACAGCGTGTAAATGGAGTGCAAGACCGTCAGGAGTCGTACGGGCCGGTACAAGTCCGGCGCTCAGAGAGCGCGTAGTCGCGCGCATACGAAAAGACGATGGCTTCCGACGCTCGCCGTGTGCGGGTGCCCGCCCTGGTAAGGTCCGAGTATGTTGTCAGCATCTCACACAAATAGGGCTTTCGTAGGTAAGTTGCGTAGTACGGGCTCTTGCGCGCATCGTTTTGAGTGGCGCCCGGACAACGCGCGACGCCGTCGTGCTGTTTGTCGAGCGTGGCGCACGGTCAGCGACTCAGCGTGAGAGAAGCGGGGAGGTATAGACGATGCATCTGGAGCGCACGATCCATACTTACCATTGTTTGATAAGTGGCTGCATTGGTTTAAAACTGTCGTACCTACCTTGAACGCTGGTCACGTATTGAGACATTGATTGGAGGCTTACAAGAAGGTGGATGTCTGGAGTGAAAACATCGAGATGGGACGCGCGAGCGTCTATTTCGAATGTAGCTAGTGAGGGCCTAAGCGCTCAGCAATTCGGATACAGTGTGAACGACCACCTGCTAACGAAGTCAGCGCTAGAAAGTGGGCGAGAGTCTGCGAGAGTCTCATAACCGCAGGGTGGAGGGGAAGTAGTCAGGTTTCGAAAAGTGTCAGTTCCTCCCAGGGCCGGATAGTGGCCATCCTCAGCAGAGTCAACCTACCGACATATGCGTTCGAAGCGAAAGCAGGTCCTGGCTCTTGAGAGGATAAAAATGTCTCTCTTCGTGTGAAGTCGAAGTACCTTGTCTAAGGTTAGGGGCCAGGGCGAGCGCCTGCGACCGGCGCGGAGACGGAGGACGGCGACGGAAACGTCGCCAGCGATGGCCTGCTCCGCACCCAACCCGTCCGCGAGGCCGTCCCTCACCACGACCTCAACATCGACACCGACCTCGACCCTACCAGACCCAGTCGTCTCCAGACTTCCTCCATCGCTCACGATCGACCATGAGCGCCCCACATCTCCATCGGTGGGGACCTGTGCGCTCGCTCCTCGTCCTCTCACCACTGCTGATCGTCGCACCCTGGTTCGCCATACAACGCCATTACGGTCAGTCTCAATATTTACCCTGGTCGAGAATGGACGCGCTCTTCTGACCCGTGACCCGCTTTCAGCTCTCCCAGAGCCCGTGACACAGCTGTGCGCGCCCATGGCTCTTTCTGAATTTCTCACCGCATTGACCGGCGTCGGACATTGCCCCCACATTGGGAACCCGCAGCGTCGACCCCGTTTCTCACCTCCCGCAGCTCTCCGAGGCGCAGATCTTATCCCACATCCGTCATCTCTCTGAAGACATTGGCTTCCGCACCGTCGGCACAAAAGAGCACGCGCTCGCAGACCAATGGCTCACCGACCAGGCGCACGCGATCAAGCGCGAGTGCGAGGAGGTGGTGAACCGAGCGCGCGAGCAGCCGGGCGCACCAGCACGCCGTTTGGAATGCGAAGTGTGGAGGCAGCAGGGAAGCGGGAGCCATCGGTGCGTCTCCTCTCTCTCCCTTCCGCGTACTCGCGACCTACCCTGCCAAACTCATGCGCCTCCTCCAGCTTCGACATGATGGGCAAGCGCCTCTACAAGACCTACGTCAACCTCACCAACATCATCGTGCGCATCTCGAACGGCACCCCCGAGGGCAAAGCACATGCCGTCCTCGTCAACGCCCACCTCGACAGCACCCTCCCCAGTCCCGGCGCCGCGGACGACGCACTCTCCGTCGGCGTCATGCTCGACTGCATGCGTGTCCTCACGCATACGCCCGACTGGGAGCCGCAGCACGCGATCATATTCTGTGCGTGCACCTTCAGCGTCGGCGAACTATCCTACTTTGTTTTTGCTGAATGAGCGATTGGCCGCAAGTGTTCAATAACGCGGAGGAGTCGCTGCAGGACGCCTCGCATCTCTTCTCTACGCAGCATCCCATCGCGTCTACGTGAGTCTCGATCACCGACAGGAACTTCTCTCACCCAACACATAATCGATTGTTCGCCATAGCGTCCGGGCGTTCATCAACCTCGAAGGTCCGTCCTCCCTCGTTACGATCGCTAGAGGAGCAGAAGCTTACCGTGCAGCTCGCGCGCCTCCCTGATGCCGCATCGCAGCGGCCGGGACCGTCGGCCCCGAGCTGCTCTTCCAGGCCACCTCGGAACAGATGATCCAGGCGTATTCCAAAGCCCCGAGGTGCGTCGTACTTCACTCTCACGGTGATGCGTCGAGCGGGCTTGCTGATATCTATTGCATCGGGCTAGACCGTTTGGCACGGTCGTCGCTAACGAGGTGTTTAGCTCTGGTGTGATTATGTCCGAGTAAGTGCGAATTGAGGTTCTCGCTCCCTTGTTTTCAACATGGGCGCGTTGTGATGTGCCGCCGTATTGACACACGCGCGGTCTGCGTCGCGTTTCGCAGCACTGATTTCAGACAGTTCGAGCTCTACCTGAACGTCACCGGTCTCGATGTGAGTGTTTCTCGTTTCTTTGACTCTATCACCGAGACGAGTGAGTGGTTCATGGTCCTTTCAGATGGCAGTCGTAGGGAACAGCTACATGTACCACACGCGTAAAGTACGCACACAGGTCGTTTGACGTCTCATTACGCCGTAGATTGACTAGGTTATCAGGATACCGTAGAGCACCTACAACCTGGCGTAGCCCAGGTACGCTCTGTCTTTCTATTTACGTTGGATGGGGCATCCATAAGGACTGACCTTTCCTTCAGCACATGGCCGACAACGTCCTCGCTATTCTAGAATACCTCTCTTCCGCAGACTCGCCGCTCCCGTCTCTCGACGCCGGCTACACCCGCCCCTCCACCGTCTTCTTCTCGCACCTGGGCTTCTTCTTCATGTACTCGTACACGACCGCGCGCGCGCTCTACGCCCTCCTCTTCGTCTCCGCCTACCAATTCGTCATGGTTACGTACCGCAACCCCGCGCTCGGCTCCGGGCGCAAGGAGCTCGTCGACTCGGTGCGCCAGAACGCGCGCGGCATCGGCGCGTGGGCCCTCGCGATCGGCGGCGCGCTGGTCGGCGCGAACGCGCTCGCGCTCGTCATGGAGCGCGCGCTCGGGCGCGGGATGAGCTGGTACGCCGTCGAGCTGTCCGCGCTCGCGCTGTACGGGCCCGCGGCGCTCGCCGGCGCGCTCGCGACGCAGCTCATCGCGGCGCCACGCCTGCACGAGCGCACGATGCTGACCGCGCTGCTCGTGCTCCAGTCGCTGCTCGCGTTCGCGATCCAGCTGGTCGGGATCGGCTCCGCGGTCATGTTCGCGCTTTCCGCGCTCCCGCTCCTCGGCGCGCTGCTCCTGGACGCCGCGTTCAGGCGCAGCACGGGGCCCGTGTCGCTGTGGACGTACGCGCTGGGCCAGACGATGCCGCTCCTGACGGGCACGCAGCTCATCTGCACGGTGCTCGACGTGTTCGTTCCCCTAGTGCGTCCTTTCCTTCATTTGTCCCCATCGTCCGTGGTTGTGTGCTGAGACACGCGCGTGCGCAGGCAGGCAGGACAGGGCGCGAGGCGCCCGCGGAACATATCATCGCGTCGCTCGTCGCCATCACGGGCGCGTACACGCTGCCGCTTGCGCTCCCGTTTGCGCATCGGTACGGCCCCCGTGCGCTGCGCCGCGCGGTGCTCGCGCTCGTCGGTCTAAGCGCGGCCACGGCGGCGGTGTTTGCGATGCGCGAGCCGTTCGACGCGCTGCACCAGCGGCGGCTGTTCGTGCTCAGCCTGGAGAACGTGAGCGCGTTCGTTGTCGGGCCTGCAGTGGGCCTAGTTGTGGACATGCTGATGTGTTGTGTTGTCGGAGACAGGTGACGACGCAGGAGCGCGTCCTCCACGTCGGCGCTGCGGACGGCGCGCCGGGATTCGAGGCGCTCGTGCGGGACATCGCGGAGGAGTTCGGTGCGCCGGGGGCGGTGGCGGTGCAAGAAGAGATGCACGACTGGAACGGGGACTGGGACGTCCTGTATCCGTTCTCGGCGGTACGCACTCTGTTTTCCCTAATCGCCCGGGTCGCGCTGAGGGTCTTTGTGGTTGTGTACAGTTCATGTCGCCATACAAGGTGGCGCTGCCTGCGGAGCCGGGGTACGTGTCGCCGTTTGCTGAGGGCGGGCGGGAGGCGTTCTCGGTCGCGGCTGTGAACGATCGGATAGACGAGGCGGCGGGGACGCGGAGCCTCACGCTCAAGATCGACCACCCAGGCTTGATCTGGACGGGTGCGTGTTTTGTGTTTCGCGGCGCGGGCATGCGCGATACGGGCGGCTGACGATGTCGCTTCGGCTCGGTTGTGTTTAGTGGTGGCGTTCGATGCGCACGTGCTGCGGTGGACGCTTGACGACGCGCCGCCGGACGAGCGCGCGCGGCACCACATCAAGGAGGCGTCGTTCTACGGCGTAGACACGTGGGCCGTCGACCTCGTCGTGCGGATCCCGCCGGGCGAAGGCGACGCGCGCGCGCGCGCTGCGCTGCGGGTGAACTTTGTGGGCGTGCAGGAGCGGACGATGTGGCCCGGGAAGCGCGGGGCGAAGGCGGAGGGCGGGCCGTCGATGGCGCTGTTCGAGCGGCTGGATGGGTGGGTGGACGCGTACACGGGGGGGAAGGTGGATACGATGTTGATCGGGTCGGTTGGGGGCGTTGTCGTCGTGTGAGCGCGTGTGGGCGAGAGAGCGGGGACATTGCTAGAGTTTGTAGAGTGAATCTGGACAATCAATTCGAATTGCGGGATGGCTGTGTGAAGAGGCGGCCGCGATGGCTGTCAGGCATCGTTTCCAGGAAGGCGAGGGGTCGGGGTGCCTATATGCTGGTATGGGAGGAGACAGATCCAAGTTTACCCTCGCTGGGTCTTCTTTGACCTGTCCTTCCGTCGATGCCATCCCCATCGGCACGGTCGGCGACGGCGTACAGCGGCCGTGTTTTCAAATATCCGATCATCGCAATCTAAAGGCCTGCGCCGCACGCTGCCGCACGTCATGACTTCTTTGCCAGCGTCCAGGTTGCTGTATGTAGTTCTTGACTGCTACATCTCTTAGCGAACCGCCATTCAAAAAGCAGAGACAATCGTTCTCTGAAAGCGCCAAGTCAGCCATCGAGCTCACTGCAGCGTGGTGAGCGGTTAGAGGTGGCAAATTATTGGCCTTTTCCTTCGATTACCCATTTGCCAGCTTACGCTCATAGCGACTATATGCGCGCCCTCGAGGTGAGTCAAGGCCACTCGGTCGTTTGTCCTATCCGCTGCATCAGGAAAGCTTCGTTCTTTTTCTGATTTGATGATGACGCACATTTTACCGGGACATAGTCAAAAGCCTGATGCCACCTGGGCGCCCTTTGCACCACGACACGACCCACAGGACTCCCAGAGGCCGTACCAGTACACACGATAAGTATGTTGTTTATTTTGCATCGTATACAACCCGATGAAAGCCAAAATTCGGCTGCGGAATTGCTGCGAAACGTGTCGCGGTGGGATCCATCGACCATCTAGAGGCCTCGCGAAAGGTAAGCCTTGTGGGTGCGCAGGAGTTGACGATGTATCCGGAGAAGCAGGCGGCACGGTGGCATTGTTCAAGCGGCTGCTAGACTCGTGGGTGGACATGATGCGGATGAGTTTTGGGCGGCGTCGTTGCCATCGTGCGCACGGGACGTTGGCTGTTGAGCCGTGCGCAGAGTGGATGGAGCAGAGAATCGAGATGGGAGACGGTGTCTTGATACGTCCATGGTCGAGGCGTCCATCTATGCGTGTGAAGAGATGCTGTCAATTCTACCTAGTGCCTTCCCTTCTTGCTGTTATCAAAGACGCCCTCGTCGATGCTGCGTCCTCCATCCTTTCGCTTGACCCCCACCCTCTTCCTATCTCAATGTGTTTCTCTTTCCTGGGGTGCGCTGCACCCCCCACCCTTGTTGCATCACTTGTCTTCTCTCCAAATACCGCAAATGCCATTCAACTCTCATTCCAGCCACCGTCCATCCCAGGGGCGTTCCCTGTTTTCGGCGGCAATGATTCTATGTAGTGCTTCTCCAGTACGTCGCCTCGTGGCTTAATATTTGCCCTCCATCACAGTCATCTCGAGCATGTTCGGAGGATATCAAGGTACGATTCACCGCGATTTATAGTCCTTCAGCCGTGTTAATCGCCATATATCAATCAATCGCATGGCAGATATCTACACCTCCAACATCCCGAATGATTTCTTTGAGCGTGCGAAAAGCATGGGCAACGTGCTCAAAAAATACGCCTCCGGTTTGCTCGACCGCGTGAATGCCGAGTACGAAGCACCCGTCCAGGCCAAGGTCGCAGAGTTTCGTGAGTCGCTCGACCGCCTCGCCGAGGGCACCACGCGCCTCCACGACTTGGGTATGGGTGACCTTGGGGAGGAGATCGCACGCGTCCTCGCGATCATTGCGCAACAGATTCAGGCCGCGTTCCCGCCGCCTGACCAGGCCCCAGGCCACGAGCGCCGCGTGGAGATGGTGGACGACGTTTTACAGCGCGTGGAGGAGGCCCTCGTGCGCGTTACAGAGGCGCACGGGCTGCCTGCCGAGCGCATTCGCAAATACCTGCATGATCATATTCTTCCACACGTCAAGCGCGTGGTCGTTATCATCGGTGCGCGTCCGCTATTCTTGCTTTACCTTGCGCGTTCTGAGTCCGTGCCGCTGACACAGGCGACCTCGCGGAGCAGCACTCTTCCTTGCTCAGGATCCTCCTCTTCGCCGCCGTGGGTGCGCTCATCCCCAATAGCTGGATCCTGCGCTCGCTCCTAGATATCTTCGGATTCGGGCCCTTCGGCCCATTGAGAGGTGCGCGCACCCACCTAAACCACTGCGCCTCTGCTTTCTCGTGTGCCGGAAAGCTAATGTCTCGCGCTCGATCGTCAGGGTCAGCAGTGGCGTGGGCGCAGCGGGTGTTCTTCGGCGCCACGGTCCCTGAAGGCAGCTGGTTCGCGCACCTGCAGTCCGTGGCGACGGGCGAGGGGTTGTCGTTAGGCGTGGGCGCAATCCTCGGGGGTGCCATTGGCGCGGGACTGGGCCTATTTGAATGCCTTGCGCACGGACAATGAGCGAGCGGCACGCTTGTGCGTACGCCTTTTCGTGTGGAATCGTGCTTTGCATGTTTTGTGCTCTGATTTTTTTTGCCTCATTCACTCCTTTTTTTTTTGCTTTTCTTGTAGCTCTGGGATGTGCTGTTCGAATACGTCAATTTTTTTGATCATGGTGACGTTTGAACAAGAGGTGAATGAATACACCAGGCTGCCTCCTCCTATCAAGACGAAATCACCCTTTTGGATCGCCTATGGCCTGCAATTCCTTTACGGTATTGTTTGCTGCTCATCGATCATCGCTTGTTTATCTGTTTTCAGTTGTACCATAAAGCATACGCACGTTTGGAAGTAAACTCTCTTTGTTTTTCCATGTTGGCACACACTTTGCAGATCGCTGGCTCTGACCCCGATGGTGCCAATGGCTGATCGGTACCGTTCAATATCTGGGTTGGAGATCGTTGTGAGACACCTTTATAGGTCCAAACTCGCGTTATATCTTGTTTCTATGCGTCGCCAACTCTAATCGAACGGCACGCATGATGTCGTACAGCGCGTCGGCCCAAGCCGGGCGAGGTGCATCTATTGTGATCCATAGGATTAGCGCCTCAAGACGTGGGATACGCCGCGTGAACTGCAGCTTCAGCGACCTGGTGCTGTTTGTGGAGGCGTGATAGCAGGGGCATATAGGACGGGAAATGGGCTCTCCCCCATGAGTGCATCGGGCGATGAAGCAGGTATGAGGAGTGAGCGAGACGAGCAGAAGAGACGGACGGCCCGCAAGCCTGCGAAGTTGTAGATCGATGACGGCCGAACTTGGATACTTAGCAAGCCGAGAGCCGCCAGGAGGTGTTTTCAATCTCCGACCATGATAGTCAAGGACTTGCGCACGTGTCCGCTTGCTGTATTTCTTGACTGCTACATTTTTTGGTGAACCGCATCTTCATGATCTACCCGCGACGAGAGCCATTGTGGCTTGTGTAGTCTCCCCTGAAAGCACCGACTCAGTCACCCAGCTCACTTTGCAGCATGGCGAACGATGTGATGGCCTGTTTTCTCGATTACCATTGTGCCTCCGCTCATAGCGAGTATATGCCCGCCTCGGGGTGAGTCAAGGTATGTCGTTATCTTGCATCCCATACAACGCCACGAAGGATAGGACACGGCTGTGGGATCCACCACGATGGGGACAAGTGATCATTGAGACGGCAGTATTGTCGGTGTTAGAGGCTCGACCATTCCGCGTAATCTAAACGGATGCGCGTGCATGAGTGGATGTTATATCCGTAGAAGTAGGCAGCAAGGGCGCCGTTCAAGCGGCTGGACTCGTGAGTGGACACGATGCGGATCGGATCAGTCGGAGGGTTTGCCGTCGTCGTGCGCGTAGAGTGGATCAAGCAGAGAACCAAGACAGGGGTGAGGAGAGGACGCGGCGACGTGACCGGAGAACGTGTATCTCGATATATCTATGGTCAAGGTGCCCGTCGCCACGTCAGTTCTGTGAAGAGATGCCGTCAATCCTAGGCCTCGTGCCCTCTTGCCGTTATAAAAGAAGTCTTCGTCAATGCTGCATCTTTCTTCCTTTCGCTCCTCCACCACCCTCGATGCGTTTCTCTCTCCTGGGGTGCGTTGCACCCTCCATCCTTGTTGCATCACTTGTCTTCTCTCCAAATGCCGCGAATGCCATTCAGCTCCCATTTCAGCCATCGACCATCCCAGGCTCCGGGATGTTCCCTGTTTTCGACGGTAATGATTCTATGTAGTACTTCTCCAGTACGTCGCCTCGTGGCTTAATATTTTCCCTCAATCACAGTCATCTCGAGCATGTTCGGAGGATATCGAGGTACGATTCACCGCGATTTATAGTCCTTCAGCCGTGTTAATCGCCATATATCAATCAATCGCATGGCAGATATCTACACCTCCAACATCCCGAATGATTTCTTTGAGCGTGCGAAAAGCATGGGCAACGTGCTCAAAAAATACGCCACCGGTTTGCTCGACCGCGTGAATGCCGAGTACGAAGCACCCGTCCAGGCCAAGGTCGCGGAGTTTCGTGAGTCGCTCGACCGCCTCGCCGAGGGCACCACGCGCCTCCACGACTTGGGTATGAGTGACTTTGGGGAGGAGCTCGCGCGCGTCCTCGCGACCATTGCGCAACAGATCCAGGACGAGTTCCCGCCACCTGACAAAGCCCCGAGCCACGAGCGTCGCGTGGAGATGGTAGACGACGTTTTGCAGCGGGTCGAGGAGGTTCTCGTGCACGTTGCAGAGGCGTACGGGCTGCCTGCCGAGCGCATCCGCGAAGACCTGCACGATCGGATCCTTCCGCACGTTAAGCGCCTGGTCGTTATCACTGGTGCGCCTTCGCGTTCCTGGTCATGCCCATGTGCGTTCTGAATCCTTGTTGTCGATGCAGGTGATCTCGCGGAGCAGCATCCTGTATTGCTCGAGACACTGCTCTTCGCCGCCGTGGGCGCGCTCATCCCGGAGAGCTGGTTCCTGCGCCCGCTCTTGAACCTCTTCGGGTTCGGGCCCTACGGCCCTGTCAAAGGTGCGCGCGCCCACACAGACTCCCGCGCCTCGTCCTTTTCATGTGGATGAACGCTGACGTCTCATCGCGCTCGATCATAAGGGTCGGCGGCGGCATGGGCGCAGCGACGCTTCTACGGCGCTACGGTTGCTTCTCGCAGCTGGTTTGCGCACCTGCAGTCTGCAGCGATGAGGCCGCGGCTGCCGCCTGGCACGGGCGCGGCCATCGGGGGCGCGGTCGGCGCGGGGCTGAGCCTGTTTGGGTGCCGTGCTCGCGCACGATGAGCGAGCGGCGCGCGAGTGCGTGCGCCTGTTCTTGTGGAATTGTGCTTTGGACGCTTTGTGCCTTGATTTCTTGATCTCAATTGTATTCTGCATTTATCCCCCGTTTCTAGCTCTCAAATGCATTGTATGACCCCGTCAACTGTTGTACCATGAAGACGCTTTGAACGAGCTCATACTGCTTTCGGTACGTCTCGAACTTCGCCTTCTCTTGCTTGACCAAAGCGAATGCATCATCAAGAGATTCGATCCCTTTGAACTCGCTTGAAATGTTCACGCCAGTATCGGAGGTATATTTGTCGACCGTGTCTTCGCAAATGCGGTTTATGTCGGCCATTCATACGGTTTGTATTATATTCTGTGCGCAAAATAAGAACGATGATGAGCGCTTCCTGACTGCCTCCATGCTAGCAAACACGCAAGGTTGCGCTAAGTATAGTCGTCCATAGTTACTCGGCATTGGCGGTACAGGTTCAGATTCAAACTTCGCGTACGAGTCCATAAAGGAGGATCAGGCCTGAACGACCCTATACAGCTGTACGCACCGAGTTCCTCGCTATTGGGAATAGGCAGTGTCGACCTGTCTCTGACCTTTATGACTCTTCAAGACTATGACATATCTGACATCTTCTGAAAGTGGAATTATGCCCCTATGATCCATTGCCCGAGCATACGTGAGTAAACAAACTGAGTCGATGCCTATCCACTATATGATCGTGAAGCATTGATGACACTGGCACTGTCCCATCGAAACACGACGAACGATCCAGCATCTCTTGCACCTTGCCCGACAGTGCAAGGTCGTCGCCCAAGTCCACTGCGCGCTACATCCTTCAATTTTTCCTATACATTCTCTTGATTGCGCTCTCGACGCGCCTTCTGTACCTCGAACTGTGGAAGCGAGAGATGCAGGAGCATGAACGCGAGCGACAGCAGTGGGACCATGAACGCGAGGCGCATAGGCCATACTGGGATCAGCCGGTGCGCGTTTCGCCGTCTTGCAGTGCGTACGGCACGATGGAGTACAAGGCGCGGCTGTGGAACGTGCCGCCTGGTTCGGACTGGTACCAGGCGTGCATCGGGATGGTGCAACAGATTCATGGGCGAACTCTGGAGAAGCCTGATAGGACCTGGTGAGTGCCGGACCCTCTAATTATCGGCTTCAGCAGCTTCGGTCCCACAGTCATTGACGGGAGGCGGTTTTTGTTATGCTCAGGGGTAGCGTGATGGAATCTGGGGGTACTGGCGAGTTGGTTTCGACGAACCGCAGTGCATGACGAGCTGGGGTGGGCCCTGGGACAAAGTAAGGAATTCGCCTTGTATGGACGACCCGCACTCATCCTTCGCTCTGTGTTGCAGGGATGCGTCCGCTCGGGTGTTCGCGTACGTACAAATGCCTGCCGTGCTTCTCAGCATATATTAACAAGGGTGTGCAGCTCGTAGAGGCATCACTGAGAGGGCAAAAGTCCGAGGATGATGAGTTCAGGATGTGCTGGACCACTACTGGCCACCTGGCCAGTATGGCCGCGGACCTTGGGTTTCCCAACGACTGTCAGCAGCGAGTGCGTTTCTTATGGTCAACGTTTTTTTCGCATGCATGGCTGACGGGAAGTTGTTCAGGGTTGGGCCGGTGGCGGGATGGTGAGCATGTGGGAGATCCGGGATGAAAAATGCAATTAATGTTTATCGTTGGTAAGCTCAATACTCTGTCTTGCTTTCCTGCGACAGCTACCCGTGTCCAATGTCTCCAGCGCAAGCTGTATATCCAACTCGGCTAGGTACCGTATATGTCAAAAGTTATCCTTTGCTATTCTGTGCGCTCAGCTGTTTGTATGACTGCGAGAGTCTTCCATTCTCCTCTTCTGCATAGGGTAATCTTCTAGCTCCACCTATACGGAATAGGATCTGTGGTGTTGTTTGTACGTTCAGAATTATATCATGTACTTGTCCTTTGGACGCGGACTCTCAACTATTATATGCCGAAAGAACGAACATGCTCTGCAGATTGCTAGCTCAGACGGCGCGATCGATAGCTCCTGACGGTCTACACTACCTACGTCAACCTAGCTGATATCATTGCATGCATATTCAAACCTCAAGGGCACCACTGAAGGCGACGCCTACGCCCATCTAGACAGTACATTCCCTAATAATAACCATGGCACCGCTGATGACCCATTCTCCGTCGGCGCTTTGTTAGATTGAATGCACGCCATTGAACGGAAGGGCGTGAGAAACCACTTTATACTCTTGTGATCTAATGGACAGTTAGCTAACAATTTCGCGGAACCTGATGCCTGGAGGCTTCAGTGGTGCCATCGATCTCTTCTCGTGCGCACACTCCTTCTGTATATTTATTTATCGTGCGCTCGATGTGCCCATGCAGTGGAGACTTCACAGCTGTCTACCAAGCTGTCTGGGACGTTATGGATTGATCACGGTTCATGACAGGTAAGGTGAATGTGAACGCATTTTATTGTGGAGCGTAGCAAAACTCCTAAGACTCGCGAAAGGGAAACACTGATTTCACATGTAGAGGCCCACCATCTATCCCTCAGCGTCCCATATTGCAACAAGATCTCCTGGCTCACGTCCTTCCACCCCCGCTTCTTCTTATCCTTCTGCATCTCTTTCGCCGTTACGATCTTAAATCGATGGCCGGCCCATATTCCTCGATGCAGATCCCCGGTATACCTCATCGCAGTGGAGCCCTGAGCAGACCAACTCGTGCGCATGACAACGATCTGGCCGAAATCGTAGTCCGAGAAATACTCAGCTAGATCTGAGTCAGGATTCCGCTCAAGCCAGAGGCTCTTGGTCCTCTCGAAAGCCTTGCCGTTTACATATTCACCTGTGGTTAAATTGCGGAGGATCAGCTGGTCCATCGATGATTCCGGCGTCCAATATGCAAGGTCGTCAGCGAGAATATCAAAGAGTGAGCAGTCGGTCTCATCTGTCCACGATCCTCTCAACAGGGTCCGTCTGAGTTCATAACGAAGGTCAAATTCGCTCTCGTTCTTGAACTCTTCCGCATATTCGTATAGCGAAATATGAGGAGTTCTTCCGTCGTCGGTGTCATCGTCCTCGTCCTCGTCCTCGAATTCAATATCATCTAGAACGATCAGCGAAGCCTCCTCCTATTTCGTCAGCTTCAGAGAAGGCGGGGTGTCGCAAGGGACGCAGTAGTGACCCAGACAGATGATGCGATCACCAGCCCAGCTGGACGCCTCTTCGACGCGGGATTTAATGAAGGGTCGGCTTATCTGCCAGTGTCGACGGCATGTCAAGGCGAGGGATACAGTGGGCACGCAGTCGGGAATATAGGAATATATCATGATGATGATCTCGGTTGGAAGCGAGGGGAAGGGGGAGGCCACGGTCGGATCTGGTTTCGAGCGCCACGAACTCGAGGAGTCCAAGTGAGGATTGCGTTGAAGTTGAAGCAGCCTGCTATGCTTCGATGGTGGGATGTCTGCCTCTTCAGAAAGCTTACGCTTTTTGCTGCGCGTGAGCCTGGACAAGAGAGTAGGCAGGGTCAAGAGCTAGGCAAGTGACGGCGGAGAATGATCTACATATGGCCCTGATACTTCTGGGGAGATGTCCGGGGCAGAAACATCGGCGAGTTCTATTTCAGGCCGGCGTTGTAAACAAGTGCCCAGATACTTGGTGCTTCCGTCAAAGAAGGCTCCTCCCAGTTTGCTCAAGTCCGTATGAACGCATTTATCAAAGTTAGCGAGTTGCCAGTATTGATACGTGACTCAAATGACAATACCGAATATTCGAGTGATTGACTAGAGCGGCGTGTCGAAGGAGTGAGATGACGAGGCTGAAACCTGCGGCGAAGCAACTTTATATAGACCTCCTGGGCCACGTGAAGCTAAGGCCACTACAAGGTCGACGGGCTCTATCGTTCCATCTATCCGCGTTCCCTTATCACTGAAGGCCCTATAGATAGCCGATACGAAACATATGCGTGATGAACAACACAACAACAAGAGATCCCTCTTGATGATATGCTCACTATGCAGATAGACGCCGGCATAGCTGGACAAGGCCCGTGTTGTCCTACAAGAGCAGAATACAACGATATCTCATCTAAGAACAGAGAAAGACCAACAATTAAATACCTTGAAAGTTCCCCTGAGCCTTTAGATTCTCTGACGCTGGCGCCTACCCGTGAATACTACCGCTCTGCGAGGTTGCTGCATCTTGTAATGCGTGCAGTCCAACAGATAGTCGCTGTCCTCAAGGCCGCGCAGAACAACACAGGGCAATGAACAAGATGCAGCAGACTCGAAGCACTCCATGAAAAGCACACTCGATCGCAGGATATGGATACGATGATAGTCCACAGACTAAACATCACCCTCACTTCAACGACAGAAACGATACTATTGATTTAAGCGGTCAGCTCGAGTATCCATCCCCTGCTCTCCTTAGACCTTCGTACCTGTGCATGAGTCGAAATCGTTGGATAATCTGACTTGACCCGCCAGTCAAGTCCCTGACCAGTCATATTTTGAAAGATGCTGGGTTGGTCGAGAAAACGTCTGGTCAGAAACAAAAGAACGGTCGAATTGAAAAGGCGAGTGGCCCAGTTGCAAAGACGAGTGGTCGACATGGAAAGATAATGAGTCGAGTCGAACAGACGCTGAGTCGAGTTGGAAAGACGATTGGTCGAGACATGAACGCGCTCACCGATGAGCCCATGACGCCACCACCAATGGCAGTATATATTGGGTTTTTTTTGCGTCCCTCCTCGTGAGATGGGGTCACGTCTGTGACAGGAAGAGATGAGCGCCAACGGGACCATTGAACATTTACAAGAAACGAGAAAGAGATGGCGGATATCGTTGGGAGACGACGATGACCAACGGGCCCGGGACGCTGAGACACTCTCCAAGCCGAGGGGACCGACGACTGACGACCCTCCCAAAGCGACCAGGCTGGCATAAGCAAGTCGAAATCGATATACGGGCCTATATTCCTGCCCCCGCCCGCTCTCTCTCGACCAGAGAACGATCCTTTCGACCACTACCATCTCTGCACTTTCTTACCATCTTTCTACACACGCCTTTCTATCACCTTCTGTTATCATCGCCTTCTACCACACTCTACCATCCCACACCATCCCACACACCATCTACCACCATGTCTTCCCCGTTGAAACACTCTGGATTCATGTCTGTCGTGGCTGGCCCCGCGTCAAGCATCGATCCCACCGCTCCCAACGGAACCAACAAACCCAAACCCAAGGGCATCGACAAAGGCATACTCAGACTCCCGCCCCAAGTCGACGTCCCGACCCGTAAGTCCCCCGCGCCCGCGCCGCTCCTCGCCACGCCCTCCCTTCCCCTCCCGACGCTGACCGCTCTCCCAGTTTGGAAGCTCAACGCCCGCAGCTCCCTCACCCCATGCTACCCCAAGCTCGAAGACAGCATGGTCAGCATCGAAGTCCGCCACCAGATCGTCCCCGACACGCCGCAGCGCAAGAAGACGGTCCGCTTCGCGCTCGACCAGCTGCAGATGCCGGAGGCCCCGCGCACCCCCATGGCCCCACCCACCCCCAAGACGCGCAGCAAGAAGCGCTTGATCAGTTCCGAAGACCACCCCGGGCTCTCAGAGCTCGAGATCGGCGCGCTCAGGGCCGCACGCATCATGGCCATGCCCAGCCCCCCCAAGTTCGGCGCCCCTGAATACGACTCCGACTCGTCTGAGGAAGAGGAGGACGAGATTAACTTCATGTCGCGTCGACCCACCATGATGAAGCCGCCTAGGGCCTCGGTGCCGCCTGCAGAACGCTCCAGCGGCAATATCTTCGCAAGCAACCAACCCCCCAGTGGTTTGCAGTTGTGGCCTGTGGGCTCGTACAAGGCTGCCATGGCCGCGGAGAGAGCGAAGAAGGCCGAAGAAAAGGCCCAGCGAGACGAGGAGCAGAAACGACGAGAGGAAGTGAACGCGATGAGGGAGGCAGAGGAGGAGGAGATGGTGCTGCAGATGCTCGATGCGGCACACGAGACGCCCGAAGCACCCACGGAGGCGTTCGCAGAAGCGCCCACGGAAGCGCCCGAAGATGACCTCGAAGGGACGCCCGAGCACACTCCCAAGCGATCTATCGATGAGCAGAAGGACGAGCCATTCTCGCCGTTGTCGGAGTATTCCTGCCCGTCGTCATTGTCAGAGTATTCTTGCTCGTCGGCCTCTCCCTCTCTACAGTCTCACCAGCGCGTCGGCGCATCATCCGAAAGCCAGCTTGATCCTGCGCAGCATTTCCATGTCACGGAGGAAAACGTCGCGGACGGCGTCAGAGGACACTCGGAGGAAGAAACCAATGATACCAAAGACGAAGAAGAATGGGTCATCGTCGACACGCCTGAACGCCAGTCTCCGTCGACTGAGGTTTCAAACCAGCCGCGCAAGTCCCCGATCATCCCTCAGGTGATGCAGAGGGTCACACGGTCAATGTCTAGAGATATCCGGGCGAAGATCCACAGCATGTCCAGCGGATCCAAGGACAAGGCGACGACGGCCGGTTCCAAGGCTAGCACAGCATCGAGGGGGGCAGCAAAGGCGAGACAGGTGTTTACCAAGGTGAAATCGGAGACGGAGATGACCAGAACCAGAACCAAGGCCGTCTCCGCCGCCGAGTCGAGGGCGCGGACCATGCCCACGATCCCCGAGGTACGTTCAATGACTATCAGCAACGTTGAGCTTGCGCTGACCATCCTGAAGTCTCCTTCTGTCGCAGAGCCTCAGCCCACCGTCTCGCGCTCGAAGCGCAGCCAACTCAAGAGGCGTTGGGTAGCAGATGACGTCCAGGAAGTCTCTTCGAAGAAGCGCAAGCTCTCAGGTCAAGCTTCGGCAGCGAAGAAAGCTAAGTTATCTTTGGCGACGAAAGTTACTGCAGCCGTTCCGCAAGGCCCTGTGACCACCATGTCTCAAGAAGTCGTCTCAAGCTCGCGTGTCTCTGGCAAGAGGCGTAGGGATGCCGATGAAGAAGAGTCTTCGTCTATTGGAGCGCGTCTGGTGAAGAGGTTGAGGGCATTGTAAAGGGGGGCATCGGGGGACAGAGGGGGAGGTGGTGTGGATGGGGAGGGCGGTGTTAACCTTTTTTTTCCCCTGCAGATCTAGGTTCGGTTCGGATCGATATCAAGGCGAAGTCGGGTTCTTCAAAATCGTGTCTTTCGGTGGCAGTACCTTCGGCCGGGAGGGACCTGTTGTTGGGAGACGGGGTGGCGGGGACACGGCTTCGGCGTGTCCAGGTGAGTGTTCATCTATGTACCTAACTTTGTCTTTCCCCGTCAGTATCTCGACGACGACGACAACGACGACGATCCGCACGCACGACGACGATGATTCACACGCACGCACGACGACGATACGCACGCATACACGACTGTTACACACGCACGCACGCACGCACGACGATACGCACGCACGCATACACGACCGCTACGCACGACGATCCGCACGCACGACGATCCGCACGCACAACGATCCGCACTCACGCACGACGACGACTACACACCAAGACGGCCAACCGGACCTCTCCCGACTCAGTGAGCGGCGTGCTGTGTCTGGTCCGCACTGCACGTTGTTCCCTGCGCCGGACGAAGCCCGGACGGACGCCCCACAAGCTAAGTGACCCTCCCTCCGTATCCGTTCGCGCGGCCCCTGCGTTCACGCATGCCCGTGCGCGCTTCCGTCTCCAGTTCCAGCTTTCGGTTTATCTTCAAGGCGGGTGGCGGGGCGGGGAGTCGTGTCTGCGCTGGTCGCAGGTGCACTTGGAGGTAGCGGCGTCGTGAGTTGAGGCGGGCGTTGGTTTCTTGAGGCCGGATATGTCGGCGGTGTCGTGGGGGATGGGCGTGGGCAGTTGGCCGCGCGAGAGCGGGTGGATGCGCGGGTACGGAGTGGACGCTGCGGTGGGTTCTGCATGGTAGGGGGGAGGGCCGGGCTGGGTGTTTCGCGAGCATCGAGTCTGTGTTCTTTCTTTCGAGCGTGCCGGGGCTTGACGTCGCGTCGGGGGACAAGGAGCGCAGGAGATAGGCTCGGGAACGGAGAAGAGTTATGGATACGAACCTGCGCACGGATTTGGATGTGGACGGACTCTGGATACGGACAGACTCTTGGATGTGGACAGACATTTCAGATACACATAGACTCTCGGATGTGGACAGACATTTCGTATACGTACCTGGACTCTTGGATGTGGACAGACATTTGGCTGAAATCGTGTTTCGCTTCCCTTTCCTTGTTTGTTTCTGCTCTCTGCATTTGTAAACAAACAAACGACTTTGATTCGGGATGTCGGGCGTGCTGAACTTGTCAATGGTCAAGCGGTTAAGCATAGAAGATTTGGACATAGATTGTACACCTATGTGAGAGCATACTGGGCACGGTCACTGCACGCCGATGTCAAACAGTCGATGGGTGGATGTTCGCGTAGATGTGTCCCGACGGCGAGTACAGGGCGAGAGCGACGCGCCTGCTACAAAGACTCCCATTTTTGGAAATTAGTTCCAAATGCAGCCCGATAGGCGGCGTCCACTCTCACCACCATCCCCTCCCCCACCTTCGCAGACGCTATGACACCGCGCGCGAGCAAACCCATCTGACGAATGCGATGGTCGACGATTGGTCCAGCGCAGCCCACCATGACCCCATGCGCGCCTACCGCGCGCGGCGCGACGCCGCCCACCGTACCGTCGTCTCCAAGTACGACATACTCGGCTTTATCTCCTCCGGCACGTACGGCCGCGTCTACAAGGCCAAGAGCAGGGACGACGACGGCAAGCTCCACGCGATCAAGAAGTTCAAGCCGGACAAGGAGGGCGACGTCGTCGCCTACACTGGGATCAGCCAGAGCGCGATCAGAGAGATCGCGGTGCGTATCGTCTCGTCCGACGCGTCCGACGCAGCGGCTCATGGTCACTCGTACAGCTCAACCGAGAAATATCGCATGAGAACGTCGTGGCACTTAAGGAGGTCATACTCGAGGACAAGTCCATCTACATGGTCTTTGAATACGCTGAGCACGATTTCCTCGTCGGTCTCTCTCGCGTGGACAGTCTTCCTATCTTCCTTACTTTTCCTACTTTTCCTCCCCAGCAACTCATACACCACTACACCCAATCCATTCGCGGTCACCAAATCCCGACCGCGGTCCTCAAATCCCTGATATACCAGCTCTTCAACGGCCTCCTCTATCTCCACGAGTCCCACATCCTCCACCGCGACCTCAAACCGGCGAACATCCTCATCACCTCCGCGGGCGTCGTCAAAATAGGCGACCTCGGGCTCGCGCGTCTGACGTACCAGCCGCTCCAGCCGCTCTTCGCCGGGGACAAGGTCGTCGTCACGATCTGGTACCGCGCGCCGGAGCTGCTCATGGGCGCGAAGCACTACCACAAGGCCGTCGACTGCTGGGCTGTGGGCTGCGTCATCGCGGAGCTGGCCAGTCTGCGGCCTATCTTCAAGGGAGAGGAGGCGAAGCTCGACTCAAAGAAGAACGTGCCCTTTCAGAAGGACCAACTGCTGAAGATATTGGAGGTGCTGGGCACGCCAGATGGCAAGTGGCGTGAACAGCACACTCACGCGTTTCTCGACTAAATGCGGGCGTCGTCACAGAAAGAGAGTGGCCGGACATCAAGCACATGCCGGAATACGCAAACATGAAGCGTCTGGACTCGTGCGTCGTTTCTCTCGCGCATCGTTGTTGGGCCACACTCAAATAACGATCTGGCCCGAACGAAGTTACACCCCGCACATCTTCGATTGGTGCAGGAGCCGGCCGCAGATCAACTCGAGCGCCGGCTACGATCTCCTGAAGCGCCTCTTCGCGTGGGACCCGGACCAGCGGATCACCGCCAAGGAGGCCCTCCTGCACAAGTGGTTCCAGGACGAGCCCCGGCCGACGAGCAAGTGCGTGCATCACCGTCTTCTGTCTTCCGTCTCCTGCGCGCCCGCACACCGCCGTGCTGATGATTCTCTTCGCGCCGCGTCGTTCTCTCCGCACAGCGCGTTCCAGACGATCTCGCCGTCGCAGATGCCGCCACACCGTCGCATCACGCAAGACGACGCGCCGTCGATGGTGCCCGCGCAGGCGTCGCAGCAGGCCGCACAAGCCCAGATGCAGGCCCAGTTCTCGCAGCAGCCGCACCTCCACAGCCACACGCAGGGCAGCGCGGGGAGCTTCGCGAGCCTGAGCGCTGGCGCCGTCGGCGTGCTGGGCGGTGCTGGGATGCACGGCGGACATGCGCGGAAGAAGGCGCGGCTGGGGTAGGCGCGGTCAGGGCGCTTGGGGAGACGGTGGCGAGGCTGTTTGAGGAGTGGGACGCCCGGAGCGAGCGGAGCCCCGCCTGCGCTTCAAAGCTCACGCACACGGGACATGAACAGGGATCCTCACGTCCCGTCAACGCGGTGTCCCATATCTATTATGTGACTGTATTCGCATTGAAAGGCGTACGAATTGGGCAGCTTGCCTTCGTTCTGCATCAATGCCTTGACACCCCGTGTAAAGTACTCGTGCAATGCTGTTGTTCTGGTGATCATTAACATACATGACAGACACGAAACCAATCAGAAGTACGGGCGCGTATGATAGCGAGGGAAATTTCAATCAGTCAGGCAAATCCAAGTCCAGATTGTGTAGCGCAGTATCCCACGCCTGATCCCTGCATCAACTTCCTATAGGTTACTTGTATACGTTTCAGAGTCACACTCCGACCCGCTCTCCAAATCTTCGCGGCCTTTAGTTTCCGCCTACGAGACCGGCTTTGCGAAGGGCCGGATCCATGTGTCCCATTGGAGCTACAGTGGTGTCATCACGGCCGCTGCTAAGTGTATATGTACTATCTGACCAGTATCATAGAATAGCGCCAGTTTTACTGCGGTGGACGACGTGGAACCTATTAAAGACGACGCGACCTCCTGTTCAAGAAGCAACAAGCCAACATGAGACCGAACGAACTGGTTTTAAAGAAATTAATTCAAAAGTTGTGAATGAATGGATAAAGGGTAGTAACTTTTAGAACACATCCACGTGCTGTGACCATTGGAGTTCCTAAACTACAGATTTGGCTTCGAGATTAGTTCGGTTCGAGGCGTGACTGGTGCTCGAAGACTCGAGGGGGTGTACCGTAACTACTTTGTCGAAGTGATGGTTTGCGTCTTCACCCACAGTCAAGCGAGACTGTACCACTGCGGTGGATGGAGGGGACACAAAACTGATGCTTGTCTTGATGTGGTTGAGGGTCACTTCAGGCGAGTCCCACAGCGAGCGCTGGTAGTGGACTAACACGACGATGATCGTGGGGTATAGACCCTGAAATTATACATTTAAGTCCTCAAAGTGCTTGCCTGGGAATGACACTCACAACTAGCTGATTTCCAGCAGAGCTGAGAATGGTGCTCGCCGTACCTGCTGCTGCCGAGGAGGAAGTGATTGGCAAGAAGTCGAAGATTTGCGCCACCTGTCGAAGTTCACGACATCGTTTGGCATCATCGGGGTGCGGTTATGAGCGACCTACCCATAGGGCGAAATAAATCACGCCTGACTCAACAAGCAACACCAGCACTTTCTCAACTCGTGTCCTTCGAGCAGTATCTCCGAATGATGCCTTGATCAGTCTACGATGTTGCCTGTCTCAACGACAACAATTAGCGATGCTATTGGTACTAGGCGAGAACAGAGCTCCTACCATGTCTTCCATGCGATCAAACAAGTAGCCAAGCCATTTGCTGCCATCGAAAGTACATAGCTCGCAAGGTTTACATTTAGACAAAGGGCAGGCATCTCAGCAGAAAACCCAGAATGATGTTGCACAGCGCAGCCAAGGAAGACGAAAGAAGTAGCTGTATGTGGTCGACTATGTCACGGAAGTATCCATCATATGATGATGTCACGTACTGAAAGACGCCAGGATTAAGAGAATGCCTACATAAACGATGTAGATCGTATTACCACTGGCTTGCGACAACGTCCAAGCTCTCCAAAGAACTATCGAGTCTCCGATGCTAAACTGAGGATGGGGGGATCAGCATCGATAACACTCCTAGATCGAACTTCGGCGCACCTCGACAGAAAAAAGGGTGTCTTGAACCCAATCGAACCGTGCCGAGTAGTTGCTCGCAACTCTTTCTCTTTCAACGAGGGAAAGACTAGGGTTTAATATGAACCAATGCCTCACTTCTTGAACCACAGTGGCGAAGTTCAGTCCTAGCACAGCAGTAGACATAGAAAACATAGTGAGCGTCACAATTAGCATAGTGACATTTGCCTTCGAATTTGATCCTTGTCGCCTTCGGATAAGATCAGTGCACAGTATTCACGAAAGTCGGATCCGAGGTGAACAATACTGCACCAAAGGCTATGCGTTGAGAAACATATGAGGACCGCGTACATGCCTAAAAACAAATTTGAATCGGACATCGTCAGATCACGGAAGTACCGTCGTACCGTGGAACCATATCTCAAACAACAGACCGAACGAATTCGTCACTATCTTCTGACCGAGGCTAACGAGCTCAAGCGAAGAGACCGTAGTATCACTCGAAGGGCCTGAGGTCGACATCGTCCCAGGAGATGGAAAGGTGGGAGACTGACGAAACGCTTGCGCCCGCCCAAACAGTTCTTATTTGATCGAGAGAAAATACAGCTGTCTTTGCGTCGCATCGAGGTCTAAGTTTGGAATTAACGCGCTCGATGATTCTGGAATACGGTTGGCGCTGGGTCATTGGAGCTCAGACATGTCGAGACTTCCTGCTTACGATATGTCCAAAATCGGTTTCACTTGTTGTACGATATGAGATTTGGAGAGTCAGCGAGGAAATTGGACCATGTGGGCACGTTTCGAGCGACTTGGTTTGACCTTCGTGTGCTAGGCGCGCAATGACCTGAATTTGAATGGAACGAGTTCCGACCCGTCGCTTCGCGACTTTCACGCAGTGCTTAATAGTATTTCTTGGGGTTAGGGTTGAATCTGAGTTTTGTAGTTTAGTTTTAAATGACTATGAGGATTGAAATATTCTGTGTTAGTTGCAGACTATGCATTGATTATAGGCTACCTACAGTCTGAGTGTGGTCTGTATGTAGTCTGTGTGTAATCTATTGTTGGCTATATACTTGTGAATTGATTACCTATTACATGTGCTCTCATTTTGTATGCTTTTATTGTATATGCTCTTATTGTGTGTGCTTCTGTCATATGTGCTCCCATTGTGTGTGCTTGAATTAGGTGTGCTCCTATTGGGTATGCTACTATTGTATATGCTTCTATTGGATGAGCTCTTGTTAAATGTGCTCTTGTTGGGTGTGCTCTCATTGAGTGTGCACTCATTAGGTATGCTCTTGTTGAGTGTGCTATCATTGGGTATGCTCTTATTGGGTATGCTCTTATTGGGTATGCTCTCATTTGATATGCTCTTATTGGGTATGCTCTTGTTAGATATGCTTTTGTTGTATGTGGTGTGCTTTTGTTAGATATGCTCTAGTTGGATGTGCTTCCATCATGTGTGCTCCCATTGTATGTACTCCCATCATATGTGTTCCTATCAGATATGCTCTAGTTAGGTGTGCTCCTATTATATGTGCTCCCATTACATATAATGTGCTCCCATTATGTGTGCTTCCATTGTGTATACTCCTATTGTGTATACTCCCATCACATGTGCTTCTATTAGATGTGCTTTAGTTGGGTGTGCTTCCATTATGTGTGGTATGCTCCTATTAGATGTGCTCTAGTTGTATGTGCTTTGATTATATATGCCCCTATTGTTAGGACCGTGTCCTAACACGTGCTTGGCACGTGGACAGAAGGGAAGGTCAGGTGTTTCTTTGGACTCGAACTGTTGACGACTAGGACTGTGGCTTGACACACGTCTAGGCACGTGACTCAGGACATGGTCATGAGCTACGTACATGACTCAGACTCGGACTGCTTATCATTTACATGCTGATGCATGAACGCTTACGTACTATGATTCCTCTTTCTGTTGCGATGACTGATGTCGATCGTGATCGGTTCCATTTGATATTGCTGCGGACAGACATTTGATATACTTACTATATATGGTTACATCAAGGAGCCGCGGAGTACAAACAATGACTGCGGCTTACATGCATCGATCGTTGATAGTACTTAGCATTTAGAAGCACGGACCATATGTCCGTCCCACCCTAAATAGCCATGTACTATATATAGGAGAGCTGAGCTTCTCGGAAGCCTCAGCTCGTTCACTTTGTATACATCTTGATCTCAGCACTGCGCCCGGCGTCTGGCTACCTTCAGCTCACGCTTCGCGATCTCTGTCAGATCTAAAGAACCATACATAGTCTGACAAAGCACTGGATTCGTCTCATCGCTCTTATCATTCTCTACCGCCTGCAACCTATCAAGGACTCGCTGCCTATCGAGTCATCCGTTGGGATCCCTCCAAAGTCATCTGTTGTATTGGAGAAGACTTGTTCGTACCAGACGAACATCGACACGTAATCAATCAGCATCTCCTTCGACTCTTCGAGGAGAAGATCAATACAGATCAGCCCTTCTTGGAACAAGCCCAAAGACGGGCCGTCGTCTTTATTTGTTGGGCCATCACAATCAGCTTTAGCCCAGGGAACCCCTCTTAGTGCATCACACGCACGCGACTAAGCCTAGCCGGCTTAACACCTATTGCATGTGCTCCTATTGCATGTGCTCCTGTTGCTCGTACTCTTGTTGTATGTGCTCCCATTGCATATGCTCCCATTGTGTATGCTTCTATTGTGTATGCTTCTATTATGTATGCTCCCATACTCCTATCATGTGTGCTCTTATTATATGTGCTCTTGTTGTATGTGCTCTTGTTGTGTGTGCTCCCATTACATATGCTCCCATTGTGTATACTCTCATTATGTGTGCTTCCATTGTATATGCTCTCATTGTATGTGCTCCTGTTGTATATGCTCCTATTAGTTTCATTGCACTTCTTTTATAGGTTATTGGATATTCTAATCTAACTTGAGTAATGTTCCTAGAGTTTTCCACTAATGTAAAAGACATATACACAGAATGCATAGATTTAGCAGGTATTGAGTTGAAAATATAAGGTACATTGATGGTTAGAGTCAGAATATTTTGCCTTGTGCTCTATGGATTTTGTCATATTTTGTCAGGTTCCCTTTTTGGATTTTTGGTGCAGAAAATGCTTTAATCAGGAGAAGAGAAATTAATAATTTGGCCAATAAAGTAATTGTTTTAGCCTCGCACTTTGCGCTCGCCGCAGTTTGTCAGGTTTGGCCCCTTGCGCTTCACGCTCGGGTTCTCATGTGGTTTTCACGTGTTGCCACGCGAGATACTGCCCTTGCACTCTTTTTAGATGATCAGGATTGCGTAAACATGGGACAGCGTCTCATCAAGCTGCTAAGCGAAACAAGCTACAACTCACCTTAAGCCCAGTTATTTCTCCACGAATGTATATTGGGAGTCTCCAATTACGGTTTGGCTAGATCTCTAGATTGTCGTCATACAATAATGTAGATAATGAAGCCGTACAATGCTACTGTGCACAGTTAATTTTGATACCTGCAAAAAGTAACGATGTCACAGCAATGATGATATAGGGGATGCTTGCGTGGCTGTGATTGAGTTTGAGGAAGTGGAGCTTGGTGAAACGGTCCTAGACATATTGGCATTGAGCGCTTGTGTGCTTACACATTGGGGCATCAAAAAGGTCAAATATTGAGGCTAGCCATGTAGAGCCTGCATGGCAGGGTACAGCATTTACTTACACAAGTAGTGCTCAATAAGGACCAACAGAATGGTAGAAGAATATATGCATCAGAACAATGGAGTATTGCATCTGGAAAACCCTCCTCTCTTAATTAGATCTGATTATTCAAAATGCTAATCTGAGCTAATTAGAATATATTATCCATAAACAATTTTATAATCAAATCTGCAATTAAAGGTAACATTGTCTATACTAGTACTACAGTCCCATTAAAATCTACAACCCAATTACAATTTTACACATTCCAAGTCTAAATTGTGTAAGTGCTACAATCTTATTTTTACTGGATGCATTTCCACAGGCTTTAGAGCAGTCCTAGATTAATAAATTGGAGTTGAACCTTGTTTTAGATTTGAAACTAGAAATCTTACAGAACCATAAGACCATCTATGAATTGGTAAATGCATGCACTTGATATAAGTGGAGCTTTAATCACGATCTGCCCCCATACAGCCAGCATGGATAAGTCCACTGCAGATACACCACAAGCCCACCATCTACTATTCAGCTTTGATAACATTGGATAATTGCATATGCAGTGAATCTTGATGACCAGGTTTTGCTAGACTCCAATATCACAATGATGATTAGGTATTATGGAGCAAAGCTCTTGTTTGTGTTAGTGTTTTTGTTTTAGCTCACAGAATAGCAGTTGGATGATAGCAATGACAAGGTTCAAGTGGAGTTCAAAAAACATGTTTACAATGGCGAATCTGAACTGGAAAGGGGGGGGCCACCCCTTCCAGTTCCAAAATCTAGAAGGAAGATCTCAAGCTCCAACAGAATGGATTTGCTTGTGCTGATGTGGCAATCAAGCCATCAGAAGAATCTGGCATTTGGAACTCACTTTAAAGGCCTGTGGAAATGTATCCATTGTACCCTTTATTTTCTATTGGTTTACTATATTATTGTCTGGTGCCTAAATTCAAATATTGAAAGCCCTGATTTTTAGGGTATTTATTAATCCCTTTATATATAGAATAGATAGAAGATGAATGTGTAAGAAAATTAGAAATATCAAGATTGTCTTATTTATATCAATATATTTAGGTTACTAGATAAATATCTTAGGCTTTGTGGCTTTGTAGTTTAGAGTACTAGCCCAAGGTGTGTAGGCATGAGGTTATTGGTTAAACTCTGGCAATAGGCAAGTTTATAATAAGGTGTGACTTTAGTTTAATTAGTGAGCTTTATAGATATACTTTAATTAAAGGTGTAGTGGTAGTAGAAGAATTATGGAACTTGGTTAGTTGCTATTTTTCCGAAAATCCATATGATAAATCAGCTCTAATTAGCTCTAATTAGACCTTATAATTTCAGGATTAGAAAGGGGGTAAGCTAAAAATCCTGAATAGTAATTGGCAAAAATCTAGCTAGATTTATATTTAACTATGCATAATTTGATGTAGAGCTTTTCCCTAATACATATGATAAACAAATAGCTCAATGGCGATTGAAAACTCCTAGGGAATATAAGTTGGTCTTCTTTCCAGAAAACAAAGTTATAGCAAAAGTCATAACTGCTCTTCAATCATACTCCAGAAAGCAAATTGTATATAGAATGACAATAAACTTATTGGTGTCCTATTAGGCATTAGGACATAAAAAGAGGGTATTACTATGATTTGGTCAATTAGAGCCCCTTTAGCAGTCTATTCTGATAACAATTATCACAACTCCTAGATGGCTCTAATTGTAGAGTGTACATTACAGTATAAGATAACATTCTTGGTCATCAGCTCCTAGTAGATATCATCATTACTGGTCAACTATTATAAGAGATAATATGGATAACCAATAGTGGGCTTATAGGTATATACTCACAGGGAAACACAAGCTATTGTCCTTCTAGTCAAAAGAAGACAAGTGGAAAAGCACAAGAGTACTAGCTAAGAAAGAGCAGCAACTTAGAGAATTCTATAGGGTAACGTGGCATTCTCATATCTTTCCAAAGTAATATAAAAGGTCTATAAAATAGGCTAAGGATCTTTAGTCTATTTTCTTTGTTTGTTATAGTCTTCCTACTATAACCCTTTGTATTTAGGCAGTCTTTATACTATCTGTCATTTTATACAGTCCCTCCCACTGTACTCTAATATTATCTGCTCCTATACTATCATATAGTCAAGACCATTATCCCACTCTTTCTTATCATGTGACCTAAGAAAGAACCTACTACTCTTGGGGTTATTGAATGGGCAGTTTATAATATCAATTGCCAACAATTGCTGGCAATCTGTCCTTGATCTTGTTACTAACAATTATCAACAATTGTCTACTATCATGATTACCTTTTGATCCTGCCTGATCTCGATGTTACATCTGCTTTTTAAGCTTTATTGGATCTTGTTGGATCTTGCAGATATTGTTATGCCTTGCTACTCTATCTCTAAGTCATATTAGGGTGCATTATGCTATCTTACCCATAGCCTTAGCTGATTGTTAGCAATTGTTGGATATTGTTGGGTTGAGGGCTTTGTTGTAGACTTAGAGATTGTTGGCAAATGTGATAATTGTTGAGTATCTAGAAAGAGTTTTTGAGGGTTGAAAATTTATGAGTTCTGTAGAATGGAATTGGTAAATTGGTGGCTGGATGAGTTGCACCTAATTGCGGCAATTTGCGACAATCGTGATCAGACATTGTCGACAAATGCTGACAAATGCCGGGAATTGTCAGCAATTGTCGACAATGTCCGACAATTGCGATGCAGTTCTGTCTTTGATCTCACATCGACTTCTACATTTGGCAACAATGACCGTGGCCTGATATCACTTCACAGCATTGTTACTTCGCGCTCTTGAAGTTGCTGCGCAAATACTTCAAGAGGCATCCATCAGCGAGCGTGAGTACTCGCCTCGCCCTCGAGGTTCAGGGTATGTGATCAATCTTCCGTACCATGTGCAACTTCAAGCTTCGAGTCTCAAACATAGAGCTCGACGACTCGCATCACCTATGTGTTCCCATTGTATAACTCTGTTCAGGTCAATCTTCATGGTGCTGAAAGAGTGCAGACGACTGTCAGACTAGGCAGTCCCCGAGAATTGGTCACCGGTATATTGACAGTCGGTCACCAATGACCGAAGGTATGAGCGCTGTGAACGCCTACCACGTCCCTTCCGCTGCTGCGGCCCTGAAACTGATATTTCCCCCTCAGTGCAGTGCTCGTCTGCAGTCTGAACAAGGTATATAAATCTAGCGACGTGTTCGAGGTGGTTCCTTTATCCACATCTGTCTCTAATCCCACTTTCTCCATTGACCGCCTTTCTTAATCATCGATTCATGAGTAAGCTTCCTCTTTTATCACGTCACATCATGCAACACACAGCACTGAAATTATTTTCTTTGCTCCAGGTTCCAGTTCGAATACAACTATTCCGGATATTGCCTTGCTATCACCCTACAACTATGTTCCGACCGAATGGATATGCATTCTCATTCTCGTGCTCTTCATAATCTCTACGTGTGAGGAAGAGTCTCGATCTCTTGCCAAGCTGTCATCGTTTTCTGACGTCCTGTCTCTTAATTCCCTCGCAGGCGCGCATGCCGTCGAAGCCACCATATTTCGAATCTGGTGGCTTTTCCCCACCGCGGTGCTTTCTGGTATCATGGAGATCTTAGGCTGGAGTGGGCGAGTGTGGTCAAGTCGGAACCCGATCCTGCAAGACCCTTTTCTGATGCAGTAAGGCATTCCATCGCATTTTTGGCGGATCGAGAGGTGAACAGGTTTGTATAGGATATGCATGACAATCATTGGTCCTACACCGCTGCTGGCAGCAAACTTCGTTCTCTTGGGCCAGATCATTCCGATACTTGGGTCTCAGTACAGTCGCCTGACCGCTAAAACGTGTGAGTACGTGTCTTTTCCGATTGCCTGCCTGTTCTTAAACGTGTTGTTCTAGATACAATTGTCTTCTGCACATGCGTACGTGGTGCACCTGTGATCAAATTATGCTGACCTATAAGTCATGTACATCATTATTCCAGGATGTGACTGCACTTGTCATACAAGCAGCGGGTGGAGGGATAGCGGCATCGGCGACTGACGAACAGGGGACGAAATTGGTAAGAAACGATCTTAACTGTCTCATCGAGCGGATCAGTGATATTCGGGACAGGGCGCCAATATTATGCTAGCCGGCATTGCCATTCAACTAGGTCCATATTGTCTTCAATGCTCATGTGTCGATTCCTTGATTCACAAGTCTCGAATATTGCAGTCGCGATCGTGATCTACATGGCCCTTGCAACCGAGATACTCGTTCGCTACAGTCTGAAGTCTCCAGTCCGCGATCCTGCCGGTGCCAGTCCTTGGGCATCGACATCAGTCGATGCCATGGACACCAGACTCAAACTGATGGTCTCTGGACTAGGCATGATAACGATCTTCCTCCTAATTCGGTGCGTGCATATGTGCACATCATGACTCTCCACATTCATCCCACATCCTTTCTAGCTCAATATACCGCTTGATCGAGCTGAGCGACGGCTGGAACGGGCGCATCATTTCAACACAAGTCTACTTCAGTGAGCACCTTCTTTCCTTGTCAGCTCATTCTAACGGACACATCATCCTCCTCTTAGACGTCCTGGACGGAGGGATGGTCATTTTGGCAACATACACTCTCAACTTTTTCCATCCCGGATTCTTACTGCGGCCAGAGCACAAAGGGCACGAGTACACATCAGAGACGACGCTGCCGCTGGAAAAGCGGCATGGTGATAGTACTCCGAAGGTTATTGCATAGAGTATTATTTGCTAATACACGGACTTCTTTGATGAGGGAGGGTAATAAGGAGCGTGCGAGGACTGTCAATGAACGTGACACTGACGATACAACTACTTACTACTCCCCTATCTGAAACACTGTCGACTAGTATAATTTATGTGAGGTTAATAGTTCTCTAAGCCCACACTGGACAGACAATTGCAAAGTCCTATCAGATCGAATTTCAGAGGCCCCTAAGTAGTAACTGGTGAGCCGATGTTAAACAGACATGGAACGACAGCACAGGCTGAGTATCACACGCTGAGTTGATTTGTGACAGCAGCTGCAGAGGATTAGGCTATTCCCTGCGATTGCCGAGGACGAGGGCATAAAGTAAGAGAATCGGAAACGGATCGGTATGTCGTGCCTGAAAGGATCGAAAAGACATCTCTTATCACGGGGAGCTACGATCCCTTATTCTGTAACCTAGCACTCAAAGTCAGACTCCACCTCTGTTTCAAGAAATAAGAGATTACCTCTCTTCGAGATCTAGTTTTTCCTCAATCCATGCCATAAGATCAAAGGGAAACCTTCCACGCCGCGCCACATCCCATTCGTGGTTCTCATACTTTTCCAGCCAGACTTCCGCATTACCAGGGTACTCGTGGCATAAAGAATAAAAAATCGCCCTCAATTCCACTCCCAACCAGTAGTGGCGAAAAAGTTCCATGCTCCGCTCGGCAAGCTGCAGACGGAAATGAGCGCGCAGCCGAGCATCTGTTGGAGTATCATCCGCATATCCTAGTCGGCCGTCCTGGTCATCCGTCATCAGAAATCGGTCCGAATCATCATTAAACCACCCGCAACCGACGGCCGCGAGCCAAGCAGGACGAAACCCAGCCATCTCCCAATCGATCACCCCCGTGATTCCGCCGCTCTCAGGGTCTACGAGGACGTTCCAGCTGCTGAGGTCACCATGCGAGAAATGGAAGGTATCGCCTTGGTCAGCGTTGCATGACGATCCAAAGCCTCGATAGAGCGGCCGAACGGCGTGGTACACTTCGAACACCTTCTCGAAAGCCCATCGCTCCAGCTTGTCGTCTGATCGTGTCGGCGGGTGACCGCGAAAGGCGAACGCCTCCAGGAACTCCAGCTCAGACCTGAACGGCCCGCATCTCGATGGCGAGACCTGTCGTGGATAGTCAAGGAATGTGACGTCGTTGATCGGTCCGACACCGAGATGGCTATCTGCAGATGTATTCAAAGTGTTGAGATTGTTCGGTGTATCTAGATGATAGCGGAGGGAGCGTAGGCAAAAGTCGCGATCATCTCGTCCATATTTGGGGTTGAGACTACCGCTGCGTGCGGCTTTGATGTTAAACAAAGACGACATGATGATCGCCAATTCTGTAGCTGTGCGCATCTTTTGCTGGAAAGTAAGGCTTCCAAAGCAATCCCCGAGTGTCTCGCCCCGAATGTATTCCATCAAAATCCATTCAGTTCGAACAGGGTTTTGGGGTGATGAGCAATACAAGTATACCTGTGGTACTGGAACATTGGTGCGTGCTAAGTTAAGTAGAATACGTCAGTTCTGCCGAAGAAGCGAACATCGTGACGAGAACTCTATGGGGACGTACCTCTGATCATGTCCATGGCCGCGACTTCGGCTTTGGTCTTGACTGCCTCACGAACAGGAAGCACTATGCGTCCGATGACTTTGAGGTCGTTGTCCATTGTGAACAAGAATACGCGGGCGTACGACCCGTTGACGTTCATCGGGGTGCGGAGACAGACTTTCGAATGAAAGTGATCACAGACAATATGCTCGAGTGCGTCAAGATCAGCGCTAGCAGCGCCCCATAACAGTTCGTCAGTGTGGTGATTGGCATGGGCATGGGCAGACGGCGATGAGTTGAGGTGGCTCGCCATCTTCAAGTTTGAGCAAGGTGATCATTGCCATAGCCTATAAGTACCATTTCGGAACCTCTTCCATGCTGCCAGGGTCCAGGGAGCTCCAGGGAGTCACTTTACGAGTTCTACAGCGACACGTGCAGTCGTCGTAACACCTTTGTCACATTCCGGCCACATAGCCGGTGACAATGATATGCGAACACTCCGGCACACTCCGGCATTGAAATCCGGCATCAAAAATTGTACACATTCTCTCGAAGCTATCGACAATGTATCCGAACACATCGCAACATGCGGAATCATATCGTATCAGAAACACATCATATCCTTGAGAACAGAGACTGCGTTCAACCTTCAAAACGAAGCTTCAAGAAATCTACCTCTACTCCGACGCGGCGAGTATGAGAGCCCTGGGCTGGTCGCCGTCCTCCTGGATCCCAAGCGTATACAAATGGATTTCACCTTTGGGCGATTCAGTCTTCTGGGTGAACGTGTAGCTCGTCTTGCGAGACGTGCCACGGATCCTGAGCGAACCACGAGGGGAACCCAGAAGCCGATTGATATCGTATGCCTGAGAAAAGTGTCAGGCTTTGATAGTGAATTATGTTGAGTGCCCTACCCAGAAGTAGTGTTCGTTGTACCTGGATAATTGAACGTCAGCGAAAGGTCAACGGATGAAAAGCGATCTTATCCTTACAACTCGCCCTGAGTCCCAATCAATCCGTTGATTCCGACATCCTGACATCGGCCAGCATCAGAATAGAGGCTCAGATTAGGCAAGACATCTTACTCACAATTTCATACTCTGCGGTGGAAGAAAAATCAGTCCTAGTCCGGATTAACTCCAATTTGTAACCAGGAGGGATACTGTGCACGTAGCAGTCAGCTTCAGCTCAAACTCTGATCATACAAGAAACGACAGACGTAATATTCCAGCTTTCCTCATGCGATCTTTTTTCCTCTTTGGTTGTCGTATTAGTTGAATCGGCTTTGATGGTGATGTCAAGGCTCGAACTAGCAATCGCCTCAATGGTGAATGATTGGCTGATCTTGACTTCAGCCGACTTGGAGATCGTCGCGGTGACGGTCGTAGTCTCTTCGTAGGTCTCCCGGTGGGTGTGCGGGAAGGGGAGATCACTGTTAGAGTTGTCGTACGACCAGACGACGGTATCGTCTTTGGCGGTCTGGGGGCGTTCACCGATTTTGTGAAGGTCACCAAAAGTTGTATTGTAGCAATGCCATCTACATATAACAGCCGACAGAAAAGATTGATCATGGTGCCGCTCAGTGAAAAGAGCACTAGGACGAGCACTCACGACCATTTATCGGCGAAACTATCGTTGAGATGGAGGTGGTCGGCGGACCCCATGGTACCGCCGCGTTTGGCATTGGCACGTCCAAAGATCTGCTGCTTATACCAGCCGAGTTTGGCGAGGTCTTCAAAAGTGGTTTTAGTCGACATGGTGCTAAGTAGATGCTGAGAGGTTGTGGTACGCGGAAAGAGAACTGAATTGAATAGTTCCTCCAGCACCCTCTTTTATATCGTTCAATCTCGGCACCAATGATGTGGACCATTCTCTGATAGAGCTTGTGCCAGTTCTTCAGACAGAAGCGATATGTGGGTCGTCTGTACCTTGCCCTTAGAGCTGGAAAGCCCTTGGGCCCAGAAGAGCTAACCTAGTCTGACCATTAGATTCCTGGCAGTGCTCGTTGCGGACTTGAGACGACAGATTTCTGAAAATTTCAGCTTCCTCGTGACTTACTACGGTCATTTGCGTGTGGACGCGTAGCATCGCATCACGGACACCGGTGTTATGCGATCGCGGAGGAGTTGCACAGGCCCAACAGCGTTGCAAAGTGGGCAGACCGAGTTCTTCACGGTAGGAGGTCACGATATTTGGCCAGAACAACTCCGGCGAGTCAGCTGGATTGTTCCGCGTCTCGACTCTCCGCGGCACTCAGGCTGTCGTCTCCGGTACACGTATTCAGTTCGCCCTTGACATTATGTTTAGGGGAGTTGTACAAGGAGCACAAATGATTGGAGCGGCGTAGACGGTTTCTTTTCGACCCTGTAGCATGGGTAGGGAGAAATTGGATCGGGTTTTCCAAGTTGGAGAGGTGGAATCTGACGTTCGCGACGCTAGGTCACGGAATAAGCAGCATCACAACGAATATACCCAGCCCTTGCAGATATGACATACCGATTTATTTCCGGTTCTCCACTCCGCCGTCCTCGTTGTCGATATCGCCTCAGGTAATATCTTGATCCTTCTCTAATGCTGCGTTCCCATCATTAATTCCCCTAGGCCCTCGGCTCTGTGCTGTCCTGTTCGCTTCTCGTTCTACTGTGGACAATCTGGCTCTTTGCTCATCCCTCACCATTCTACTTTGTTTTCTGTTCCAGGATCACCTCTATCGTGAACCAGGCAACTTAACATGAATGACTGGTCTCAGCCCAAATGAAAGTGCACAGCCAATGCGTCTGCACTGTATCGCGGTACGCTGTCAGTGCCTGGCATAATCGGGATCACTGCTCACTTATTTCATGCATGGAACCTGTCAATTTCGTCTTTTCCTATAGGGTGACTCCGTCGGTATTCCGAGAGAATGCACTCTGCCTTGTGGTATAGGGCGGTTCCGTCGGTATTCCGAGGAAATGGAGCCGGTCTGATACCATAGGGTGACTTCCGTCTGTATTCCGAGAAAGTAGGCGGACATACCATCAGCAATCCGTAGCTGCTGCTGGTCAGAGGCGGCCCCCGACAAGCTTTGAAGAGGCTCCCACCGCCCGGGCAAAAGTATAAAGTGTGTTGGGTTACGAGCAACGACCCTCATCTTTGCTCATTTACCTCCCCGGCGAATATCGTGCTGTGTCCATCGACCTACCCCGAGTCCATCCCAACTTCATATCATGCAGGCTGAACAAGCTGAGGTCCCAGCCGAAGCCGAAGCCGATGTTGAAGCCACGACCATAGGCGACACCGTAGCCGAAGGCGATGTTCAAATCCTGGTCCAACACCACTGCTCTCACAGAGGATGTCCGAAATCGAAGAGCACGTGTAAAGATCATTACTGGACTTGCACCGGCCGCGATGTCTCACATCCCGGGATCAGAGTGTTTGAGGGCAAAGCATGCGAGAGAAACGTGAGAAGGAATGGGAAGGTCGAGAGGTGTGGGAACAGTAAGTGAAGATTATGCGATGCACACGATCGGGCCGTTAACAAGAATCACAAGGGCGTTAGTTGACAATCAGCCCATGAGATACCTCATGGTCGTCCCGTGTCAACAATGCTCGGTGAGCGTTCCTCATCCCTGTGTTTACGGCTTTCTAACCTGAACCCGCAGGTATTAAGCATTCGCGCAATCGTTTTATATTCCGTGAAGTAGTCATACCTTGTCGGCAGTATACGGTTCACGCTAACATCTGTTTTGCGCCCGATGCAGCTCGTGTCTGGACGCCATGCAATCGATGTCGGGTTCCGCGTTTGATATGTTCTCGGTTTTACAACTATGCTGCTTCATGTACACTGTGTGATTAGCCGAGGGGGAAAGAAGGTTGGGCAATGTCCATGCAGGAGGACCTTCGCATGATCATCTACTCGATGTGTCAGAGAATGAAAGTGCCATCGCCAAGAGCTGATGATACTGACATGTATAAATGTGACTCGCAGCCCTCCAAGATACACACTGAAAGATGTTTACAGAATCCATGCCTTTGTTTTCACATAAAAAAAACGAGCGCCTCGCATGAGCGGCGTTTGTACAACTTACATTGCAACAGATAAAGTCTACACATTCTAACACATCCTATACACAAAAATCAGGCCCACCACCGATACGATCGCACGACTCACACAGCACCCGCACCCGCACCCTCTGCAGCGGGTGCCAAAAACCCAATCCCCCGCCAATACTCGATCCACTTCTCCACGTCCCCCGCCCCGAGCGCCTCCGCGCTCGCCAAGCTCCCCGCCGCCCGCACCGCGCGCTCCGTACCCAGCACGACCGCCGTCTCCCCCGCAAGCTTGTTCGCAAAGAAGTCCACGAGCTGCAGCCCCGCATTTCTATCCGCCGCATCGTGGTCGGCCCCGGCTTCCGCCGCGGCACGGTGCGCGGCCTGCAGCTTCGCTACCCACTCCGCGTACGGGACGGTCGGGACGCCGAGCGCCTTGGACGCGGCGTCGCTGACGACGCTCCACTTGACGGGGCGCGGGTGCACGAGGTGCAGCACGGGCTCGGGCGAGCCGAGCATCTCCAGCAGCGCGGACGCGGCGACGTCCACCGGCACCCACGAAATATCCTGCGCACACGCGCCCGTCCATTAACCGCGCTCCACGTACATAAAGAAAGAAGAAGGCGAACGCCACACACCTCCTCCCGACGCGGTACCGCACCGAGCACCCGCGACGCCTGCAGCAGCGCGGGCACCCACTCCTTCGCGTTCCACCCGCCGCGCGCGCGGTCCCCAGAAAGCTGCCCGACGCGCACCACGTTCGCGCGGAGACCCGCCTCGCGCGCCGCGCGCAGCAGCACGCTCTCCGCCGCCCACTTGCTCTCGCCGTACCCGAGCCCGACGACCCCGCGCGCGTCCGCGATCGGGAGCTCCGGCACGGGCGACGGCTGGTCTGCGCGCGGCGAGGACGCGCGCGGGAGATGTCAGCCGGCAGTAGGTGAGCGCGGCGGCGGGGAGCGGCTTACTGATGAGCACCGAGATCGAGCTCGTGAAGAGCACGCTGGGCGCCGTCGAGCGCGGCGACGCCAGCGCGAGGTCGACGAGGTTGCGCACGCCTGCGATGAGCGGCTCGAAGGACGTGATCGACAGGTTGAAGTCCACGCGCCACGCTACGCCGCACCGCGATCAGCACCCGAGCCTCACCCAACAAACAAAACACACGCGCACCGTTATGGATGATGCCCGTGATCGACGTCCGCACCTGTCCCGCCGCCGGTATCAACGACAGCCACTCAACAGCCACACCACCAACGCACGCACCTCGTCGTACGCTTCCCCAAGGCCCAGCCGCGACTGCGCGAGGTCGCCCGTGAGCAGCACGACCTTGCCTCCCGCGAGCACGCCCACGTCCAGCCCCCACGCCACGAACGCATCCCGCTGCCGCGCGCCCGTGTCGGCACCCGGGCGGTTCAGCGCGAACACCTTGCGCACGGACGGCCGCGCGGCGAGCTGCGCGAGCAGGTGCGCACCGAGGCGCCCGGTCGTGCCCGTCACGAGCACGACCTCGTCCGCGCTCGCCGCAGCTTCGGCGCCCGGCCGCGCGACGTGCGTGGTGAACCCAGAGGCGTACTTCTCCACGAGCGCGTCGAGCGTGCGCGCGGTCGCCGCGGCCGCGGCCTCTGCGTCTGCGCCGCCGTCCGCGCCCGCAGAGAAGAGGCGCAGGATGAAGGCGGCGAGCGCCGCGATCGTGGGGTTGTCGTACACGAAGTTGGCCGGGAGCGCGTGCAGCGCGACGCGCGACGACTGGCGCAGGGCGTGCAGGACGGTGTTGCGGATGTAGGTCGCCTGCAGGCTACGCGGGAACAAGGGGGGTCGGCTGCCCGGGAGGACGGCATACGCGCGAGAGCCACGCACCTGTCGCACCCCTCCTGGAACAGGTCGTCCGCGTCGCCGAGCGCGCGCTTGAGCACCCTCTCCACGGCCGCGCGCACGAACTCGCGCGTCGCGTGCGGGGTCCACGCGGCGGGCGGGGCGAGGTCCGTCTGGGACGCGTCCCTGACGGCGGCGTAGAGCGCCTCGATCTCGGGCGCGTACGCGTTGATGACGACGTGGCGCCGCGGGGTGCCCTTGGGCGTGTACTCGAACGGCTTCTGCGGGTCCGCGACGAGGATCATCTGCGCGCCCGACGGCGTCAGCGCGCGCGTCCCCCGGTGCGAGTCCGCGTGTGCAGGGCGTCAACGCACCTCCTTGAACAGCCGCGAGTGCGCGGGCGCGAACTGGTTGAGGCGCTCGACCGAGGGCCTACCGCGCGCGTTCGTTCAGCGATCGCGGCCGCCCACCCCACGCGACGCACGCGAGCACGCACCAGACTTTATTCCTAAACTCGGCGAGGCGATCCTCGTCCTTCGGGTCGAACGCAAACTCGGCCTTGGGCTCGATCAGGACGCCGTTCTGGAAGCGGCCGCGGCCGAACATGATCGCGGCAGCGACGTGCGGGTCGTGCACCAGTATGGCCTCTGCAGACGGTCAGCACGGTGCAGCCGCACGGCGCGCTCGCGTACACGCACCTAGGGGCCCGGGGTTCGTCTGCGGCGAGACGGGCGGCGTTAGGCGGACGCGAGGCGGAATGGGGGCGGCGGTGGTGGTGGGCGCACCTTTTCGCCGGTAGACAGCATCAGCTGGTCGTCTGCGCGGCCGTACATCCTCCATCGCTCGGGGTCGCGCGGGTGGCGCTGCACGAGGTCGCTCGTACGGTACACGCCGCGGCCGTCCCGCGCCGTCCCGTTGATCACGTTCGGCTTGAAGTACGGGGTGTGCTGCGGGGCGCGCGCTCAGCGCGACGCGGGCAGGGTGTGGAGGGAAACTCACGACAATAGTCGCCTCGAAGATATCGTCCGCGCCCTCCTGGGGGAGCATCTCGACCTCGAGGTGGGGCGAGATCTTGAAATACTCCCACTCGTCGACGGCCGGCACCTCGGACGGGATGAACATGCTGAAGCACCCGATCTCCGTCCTGCGCACCGCCAACCAACCGACCGACCGACCAACAAAGGGGAAACGAACCGCGCTCAGCATCGGCGCACGGAGGGGCAGGAAGAGGAAAGGTCGCTTACGCGCCGTAGAACGGGAAGAGCGCGACACCCAGGCGCGCGAGCTGGTCGCCGATCGCCTTGTTCATCGGCGCGCCCGAGTAGACCTGCGGACGGACGATCGCCGGAGGCAGCAAAGCAGGGAGAAGGATCAGCGGCGCGCACGGGACACGAGCGAGGAGTGCAGACTCACGATCGCGCGCAAGGACTTCATAGCCGGGATATTCTCCGGGTCGCGCACCCACGCCTACCGAACCAAACAAACGCACGCACGATCAGCGTCCACTCACTCGCTCTCTCGCTCCCTCACCCCCGCCCTCGCGCTCGACTCGAACCGAACCGAATCGAACCGAGCGGGCGGACACGAACACACGGACGAACGGACACGCGGACACGCGGACGACCGAACGCGAACAAACAAGCGAACGAACGATCACAGACGCAGACGCAGACGCACCTCCACGAACGACGGGACGCAGAACAGCACGTCGCTCCGCGTCGCCTTGATCCCCGCGAGGTAGCGCTCGGGCGTCGGCACGGTCGGCGGGAGGGACGGCCGGAAGACGCCCATGATGAGGCCCGAGACGACCTGTGCCGGCGCGCGCGGGGCGGCGTGGGCGGCGTAGGCGGCGGGCGGGGGGACAGCGATGCGCAGCGGCGGGCGGGGGGACAGCGATGCGCAGCGGCGGGCGGGGTGTACAGCGGGGCAGAGGCAAGGGGAGACGTTCAGCACTCGTGCGCGCGCGCGCGCGTATGCGGGAGGGAAGAGCGAGAATGTGAGACGTACGGTCCAGATAACGTTCACGATGCCCATCGCGTCTGCGCGCGGGCGCGGCGGTTCACGGTCAGCGGGTCACGGTCAGCGGTCGGCGGTCAGCGGGCGGGAGCGCGGAGCGCGGCGCGCGGGTGGGACTCACGGAAGAGGGGCACGGCGTGTACGCCGAGGACGGTGCTGCAGAGGTCGACCTGGCCGAAGGCTGTTGCGGCGAGCGGGCGGGCGGTCACGAGGTGGCAAGCGTCAGCGAGCGAGCGAGCGAGTGCATGGGTGCATGAGATCCGGCGCGAGGACATGTGAAAAGAAGCAGCCCCAGCAGCGCGGAGAACGGGGAAAAGAAGGCGAAAGGAGTGGAAGGAAGTAGAGCGAAGGGGCGAAGAGCGGGGCGGAGGAGCGAAGCGGAAAAAGAGAAGAGAACGAGGAGAGGGAAGAGGACAGACGTACACGGCAACATCGTCCACTGCAAGAACGTCCGATGGCCAATATATATCGGCTTCGGGAACGACGTCGAACCTGCACACACACGCACACACGCGCGCGCACGCACGCACGCACATACAAGCCGCCGATCAGCCCGCGCGCGCGCAAGATCGAGAGGCACATGGACGGGGAAGGGGGCGCACCTGAGGAGTGCATGAGGCACGCGACGCTGTCGAGGTCGAGCTTCCCGAACGCGACTTGGGGCTCCTCCGCCTCGGCGCCTTCCCACGCCGCGTCCTCGATCTCCGCAAACTGCACGACCGGCAGCACCTCCACCTGCACGCCGCCGTCCTCCGCGGCGAGCAGCGCGACCGCCTCCGCGCACAGGCGGCGCATCGCGGGGTCGGGGCTGACGTAGAGCTGGATGACGTGCGTGCGCGAGAGGAGGTGGGCGACGCCGGCGGGGGAGTTGCGGATCGAGATGGGGAAGGGGACGAAGCCGAGGCGCATCGTCGCGACGAGCATGGAGAAGTAGCTGATCGTGTCTGCGGGCGGGCGGGCGGGCGGGCGGGTCACGCCACGCGAGATCAGGTCGGGTCAGGATGGGTGTGCGAAGGGAGGGACAGGGCGGGAGCGCGCGCACCTAGGTTGGCGAGGATGCCGATGGTCGGGCCCTGCCCCGCCGGCCGCACGCCCTCCTGCGCGCGATACTCGGCCTCGCGGCGCCTATAATTCGCGTGCACGACCGCGGCCGTCCTCCTGATCATGCGCCACGCCTCGGGGTACCGAATCGTGCGCGTCTGGCCTGCGCGGTCTCCCGCGGCGGGGTCGGCGTAGACGAAGAGCGGGTGGGCGGGGTTGTGCGCGGCGTTGTAGTCGAAGAGCTCGGGGACGGTGTAGCTGCCGTCGAGCGGCGGCGGGGCGAAGGTGGGGCAGTTCTGGCCCTGGGGCGTCGGGATGTGGTCGGGCACGGGGAAGGGCGCCATCGCTGGCGCTTGTGTGTGTGTGTGTTGTGGGGGAGGAGTGGGGGTGGGAGTGGGGGGCGAGGGGGAGAGCTTTAAAGGCCGGGAGGGGATGACGAGAGATGCCGTTAGTGGCCAGGGCGCGGGGACCCAGGATCACTGCGCCTCTCGCGCGTCGAAGCCTCGCTCAGCCTCTCCCCTCGCTCGTGCAGCCGCAATGGCCAAAGTTGCCCTCCGTCGCGCCCACCGTCCGCACGACAGCCCCACGCCCCGCCAGACTGCGAGGAGCGTAGACGAGCCGGGGTGGAGCAGAGGGGAGCGGCGCGGGGCTGGGGAGTGCAGCAAGCAGGAGGCGCCCATCAAGGCATCCGTGGACCGTGGCCGGCTTCGCTCCGACTCGGCCCCCCGTCCTGCCGTCACGTCCTGTCACTCGCTCTCCCGTCACTCCCTCCCAAAGTCCACATCCGCCGTCCAGCCCATCCGGACCGTCCTCTCGCGGGCCCTGCTCGACCAGCAGCGTCAACGACGCCGGCGCGGCGAACGCGTGGCTACCTCTACTGCAGTTCTAGTACTATCAGCTGGCTGCTCCGATCATGGAGGTCTTGCCGGCGGCACCTCCACCGCCCCGCCCTGCCTCGACGTCCCCGCCGTCCCCTCGTCGACCTCCGACGCGACCGTGCCGCTGCCCCTGCCCCCCCTCGCGCAGACGCGTACCTACCCACCGGCTGCGCGCGCGATGCCCACACAATACACAATACACAGCCCGACAGCCCGACAGCGGCACGCGAACAAAACACCCCGTCGCGGCGCCGCCCGTGTCTCGATCGTCTCGATTGTCTACACTGCCGTCCCCAGAGACACGACGTCAGCTCGCTAGCTAGGCTACTTACCGCGCCCCCGTGCCCCGTGCCCCGCCAAGACCCAACGCACCGCCTGTCCGACGCGCACGCCGCGTCGCGTCTCGTTCCCAGTCAACGAGTGCACCCGATACGCCACCCATCGACGCACGTCGCCGCTTCTCTGCCCGCGCAGACCTGCACGTCCGAATAGCGTTACGTACCCCCGACTCGGTGTGCGCGCCCGTCTCGGATTCAGGGTCGGGGCCGGGTGCTGTATATATGGTGTCGTACCGCTGGGGCTTTGGTGCGCGCGTGGGTCGGTGTAGGCGTGTCGTGTTCCGTGTCCGCCATCCGGCGGGCGGGCAGGCAGGCGGGCGGAGGGGTAAGGGGCCCAGTGGAGGTGGCGTGCGTTGGCGCACACCGCGTAGACGCGTGCGTACAGGTAGACTCGCCGCGCTGCGCGTCCCGCCGATTTGTTGTGTCGTCGGCGGATCCGACAGGATAAGATGTCCGAGACCGAGACGACGTAACATACACACCGGACAGCGCGCTGTCACGCAGTAAGCACCATTGAGTATTCGACTTGCCCCGCGCCGGGTGGGAAGGGACGCGCCTCCCCCGGCCCACGAGCGACCAGAGTTCAGACCGCCCAATCAGCGCCGCGGCGCGCGTCTTGACTCTCGATGTGCAAAGATGGAAAGACGCTTGCTGCCGCTCGCGCGCACGCACGCACGCACGCAGGCCCGCCGCTCCGCGTATCCCATCGAGAGCTGCCAGGGTGGATCATCAGGGTCCATGATTCGGGATCAGGTGCTGATGCACGACGCCCCGAGGGGGTGGGATCCCACGCGGCCGTGGGGTGCTCGAGTCTGCACAGAACGACTGTCTTCTGTGATTGGGTCAGCAACGGAGACTAGCACTCGGGTACAGTGGTGGCAGCGCAGCGCGGCAGCGTCAGGCGAATGCGGAAAGCGGAAAGCGCGACGCGCCCGGCCGTGTGAGCGTGAGCAGGACCAGAGGGCTAGCTACATCTCTATCAGAGCGCCGTACGTGAGGTCAGCGCGTCCGACACGGATCGCGTCGAAGGAGACGTGCAGCCATCGGTCCATCCCTCGCTCGATTAGGCAACACCGCGGATAAGGGGTTATCGACCCGCGGCACGCCGGCACCGCACTTATCACCACAAACCGCACAAAACAAACAAAAACTCTGCCCCGCCTCGCCTTCGCCGTCCTCTCCGTCCTCCCCGCCTCCTCCGCCGCCATCGTCCCCATCGTCCCGCCCCCAGCACCCACCACGTCCCCAACCCTGCCGCACCCGCTCCTCCGCCGGCTCGCCCGCCCCGCAGCCATGCGCCGTCGCCGCTCCTCCTCACACGACGCCGCCACCTACGCCCCGCGCGACATCCGCGACTACTACGGCCCCTTCACCGCCCCCCACCCCCCCGCCGCCCCGCCCCCCACCAGCCAAAACACCCACCAGCACCCGATCGCCCGCGACCGCTACGGCTCTAGACCCCGCGACGAGCGCGACGAGCGCCGCCGCTGGGCCCCGTCGTACGACCGCGGATACTCTACGGCCGCTTCGCGCGCGCACGAAGGCGCGGAGCGGGACACGCGGTATTATCGTCCCGATGAGCGGCGCTCGTGGAGCGCGCGCGGGTACCACCACGACCACCGCTACGCCCCGCCACCGCCATCGGCTCCCGACCGCCCGCGCGATCGCGAGCGCTGGCCGGGCCCCCGTGACGACTTCCGCGATGCCCCCGCGCCCGACCGCCGCTTCCACACCCGCGACTACGACAACGACAACGACAACGAAGCCGCACCCGACAACGCCGCCGGTGACGCCGACGCGTGGGACAGAGGCCGCGCGCGCACGCACGCGCACGCGTGGCCCCCGCGCCGCCCGCCGCTCTCCGCCTCCTCCGACCCACACGGCCTCATCACCCCCTTCGCCAACTCGGGCCGCGGCCCCGCCCGCCCGCACCCCTCCCCCTCCTCCTCCCGCCCCTCCCGCCCGCCTTCTCCCTTCGCCGTTCCCGCCCTCCCCACCGGCCCGCGCCCCGCGCGGTACCCGCAGGACCAGCAGCACCAGGTCCCGCCGACGCCGTCCGCGGACTACCTCGCGCTCGCCGCCGCGCCCTCCACGGCCCTCCCCGACCCGCCCCCGCCGACCGCGCGCAAACTCCTCGTGCTCGACCTCAACGGCACCCTCCTCCTGCGCTCCGCCCGCGCCCCGTGGTCTGCGCGCGCCTCCGCCTCCGCCCACGCCAAGCCCGCCCCGCGCACCGTCCACCCGCGCGCGTACCTCCCCGCTTTCCGCGCGTACCTCTTCGCGCCGCGCACGCGCGCGTGGCTCGACGTCGTCGTGTGGTCGTCCGCGCAGCCGCATAACGTCGAGGATATGGTCTCGCGCGCGTTTGCCGGGGACCGCGCGAAGCTGGGCGCGGTGTGGGCGCGCGACACGATGGGGCTCGCGCCGGATCGGTATTGTGAGTCGGCTTTCCCAGCTCGGGTGCGACGGCGGTGCGATGTCCCGTTCGATGCTGTGCGAGGGTGTTTGTGGTTGGTTGGGGAGGGTTGCTGGCGAGGACGCATGTTTTCACCGCCTTTCGTCGCGGCTTGCTCGCTTGCTTGGCCTCGGAGGACGCGTTGGCTGACGCGCCCACCCTTCTCCCCAGTCCGCAAAGTACAGACCCTCAAAGACCTCAACAAGCTCTGGACCGAGCTCCCCGCCCGCCCCGCCCGCCCGGTCCTCCCCCCCGACGCAGACGCACCCGCGCCTACCGCGCCCGCGCCCGTCCGCCACTCGGCGCACAGCACCCTCCTCCTCGACGACTCGCACAAAAAGGCAGCCCTGCAGCCGCACAACCACGTCTGCGTCCCCGAGTACACGCAGGCGCTGCGCAATCGCGACCTCGAGGCGCTGAGGGCCGAACGCGCCGCGCGTGCGGCCGTGGGGGCGGCGGCGGCGGGGGCGAGTGGTTCGAGGGCGGCGAGGGCGAGGGCGGCGGGGGCGAGTGGTGCGGCTTTGGACGCGGGGGCGGAGCCTGCGCCTGCGCCCGCGCCTGCTGCCCCACCCACGACCCCGCGCGCGGTCGCGGGCGTGGCGGACGCGATGGGCGACGAGCGCGAGGCGGGGGGCGAGGACGAAGACAAGGACGACAAGGACGACGAGGAGGACGTGCTAGGCTCGCACAAGCGCAAGCGGCGCTCGACGAAGCAGAAGCGCGCGGAGAAGGCCGCGCGGGAGCGCGAGCGCGCCGCCGCCTCCACCAGCGCCAGTGCCAGCACTAGCACCAAAGCCAAAGCTAATCCCGGCATGGCCGTCGACGCTGGCGCGAGCGCCGCCATCATCGCTGCTGCTGGCGACGCTGGTGCGGATGGCCTAGCGGTGCAGCCTCCGCCCGCTCCCCCGCCCGCATTCGACGAGACGCTGCTGGCCGTCGTCGGGATTCTGCATGCCGCGCGCACGCAGAGCAGCGTCGCGGGGTGGATTCGCGGGGGCGCGCTGTGGGGCGGGCAAGCGGTGGACGCGGTGGACGCGGTGGGCGCGGTGGGCGCAGCGAAGGCAGCGGAGGCGGGGGAGAGCGACGGGTCGGTGGAGGAGGGGGGGCGGGGGAAGCGAAGGCGGCGGAGGGGCGCGGCGGAGGGGGAGGAAGATGAGGAGGAGGGGGGGAAGGAGGAGGGGGGTGTAAAGAGCGCGGGCGCGGGCGCGGGCGAGGACACGGTGCCGGCGCCGGTGCCGGTGTGGTTCGAGCACGCGCCGGCGGTGGGGTATTGGGCGGCGCGCGGGCGCGCGGCGCTCGAGGCGCTGGGGATCCCGGTCGAGCATGGGATAGAGCGGTGAGCGGCGAGCTGGGAGCGGGCGGTCGGTCTGTGTGTATGGCGGAGCCGTTTCTTGCGCGGGCGCACGCGCCTTGGGATCGAAAGTATCGGATCAGAAGTATGCTTGTAGCGCGTGGCGCCGTGCTGCCATTTATTTATTCATCATCGTCATCATCATCGCGCGCTCTGTGCTGCCCCCTCGACTTTGGGAACAAGGCGTGCATGCGAGCATGTGTGTGTGTGTGTGTATGGAGAACGAGCGCGGTATAGCTACTCTCGACGACATAGTATGCACATAAACGCGAGCGTCAAAAGACCGATCCCTCCGTCCATTCACGCTCAACTCGCGACCTAAAGACGCGCCGCACACGCTCACTCCACCCGCGCGCGCTTCGTAGCCGGAGCCGCGGGGGCGGCGGCGGCGGCCTCGAAGTACTCGAGCTTGGCGGTCGGGTCTGCCTTGATGGTGCGCGCGCCTTCGGTCCAGTTGGCGGGACAGACCTCGCCGTATTGTTCCTGTGGCGCGGCGGCGGCGCGGCAGGAGCGCGGTCAGTTCGTGATGCGCGATGCGCGATGCGTGGGAAGGGGAGGGGAAGGGGGGAGGGGCAAGGGGCAACGTACGTTGAATTGGAAGGCTTTGACGAGGCGGAGGGCTTCGTCGACGGAGCGCCCGACGGGGAGGTCGTTGATCGTCGCTTGTCTGCCGGCGTCCAGTCGACCAGTCATCCAGTCATCCAGCCATCCAATCATGCCGTCACGCCGTCATGCCGTCATCCGTCAGCGCACACATTACAGAACAGCACACGGCACACGCGCGCACGCACCTCAGCACGCCCTTGGGATCGACGAGGAAGAGCCCGCGGAGGGCGACGCCCTTGTCCTCGATGAGGACGCCGTAGTCGCGCGCGATGCGCATGCTGCGGTCGGCGACGAGCGGGAGGTTGAGGTTGGGGCCGAGCCCGCCTGCCTTGCGGTCCTGCGTTGCCCAAGCGAAGTGGGAGTACTCCGAGTCGGTGGAGACGCCTGTGGGCGGGCAGGTCGGTCAGCGTAGCGCGAGGGAGTAGGAGTAGGGGGGGGGGGGGGGGGGGGGGGGAGTAGGACGCACCGAGGACGGCGGTGTTGAGGGCTGCGAATTGTGGGAGCGCGTCGTTGAAGGCGAGGATCTCGGTCGGGCAGACGAACGTAAAGTCCCTATCGCCACGTCGTCGGCACCCGTCGCGCGAGCTCAGCGGGGGGCAGGGGCAAAGGGACGTACATGGGGTAGAACAGCAGGAAGACCCTGGGGATACGACGAGTCAGTCAGGTCGAGACGCGGTGGGAGGGCTCGGGACGCGTGTTTACCACTGGCCGAGGTAGTCGGCGAGTGAGACCTCCTTGAAGAGGCCGCCGACGACGGTCTGCGCTGTGAAGGCGGGCGCGGGCTGCTGGACGGTGGCGACCATGATGATTTTGAGCGAGGGGGCGGTGGTGGTGGTGGTGGTGGTGGTGGTGGTGGGAGGAGAGAGAGCGAGGGAGGGTAAAAAGCGGCGAAGGGGATAAAAACGACGGCACGGGCCCGTCGTGGAGGAGCGCGGTTCGCCCGGAACGCACTCGAGCCCAGAGCGAGCGAGTGCCTGCGAGTGCTCGCCCGCTTACGTGCTGGCCATTTCGTTTTTCCATTCGCTGCTCGCTTGCTCGTCTCTCCCGATCGGCGCCGAGGCCAGCGCGTGCCGGCATGTACGACTCGCGTACGTGCGCGGGGCGTTCGTCTTGGGTGCAGCAGGCGAGACGCGTCTCGGACGCGTCGCGTGCGGGAAGAACACGCTATTATATACAGCTGGCAGGCGCGCACATCTCAGAAGCGGGCGCCGAGCGCTCCGGCACGTGCGCACCCGCTCGACCCGGTTCGGCGCTCCGCCCGCGTCGCCGTCACGTCACGCCCGAGTCGAGCCGATACCTCGCTCCCGACGACCACTCCCCGACGCCAACCCACGAAAACCCTCCACCGCTCCGCCCCACCGCCAACGACGACAGCGACGCCGACGATGGTCCGGCTCATCACGCACAACCTGCTCGCGTGCCACGCCAAAGGCTGCACGGCCAACAACTTCCCGCTCCAGTTCAGAGACGCGCAGGTCGCCCTCCGCGACGCGGAGTTCAACCCCGACTTCCTGCGCGGCTTCCTCCCCAAGATCGAGTGGCCCGCCCTCGTCGACGCCGCCCGCCAGGTGCGTCCACCCCGCCCCGCCCCAGCTCCTCATTCGAGGGATCGCACGCCGACTGACTGACTGACTGACTGTGTGTACGCGCGCGCGCGCGGGTGTGTGTAACAGCTGGGAGACACGTCGCTCCCGCTGCAGCAGCCAGACATGCTCGACGACGATTTCCTCCGCGCGCTGCACCACGTCCTGCTCGAGGTGCGTCCCCCTTTCGCCTCGGCGCCCCCAGATCGCAGCTCACGATCGTGTCCGTGTCCGTGTCCGCCGCGCCAGCTCCACGTCGAGGAGGGCGCCATGGTCTGCCCCAACTGCCAGCACGTCTACCCCATCTCGAACGGGATCCCAAACATGGTGCGCGCCCCATCGTCATTCCCGTCCCCGTCCCGCACGAGCGACATCCCCATGAAAATGAAAATGAAAATAATAAAATAAAATGCTGATCGCCCCCGCTCCCGCTCACACCCCCAGCTCCTCGCAGAGCACGAAATCGGCTGATCGCGACCGCGCGCGCACATACCGCGCCCAGGGCGCACATCGTCAAAAGAAAGAACAAAGCAAAAACGAAATCGCAGTGGAATCGCGCGCCGCCCAGCGCGCAGAGCACCGCGCGAATGGCCGCAACGCACCTCTTCCTCCCCCACCACATTCGCCACGGCGCAAAATTGTCCGCGTGCTGCGGAAGAGGCGGAGGCGGAAGAGGTAGAGGTAGAGGTAGAGGCGTACGCTCCTCGGCGAGCAGCAGTCTGTATCGATAAATCCTGTATCCCACTTTCACAACCCATTCCAATCCAATCATGCCCGCCTAGCCTGCCTGTTCATCGTGATCCACGCACCCGATCGCCATGACCATTCATTCCGCCGCGCTATCGTACAGACTCGCGAAAAAAAGGGCAAAAAACGAACGCCGACAAGATTAATCAGAAAAAGGTACGCAGTGCAGAACACGCGATGGCATGCCATGCTGGACATCGAGCAACGCGTCACCCCGTCAACCCGTCACCCGTCAAACCACCCCGCAACGGCCATCTCCTCCGCCAACCCCTCCCACCCGCGCCTCCTCGCCTTCCTCCCCGCAAGCTCCGTCGCGAACCTACCCCGAACACAGAAAAAAACCCACCCATCAGCAACCCGTTAGCAACCCATCAACAACCCGCCGCGCCCCACGCAGATCAAACCACCCGAAGCAGCGACAAAAACTCACCGCAAACACTCATCCAACCTCCACCGCCGCCCCTCCTCCCCTCCCCCCACGCCCGCCCCTCCGCCCGTCCCTCCGCCCGCAGCGCCCAAACCGGGGCTATACGGCGCCCCAGGCAACAACCGCCGGCTCAGCGCGTATATCATCCCCGCGACGAACGCGTCCTGCGCCCCGACCTCGTCCCACGCGCCCTCCTCCTCGCGGGAATTCGCCGCCGCCGACCGCGCGTCGCCCGCGCGGTGCTGCTGGTGCGGAGCCTGCACGGCGCCGTGGCTCGAGCCCGCGATCTCCGTCCCCTGCGAATCCGCATCCGAGTCCGCATCCGAGTCCCCGTCCCCGTCCCCGTCCCCGCCCCCGCCCCCGTCCCCGCGTTCGCGCGCGCCCCGTCGCCGCCCGTCGCGCCCGTGATCGCGCTGCTCGCGGCGCGGGGAGAGCTGCCCGCGTTCGTGCCCGTGCCCCGAGCTGCCGAGGTACGCGGCCGAGAACGCGCTCGCGGTGGACGGCGTGCGGCGCGCGCCGGGCGACGCCCAAAAGTCGCTCCCGGACCGCACGCTCAGCGCCTCGTCCGCGTGCCCCCGCTCACGCTCGTGCCCGTGCGCATGCCCATGCGGCGCGCCCTCCGCGCGCACACTACGCGGGGACGGCGGCTCGTGCGCGTGCACGCGTGGGTCGTCGGCGGCCCAGCCCGAGCTCTGGAAGTACTCGCGCGTGGGGACGGAGAGCACGGCTGCGCCGTCCCTGCCCCAGTGCGCGACGAGGAGGGCGTGCGGCGCGGCGAGCGCGGCGAGGGACAGGAGGAAGGCGCGCGGGGTGGCGGCGTACGCGGGGGAGTGGGCGCGTGCGTAGTGGCTGTTGAGGAAGAGGACGTCGGCGTGCGGGATGAGCTGCGCGGGGGGGTAGAAGGGAGACGGGCGGGCGTGAGCGAGCGGGTAGATGCGGGGGCGAGGGGAAAGAGTAGAAAAGCAGGGATTCACACCGCTTCTACGCCCTGGCGCGCGCGCCGGCCGACGTCGACGCTGAAGACGCAGTGTGCGCGCCACCTGCGCTCGCGCGCGAGGCCGTCGATGCCTGCGATGTTGTTGAGCGTCGTCTTGACGGAGCGGCCCTCGAAGTGCAGCCAGTCGAACGGCGCGGGGCTCTGCGGCTGGCCGGCGGGGCCGTTGAGCGGGGCGAGCACGCCCGGGGACGGCGCGGAGAGCGAGGGGCGGGGCGGGAAATTCGGCTGGAGCGGGGGCGAGGGCAGCGAGGGCGCCGGCGGGGGGTAGTTTTCGGGGGCGAGGAGGGGCCCGAGGAGGGAGACGAACTCTTCGTGGGTGATGTCTGGGAGCGGGTTGTGGTTGATCACGCTCTGCGAGTCGGTGTCGTCTGTGCATCCGTCGGTAGATAGAGGTCAGCACGGTCTGTGGTGCGTCAATCGAATGTCGAGATGCGGTACGAGCGAGGTTCCATCGCGAGAGGCGCACGATGCACACGTCGGGACCCATGGTCATTCAAGGTCGGACTCACTTGCGTGCAGAACCCAAGCGCCAGGGACACCGGCCGTCTCCCATATTTTACAGTAGCGCGTGTTGACCCCGATCCTGTCCAACTCGCGTATGACCTCCTTGCCCTCATCGTTCCCGCCCAGGCTCGCGACGAGCCAGCACCCCTCGATCCCGGCGCCGCCGCCCGCGCCCGCGCCCATGTCGAGCGCGAGCGCGCGGAACTGCGCGAGGACGGCGAGGATGGTGCTCGCGGAGCCGTTGCGGGTGCGCGTGTACTCGTGTGCGCGGACGTTGCTGGACGGCGCGGGGTGGTGCGGGAGGGAGAGGGTGTGGGTGAGGAAGAGGGTGCCGGAGGCGATGATGCGCAGCGGGCGGGTGTGGGAGGCGGGGGGTTGGGAGAGCGAGGAGGCGGAGGGGCGGAGGCGGGACATGGTCGCTCGTGGCGGTCGTCGTCGTCCGCGCCGTCGTCCTCGCCGTCCTCGCCAGCTTCGGCCCCGGCTGCCAAGCGCTTGTGGCGGCTGTTTCCGAGCAATCGTCAGGCGCCATACTCAGGCCATCCACTTTCTTTTCAGAAACGGCTGGCGCCTGAAACTCGATATTCTAGGTATCACCGTCACCTTGACCGATGCATGATACATCATGGCTGCAACTCCATTCGAGTCAGCAGAATATTCCGATCTTCCATACGTACACGACCTTTCACCGCAGCGAAGCATTCTTGCATAGAAATTTCTATACATGCACGACCACACGTACACGATGCAGGCGTCTTGCTGGATCCACTGATGCACGAGGTCGGTGAATCTGCGCATCTCGGCTGGCAGCGCCGATGCACTGCGCTTCAAAGACAGCTGCAGCGCGAAACTTGAGTACAGTACGTGCTGCTCTCTCCTGGATCCTGAAACAAAGTAAGCATCTTTATCTCGCGTTCTTGACCTTGTCGTTGTGAACCTGAAGCCTTATCCGTTCTTCAGAAAGAATACAGGCGCCATGGAGTCGGATCCCGACGCCATGATGTGCGCAGCGAACGAGATATCCTCAAAGATCCAGCACTTCTCCACACACATCCCACAGCTCAGAGACTCCCTGGTCTCTACCGTCCGAGCCCCATGCGAACAAGCCATCACGACCGTCATCGAGCTCGGCACCGCTGCGCGCGAGCTCGAGCTCATCCCCGCCTCCTCCCCGTCCTCCCATCGCTCCGCCGTGCTCTCCGCACGAACGCGCAACGTCGCCGCGCGCGCGCACGAGCAATTCGTCGCCGTCCACCAGCTCGCCCAGTCTGCGCTACAGGATGCGAATAAGACTGCGGTCGAGGTTGCTTACTGGTCAGGGAGGGTGGATACCTGCGTGCACCAGGTCCGCGACGCGATGGGACTGCTGCAGTCGGAGATTCAAGAGACGAAGGAGCAAGTTAAAACGTCGCAACAGACGATAGAGGCTGCCCAAAGGGACATTCAACGAGCCAATGAGACGATAGCGCATGCGAACGGCGAATTGATAGGGGCGAGGGCAGTAGCTATAGTGAGGTACGTCTGTCTGTCTATGTCTATTTCTGGTGTATGATGCTCAACCATCAAACCCAGGGACGTCTTTACATTCGGTCTTGGAGTAATCGCCGACTTGGGAAACTGTTACAGAAATATAGGCCACTGGGAGCGAGTCATTGCTGATGCCTCCCGCTCTTGTGAGGACGCGCGCAATCGCATCGGCATCGCAGAGGCGCAGTTGGCCAATTATCATAGCTCCATTGAACGGCTCAGCGGCCGTCAAGACCAGCTGAACAATATAGTTCCCCAACTGGACGACGCCCGCCAATCCCTCAACCGCCATCGCGAGCACATGCTGGAGCTCGTGACCACCACGTTCGACGTCTCTGTTTTCCTTGGCGGGCTCGCAGCACAAACTGCGCCTTGGGATGCGATACAGACTGCGTCTGGTCATATGGAGGCAATCACGAAGCTCCAGAGTGTCGTCAATGCGAACCCGCGTCTGATTGATATTTGCACGATGGACGCCGCGCGGCTTAATGATTCTCTGCGTTCGATAGCGAGCGCAGACCTGAAGGCGCTTGTGAGCGGCTTTATTGTACTTTTTTACTAGCTTCTTGACGTCTCATGGTGGCGTGCCGCATGTCTAGATGAAGGCCTATGTGTGTGTGGATACATTCCGGGTGTACGAATGGTTGCGAGGTCTGAGTGCCGCATTGTCCCATGTGGGCAACGGGTGGTCCTCGTTGATGAGACGATGCGCAGAAATGATCAGGGGCGGGTCAATATAGTGTAGGTTTCGTTGACTATACCCGTGCTTTGATCTTGCGCGCCGCCGAAGCCAACAACCCTATCATAGAACCAGGGTCCTCTTTGCGCTGCTGTACTATATTACTCGACGTCAACTTCACATTAAGCCTTATGTCTTCATCTAGCCTGACTGCTCAGAATATCGGTGAGCGGTGATCGAAGTCGAGCCCCGCGGCCTATCGCTAGTCCACGTTCTTGTGACAGTAGTTAGTAGGCTTTCTTCCGACTGCGATTGTTGCTTCCCTATCCATACCCACCCCACTTCACACCTGCAGGTATCCACGCATTGATGCATTCAAGTCGCAGCACGTCACCGGTCGTACGCATTGATGCTTGTGTTGACACTGCGCTTCAAGACCAGCGGCGATGTATATCAGCACTCCTTTTGAAAACAAACATACGCTTCGAAGCCCATCCTTTCCTTCGTCGTTGTTCGTTGCTTCTCCAGCATGGGAGACCCAGAACCGGACACCAATGCGCTGATACACGACATGGAGAAGATATCTGAAATGGCACGATACTTTTCCACATATATTCCACACCTCAAGGACGACCTCGTACACAGCGTCCGTGATCCCTGCGATCGAGCTATCGCGACCGTCGTCGAGCTCGGCGATGCCGCTCGCAACCTCGCGCTCATCCCTGCCTCCTCCGTCTCGTCTCAGCGCTCCGCCGTGCTCTCCGCACGAAAGGTGGCCGCACAGGCGCACGAGCAGTTCGAAGCGGTCCATCAACTCGCTCGCTCGGCTCTGGAGCAAGCAAACGGGACGGCGGTCGAGGTTGCGTACTGGTCATCGAGGGCCATGACCTGCCGTCGCCAGGTTGACGACAGAACCAGCTTGTTGCAGCAGGAGATCCAGAGGGCGGAGGAGCAGGTCAGGGCTTCTCAGCAAACTGTGGACGTTGCCCGGAGGGATGTTGAGCAAGCTGATTCAGCGCGCTCGCGTGCGAGACGTGAGATGGAAGGGATGCAGGTTGCGGCAGTCGCGAGGTAGGCATGATCTCTATGGTGTAACGCGCTGAACTGATAGGAATCATCTTCCCCAGACACTTTTTGACGTTCGGCCTGGGCACATTCCTCGACTTGGGGGATATTTTCAGGCGTATGAGGAGATTAGATGAGTTGATTGACACCGCGTCTCGCAACCGCGACGATGCGCATCGTCAGCTGGGTAACGCCAAAGAACAACTGTCCGACCACCAGGGCTCCATTCAGCGATTCAATGCCCTTCAGGGCCAGCTGAGTGAGTTGGGGCCACAGCTGGAGGGCGCCCGTCAGGCGCTCGAGCGTGATCGCCAGCACATGGCGGAGGTTGTGAACACCGCGTTCGACGTGTCCGTCTTTCTCGGGGGGATAGCAGCACAGACGGCGCCTTGGGATGCGATACACTCTGCGTCTGGGTTCGTGACCGCGATCACGAGGCTGCAGGGCCTCGTCGAGGCGAATGCGAGCTTGACTAGCATATTTGTCACCGATGCCGCCCTTCTCGATAGCTCCCTGCGGTTGATAGCGAGTGCAGACGCTGGCGCGATGGTCAGCGGTTTGTGTTGATTGCTCAATGTATACGGTATATGCTGTTCTGTGCCGCTCGACGATAATTCGTTTCAATCTTTTCCGGGTTAGCTTGACGGGTCAGTGCCTCTCTTTCGCCAGGCTTCATTGAACGGTAACCCAAATGTGAGTGGTCTTACTAGTTCAAGTTTTGCCGCTTTATGTCGTATCGGAGCCTTTGTCTATGTGAGTTTCAAGTACGCTTACATCTCCATCTGACTTCATCAAATTACTTTGCATTGCCCTTTGATCCGACAGACTGTTTCTAGATTCGGGCAAGTGAAACGAGAGCTTTCGCTTTTACAAATGGTTCTACCTTTGCTCATACCATCACCGCGATACCACAGGGCCAAGAGAGAAAAGTCTAGGTCATCATGGGATGGTATGTGATGGACAAGCAGGGCTCACATGGAATCAGGTTTCATCAGGCCAAGTACCAAGCTCTGCGGAACAGCCTGTCTCCCGTAGTGTGCGACATCGGATAGAGGTTGTTGCCGCTACCGCCCATGTTGATGGCAGACATGACCCATTAGGGTCTCCATGTCTTGACAGGACGCCCGGAGTAAACTCCGCTACGCGCTGTGTACCCAGCCCCATCTGATAAGTCTTCTACGCGGGTGCGTATAAAATAACCTCGTCAATGACCATAAACGCCAGGCTGCGCCTCCCAACACTGTTCACTTCACTTTAAGCTATCTTTGTTATTTGACCACCTCACTCGTTCTTTCGTCTTTCAATTCATAATCATAATGGTTGCCTTCACTCCTCTTATCTTTCTTCTTTCTGCTCTGGCAGCATCGGTCAGTGCTGCTCCTACCCCCACGAGTAGGGCTGCCTCCAAGTCGGGAGAAGGTCAGCAGTTTTTTCTCAGTGGCAGCGATGAGCTACATCCGTTGGCGGTATTTCTAGGCACCTTCTTCGAGCCTGGACTTGGGGCGTGCGGTATACATAATTCAAGCAAAGACATGATCGTAGCCGTTTCGCAGCAGCTGTTCGATAACTTCCCGTAAGTGCCGCCAATAATTCTGCTGAGCATAGTCTGATAACCCCATGTTCAGTGGAGCTGGGAAGAACCCAAACAAGTATGCTGCATGCACTGACCCGTCCTTCAACTGTGTTCGATGTTGATCAATATCTTTAGGAATCCCATTTGTAACAAGAGTATCACGGCTCACTGTAAGTCCTCACCTTGTTCGTACCCTGCGTGAATGCGGTCTCATGCGTGTGCTCCATCTCAGTCAAGAACAAGTCCGTGAAGGTCAAAGTGACCGACCGATGCACGGGATGCAAGTTGAACGATCTGGACTTCACCCCGAGCGCTTTCAGCAAATTGGCAGACCAATCTCTTGGACGCATTCCGATAACATGGGAGTTCAATTGAGCGCACTGAGTAGATAGGCTTGACTGGAATAAAGTCCTAATTTTGACCTCTAAAGCAACATATGAGAGCGACTACATCAGGTCATTGATTCTTACTCCACTCCCAGTCGCTACTGTCGCTTCGAACAGCGCATCAGAATACTGATCGGACCGGGCAGCGGACACATCCGCGACATGGGCATCAGTGATCATCTGAATCGAGGCTGGAGCACTCGAAGTAATCGCCGGATACACGGTCTGGATGACGCTGGTAAACTTGGCAAGTCGGGCATCGATTGCAGTGCGAAACTGTTGCTGATCTCGTTCGATCAGAGCAAGGATCTGAGGACATAGGTGTACGAAAATGAAATTGGCGTTTGAGGTAAGTCACACGAGCTTACCTGGTCTGACTGTCTCGTTGCCTGACGCTCGAGCTCTTTCTGCTTCAAAGTAAGATCAGCCATCAACGTCTTTCGCCCTTCCACGGTGTTGTCTGAGAATTTCAACATCTCCGCCTTTACATCATCAGAATCGTATCAACTGTAAGAGGAAAGTTTCACTCTTACCACTTGACGTTGAGCCGGCAAGATATGCTCCGTACTAACGCGCACATAGATGTTGCTGACTTTGTTCGTCAGTAGAGCCACCCTAAACCAATTATCAGGAATGTCGCCCAGAAAGCAAAGATAAGGAGATCATACTTCAAAGGAGCCATACACTGTCGATAGATCAGGTCTCGAGTGAAATCTGATGGAATCTCTGCTCAACAGTCTGTTTCCATTTTGCGAATCAATCACATACCGCCCAACGAAACCCCGGATAGAATCATTTTCTCTCCTTGAGTGAGGGCATTCATGAGACGTTCAGTCGATGGTACCATGACGTCGGTGACGAGGGAAGTTATGGAACGGAAGAACTGTGCAAGCTGCGAAAATCTAGCGCGAAGTAGGTTGAATGACGCCATGGCCTTTCGCAGGATAGGAATGATCTCTGAAATTATGAGGTGTTAGATCGAGAACCATGAGCACAGCGAAGCCTCAAGCGACGACTGACCTTGAACACTGAGATTAGCCAGGTCGAGCTGAGTCATTTCCAGTATGGTCTTCGTGATCTCGCTCTGTTGCTTTTGGCGCTGCTGAGATACACTATAAAAGGCATCGCGAGACGAAGCCAAGTTCGCGCGTGTCATTTCAATTTTGTATTGCGCTGATTGAAGTGCGACCTCGGAAGACTTTCCAGAGAGCTGAGGTGTCGATGGGTAGGCCAGTCCGGAAGCAGTCGTTCCGGGCACCTGCGCAGCAAATGAAGCAATTTGACAGAGATGTTTCACATCTGCGTCGGCTTTATCGACGACCGCGCGATGATTTGGGATGCGAGGAAGTAGGGCGTCAAATTGAGCCGACCTTGCTGTGGCAATCAGATCGTCGAGAACCTATGAACAAGTTAGACTAAAGCATAGCTCCGTCGAAAACAGATCAAAGTCTACAAACCGGGATGCATGTATCTAAGATCCTCAAGAGAGAAATCGAGATAGGCTTTGATGAATCCAAGAAATTCCTCGACACCTGAAAGGCGTCCTTCAAATAGATACCCCCATTGTGACCATCGGCAGTAGAGAGCTGAGCCCAGTCTGGTTCTGAGGCATGTCCTTCTTCTTGGTTATACAAGAGATTCTTTAGTGATGACACATGCACTGCGATCAACGGGGCGCGTTGAGTGCCAGGATCAGTCATATTCTCCGGGGTGCTCAGCGTGCTCAGTTTCTGCTCGGCTCTCTCGCTACCGCGTTTTCTTTCGCTACTGCTTTCGGAAATGCTGTGCCCTAGCGTGACGATACTGCTGATTTTGGAAACGCTGTGCCCTAGCGTGACGATACTAGCGGCAGACGCTGTGAATCAACCGTGATTATCTCTCGGCCCGTTTAGACTGTATTAAATAATGACTCACACACGACGTCAACAAAACCCTCGACGAGACGCATCCCCATAAGGCTCCAACCGGATGGCATCGACTTGACGGCATCTTTGAACAAGTCTTGTGCGTCATCGAACGATTGTCGAGAGATGTCCATCGCCTCTTTGGTGACGATAAGTTCTTCTTCCCTTCTTCTCTTCTCTTCTGCTAACACCTTGAGGTGCATGTCATTCTTTTAGCGCCAAAGTCAGTTAGCGCTACATAGACTGGTGAGTAAAACTCACTGCGACAATGGCTTGTTCCGCTGTCCCAGCTCTATAAGTACAGGCCACGGACAGCTCCTCTATTCCGTGTTTTTTAGTTTTCGGCTCTACATGTGGATGGAACACTTACGACTGAGATTAGAGAGATCATCAAAACCGGTAACACAAGCATTGGCAGCGTCCTCGCATTTACGTGCCAAAGATCCGAGATCGTTGAGCCCTGTCTTGAAGAAAGCTTCCACCTCCACCTGGGTCCCGGTCGCCCTAACAGTGCACCTTGTATCACATTGACTGGGATGAGAGAGCATATAATCTTACAGGACGGTGACGAGGTTCCGTATGACGTCTGGCATCTGCTCCGACAACGCTTGAATGGTTTGCATCTTCGTGTGAGCTGTTTCAAAAGCTATGTAGCCATCTCCCACCATCTGATAGAGCTTTTTCAGTAATGTAGTGCTCGCAATTATCCACAATTCATACCTGCATGAGGCACGTCTTGAATGAATCTGGGTGTTTCACATATTTCCAGGTTAACGGTGAACCCCCCTCTGAAGGAGGGGTTTGTAGGCCTGAGATGTCACATATTAACAGAGACACCTACGCGCGACAGATAAAATATTACTGAAGTCGTCTGTCCCAGATGCTATGCATAGAACAGAGCCAAGAAGAGAGATACTCAGCGGTGCAGGCTGGAGAAGCTCGGCCCAATTCGACGAGCACCACATTGTCATCCATGCCTCTTCATTGGCTTCTTTACCGCTACTGACGGCTGCGATGGAGGAGCGATATTGCTGCAAGGTGCTTGAATTTCCGGCCATGCGGGGAGACTGTAGGAGGGGGATTTGTTGACGGGACGGGGCTATCTGCTAATTAAGTTCTTCTTGAGATACAAATACACATCCCGGAAAATTCTCAGTTACCTTCAGGCATGCGCAGCGTCTTGAAGAACCCGAGTGAGATAATGGAACGCCGACAGATCGACGAAAATAAGTTCCGCAGTGACCAATAGGGGTCTCATCAGAAGGGAACAGAATGTTCGAGTGATAACTATTCGAGAATCATCGGTGAAAGAAGATGCGCAGTCTCCTCGTGGTTGTAAGCAAAGAATAGCGCGTTGGGCAGAGCCAATCCCATGTTTGGTAGCGTTCTCTCGTTTCCACTGCATCGATAGGTTGACACATGAAAGCGCCAAATAAAGTAGCCAGTGAGCTAATGCGAGCTGAGTCTGGGGTCCATGCTCACCCAAAGCCAGACTGCCAGCGGCTCTTCCGTAGCACACACAATCACAACCCACATATCTGGCCACTGGAAAAGGCTAGACCAAACACCTCCTGAAGCAGATGTGATAGTCTATTTAGTATTAGTGACCGATTGCGGACGGCTTGCATACAATGGCATCCGCAGAGACGTGGAGTGGTGGGAATGGCACGGTCTCGTTCTTACCCTACTTCACCGTATCTGCAATCAGATGAAAGTCAGCTCTATAGGCGCGTAGAAGTGAAGGCTCGGCGCTGATCTATACCGTCGAGGGTACGCTTTGCATTCACGGGAGTTGGCAGACCCGCATGCGGTTCCTGAGTCTAAGCTGATGAAAATTGAAACCTGGTGCACCATAAGCTTCCGCCTGCGATAGTTGCACAGCGCATGCCTCATCCAAAACACAGCTGTTCCGCTCTGATGCCATGTCAACAATAAGAACGGAGTCCGTAAACGAGAAAACCCAGGTGCCGCAGGCTGATCCTGGTTGTATCATGATCCGTGATGTCACTGTTCGATCATGACTTTCAGTTCTGATCGTGTATACCTCATTGTGAATCTTTCATGCAGATCCTATTTTTGTAGTGTACGCAGCACGCAAAATTGCTCCATAGTCGATCGCGCTACAAACGTGCAAGTCTAGGGCATCTGAGCGGGCAAGGCGCATCATATTTCAGTTCCAGTGTATCTATGAAAGAATGATAACCATACCGGGACAGAAGAGTGGTCCTCAAGGCCTCAAAGTTGCCATGGGCAGCTCCAGACCAACATGAATGATGCATGAGGCCTGAGGCTGCACACGGGACTGTCAGGCTGTCATGATAAAGTAATTCTCTAGCTTTGTTTGTGATATTCTGTCCCAAAGAAACAACAATGAGAAATGAGGAGAATAGTCCCAAGGACACCAGTTGGCAGCAATGTACGACTCGGAAAAGTCAAGAGCCAGAATGGCGGCGTGTCCACTGTCGGGCCGTTTTGGAAACCCTAACCCTACCTATCCTAGTGAGGTTCGAGAACGCCATCGATTGGCGCGTTGCCTCTACCAAAGCAGAGTCCAAACTGGATTCACAGATTATGGGGGTAAGTAAACGGACAATATGCGTGATCGCAGAGTTGGAGAGAGTATGAAATGCAACTTTTAAATACCACCGTACGTCCTCGTTCTCGCCCCCGTTCCCAATAACTCTCAACCTGCCCAAAAGGCAGTGCCGACGGCCCACCATTCAACGTTCTGCGCTCCAACCCCGTGCACTTAGAAAGTACCTTTTTCTCACCAGATAAACAGTTGTGAAAGGCAAAAAAAATCGAAGAGGGAAAATGGTCAGGAAGTCGGAAAGACGTATGGGAAGGAACTGAACGGTGAATGACACGATCGACGATTTAAACGAGCAGAGCGAGCAACTGTGCACTGCCGTGGATGCACGACAAGCGGAACGAATGTGTCGAGGTGTTGTGGTATGGCCCATCTGGTGCGGTGCGCACGGGTGTTGTGGAGTGACAGGTATGAAGTCGTGCGGTATGTATATGTGTGTATGGTATCGTATACGCAATAAGTACCATCTGGTTTCTTACGAACTCCAACGATTGACGGAAGGAAGAGGTCAAGGTCAGGGCTCCGGGTGGTATCGCATCACAGGGATGCATAGGAGCCTGACTTTCGACGCGTGTCTGGCTCAAGAGCACAAACAGGGACTGATAGAAAAGAAAAAAGAAAGAGAAGAGAAGCAGAAGCAATATAAAGAGGGAACCATAGACCCAGCGCGGCATAGAGAAGAGAAAAATGGGGAAAGGCATATATGAAGCAGAGAATGGAAGGTGGAAGGTAAACACCCCAGCGATCGGTAAATTGAGCGGGGTACAGTGAGCGACGGAGAGTGAGTGTCAGGGTGAAGTAACGTTAGGAAGTCACAAGGAGAGGAGAGGAAAGAGGACAAGCGGAGAACATATTATGAACGAGTGGATCAGGATGGGATAGGGTAACCTTTTTCACGCAAGCTTCGACATGAACAGCTAAAAGGGAATCACAAACAACAGGCACGAGACGCCATCGGGCGCCCAGGAGGCGATTACACTTCTTCCTCTTCTTCCTCGACAACGTTGTGCAACGGCGCGCCGTGCACATACCGGTAGGGGCTATCACGCCCATCATCCACCTCCAAGATCGACGGCGTCAGCTCGCTTTCCGCCGTCATGACCGACGCGGGCGGCGATGGGGAACGCGGGGGCGCGGGAGGCAGAGCTGCCTCCTCCTTGGGTGCCGCTCCCTGGGGACGTGGGATGCGAGATGGCGCGGGAGTGACAGCAGCAGCAGCATTAGCGACGGCAGCACCAGGGACGGGGACGGCCTGGCGCTCACGTTCGCGGTACATCTCGATAAGCGCGGCCGTGCGTGTCGCGACTTTGCTCGCGCCTTTATCCCTGTTGCTATCTGTGGGCGTGACGGTGCCGTTGCCAGTACCGTTACCAGTGCCGTTGCCATTCGCATTGAAGTTGTTAAACAGTGAGGGGAGCGTCATCGATTCGACCCGAGAAGGCTCAACGTCTAGGTCTCTCGGACGCATACCGAGGTCATAGTCGTGCGTATCCATGACAGGCGACATGTGACCATCGACGGGCTCAAAATCGCTCACGTCGGACGCATTGATCGATCTTGGGGCCCGAGCAGACCCGCGGTATGCGCTGCCCATCTCGTCGCTGTCAACCGAGCGCCTCGCAAGGCGCGCACGGGGGTCGTCGGCCTCGCCGGCCGGTCGACGCTCAGGATGGAGGTCGAAATAGCCCGGCCGGCGCCTAGTTGACGAGATGAGCGACGCAGCGCGATCCTCATCCTCCTCTTCGCCGTCCAGATGCTGACTGCCCTCCGTCCGCGCCTCGTCGAGCGTTTCTGTGTCTTGGCCAGGTACATGCATGGCTTCGATCTCGCTCTCGCCTTCCGCATCCTCGTCCTCTTCTTCGAACGCAGGAGAATGCGTACGGACGCCCGCTAATGCTTGTGCGACCTCCTGGCTCGCGAGCTCCGGGTCTGAGACGCCGCCGCGAAGTCCCCGCCGGCGCACCTCCGCATCCTGTCCGCCGAGCCTCCGCCCGTGATTCGCGACGAGGATGTCAACCCACGCATCGTCCTTGGACATGCGTCGGTCGTGCTTGGACGATCCTCCGGGCGTCAAGGAGCCACTGTTGAGCTCGTCGTCACTGTAACTCGCCAGCCGCGTTTCAAAATCCACGTTCTCGTACTCAGAAGGAGGAATCACAGACTTGCGGTACCCCGGTGTGGTCAAGTTCAAGGGGAGCCGAAATCGCGGCGGTCGGCCACCCGGAGGGGAAAGAGGACTTGGTGTGCGTGCTTGCGTCGGGGTGTTCGACCGTGTGCCAAGGTAAAGTGGACCAGAAATAACGCCCCCGCGAGGCGTGCTGCCGCGCTCAGTCTGAGGCGTCTGAGGCGTCTGAGGAATAGCCGTGACTGCCGCTTTAACGCCGCCTTTGCCATCAAGCGTGAGGAGCCTTGTTTGGCTCTGACCCCCGCGCAGGATGCCCTCGAACTCGACTTCACGATAAGAAGGGCTCTTCGGGACGTGGCCAATCACGTACGGCCGACCGTTAAGAGTTGCCGCAGGTTTCCACTGCTTAGACTTGCTGGGAGAGAATAGAGAGGCCAGTCGTCGTCTTCCCTGTCCGTTGATGGAGAGCTGCTGTCTGTACTCGGCCGGGACAAATTCTTCGAATAGGAACACGATGCCTGCCGTTCGTGGGTCATTACCGCCTGGTGTTGTCGTCGATCGGGTAACAGGTAGAGCCTTGAACTCGACCTACACAGATCAATCAAGCAACTGCGACCATGATAGAGTTTTTCTAGATATACTTACCAGTGCCCAATTGCATTCCCTATCCAATTCCTCTTCCCTTTCCAAGTCCATCCATCCACCGCCGTAAACGAGATCGCAGAATACATCAATGAATGCTTCCTCAATGACTTCTTCCGAGCCCACGACGGGCTCCGTGTCCCACCCGAATGGCGGCAGTGCGCGCTGCGTCTTCTTCAGCTTGCGGGTCATCTCGACCTGCTGCGACGGCCAAGTCTGGATCGTATTCGCAACTGGCGTACTGAACTGCAGCGTTGCATTGAGCGGAGCGTCTGTGCGTGAGAATCCTGAGCTGGAGAAATCCGACCATGTCAAGGTTGATCGTTTCGCCGTCCTCGACTGTGCGGATCACGTCAATGAGCAGAGTTAAAAAAGGGAAATGAAAGAAGGGCGGGACACGCACTGTCCTCGCGCTCTCCGTAAGATCGAACTCCAGCTTTTTCTCATCCGTGCCGAGCCCGCCGAACCCCATCGCCTCGAACTCTCCCCACTTGAGGTCTGTCAGACTCCGGAAGCGCTCCTCGTTCAGGCTCGTCTCCTTGCCCTTGCCCAGCCCAAAGTAATCGCTGTCCTCCACTAAAGTGGAAAGCTTGCTCGATGCCGTCGACGACATGGAGAGGTTCGACCCCGCGGCCGTGTATGGATGGAAGTTGGCCGGCAGGTTCATGCGCTTCTTGTACCCGTCTGCATACCGCGGGGTCAACTTCAGCGTCGACGGCGCCACGCGTTCCCACTCTCTCGACGAAGCCAACCCATTGCTCGCGCTCTGCGTCTGGACAGGACGTACGCCCCAGCTCGCGGCAGTTTTGACCAGGTCCGGCGTGTACAACCGCACGTTGCGCCGCACGCTGACCACACGCACTGTGCGGGCCCCGCGCCGGGGCTGCAGCTTATCCTTCTTGTTGCGAGCGGTGGGCAGCATCGCGGGGTATCCGCGAATCCAATCTTTGAGGCGAGTGGGCACACCCATCGATGCAGCACTGCCTTGCCCGACGCTACTATTCGAGCCGTTCGTCGGTGCATCTTGCCATCGTATGAATGCGAGGAGAAGGTGCTCCATGGCGTTGGTCGCGCGAAGGTAGTGTACATAGGCATGGTGGAATGCAAGGGTCGCGGGGCCGAGGCCGAAGAGAAGAGGACCGAATAGTGGCGAGAGAGTGGGCGGCGTGTGACCTGAGGATGCAGAATGTGCAGTGAAGCGCGCAAGGAGCGTGAGTATATTGATGATAATCGAGCGCAGGACGGGCTGCAAAGGGGCCAAAAAGGACGCAAAGTGGGTGGCTGGATAGCTGAGAGCTGAGCAGGGAGAGATCAGCGAAGGTGCGGGGCGATGGCTTCAGCACGCCCGACGCACCGACTTCAGCCTCGCTCCATTCGATGTAGTTCTCCCACCCGACGAGCCCGCGCACGGCGTTCCCGCCGACGATTCTGACTACCCGCGCAAGGCCCCAACGCAAGCACATTCCGAGCTCATGGGGGCCCGCAAACTTCGCCTCTTCGTTCCACTTCTTGTCCGCGTCCGGCGCGGGGAAAGGCACGCATGTCCGTAGAAACGCCTGCACCAGGCGGCGCACGCCCGCGGCGCTGATATCGAGCGCAAGGCTGGAAAAGATAAACGGCGTCGTGAGCCCCCGCGAGCCCAGCTCGTCCGTCAGCGTGCGCACGAGCCGGTCGGCCTCGTCGAGGCCGAGCACGACGTGGCGCTGGTAAGAGAGGTAGCCATAGTCCTGCTCGCGCTCGCGTGGGGGGCCGCCCTCGGGATCTGCTCGCCTCGGTGGCTCGATGGTGAGGGGGAGGAAGCTGCCGTCGGGTATGGGTGGCTCGTCGTCGTCGACGGTTGTGCTGGCCCTGCCCTTTGCGGTGCTGAAGGTGCGAGCGCGCGCGTCCTTGTCCTTCTTGTTGTCCTTCTTTCCGGGTAGCGAAACGACGCCACGATTTGAGCTGCGGCTGCTGACGCGCCCGAACTCGTCGTAGACAACGTCGTCTGCCGATGGCCTGTTCGCTTTGTGGGGTGTGGAAGTTGTGCGAGAACGAGAAAATAAGCTGGGCATCGAGTGCGTCGACGAGCAGAGCGACCGAGCACGGTGGGTATCCTCAACAGAAATATGTGTCCCAGAATGGAAATGTCCTTCAATGGCGTGCGTTCCGGCGGCCTCCTCGGGTTCCTCCTCGCAATTATAAGTTGCCCCCTCGTAAAATGGAAGCGTGTCCGCCCTGTTTCTCGTCACAACAGTCCTTTTATCGTCCTCAGCGTGTGCAGCGGCGTAGAGCGTCGTTTCTCAATGCACTTGGGTGGTATTCGTAGGACGATCGTGGCTAGTCGTGACTACTACGCGACAAGCAATGGTTTATATTCAACTCTCGACGCCTGCCCGCTGCGCTCTCTGCTGCAACCCGTTTTACACCCGTCGTCAACACGGAAAGGAAAGCAGCTGTCCCCCACGGCGGTCATCCTTCTTGAATAGAAGTGACTAGTCTGACATTCGGTGGAGTACACTTAGGGACGCTTGCGAACGCTGTCGGCCCGGATCGGGAGGAACACCAGTAAGCATCACCGTTTCGACAGCATGGGCGCACCTTGTTCTCCCACAAGGGCAGAGCTTTGCTGTTCACGGCGATGGACCGTCAAGCAATACCACGGTGACCTGATGCGGGCTCTCGCTGATCCACAGAAACACAGACCGGAGTTTTGATTTCCCCTGATCTCGTAAAAAATTTCAAGGCTGAAGCGCTCAAGGCCATATAAGCAGAGCTCAGAAGCTGTATACGTCTCTTGTCAGTGTGATGATTTCGACAGCAATGGAATAAAATACATACTTTGACTAGTGACTCCTCAGTCAAGGGTCGAGAGCGGGTGGACGGAAGGCGGAGAGGTGAGTGGCAAATTCCGACAAGCCGAGTCGCTGCCGCAAGGACGCAAACCAAAGATCTCTAAAATGAGCGTCCAAATTTCAAAATGCCAAAGCATGCCATGAAGGCAAGTCGTAAAGGGGTACCCGTCTGTGGGGAAAAGAAGGCCGGAACCGCGTTTCCGACAAGAGACTTGGTCTCCGTAGCATGTATGGTGCGTAGGGCCCAGTGCGCATCAACAAGCAGCATACTGCCAACATAGAAGGCAAAGAAGGCGCGCTTGTTACAACACATTCCCATGGAGGCTTTTGCGAGGTCGCCGCCGAGAACGCATGTATGAACTCCACAGAGGGCACCGAACACGACGAGTATAGTGAACACGGCATGTTCGGCGACAACGCGGGCTCGCTGAGCTCTTCAATCTCAGAAGCAGAGCGACAAGTAGAGAAATCAAGGCAGGCGCCTCACGCCCATGAGTCCAAGTACATTGTTCCCGCCCCCGCCGTGCGACAAAAGCAGGGCCCTTGGTCGCAGAGACCCAACCCAAAGCGCACACGGGGAGACCGATGACGAAGCGTCCAAGAACAAGAGATTCAGGATAGCGGGTTCAGTCGTGACTCGTAGCACGACCTACAGAGGCTATCCCGATATGCCTCCGACATCGCCGCAAGTGGCGAGCCAGAGCGCGACTTTGTAGCACGTTTGCCAACAATGACGCGTTGAACGTGATAAGTAAATGTCATCGAGCTTATTAGTGAGCCTAGAAGAATAGATCTGCCAGAGCGCTGCCAATACGCTGATATGAGAGAGCTACAGTAAGACGTCTGTGGTCCGCAGAGCTGATGGATATCGCAATCGGGGATGAAGAATGCCAGCAGGACAGCAAACAAGAGCACGTAAACGTGCGATGAGGTCTTCTGAGACAGCCTAACAAGCATGTAAAAGTGATGCGGAGGAGCTGTTGTGCCCAAGCTGCCCGACGGCCCTAAGAGATGTTGATGGTCGAGGTTAAGGCAGAAACCGGTAAACGGGCACAAACAAATAGAGCCGAACGCGTCTTAAGCACGTGTTTAGCTCAGACTAATCGCAGTGACTCAGAACCCGAAATCTTGGGCAAAAATCACTTGCTTTTATTTTGTCGAGCACGAGGGCGGAAGTCAAGATGCAGAGATACCTTGGCCGGCGCAACGGACCACGCGCAGAACAATCACGTTCATGAACTCCCCCGCAAAGACGGCGTTCTTTCGAAAGAAGTCATAGGAAGCAGAATTGCGGGGTATCCAGAAGCAGAAGTATAATGAATAGTCAGACGGAACTGGCCATACCATGCAGAGTCGCCGCTGAATATGATAGAGAACCGACTCATGAAGGTCCCTCTGCAAGTATAGTGCATGCGCGTGACGTGATGCCCGAAACAAGAATAAAAGGCGCGAACACTGTCAATAGCACGACGCACAGAGACGAAGCCGCATAGAGTCAAGCTAAACAGTACCAGACGAAGTGATCGTGACCTGAGCCTTTGGACGGCCAGAATCGGTCCCAACCGCTTCGACCTTTTTGACCACGTCCATCCCCTCGACGACCTCACCGAACACGACGTGTCTACCATCAAGCCAGCTTGTGACCACCGTCGTGATGAAGAACTGCGCGAAAAGACACGTCAAGTGTGAGATTAGGGGCAACCAAGATCATCCAAAACATACCTGGGAGCCATTCGTGTTAGCGCCCGCGTTAGCCATGGAGAGCAACCCAGGCTTGGTATGTTGCAGTGTGAAGTTCTCATCTAAACAGAGGAATAACAGGTTATATGAGATCACAGGAGGTCACACACTCTCTATTGTCTCTCACCAGCAAACTTTTCGCCATAGATAGACTTCCCGCCCGTGCCGTTGTGCCGCGTGAAATCGCCCCCTTGCAGCATGAACTACATAGCCCGGGCACATTCCCCCATATCGAAATGCTGAGCCCAAAACATGAAGGGCAAAAACACGAGGAACTCACGTTAGGGATGATTCGGTGGAATGTGCTGCCAGCATAGCCGAACCCATGCTGCCCGGTTGCCAGCTCACGGAAGTTGCGGGCAGTCTTTGGCACGGTTTCGTCAAACAACTTGAACACTACGCGTCCCGTTGGCTTCGAGTCGATAGCAATGTCGAACTGTTATGCAATAGCATGGTCAGGTACATCGTCGAGCGTTTTTCGAGCGCAAAACCCACAAATACGTTAGCCCTGCGATCCGGAGTCAAAATTTTGGTTAGACAGGGTTGACGCAGACGCTTGTGAGACTTGCATTGGTGTTTTTGCTGCTGAAGCCGCAGTGGTGAAGCGACGGAGGAAGGATGCCATGATGATGAACAAGTGCAAGTTTGGGTCAGCACCAAATGAGAATGTGTAGCTACAAGATGTCACGTCACACTTGCCTGTAAATCTTCGAATATTGTAGCTTTCCGATGTACAGTACAAGTACTATATGCAGATTTCAAAACTCTGGCAATGGGCTGCAATGGATGGATTTCAAAAGACGGATAGTCCCAGACTGCCCTCTTTCGCTTTATATATAGTCCGGAGCAAGATAAGTCTCCTGACGGGATGATCAAGAAGCGAGATTATTATTGAACCGCTCGTGCGGGGTTGCATGATGGTCATGATACGCTACGGGTCTTGCGCAGGAGGTCATAACGAGTAAAGACTGCCTGGATAGAGGTGACCTTCCGAGCCCCCTTAGAGACGGCAGGCCAGATGATCAAGAAAAGCGGCACCGGTGCTTCCCGGGCCTCTTGCGCACGTATCCTGATTCCCCACCCGCCGCAGAAAGAGTGCGATGCCGTCGACAGTGTCTTCGGCATCTCATCGACGTGACAGCTTGTTGTCACCACCGAAGATGAGTGGATTACTCGATGCAGCGATTCTCAATTGAACCCAGAAAGCGGATGCCTTGAAATGCAGTGCCCGACCGTGCATCTTGGAAGGCATGGCACGTGTGGCAGGAGAAGGGCATAGATGCGAAGAGATCCTGCGATGGGCATCGTGATATTGAGAGGGCTCATCTTTCAGCATTAATCGGCACCAGAGAGGGCCGTGCGGCGTGAGCGGCAGAATCGGCAAATGCTCAAATGCCTGACAGTGATCAAAAGGCTCAGCGGGCGGTATTTGTGATTGTGTGGAGGATGGCACTTACGAAGGCCGACCCAAGCCCGATGAATTTGTAGTGATACTTATGGGCAACGTCGATAGTAGGTCAGCCTCCGTCATCATACTCGGAAGACACAGTGTGGAACAGAAAGCGTAATCGAGCAAGCCAAATGAGTCATACCGAAACTCGTGCTCCTACCCGTTGCACATAGAAATGAAGGAGGATAGATGCAAGGGGGTTAAGACGACTCAATCAAGGAGGAGTGAAGCTCATGAAGTTCAAACTCCTCCTCGTCCCACTAACCTATCGTAAAAGGCAATCGGCTCTGAGTCCTTGCTTTCTTCCAGCCAGTGCAGATACAAGAGCTTCGCTCGTTCTATCTTCAGCCATCTCCGACGCTGTTTCTGACTCTGTAAAGTGTATCATCGTCGTCTGTGTGAAACTAATAAGTTAGTGTCCTACTCATCAGCAAGGTTAGTCTTGATGTGCTATGCCGACATCAGTCATTTGTTGCTTATGACCCTCCTGTGCTTTGCGGTATCTAGGACCAATGAAGTTTCCGTTCTTGCTGGGAGATGTACTTCTCCAACTGGAAATCTCCGGGCTGTTTCCTGTGCATTCATATGCGATTGGACTTGGAGTCTAGCCTGAAATGTGCGCACTGCGCGTGAACAACTTCGGTGTGTGTTCACGGAAAACCTCTCTTGGCTAGTACTAACTCTCTGTCTTGTACCAACTTCTCAACCTATTTCTCCTCGGAAGTGTTTGCCATGTGATCAAGGAAGTTTGCTGCCCATATTGGCTACCCGTCGACGACAGACCCAGTCGAGGCTGCTGCGCTCGTCAGCTGTTCAGCAACTACCTCACCATCTGACGTCTATCGTCGAATGAGGACCCCTCTGCTATCAACCGACTTGACTCATAAAGTGAAGCCTAACTTGATGAGGTTGCAGCATTCGGCATTCGGCATTCGGCATTCGGCATTCGATATTTTGGTGTCAGATAGATTCGTGCGATGGCGCTAGACAAACTGCGGATAGTCCAAAACAACAGGATTATGAGAGTCAAATTGAAGTAGCATAAGTGCAGAGTATGTCTTCAAAGTGTCGGGTGCCATAAGCAGCAGCTAAATAATCCAGATCTGGACATGTCGGTTGCGCCCGCGCTGGCGAATAAGAAGGTAATAGTATGCATAGCACATATCAGAACCGTGCATGAACTCATTTTTCATCTGATCTTGGTATGGGATGAACGGAGACAAAATGCATCCAATTAAAAGAGACAGTCAAAGTTTGCCCAGAAGGTGCAGGGCACCCGCCGTGGGCCTGATGAAGAGGGACTTCATTTTGTAAAGCCATCAAGATATTCTTTGGGCTCTCTTCACGGTAAGCTGCTATAAGGAAGTCGACAACCGGCATAATCAATGCTCAAATTAATCTCCTCTCAATGCATTTTTTTCAAGTAATACGACCGTGCATTTCGAATCTGCAACAAATCTCACTATTCACTCTTTTTGGAACACATTGGATCCGAAGATGATTGCCAGTGCGCAGCCACACGGAATGTCGTGGACGTATCAAAGCTGAGACAGTAGTTGGGTACACTTACAACGTCAGCTCCGAGTCATAGCTGGTTTTTTCTAGCTTCGCTAGGTTAAGGTTGGAATAGTTGTCCCCCTACTCTCAAAGAAGGTAGATACGTGAGTTTTTGTACATCAATCAAGTATAGAATACTCATGTGTCTAACATTTCGATCTCTTCTTTTGTATTGCCGGTAGTCATAGTAGACTCCACAATATCAGCGTCTTGATCTGTTGAGGGAGCATTTTCGTCGAGCAGATCTGAGAACCGACAGTTAGAAAGATCTTGCTTTTGATATCATTCAATAGTACGCTACCAGAGACTCTGGAACTCATGGCATTGTGAGTTCGCCTCGAAGGCGTTGCTTGCAATTGGAGTGCTGATTTTCTTTAATTGTATTGCCTAGCACTCAATCACGCCGATTAGCTTGAGGGTCCATGGAAAAGGGTGTTTTCCTAGGGGCGAGATGTTTCAATAATGGACCTAATCTTAAAGTCATGAGTCCCACTCTCCACGGTGGATATAGCTATCTGACGTGCGCTTTCCATTCTATTTACTTGTGAGTCCTTATTTTTGTCAGCTGCCTTGAGTCTTGTCGAGGTGACTCAAGCAGACACGAGAAGGCGGGGTAATGGCAGTGCTGTAAGTTGAATCCGCGAAGCAGCAGCTTTCACGACTGGACATGTCATTAATAAGTGACAGCCTCAGTCGTCTGATATCAACTGACGGGATGTTGGTCAAGCCTACAGCTCCCAAGACTCACACGGCGCTAATGCTCTACTCCACGAGACATCACACGCTGTTGACACGCGTGCCCGTCCTGAAGGAAAGCACTGTATCTCACTCTATCAAATTTGCTGCGCAAGTTCCCATCAAGGTATCTATCGAGCAAACCATTCTCATTCCTAAGATCAACGATTCAAGGTGTGTGAATAATGTTCCATGCTATGTGCAAAGGTCTCAAAAGTGTTTTGTAAGGTGCAAACAGATGAGTGGCAGAAAGATACGCTGTTCTCAATGATGTTTCCTCGAACGTGTGGCTGTGTGGATGTTCAGCACTTTTGTGCGCTGCGTTACCGTGAAAATAATTTACTATACAGTGAGGTTGTTCTTGTCCTTGTCAGGCGATTGAAGTACTGACGGCAGGGAACCAACGGCCGAAACTTGGCCATTTATGAGCGCTAAAGAACCTCCGTCAATTCTATCAAAGCTCACTGCGCCTCTTCTGCTGCTGCGGACATGCCAACTAGAACGGCCATCGATGCGGTGCCCAGCTGCATTTTATTGTATAAACACCTGATGGCACAATATATGGCCGAACCAGCCTTCCTCAATATCCATCCCCGGCTGCCTTGCCTCGCACCTTTGCCAGCTCATCCATGAGTAGGTTCCTTCTTGTTTCTTGCTTTGAAGAATGCGACTGAACGATGATGGTATCAAGTTTTAGCTCGAATACGACCATCACAGATCCTGCTGTGCTGTCCCCATACAACTATGTCCCCACGAAATGGATACGCATCCTCATCCTCACGCTCTTCTCCATCTCTACTTGTGAATACAGCTCACGCCTTTGACACGCTTTCTCCTGACTTCCCCACAGGTGCTCATGCTGCTGAGGCTGTCGCGTTTCGACTTTGGTGGCTTTTTCCGACCGCAGTGTTGTCCGGTATCATGGACATCTTAGGCCGGAGCGGAAGGCTGTGGTCAAGTCAGAATCCAACCCTGCAAGACCCATTTCTGATGTAGTAAGATTTTCACACAACGGCCGGCTTGCATTAGGAAATTGCTTGAATTTGGTTCAATCGTGTGGAATCTGTATGACAGTCATCGGACCTACGCCACTGCTGGCAGCGTACTTCGTTATCCTGGGCCAAATCATCCCCCAAATGGGGTCTCAATACAGCCGTCTGTCCTCTAGAACATGTGAGTGCATATTATCTTCGCATGCGCCGCTGTTTTAAAACTCGTCGATGCAGATACAATACTTTTCTGCACTTGCGTACGCGGCATTTTAGGCATCAAGGTCTTCATTGATGGATGATTTTACAGGGACATCTATTTGCAGCATGCCGCGTGTCTAGACAAGACCATCACAATTGACAGCCTTGTCTAGGGAGAGTATGAAGACAACAAGCTGGATACAATTCTTCCCCACCCATTGATCCTCAATGAGGCGCTGAGATTGGCATCATTGGAATATGACTCAGTGATGTTTCTACGATACTTGGAGCCCGATCGAAGCCCGATCTGTGTTTGTTGACATCGCCGCCTCGCTACCCAGGACTTCTTGAGCCATCCTTTCGCATCATCCTTGCTGCGCCGATCTCAACCATACGCACGTAATCAAAATTCGATGTTTATAGTCAATTCAATTCCTGGACGCGATGATTTATTGCACGTTCCACGCGTTCTTCTTCTCTTCTTTCCATTTGTCGACACATTTCTTGACCTCGCGCACGATTCTGAACGCTTCCTGGTTTGCGTGAAGCGCGCAGTAAGCGAATGAGTATCCGGCCAGGACAAAGGAAGGGCTGACCAGTGATTTGCTGTACACACAGATAGATACTTCTGTAAATCCACCAGGAAGCTTGACGTCGGGTGTTGCTCTAATTAAGCGCTTCTTGAGGAGATTGTTAACCTGCAGGCGTTGCAAATAAATGCATACATGTAGCAAGTTAGGCGCGCGGGGAATCTCGGATTTTCATGTGCATCGCCGTAAATTCTCCATCCAATTGCTCGAGCGAGTAGTAGATCAGATATGCATGATAACTCGGGTGAACGAACGATGGAAAGAGTAAATTGATGACTCACACGAGAATCTATTTCTTTGTCCGACACATAATTCTGCTTCTTAGGGATGATGGGCACCTTTCCATCGTACACAGGTCGAACACGGTCAGAATAAAGACTGCGAGTTCTATGCTATGCATGATTGGATGGAGTAAAGGCAAGGACGAATAAGCGAAGAAATAGGGACCAATGCGATGGCAGATTCAGTATGAAGCGCTACAAACACGGTCAACAAAGTAGGGGCTGAGACAAACGAATTTTAAAAAATAAGAATACAGCTACTTTGCTGCTAGATCTATGAGTGTGAATGGGCAACTCACTGGAGACAAACGCCACCTTCGTGCTATTCGTGTCCGTTGTGTTTTTCTTGTCCGTCGTGCCGTTCGCGTCCGTCATGTCCTTCGCGTTCATCATGTCCTTCGCGTCCGTTGTGTCCTTCGCGTCCGTCGTGTCCTTCGCGTCCGTTGCGTCCTTTGTGTTCATCGTTTTTACCGCGTCCCGATGGTGTGTACCAGGCAGACCCACGAAAATCCTGATTGGGTAGAATAAAGGGACAACGGAGACAGCAGACTCCGCGAGCTTCGAATCGCCGGCAGTTTTGACGGAATTCGCCCCGTGGGGTTTGATCTGAATAGCGAATGAGAGCGTTGACATTCAGTAATGTTCGGCAATTCATTGAGATGAGGGCCTTCATATCAATGAGCTTTCTCTGGATAGGGATGGGCGAACGTACGCGAGACATCGGGTGATTGTGTGGCTTCGAAATCTCTAGTAGTGCTCCGATGATGTAGGTGAGGTAGGCCAGGAGCTGTGCCTGAGAGTTTTTACCTGATCAGTCGTCTAACCTTCACAAGAATGAAAAAATGCTCACAGATGTGATCACTTCCATCGATGAAGTCGAGAGGGAAGGGAACGCGGAAGATGCGGTGCCGTGTCATGATATCGCTGATCCATTATATCAGTAAATAAGTAGAGAAAAAAAGGGGGATGGAGAAGAAGTAGTAGGATCAGCGTACTTGATCGGATTTGCAGACTATATTGACACAGTCGAGGGACTTGATCACACCCTCGACGTCCTCGTCATGTCCGGGGTCGGTCATTTACCCATTCATTGCTCATAGATGGACCACAAGCAAACGCACAGGTATGTCTATAGTTGTATCCTGAGTTAGACGGTGGGCGTAAGTCATACCACATCTTGAACACATTGATTTATAGTAGTAAGGGATTCTGACCTTGTCGTAGTCGAGGCTGACCTTGACCTCTGTAAGTTTCGATTCGTTCGATTCAGAAGTTGTCATTTTCGAGTGTGTTTTGCGTGAATGGGGAGGGGAGAAGGGGGGAGAATGACGGACGATTCGCTCTGTCTAAATCTTATAGTGGACGACGCGATGCCTAGTGCCCACTATATAAATATTATATCAATGTCTTACAGTCCAGCGACAACTTTGTCTCAACCCTCTGCCCTCGAGCTCTGTTCGGTCGGTGGTGATCACTGGACGTTGGAGATAGGTCAAGAAGGGAATAGACTTATCGATGATCCTCCTACATTGGTTTATCGTGGCCCTCCCTGTTCTAGCCGTGCATCACGCGTGCAGCTTTAATTTGTGCCCTCTCGAATGCTTCGTCCGCCACCAAACGGCAGCCCTCGACATGAACCTTCTTTCAACATTACTTTTACGATCACAAATGGACTCCGTACGCGATAACAACCGCGTTCCCTTTCCTTTTGAAACAATAAAAGTGGTCGTAGAGTCAGAGACGGAACAGGAGTGAATACCGAGCTATGTGCAAGTGGATGGAACCTCACGAGAGATGCGAAAAGTAGAAGGAAATCCATGCGCGCGTTCTAGTGAGAGTAAATTTAGTGCAGAATATGATTGACTATCGTTGACCGAGTCTCTTCACCGTTTATGTGTCGATCCATTCAAAGGCCCTCTTTGCGACAGACTCCCTTCAGACTAGATACGGAGTTTTGGATACAAGAGGGAGAATTTACCTTTCTCTGCCGCCCTGTAGCCCACATCAATTGACGACATACTCAGCTGGGAATCGTATTGACAATGTTGCAATCCTACGCTACACGGAGCCCAAATGAACCACGGGATATTTTTGCTATCATAGCCACCTCGTTATTCAGGATCTCTTGAGCCATCCATTCACAATCTTAGCACCTGGTTGCGCCGATCTCTACCATATACTTGGAATCGAAGGCTGGTGTTGAAATTCCGATTCTTGAACGTGACGATCTGTTACACGTCCCTCGCGTCGTTGCCGGAGCCAGAATTCCATGTCTCAACAAGTTCTCTGACCATGCGCACAATTCTAATCGCCTCCTGGTTTTCGCGAAGAACTCCGTAAGCGAATGGGTACAGACGAGGACAAAGGAAAAACTGACGGGTGTGCTGCTGTTCACGTTGATCGATACCTCTGTAACGTCGTCAGGAAGCTTGACCTCGGGGTCTACACTGATCAAGCGACTATTGAGGAGATCGTTGACCTGCGAATTTTGCAAGTAAACAGATTAGTATACATGCGGCAAGCCACGCGCGCAGAGGGTCTAGGTTCTCGTGTGTGCATTTCCCACTCATTGCGGAGTAGTACGTCAGGTAGGAAGGATATAACATGGGAACAGACGGGGGAGAAAAGGGATGATAGGAAGAGAAAGTTGGCGACTCACGCGTTGTTTTACCTCTTCGTCTGTCACGGAGCCCTGCTCGTTAAGGATGATGGGAATACCATCTTTATCGTATTTCAGGTCAACATGCCACTCTGACAAGTTGGGAAGCGGTCAGAATGATGACTTTGAGTCCTGTGCCATGCACTATGGAATATAAGGAAGGAGGGAACAGACGAACGAAAAATAAAGGTCTACATGGAAGCAGAATTGGTATGCGGAGGAGGGAAGAAATGACGAAGAAAGAAGTGTATGCTGACAGCAGACTTGGAGAGAGCAAGCGACTCACCAGGAAGAAACGTCACCTGAGCCGTTTGTGTCGCGCGCTGATGCTCTGTACTAGGCAGGCCCACAAAGGTCGCAATTGGCGAGAATAAAGGTACGGCGGAGACAGCGGCGTCTGCGAGCTTCGGATTGCGGGCAGTTTCAACGTAGATCGCTCCCTGGGATTTGATCTGGGTAGCCAATAGTAGACACGATCGTTGGCGTTCATTGACCGGGTGGTGATATTAAGCGGGGAACGTTATCCAATACTGAGTGAGCTTGATTCGGACAGGACGGAGATAATGGAAGAGCGTACGTGAGACAATGGGTGCTTGTGTTCCAAAGAAATTCCATGGAGCGCTCCAATCAAGAAATTGAAGAAGGCCTTGAGCCGCTCCTGTGGAATCCCATTAGCCTTTTAATTCCCCTTCACCGGAGTACAAAATATACTTCCGGGTGAGATCCCTTGCATCTGGTCATTCGAGAGGGAGGGGCACGCGCCGACTTTGACCTTATTTTGAGAGGCGAGGCGGAATATGTGGTCTATGAGTACAATATTACTGTTACATTACAAGAGTGATTAGGCAAGGAGATGGGAAATGGGGCACAAGAGGAGCTGAGGAGACTGGCATACCTTCGAGTTTGGTGTCGGCAGGCGACATTGATGAAGTCGAGGGACTTGATGATGGTGGACAGATCCTCGGCCTGTTCGGAATTAGTGGTCAACCGATTACTATCAACTGGAACACGAGCAAACGCACATTAATTCCCTACGCCTCACAAGCAAGTGTGCGTGCAAGAAGAGAGCCAGATGGTGAACGTAAGTCGTTTCAAAATCACACTTCAGACACAATGACCACTGATAGGAAGGGGGGCTGACCTCGTCGAAGTCGAGGCTGACCGTTGCCTTCAGCCTCGGGAGTTCATCAGCAACGCTCGAACCAGGAGTCGACATCTTCGAATGTATTTGGGAAGGGAAGAGGGAAGAGCGACGGATATCGGAAAATGCGTCATGCTTGGGGGCTTTATAGAGTGGACGATGCCATGCCTGGTGCCCACCACATTGATATCGACCTTCACATTCCAGCTATAACTGGACTTCAACCCCCTGCCCTCACCAACCTCCGTTTGGTCACTAGTTGGTTATCATTGGACATTGAGAGTGGGTTAAGCTGGGGACGGGATGGGCTTATCGATGAGGCTACTAGTTTGGCTGACCGTCTGGCTGGCCTGTCTGCTGGCCCCGCTGTTCCAGCATTGCATCACGAGTGCAGATGTGTGCCCCCTCTGATGCTTGTCCGGCCACGCCAACGGCAGCCCTCGACTCCGATATGAACCTTCTCGCATTCAGCGATGATTTTGCGTTCACGTTCACAAGTATGTGAGCTCCATAGAGTTCATATCTAGGAGCGTTATGATTGAAGCAAATAAAGCAATGAAGTGATAGATGTAAGAGTAGTGCATGGCGAATCCGACGCTGGTGGTACTTACTTGTCGGTACCCCTCAGAGAGGAAGAGCACGTGCGCAATGTGCTCCCGAGCGGAGTAAGAGCGGGGTGAGATGGGGTCCTCCTCAATCACAGCTGGAGCCACGCGTTCAATTTGGTTGCTTTCGATGTTTTGTAGGTGGGACGAAAAGGTACAGTACGATATCTCCACTGGATGGGCCGTCCATTGAATTCACTGACCTTTAAACTTCATGGAATACAGCGACAATGTAGTACCTAGCTCATGCCTGACGCACGTCGGAACGTTGGAGCGTCCCGACCTCTGAACAGTTCCTCTTCTATCTCTGTCAATGTCCTGCCCGACCTCATATTTGATTCGCTGTCTGATGTAGCTTCCAAGCTTAGAAATGTGGGCTTACTTGGCTCCACCACCAATGAGCCGCTTCTTACCCACAATCGTTTCTCAATGGACCTGGACCTCGCCTAACTAGGCTATGATAGTGATAATGCAGTACGTAGCAGCTTCTGGACTTTCCCGTATGGATACAAGTCTTCTATTGGTATGTACAGCGGTTCTAAACGTTCAAGAGACATGATACATCCTCGTGTCCCAAGGACTGATTAGCTTGATATGTGTGAGCGACCATTATTTTAGCTATCACTCGTTACCAAAGATTATTTCATGAAAGGCTTGCCTATCGATAGACTTTCCAATTCCATCCAGCCACGCCAGTAAGTATCCAATATCCCGTTCTCTTCTTGTTTAACCCATTTAATCCCGTAGAAGGTCGGGACGACGGTACAGAATTCGTTTCATGTTCCGTACGACCGTACGAAATGTTCAACTTACTGACTGTGCTCGCTCGAGCTAACCCCTCTATAACCTATGAGCAGAATGCTTCAAAAGCGGAGTGTGTTAAATAAGCACCACTTTTGCCCCGTCGTTGTTGATGCACATATACCGCATTCTATAGGAGAAAAAAGACTTGCTTCTTTTTGTGCCGATAGCGAAGAAGCGTGGATTCAGAGTTTTTCTCGAACACACCTGCATTCACTCAAGAATAATTAGGACATCGCCCGCGCTTACAGACGTTCCTTCCCTTGCGGCCGTCCCAAACCCTTTCACAGTCCTCCCAACTGCCTCCTCGCCTGCCACGATGCTGACTTCCGTCTTCATGGCTTCAAGTACCACGACAACAACCTCAGCAGAGTCGATCACGTCGCCAAGCTTGCATCGTATCTTCCACATGCGCGCAGCAAGTGGTGCCGTTATGGTTATCCCTGTGTTTGTGTCCGAGGCGGCTGTGAGCTCGTGAGCAACTCACCCTATGCGATAAGCATGACATGATTGTATAAACTCACCAATCTGATCGGATATGCTCGATTGAATATTCTCTTCGGCTTCTCTATCCTGCTCTGTCTGCCATTCATCAAGCAGCTGCTCCTCTCTACAATTTCGCAGACAGTCAACGAACGACTCGTCGTCAAATCAAAGAAAAGCCACACCTTTCTGATTCACGCCTGACGCCTTCCGCTTGTCTAGCCTTGAACCGCGCTTCCTCGTCCGCGACCGAACTCACGAATGTCTCATACTCTGCCATCGAAAACACAGTTTCCTCAACCTAGAAGCTCATGAACCCCAATCGTGGCTCTTTATAAAACACCAAACCTTAAATTTATAAAGTCCAGCATCAAACTGTTTCTCGAGCTTCGACGCTCAGAATGAGATGCTGTGACACTGTTCTTTGCTCAGAAGGCCGCTCACCTCTAGATACTCATCCTCCATGACCGGTTTGAAGGTAATCTTGTTTCCAGCATCCGTCAAAGGAGAATCGGACAAATCTTGGAAACTCTTGACTCACCTGATCAAACGAATTGAGTAACCACGGTTTCTCTGGAGTGAAATTCTCCCCTCGACCCCACGTTTGCCAAGCAGGAAGCGTACGCCCAAAAAGCTGATATCCACCGGGAGATTCTGTGGGATATATCGCCGCGACTAGGCCTGCAATCCCGACGGCGCCCTATCGAAGATGATTTGGTGAGCAACAGTAATCACGCAAAATGAAACGAGTCTCACGCGGGGGGTGAATGTTCGTGAAGGGTTCATTTTCTGCCCTACTAGTCGACAGCGTGGGTCAGCCTAAAGCCCATTTAGATGAACCGACCAACTAACACACTATGCGTTCATACGTACCGGGACGAGAAATGGACATCCCAAATAAAACCCAACGCCAAATACCACCTTCGAAGCTTCGTATAAATCAGGCTCGTTGTCGTAGAAAATATCTCTAACGTACCCAGCTCGTCCCTACCAATAACCGAAGCGCTTCCTCTGCGCCTCCTTTGAGTCCGTTGTTTCTTGCCAGATACTCGATATTGCTCGGAAGATAAACCGCCTTGCTTCTAACGGACCGCATGTATCTCTCCAGCGCGTCCCGGTTCCACCGGTCGTCTATAACGATCGGGAACTCGAACTTGCGAGAGCGAAAGTGCATATCCGACGTCGAGTCCGGAAGCGCATGTTCAGCCGCGATCAGATGGGCGAGCAGGCTCGATTGAGAGACGGACCGCGGGTCGTAATAGCACTGTATCGAGTAGGCGCCGGTGAGTGAAGAGTCAAAGAAAAGGGTGAGATGCATTCGAGTATGCGTACCATGATCGATCGAATGCAAGGAGCCAAGGATGTTATGCCTGGAATCTTTCGTCTGCGCACTTCCACCTCGAATGCATGTATGCGTGCGCGGATACCGAAATCAAGGTGCATAGACCCGTATTCTACGAGTACTGCAGAGTCACCGGCCTCGCGTTACCACTATGAGTCGATCTCGCTATCACCCAATCAGCATCGAATGCTCACCTGGCGGAACACAACTTGCGGTCTCTGATTGCCCGGGTTCTCCTCAACGACATGCAGCCTTGGATCTTGTAGGTCGTCAGATGTCTCCAAATCTGCGGGCTCAGGGTGTGCGACAACGGTGCCGGTGCGAACAAACTTCCGGACAGTGTCAACCATATGTTCAGTATGCTCCATCATCTGGACGGCTCGATCGACCGAAATGGGTTCAAATCGGAGCAAGCACCCAGGACGCAACTGGCCCAGCTTCCATCTACACATACAATTACGCACCGGCATCCCGACAGCACATCGCAAATCAGTATGCCAGATAGATCTAAAACACGTAAAGAAGGACTGAGCCACGCACAGATCCGCCGTCACTACTACGCAGACACACACGAACCCGCCCATATCTGGGCCCTCAACGCCCAAAATGACAGGCGTATCCCCGTTCAAATTCACGCTCCCGCGCGCATATGCGCAGTCGAGCACGTTCGACGGGTGCGCCCCGCCCTCGCTACCGCCTGTCCGCGCCCATTGGATTGCGGGCCCGGACGGGGGCGCAGGCTCCCTTACCTCGGTCCGCAGTGCAGACGCGGATTTGGAGACGGGGTTTTCGGAGAAACCCCGGGTATGGTAACGGGAGAGACGGATGCCGGAGCGGCTGCTGGACGGCTGGACGGTCCACGAGGATGCAAAGAAAGTGTGGAGCCCGCGGGAGGTCAGGAATTCAGCGTCACTGTGTGGGCCCAGGAGGACGTGGAGTATCCATGTCGCGTTTGGAGAGTCAGTTTGGGGTGATGGATAGGGGGGTCGAAGAGAAGCTGGCAGAACAAGGGGTCCGGCATCAAGCTCATCGTGTCGAATATCGCACGCGCGGAGTGCGAGCTCGTCACCCACAACCAACGCACGGCCCTACAGCACAACATCTCGTCAGATCATCCTGGAGCATCGACGAATGAGCCCTTATGATGTTCGACTACCTACCTGATAGCCGCCCATCCCGACTGACGTAGCCTTGGACCCCAAATACGCAGCCACCTCCGGAAATCCGCCCCTCACAGCCAGATACGCTCGGCACCCTACACTCTCGCCCACGCTTTCCAGCCTGCCCACACTCACACGCGCTCCCGAGCGCACCGCGACGCGCGCCCACATCGGTCTCGACTCGCCATTGACGAGGAGCAGTGCGCGGGCGCCTGTGAGCGCGAGCACCGCGGGGGCACGGAAGAGAAGCGTTGGGCCGGCAAGGGTAATTTCGAGGACATCACACGCAGCATTTGTAGAGACTCCATCGCGCGGAACGGGGTCGGTATTATTGACGAGGAGAGAGGCAATGCGCATGGAGAGGGTATCGAATGGTCCGCTTTGCGGGATGCCGTGGCCCACGGTGCGGTGCGGGAGGGACTGCACAGTCGTCGAGAGGCCAGGGGCAAGGACGTGCACAGACCTACAGATCCAAAGCACCCCCCTCCGTTCGTCATAGCTGCATCATTTAGGGCGCATCGAAGCACGCACCTGGAGTTATGGTTAAAATCATCCAAGAACTTCGTCGTCACCTCGCCCCGTCGAAACGCTTCCGAAGACACTACAGCTCGCAAGAATTGCACATTGGTCGGCGGGCCGTAAATTTGGGTCGCATCGAGCGCGCGGAGCATACGCTCGACGGCCTGCGCGCGGGTGGGCGCACGAACGATTAGCTTCGCAAGAAGGGAATCGAAGTGCGGGGAGATGGCAGTGCCGGGGGTAGCCTAGTAGGTCGGTGCATGAGCTCCCGCAACGGCAAATATCTACGGCTCTGCAGTCCACGATACTAAGGAGGGCAGGACACGTACCCAGGTATCAACTCTCAACCATGCCTCGTCGCCCTTCATTGCCTCCTTAGGCCCAAATACGACACGCTGCATAACTCCTGCGGACGGAACGAACCCTGCCGCTGGGTTCTCTGCGCACACGCGCGCCTCGATCGCGTGCACAGTGCAGGTCAGGGACCCATCGGAACCGCTATTAAAATCTGGTAAGTGGAAAGCAAATCCATCGAGGTACGCGGGGTCGAGCCCACCGCGCCCTTCGCGCTCCGCGATGCCTTGCTCGATCATGAGCCGGACAATGTCGAGCTGTGGCACGCCGGGGTGCGCATATTCGGTGACAGGGTGCTCCACCTGCAGCGCTGTGAGCATCCCAAGTGATCTAGTCAGTGTTAATGTGCACGCGCACCTGGATCCGAGTGTTCATTTCTAAAAAGAACACCTCGCATGTATCGCAGTCGACGAGGAATTCGCACGTGCCTGCCGAACCATAGTTCACACTCTCGCACAGCTTGATAGCGGACGCGCAGATCTCCCGGACCACCTCTATCGTCGTCCCAATGTCCAGCGTCATTTATCAAAATAAAATAAAATGAGAGTTCAAGAATGAAATAGAAAGGGAGGGGATCAAATCTACCCGGATGTACAGCTAAGAACGCCCCCGGCGCCTCTTCGAGCACCTTCTGGTGGCGCCGCTGCACGCTGCACTCGCGCACGCCGAGGGGGACGACGTGTCCTGCTGAGTTGCCAAAGACCTGGAGATGAGTGCATTTATGATGAACGTTAGAGACGAGAGAGATATGCGCACACACCTGCACCTCGACGTGTCGCGCGCGATCGACATAGCACTCTATGATCACGCCCCCATCTTCCTCTTCCTCTTCGTCTCCCATTCTACCTCCAGCACTCCGCGAAGCCTCCTTCACAGCCCTCCGCACCTGCTCTTCATCGTTACACACGACAATTCCCCTCCCGCCTCCTCCCAAAACAGGCTTCACCACCACCGGCCATCCTATTCTCCTCGCTTCCTCCACCGCGCTCTCTCTCTCCCTCTCCGAATCCTCTTCCCTCAAAGGAATCATCCCAGAACCTTCCAGCACTCGCACGCCCACCCGTCCTGCAACTCGTCTTGCCGCGTCCTTTCCTCCGAGCTCCCGCATCGCCTCAGGCGACGGTCCGAGGAACGTCACACCTGCAGTGCGACACAACTCCGCGAAGTGCGCGGACTCGGAAAGGAGACCGTAGCCGGGGTGTAGGAGCGTCGCACTGTGCTCTGCGGCGAGGGTGAGGAGTGCACGTGGATCGAGGTAGGCGGCGGACTCATATTGGCTCGTGTTCGGCTCGGCATTGAAAGACGGCAGCGGTAGAGAGAGCGGGACGGCAATGTCTGCCAAGGATACGTGCAATGCGTGCGCGTCACTCGGTGTGTAGAGCGAGATGGTCGAGATGGCGCCGGCCCCGTCCATGGTAACGGCACGCGCGGTGCGGATAATGCGGACGGCGATCTCGCCGCGGTTGGCGACGAGTAACGTGTGTCCCGGGGGTTTCACTTTTGGAGTCGCAGTTTGGGGCTGTGTGTTGGGCCAAGGCATGAGGAGGTGCGTATGGGTAACGGGTCCAGGGCAAATGGGTGATATGCGAGGGGAGGGAAACGTGTGTTCACTTACAGAATCCTAGTCGATAGGCAGATTCGATGCCGAGGGCTTATCAGGGCCAAATGCTGCCGTGCCATGGAGGAAGTCCATCTCAGCGGGAAACACACCTGCACTCGTGATTCAGCGCTGAGAGAATTGTGAGCAGCAGACACCTGAACGTTTGTCGATAAGCTAATCCTGGCCCAGCGGGTCTATCTCAGTAGATAAGCACCACCTTAGAGAGAGGTCAGAGGGTATAGAGGCCTAAAGATGAGACTATGGAATGAGAGGGATGTCGATGATAGTCAGCCTCGCATCATATGTCCTATAAGCTATCCAAACGCACCATCTGCAGTCTCCCCTTCACCAAACTCTTCGCTTACCCAAATAGAAATGACAACGCCTAGTCCTTCGAGACTGCACGCCACGGTCAACTGCGACATGGGAGAGGTCAGTGCAAGTCATCATTGCATGTGCCCGATTACGATCTGAGCCATCTCCGATCCTGCCCCGCTCCCTCTTGCTTGCATATGGTGTAGGCGTTCGGGATCTACACTCTCGTACGTCTCTCTCACCCGCCTGCGTGTCCCGCAGCGGCGCTGACTGTTCTCGCTCTGCGCAGGGTGACGACGCGTCCCTGATCCAGTCCGTCCACCTCGCCAACATCGCATGCGGCTTCCACGCCTCGTGCGTCCCTCCTCTAACAGCCTTCCCGTCCTCCATCTTTACTCACCACTTTCATCATCACCATGGGGCAGTGACTTCACTGTCATGAACGACACCGTTCTCCTCGCCAAGAAGAACAGCGTGTCCATCGGTGCACACCCCTCCCTCCCAGATCTACAGGGCTTCGGCCGCCGCGAGATGGCCATTACGCCCGTGAGCATTCTCCCGATCGGTCTAGGAAAGCATTGAAACTTCAATCTGATCATGCTCTGCAGGTTGAGCTCAAGGCGTGCTTGACTTACCAAGTCGGCGCACTCTGTGGATTCCTACTCACGCAACAGCAACCTCTGAACCACGTACGTCCCCTCTCCTTCCAGTCCAGGCTATCCTTTCCTCCCTCCCCCCATCCTGAAGATATGTAGGTTAAGCTCCACGGTGCACTCTACGGCCAGACTGCGCGCGACCCTGACCTCGCGGATGCCGCTGTCTCCGTGATCCCTTCATTCTATCCGATCGCTGAGTTTTCTGGTGCGCCGTCGATCGCATTCCTCGGGCTTGCGGGTACCGAGCACCAGCGCGCTGCGCGCGACAAAAATGTGCCATTCCTTGCTGGTAAGTGTGCGACCGCATGCACTAACAAGGCCACGCTCCCGATGTCGACCTGTCAGAATGGTTTGCGGACCTTGACTACGATGCGAACGGCAAACTCATCATCACGCAGAGGCACGACCCCGTCGCGCTCGACGAGATCACCCGGCGTGTGAGTTGCCCTCCCACTCTCCTCATGCTACAGCCATGCCGACGTTGCCGCCATCGTTCTCTGCACTGTATGCGTTCATTCTCTGTTGCTTGTGCCCGCACACGCACACAGGTTGTCAACCTCCTCAAGAACCGCCTAGTTACCTCTCCGCCTGATGTCGCGCTCCCCGATGACGTTGCGGACGTGTCTATATGCGTGCACAGCGACACACCCGTGCGTCCCCCTCCATCCCCTTCCCTCCTTCTTGCACACACGCAATCATTGGCCTCGGTCTTATACCACCCAGGGCGCGGTAGACATCGCACAGAGAGTCAAGATGCTGGTGGACGCGTGGAACGCCGGCTCCTCTCTCAACCAGGAGGAAGTAGATGCGCTCATCGCGTCAACGCGCGCGGAGACGTCGAATGGAACGTCGAACGGGGCGTCGAACGGAACCTTAAAAGTCAAATACTGACCGTCAAATTCGAGTCGAGGCCGAGGAGGGAACGTCGAGGGAAGAGTGGTGCTAGGGGATGGCCAAGATTAGGTGCATGTACGATTGCAGGCCTGTTGAAGGCGTTGAGAATGTGTGTTTGGACTGGATTAAAGATGTCTAACAATCTCAAAAGTCAACGTCGCAACCTCGTCAGCAAAATAGCTCGCTGTATGACCACTCCTCTGTGATATCAATGACTTAGCCTGCCACCGTGTCGCGCTCGTTGAGAAGATCTGAGAATCTGCAACCGACAGACAACTCATCAGGACTCATCTTGCTTCGAAACCTATATTACATGTGTAGGCGGGTACCAGAGACTCCGGACTGAATCGAGTCAAGTCGGCTTCAAGCTCTTGACTGACCTTTGTCTAACACACAATGATCTGATCTTGACATATGTGAGAAGAGATATATCATGAAACATGGGCTGACTCACCCGTTGAACGATGCGGATGCGAGACGATAAAATGTGCGCTTATGTTCGGTGAGAGTGTACATGTGACGGCGAGCGGAAGGTCGATCCTTCAGGAAAATCTTCCCACGGATTGACCTGCTTTTGCATGGCGTGCAGTGCCGAACAGTTTGGGTCAAGGACTTGTTTGACGCGCATCACGAACCCGCCCTCCACCAAGCACACAAGATTTGTCTCTATTCAATACCAAACCAGCGCGCCATCGCGGTAGATGGAGAGTCAAGGGGGTCGTGAACGTTGGAATAGCCGCTCGAACTTAGACGTCGGTCGTGGAGCCCGTCAGATAAACCCCATCGTATCTGGCAAGCTTTATGATGTGGGGGCCAAAAATCAGTGTAAGTATACCCCACCCAGATGAGAGATGGTGTGTATAGTCCGGCTTATTCTGTCAATGAACATCCATCTACTTGTTCAAGGTGTGTCCCCTTGCAAACCCGTAGCACGCACGGCAACGGACTATCACATTTGTTGCGAGCTTCAAATTCGATCATTCTGAGTCATATCAGAGACTCGTACAGAAATGCAGTGCCCAGCAAGCCACCGTTGCATACTTCGATTCTTTATCTGGCTATATCCAATCCCTCAGCGCTTTGTGTCTGGCTGGGCGGCTGGTGGAGTTTCATCGCAAGACTACGACATGCCGGTCCAAAGGCCTGCTTGGTCAATCAGTGTCTCGAAAATATTTATAAGTAGCCCAGCGGTTGCTCGTGCCCACTGTTCGATCTTGATTATATGCCTTTTCTTAATGCGGAGCCGTTGGACCCGTCTTCCTACGTGTTCATTCTGTGAGCCGTCTTTCTTCTCGGTGTTTCTTCTGCGTGTGTCTCTGCGTATCTCAATAGATGTCTGTATAGGTCCGGGCTAACGCTCATTGGCACGTTCATCAGCCTCATCCTGTATGGTGTCGTCTTGATGCAGACGTATTCATATCATGTGACCTACAAAGAGTACGTTCGAACCGATGTGTGCGCGTGAATTGAGGACACTCAGGTGTAAAAATTAGTGACAAGGCGTGGCAGAAGGCCTATGTACGCCTTTGACGATGTCAGCGGTTCGTGGGCTCGGGCTGATGTCCAATACACAGGTATGGACGTTATTCGTCGTGGGCACGGTGAACATCGGGCTGGACATGGCGCACATCTACGACCATCTGGTCAACAAATTCGGTATGTCCCTCACCTCAGCCTTCTCTTGGAGCTTTGCCGATGACCCCGGATCGGGTGGTCTTAGGAGACGTTGCTGCGCAAGCAATCCCGAGCTGGTGTAACTACTTTAGCCGTATTCCTCCAATCGTTTAAGCCGACGGTACTGATTCCTATTTCTAGTTTATAAATGCGGTACATATCTGGATCCCTCACTGATTGATGCTCACGCAACTGATGTGCTCGTGACCTTTGCGCAGGCCCTTTGACAACCGTCAGCGTTTTGAGTTGTCCATGATTGACCGTGAAACTGAAACAATCACAGGGCATTATAGGGTCCATGGTCCAGTTATTTCTCGGTCGTCGAATCTGGATCCTCACCAACAGTCTCTGGGTATTCATCACGATCGTGGCGCTGGCCGCCATAGAATGCAGTGCGTAGAGCTACAATTTGCGTCGCGAGGCTTCATCATTGATAAAGATCATCCCACACAGTTGCTGCAATGGCCACAAGCGTGGCAATGTTCTGCACGCCCGACATCCTGCTCACATCTCGCATCCAGTCGACCGTCATCATCTGGCTGATCGCAACGACCATCGACGATACGCTGATCACGGTCATCCTCGTGACATTCCTGGTACGTCCTCCACGCGCGACCTCGTGTCGTCCGCAGCTGGGTCGACGAGCTCCGCCGAGTCGATGCTTTGTTTGATGATATAGAAGCGGCACAAGACCGGGTCTCCCCCGACGGACGACATCATCGACAAGATCATTCGACGTGAGTCCAACAGAGCTGCAAGCGTGCGAGGCCGCTTGGAAAGCAGAGATGACTCGAGCTGATCCTCGTTCCGTGCTCTTGCTAGTCGCCATCCAGACGGGCCTCGTCACGGCTCTGTGGGCCGTCGCAGACATTGTCTTGTACATCACCTTTGTGCGTCCCTCTCCCTCTCCTGTCCCTGTAACGCCCCCTCAGCCCATCTCTGACTGGGTCCTGCATCGTCGTTTTACTAGCCAACTGCGTAGTGAGTCCGTTCGACCGCTATCCTCGCCGTTCGGACTGCGTCTCTCACGACCGTCGATGCCGCCCGCCGCAGCTACATCGTCTTCGGCTACCCCTTGGCGGAGCTGTACATGATCTCCCTCCTCTCGAGCCTGAACTCCCGGAAAGGCTGGACGTCCTCTGTCGAGTCCACCAGATACATAGGCGGGATCAGCCGCCCCCGCACCATCGAGTTTTGCGACAGGAGCGCAGTGAGAGACGTGGGTCGCCCGCCCTATCTCATACCATTCATCGTTCCTGATCTTTTTGCCCGTCTTAGAGCGAAATCGTGCCCCGCGACGCAGCAACAGTAAAACGCCCTATCATGGTGCGTGCACTCCGTACGATCGCGCCAGCTTGCAAGTTGACCCACCAAGCCACGGATGGACGACAGACTTTTATGAGCGAAGGTTCCCAGGAAAGTAGCAGACACGAGACTCCAGCACGCGCGGAGGTATAAGCCTCAAGACGGAAGGACCACTCACATTAATCGTGAGTATGAGTTTACGCGGGATTTACTCTACACGCCATCATTTTATCGAAGCCTTCTGTCAATGTGCCACTAGAGGGTGGATGGATACACATACATTGATGCTTACAGCCAACCTCAGCGTCCGACGCCGGAAACGATTTCTGACCACGTCTGTCGAGTCGAGCCACCAGCCGACCCACCGCGTTACTGAAAAAAGGCGTACCCATTCCGACCCAAGCTGAAATAAGTAAACAAGCACCAAGTAAACAGCCAAGAAACACAGGGCGCAGCCGCCGCCGTCGACGGCGACGGGCCAAGCGGACCTCATGACAGATCGTAAAACACAAAAGCACGCCCAATGAAACCCGTGCACGAGTACACCGCCCCCCCTCCAACGCACGTACAAACGTACAGTCGTCGCTATATACACCGCTATATACACCGGCGCGCCTCACCACGTCGACGGGCCGAACGTCTTCCCGGCGGCCAACGTGCGCAGCGGCGTGCCGAGCGCGTCCGCCGTGTTCGTGTACACGGTGTTGCCCCACCACGTCTGGATCGTGTCTTTTCCGATCGCGCCGTTGAGCGGGTATTGCAGGCTGGAAGGAACGAAACGGAAGGGAGACGGGGGATCAGCGGCGGATCGAGACGACGGCCGCGAGACGCACGCACCAGAAGAAGATGATGAGCGTGCCGACGGCGTAGCCCGAGTCGAGGCCGGCGGACAGCACATCTACACGCGCGAGCGGGCGGGCGGGCGGGCGGTCAGCATCAGGAATGAACAAGATGGGCACGCGAGCGGCAACGCACAGTTGTACTTTGTCCACCAGCCGAAATGACGCCTCCGGATGACGTAGTTGAAGATAAACCCGACGATGACCCAGGGCACGTAGTTGATCGGCGTCGCGGGCGGGAGGTTGCCCGTGCCGGAGAAGATGATCGGGAAGCTGCGGCGGACAGTCAGCGTCAGCGGCGAACCAGCGAGAGAGGGCGGAGGGGAGGCAGACGCACTTGAGGTACTTGAGGATCGGGAAGCGCCACTTCTTGTGCACGACCCACTGGATGACGGGCGCGAGCGCGCCGATGAGGAAGAAGAACAGCAGCGCGCTGCGGAACCGAGCGCGATCAGCGATGAACACAGGGCGGGCGGGCAGGCGAGGAAACGCACTAGTAAATCTGTCCGTGCGAGAACTGGCGCGCGGGCCCGATGACACCCCACTACAAGCCACGACCGAGCGCGCGTCAGCCGACCGAGGCCCCGCACGAGCACGAGCAGCGGGAGGGTCCACTCACGATGATCGACGCCGTGCCAAACACCTGCGTGCTGGGGCAAATAAACCCATCCGGCTGGTCCGACGAGCACATATCCTCGATATTCGTGAACAGCCACGCCTGCACGCCGAGCTGCACGGTGCCCGCGATGACGGTCGCCACGACCTGGCAGAAGAACATCGGGCGCGGGGGCACCTTCATGTAGTGCGCGAGCTTGAAGTCCTGCGTGAACTGCAGCGCCTGCGCCATCGTGATGTACCCCCACGTCTTGAACATCATCATCGCGATCGGCCGCCCCGGCAGTGCGTACCCGATGATGAGCTCCGTGATCACGTTCAGCCCGACCTGCTGGTTCGTGATCGCCTGGATGATCCCGATCGGCACGGTGTAGAAGAAGGCTGCGCGGGCGTGGGGGTCAGCCGCAGCGCGCGGGCGGGAGAGGATGGGCGGGAGACGCACCGACTACAAGCGAGAGGACAAAGGCCCATACGGGGAACTGGGTGTCCCACACCTCGATGGCGACGACACCAAACACGAACATGCTCACTGCGCGCCGACGACGACGACGACGACGACATCAAAACAAACAAGTCAGCCCCCGCCCACGGCGCGCAAACAGCAGCGGCACTCACGAAACACGAGCGCATACCACCAGTCCGGCACCTGCGGGTACACGCTCATCAGGCGCGCGTGTATATCCGGCTGCTCGCTCAAGCTGCGGCGCGCCTGCGTCCAGATCTGCTTGCGGTAGTAGAGGAAGATGTGCGTGAGCGTCGCGGGGATCGACGCGAACGACAGCCCGTACGAGATCGCGAACGCGGTCGAGATGAAGAGCGGGCTGTACGCCTTGTACGCCGCCTCGTCGATCGTCGCCTGCGAGGTGAGGATGCGCGAGACGTTGTACGCGTGGCCCGTGTTGTCGAACGAGCCGCGCGAGACGATCGGCATGTACTGCGCGTACCAGATGTTCTTGTACTGTGGGGCGGGGCGACGGGCGAGGTGAATCTGGGGGCGAAGAAAGAGGAGCGAGGGGAACACGCACGTAGAGGATGGGCGTGAGGAACCAGTAGAAGAACACCAAGCTGATGCCGACGTTCGCAGCCGCCCACCAGGGCACGGGAAGCCTGCGATCGCCGCCGTCAGCCTACGGAGGACGCAGGGCAGAAGGAAAAAAGGGGCACGCACGGGCTGTTGTTGTACGCGATGTTCGCCCAGTCGAACGTGACGAGGCCCATCGCGAGACCGTGCTGGTACCCGAAAAGCTGGTTCACTTTCTGCTCGCGCGACGCATGGGTGAGCGCCCAATCCCGTCAGACACGAAAAAATAGAAAGCACGCACGATGTTATTCGGCGCGATCCATGTGACCTATAGATCACCACTCAACGTCAATCGTCCGTCTTCGAGAAGCAGAGCGCGCAGAAGCGAGCGGACGCACCCACGAGAACGTGCTCAGCGCCGTGAACAAGTACGTCGGCAGGAAGTCTAGACCACACGACGCCGCGGAATAAAAGCCACCAGTCAGCGACCGCGCGAAACAGGCGGCACGACCGCCGCGGAACACGCACTGTAGATAACGTATCCCACGAAGATGTACACGAAGAAGCGCTCGCGCGACATGCCGCCGTGCGCGCCGGTGCCGGCGGTGTGGGAGTGGTGCAGCGTGTTGAAGAGCGCGCAGGTGACGAGGTTCGCGGGCCAGACTGCTCGACGAGGCCAGGCGGGACAGGGCGCGAGAGCGGAAATGACGTGAGAATCACACGGGGATAGAGCGGAACATAAGGTGGGAAGGAACAAAAATAGAGTGCGGCAGTGAGCAAAAGCAGAAATCAGAGAACAGGGGGAAGGACGGAACGGGGTGAGACGCACTCATTGACGGCGGGGAGACGAGGAAGCGCTTGCATATTCCGCCGATGGAGAAGCCGATGAGCTGGGTGGACATCACGACGAGCCACTGGTCTGCTCGCGCGCCGCATCGTCAGTTCTCCGAACAATAAACACAGAGAGAGAGAGAGAGGCGCGACGCACAGCCAAAGTTGTACGTCTGGTTGTAATACACGCGCTGCACGGCGATGATGTCCGTCTGCGCGCGCGACGCGAAAGCAAAAGCAAAAAAGCGAAGGGTCAGTCAACGCGTGCGGAGTGGACGGGGGGCACGGCAGCACGCACCGCGTACGCGCTCTGAGCGCCAACGCCGGCCATGATGGTGATGATGACGTGCTCCTTGACGGTGAACGGGCCCGGGTTGATGGACACGCCAAAAATACGCGCGTTGGGGAGCGCGTACGCCCAAAGCTTGCACAGCGGGAACGTGAGCAGCTGCGGTACGATCTATACGCGTGCACAAATGCCAACAAAATTCAACAATAGAGATAAAACCCCGTTCGGTCAGCGCGCTGAACGGAGGGGCCGCCGCCGCAGCGAGGGACGGGAGGGCGCGCGCACCTGGGTGATGTTGACGGACGGGTAGCGGAAGAAGAAGAATTGGTTGACGCCGGGGATGATGATCGCCCAGAGGATGCCAATGACCCAGGCGCGGAAGGTGCTCGCGGGCATGGACGGGTCGTCGGTGTTGGCGACCGCGGAGCGGACCTCGGGGTACGGGGACTCGTCCTCTGTGACGAGAAGGAGGGGGAGAGGATGAGGGGAGAGGGGAGAGGAGATAGCGGGGGAGGGGGTGCTTACCGAGGGCACCGGCTGCCTCGTCGTAGTTGGGGTCCTCAAAGTCATGCACGGGAGTCGCCTATCACGCACGCACGGCCGCACGAACGTCCCATCCCACACCGTCAGCCAAACGTCGACACGCAAAAAAAAACCACCCCGCAGAAAAGCGAACGAACGAACGGCGAACGCACCTCCTGATCGTAATCGCTGCCCGCCTTTTCGGGGTCGCCGTTCCCCGCGCCGAGGGCGCTCTTGTCGTTCTCGAGCGAGGCGGACGAGTGCGCCGAGGGCGGGGCTGCTGCTAGGGACGCCATTTAGACGCGAGGGTGGGGGTGTGCCTGCGGATGCGGTCCAGGGAGCAGCGCTCAGATGGGGCTGAGGCTGCTGGGTGCTCGATGAGCGGACGTCGCGCGGACGGGAGAGGGGGGGGGAGCAGGAGGGGGAGCAGGAGCGAGAGCAGGGGGGCACGGGGGAGGGCGCGACGAGCGGCGGAAGGGGGGTATTTAAGCAGAAACGCACATGAGCATGGGCGCGAGGATGGGTGCGCGCGGTGCAGGGCTTCACAGAGGGAATAGAATTAGCGATAGCGTCGTGCGCGGGGGCGGTGGTCGGAACGCAGCACCGATAGCTGTCACCACGGCGCGTTCCTATGCCGATAACCTTCCAGTCTCGACGCCGGCCGTCAGCACCAGCACCAGCAGCATGTGCCCGCACGCGCCAGCCCAGGGGGCCGTGCACGATAAGCAGCCAGCTCGCGGACGTGCGAACGCGGGGGATATCAGCATCTGCGCGGTGGAGAAGCCAAGAACCTCTTCGGCCTTCCGATACGCCAGTCCACACGCACACCCGGGGTTGCTCCATTGCCTAGCGATGGGCTGCGCGGTCCCCCAAGTACATTCGCGACCTCTCGCCAGACGGCGAGTCTGGAGGGTCGCTGGTGGCCGCACACCACGACCGCGGTACCGCCCCAGCGACACCAGCCCCAGGCACGCTCTCCCTGGCCCCCGAACCGAGCCGACCGCGCCACGAACCAGTCAGCCCGCCCGAGATCCCGAGTCCCGCACACGATCGCCGCACGATCGCTGGGCGCGCTGCTTGGCAGATCGCCATGTGCTTCGCTCAGTGTAGCCCAGTATACCCAGCTACAGCCCACTACGTGCCCCGCCGCTCACCAGTCCCTCACTGTCTCGTCTGCATCCCAGAGCCGCACGATCAAACGTCTACCACCAGCTACCACCTGCCGCGGCCGAGCTAACCCCGCCTCACACCCGACATCCGACTGAAGCCGAAGAAACACGCCTCCGTGCGCCTCCGCTCCAACATCCTCAGACGATGTACGCACGCGTTCCGTACGTCGTCGCGCGCCCATCTGTCACGCGAAGCGCGCCGTCGCCGTCGGGCACGCTCCAAAACATACGCCCGTCACGTTTCGCCGAGCACCAAGTGATGTCCCGCCTGCTACAAGCACTTACGTACAAGAGCCCAGTGCCACTCCTACCAGCTACTACCGTACCTACTGCATACCGCGTCACCACTGTTTTTCACGTGCCCGATGGACCAAGCCAGCAGCTACTCGACAATCGAGCCAGATCGGATCGCACGGCTCGGCTCGGCTCGACTCGCGCGATCGCAGGATCGCCCGCTTATGGTCATCAATTTTCGAAATGCAAAAATCCTGCGTGCATCCCAGCCGCATTCCATTGGGGAAAACCGATCGCGCCGGCGCACCGGGCATCTCGCGCGCGTGATCGGTTTGCCGAGATAGTGGCCGGCTGGCCGTGGGCACTCGTCCAACGCCGACCTACTACGATACAACGTACACCGACTCGCCGAGGCGACTCGACAAGAAGACGCATGCATTGACGATACTCTGATGTATGGAACCATCGCAACCCCTGCTTGAGCTCCGTAAAAAGACGCGACGCGGCGCAGCGCGGCGCAGCTCGCATCTATTAATAAAACCTAGCCCACCGTCGCCGAGCGTGGTACGCCGCTTCTGAGAACCGCCGTCTTGCAGCCTTACGTCGAGACCCGCCCGTATTCTGATTCTGACACCATCGCGCATGACGCCCTCGCATGTGGCCCTTCCCCCACCTCCGCCCCCCCCCTCCCGCGGAGAGCAGAGCCCCTGCGCGACTCGCACACACAGCACGTCTCCGCATCCACGCTAACACTGAAGCAGGCGACCCACCCGTCCACCCGGCACACCGACGCCCCGAAGCCCCGAGGACGCCAGGGCACGCCAGATAGGCGCCGCACCCACCTGTAACGTATGCGAAGCACGGTGCGTCACTCGATGCAGCATTGATGACGTTTCTGTCACCGGCGTGGGTACGGTCGCTTGCCCACCCGCGCGCGTGCCCGTCCAGGAGCCGCGCGATGGCGCACGATCGCGCACGATGGCGTTCGCGCAGCCGCCGCTCATGGCGTATGATAGCGTACGATGCATCATACACGACGTCCACGTGCGTCCGTGCGCCCCGCAAAAAGACACGACGCGGGCCCTCCGAACCCACGCCCCCAAGGAACTCCCACGGAACTCCCAAGCAATCCCAAGCAAGCCCAAGACATCTGCACATTACGCGTGCTGGCGAGCAGGTGCGCACCGGAATTCGCTTCGGCCACGACCACGACGGGCGCCACATGCGCGCCTTCCCTTGGATCAGACAAATGAGAAAACAAACGAACCGATGAGCGAACGAGCCGCCGCAGCCGCCAGCCCCTCGACGTCGACTTTGAGGCCCTCGACCGCGACTGTCGCCCTGTCGGTCCAGACGGCAGACGCAGGCAGCTAGCGGTACGCAGGGACACCGCGGTGGTCCGTCCTGGGTCCGATTTCTGCACGTAACACTCGCCTATCATTCACCTTTACGAGGGCTTCTTAGCACCGTTTGACACCGGGCGCGGCCGAGCGTGGGGGCAGGTGCCGCCCAACGCTGACACTCGGACCCCGCGAGCTGACACGACCGCATGTCCTCACGCCCACTGAGGCATGACCTGGCATGATGGGTGTACGTGAGATCTCGAGATCTTGAGGGCATGAGGAGCGTTTTTTTTGCATTGCGATTGCGATTGCGATTGCGGACGAGGGAGAGGCTCGTCCCAGGCACGGACGGGCGGTAGAAAGGGGGGCGCCGTGTGCGTGGTGCGTGTCTATCCGCCGCGCCCGCGTCTGCGTCTGCTCGTGCCCGACGAGCAAGGCGCCCCAACTAAATAGCCATGCTCGATGCTCGAATAATCATGAGTAGAAGAGCAGTCGGTGCGATGAACACGGGTTCCTTGATGGATTGACGTACCATCAGCCGTCGCAAGCACGTCTGAGACTCGACGACCGACGACCATCTCAGCTCCCGCGAGCGCCACCATCATCCATCACACGTCACGACGCAACCCAGAACAAAAAAACAAACAAGATAACCAACCACCAACAGGACGGTACTCAGGACGTCCATATCCAGAATGCGCAAGTCCAAGATCTGACACTTATCGCGAACCATCGCAACCTGTCGTCGTCGCTCTTTCGCCCCACCTCCTGCTGCTGCTGCGCACGCACACCACGACCCATCTCCAAGAGGGAGTGAGAAAGGAACGAGCGCAAAAGGGAGGGGCGCTGCGTCTGCACCACATGGTCCTATCAGTACCGGGAGGAGCCACGGAACGAGCGCAGGCGCCACGACCTCCTGAAGGCCTGCAATCCTGCAGGCGATCGGCCGACGGTATCCCGCACGCCATAATTCCGTCGAGCCCTCCGCCACGACATACGACCCGCGATCGAGACGGCCGCCGCCGACGAAGCCGTGTCCACCCCTGCCAACTTTGCCCCATTTATGTCAACAATGACCCAACAAGTCAATGAGCAATGGCCAACCAATACAGCCAGCACGCACGCCCGTCGAGTCGAGAGGGCAGCCCTTGGGTAGATCTAGCCAAGGCCAAGAACACGCTCAGCATTCGCTGCGCACAAAATAAGCTTTTTGAGCTCAACGTCAACGCCCAAGACTGCTAAAGCGCTGTCGTCATATTGAAGTTGCCAATCGCCGTGGCGCGATCGATCGAAGACGGCCAAGGCGTGAGTCTGCCCGAATCCGCAGACACCGAGCTGCACCGGACGGGGCGCCAAGGAAGTCCACGGTGGAGAAAAAGAGAGGGCACGGGCACAAGAAACAGATAGAGAAGAAAAAGAAAAAGAACAGGAACAGAAGCAGAAAACAGCAGGTGCGTGGAAACGAAAGGACAAGTTCGTCGCGGGAAATTGAACACTGCAAGCTGCAGACTCGAAGGCTCCCCTACATCGGCGGCACGCCCCTCCATCCTCCGACGAATGCACAAAAATCGATATAGACCTCATGTATGCGCATACACGGACTCTACCGAGTAAAATACAAGGTGGAAATGGCACTCACAAACAGCCCAGAGGGTTTGGACGTCTCCCGTCACACATCACGCCTCTAGCTGAACGAAAGAGACAGATAAGAGCAGAGCCGGCGTGTAATGTACATCGTGGAGTGGGATACGGCGCCACGGCACAGGACAACACGATGCGGGGCGATGGGCAGCGGTGGGGTGGGGTATGCGACGGATGAGCGTGGTTATCGACTGGAAGATGTGGGTCAGCAGCCCCGGCGGGTCAAGGGATGGGCGACAGCAGATGATGCTGGGGCATGATGCGGAAGGGTTTGTTCTGCGTGGAGAGGACGGATGGGCGTGTGGAGGGACGAGGGTCGGGAGCGGGTCAAGAGATGAGGGTAGAAGGGTCGAGCCAGAGGCGGATCATTGGACGAGGATGCGCACGGCCATGGCGACGCAGGCGAGGGCGACGTAAGGCGAGAGGCGCTCACCTGCGTGTTTCGTCATGTCATGGCCGCATATGTGCGCGTCATACACGTCCGATCGACCGTGCGAGAGAGTGTGTGTATGCACATCAAGCCGTGCGGATGGATGCGTGGACGGGTCAGAAACGTCAGCCGTCTAGTGCCGCGAACAAAAGCAGACGAGACGACGCACCGATGCGCGCCGACATGAAGAAGAGACCCAGAAACCTGTACAGCGCGCGCATATGTTAGTCGGACGAAACAGCGAAGCGGAACATAATGAAACGAAACGGGGCCAGAACAAGAGAATAGCGACAGTACACAAACTGGGCGATGAAGGGAGAGGGAGACGGAACCAACGAAAGGATGAGATTGACGCACCCGTCCTTGTTCCTATCAATGAGGCGTGGTGCGACGGCGCGTGCGTAGGTGCAGGTGCAGACGAGCAGGAGGACGACTAGGAGGAGGGACTGAAAGTTGAATAGCGCAGACTGTGGGCACCGCGAGTCATGGAGGAGCAGAGCAGAACAGTGAGCAAACCGAGAACCGATGAGGATGGGGATAAAAGGAAGAGAGACGTACCATTGGCTGTTGCACACGGATGGAGAGGGGAATGGGGCGTCGAGGCAACGGTGACGGTCAGCCATCTGGCCACGTGGCCAATTGCATACTTGCGGGCGTCCGCCACCCTGCTCTAGACTGAAGCGAGAGATGAGTTCAGCTCTTTTGGCGCACATTTGGACGTCGAGGTCAGTATCGCCGACGTGGACCACAACCTCAGATGCTATCAGAAGGTGCAATGGGCCAGGGAGAATCTGTGGAAGTTGACTAGGGGTATTGGAGAACGCGATTGATACTACTACAATACACTATGGATATATTTAAAATAATTAAACAAACAACAAACCACAGCAACCCGATAGAATGTGAAGCACGGCGCTCGCACTCGCACATCACAGCATAGCACACGACCACATACGGACGCACTGCGCTCTACGCCGCCCGCCGCCGCCTCTACGCCTAGTGCTCCCCGGTCTCCCAACCGTCCTAGCCGCGTTCCGCCGCGTACAACGCGCTGGCACTGCGCTGCGCCGTGCGCTCGACAACACTTGTCCCATCGCGGAAGCGCGTGCGGAAGAGTACGTTCGCGTTCGTGAACAGGCCCTCCTTGAGCGAGACGACGATGAACTGCGCGCCGCGGAAGCGCGTGCGGAAGAGGGTGCCAATGTGTTGCGTGTGCGACAGGTCAAGCGCGGCGTCGATCTCGTCGAGGATGTAGACTGGTGCTGGCTTAAACTGCAGGAGCGCCAGGATGAGGGAGAGCGCGATGAGCGAGCTAGAGTGGTGTCAATGAAATTCGGAGGGGTGAGAGATAGGCAATCGGACCGTTAGTATTGTGTAAGGAACGCGGCAGGGGCCAGGGCATCATGGAAGCCAGAGGCACAGAGAGTAGACATACCGTTGGCCGCCGCTCAGTTCCGTCAAACTCTGCTTCCACACGGTGCCCAGCCGGATCTTAATCTCGAGGCCGTCCATGAGGTCCTGTCCCTCTGGCGGCTGCAGCTTCGCAAAATTGCCCGGGAGCAATTCTGCAAAGATGTCGCCAAAATCGCTAGATTATCCGAAAAGAAACAGAGGCATCAGTGCCTGGGTTTACATCAAAGGGGGGCGGAGATATGGGGAGAAGGGGGAGAAAGACGCACCCGTTGACCTTCTCCCACGTTTTTTGCAGCGCATCGCGCTTGTACCGGTCGAGCTCCTCGATTGTCTGCTCGATCTTTTCCTTGTCCTTCATCACTGTCGTGAGCATCTTGTTCAGCGCTGTTTCACGTTTCTCGACACTGTGCATCGATCAATCAGACTGAGCAGGTCCATCGAGAAGGAATGATGAATGAGACGATTACCTGTCGATCATGTTGATTACCTTCGGGTTCACTTTTTTCTTCATTCCGCGTTGCTGCTGTTCGAGTTCCGTAGCCTTGTCCCGCAGCGCGCCGATGTCTACCGACTTGAAATCGTACTGTGAGCCAGCTTTGCCGAATAGACTGTACAACACATTAGCGAACCACGTGCATCTGAGAGAATATATATATATTCTCACTGGCTCTCCTCCGCGATCCAATCATACTGCTTCTCTAGGTTCGAGACACTTGTAAGCGCGCTAGCCTTCTCTTTGGCAAGCGTCTGCACGTCGTGCTCGAGCTTTTTGAGCACCAGCTCGACGTCGACGACCGCTTGCTTTTTCGCTTTGATCGCCTCCTCAAGCTCGCGCAGCTCAGTGTCGAAGCGTGTCAGGGTGGCCTTTTCTTCTAACAGCTTGGCCTCGGCCTTGGCATGGGCGGCCTGCAAGGAGACGATGGGGTTGGTACGCGCAGTCATTATCAAGATGAAAGAGGCTTACGACGCTGCTCGCGACGCTGTCATTAAGCGTTGCTAGCTCCTTATGGAGCTTTCGAACGGCTCTCTTCGCTTCCTCAACAGCTTGGATCGAGCTATTGATGTCCTTCTCGAGTTGCTCTGCATGGCGCCATCAGTTGATCTATTCGCTTGAGAATCATCCGGTACACACCCAGTTCGAGAGCGGCAGTCTGCATATCTCTTTGTCGTGTCTTGACAACGACAGATTGCTTCTGCAAAGCAGCCTTCTGTTTTAAGATTTCTGTCTATAACAATGTCATTTTGTTTGGAATTCGATGTCAACTCAGGACGAGATAGGCAGACCTTGAGTTCCTCCGTTTTGCCCTCTTTGTTGTTCTTGAACTCATCCATGTCCTTCTCGAGCTTCTTACATTCAGCCTTCTCAGCCTTTTGCTTGTCCTTTGCGCTCTGGACTGCTGCCTCAAGATCGGTGATGGTTTTCCTCAGCTGTTCCATTTGAGCGCCAACCTGTGTCCCAAAAAGCCGTCAGCCTCACTCTTCCGAATCAGAGCTCTATGCATACCCTATTAGCGTTGCTTCCCTGGACTTGCTCTTCCAGTAGATGCAGCTCGTGCTCTTTGATCTCGAGACCTTCCATAAGCCGCCTCCAATTTGCCCGCACTTGCTGTCCCCTTTGTTCCTCAGCCTCGAGCGCATCACACCGCTCTTTCGCTTGAGTGAGCTTTTTCTCCGCGGCAAGGAGCTGCTGCACGTTGACGAGCAGGCCGCTACCGCTGGGCGCGGATCCGCCGCTCAAGGTGCCAGAAGGGTCGTACACATCGCCATCGAGCGTCACCGAGCGCACGCCACCGACATCGCGCGAGAACGTCACGATTTTAGCGGACTCGGCATCATCACAGATGAGAGTACTGCCAAAGACGTGCACCATGGCGTTGGCAACTTCGTCGGGGTAGCCGACTAGAGAGAGAGCTAAATGGACTTTGCCTGGTGCGAGCCTAGACGCTGCGTTCAATTTCTAGACGATTTCGTGAGCCGGAGACATTGCAGGGAGGTTATAAGTAAGTTCTACCTGGGGAGGTAGCGAATACGTGCTGATCTTGTTCAATGGGATGATTGTGACGCGTTGCTTCAGCTTGCCTCGCTGTAGGAGCTCGGTGCCGACACGTTCATCTTCGACGACAACGTTGTATAGTTTCGCACCAGCGGTAATCTCGAGTGCGGTCGACTTATTGTAGTCTTTTTGCTGCAGTTCGATCAGCGACGCGACAAGGCCCTTGACTTTGCGCGTGTCGAAATTCGGAGACGGAAGTGAGTAGTTGAAGTCCAGCCGCGAAAGACGCTGCTTCACCGCGTCTCTTTCCTGTTCGCATATGTTCAAAATGTCAGGACAAATGTGCATAAATGCTGCCATACCTCGGTGGCTTGCCTCAACTCCATCTTGGCTGTTCGGAGCGCGGCTTCATGCTCCTGCTCCTTTTCAGCGGACCATCCACACTCTTTGACCTTGCGTCTATACTTTTCCGCCTCCAACTTCAACGATTCAATTTTCTTTGCCCCGTCGCCTGCCTCCTTCTCGACCTCTTTCCATCTTGCCTCTAGCGCTTTGAGTTCCTTCTGGCTCATGCTAAGCTTCACGCGACTTTGCTCCTCTTCTGCAGTTGCTTGTGCGAGGCGTGCTCTCGCATCCGCGAGCTGGCCCATGTACCCACCGCCTGTGGTGTTCGAGTTGCTATTGGTGAGGCCGGTGAGCAGAGTTTGCAGAAGGTCCTCCAAGTTAGAAAGCGCGTTCTGCGTCGCCGTGTGCATCTCCTTCACTTGTCCGTAGGAAGCTTCGAGCTCCGCCACCTGCACCTTCTTCTGGGCTAGGGAATCCTCTAGCTGAGACGAACAAAACTCAGTTTCAAAAGAGACAAATCAAGTGTAGACGGCTCACTTCTTTCTGCTCGTCTTCCAGCTTCGCCACCTTACCCTCCTCGTCTGCGATCGTCCCATTCTTGATCTCCACCTGCGTGCGAACCTTGACCAGCGTCTTCTCGAGCTCTGCGACCTCCTCCTCGAGCTTCTTAAACTTGCCGCCTTTCTTCAGTTCTTTATCTCGCTGCGCCCGCACCGATGCTGCATCTTGCTCTGCCGCCTCGCCCTCATTCGCCAACCGGTCCTTCTCTTTTTCTTTCTTCGCAGCCTCCTTCTCCTTTTCCTTGATCTCCAACTGCTTGTTTTCTACGCGCCTGTTGTGTTCTGTCCACTCCCATGCGCGGAGCAGGTGGCCAATGCGCTCGAGTTCGGAGCATGTTTTCTGCCACTGGAGGAAGGAGCGCTTTTCGGCCCGCAGGGTGTCAAGCTTCGGAGCGATCTCTTCTTGTAAAAGGGAAGTGATCTCCTCGACGCGTTTCTCTTTCTTTCCCATAGTCTTTATAGCTTTATCTTTCCGTTCCTCGAACATGCGCGTCCCAGCTGCCTCCTCTACCATACCCAAAATTTCTTGCGGCCGCATATTCAGAACCTGTTGACACCGTGAATCGTAACGCGTGACAGAGGTGGGTATGACGAACCTTCGTGATCCGACCCTGCATGATCAAAAAGTTGGGGTTGTTGATGTTAAGCTGTACACTCTGGAACAGGGTCTGGATGGTATGCTGCTGGGACTTGTGGCCGTTGAGGAGATATTTCGAAATATTCGGGAGCGCGATCTGCAACACACATCACATCACACTGAAGGCTAACACATACGGCTACGTACTTGTCGTGTCACCGTGATCTGCTTGCAGTTCTCCAAACCCACAGGACTCATCGTTCTGTCAGAGTTGTCGAACACGATTGTAACGCTGGCCTTCGTGATACCGGCCTGACCACGTTTATAGATGAGGTCTTGTTGATTTTGGGCGCGCATCTAGAGATACAGGAAGCGTGTGCTTTAGCATATGTCTCCCACGAGAAGCTTGGACAGAGGAATTGTTGAGGGGGCTAGACGATTCGCGGTAGTTCACTTCAAATACCCTTACTATGAGAGCAGTACGATGCAGTTATGCTTTCGTCTAGGGTAGGCAAGAGGAACTGTGGACAATACAGAGTGTATACGCACCGAGGTCATATTGGTGATGCCCAGCACAAAGCAGATCGCGTCGAGGATGTTCGACTTTCCAGATCCATTGAGACCAGTAATGGCATTGAACGAGGTATCCCAGCCAGTAATTTGCGTCCGTACAGGGTATGACTTGAAGCCTTCCAACACGAGTTCCTCGATACGCATGGCGGACGCGGGGGTTAAGAAAGCGAGATTGCCACAGGCGCGAGGACGCGCGCGACCAAAAGCACGTGTTGCGCTAGTTACGTGAGTGTCCTGCCTGTTTTTGTGGGGTTTCCTCCCAATTTCTTCTTCTCCTTGTTAACTCGCTCTCGAAAGATCTCTGGTGCTGGCAGCGACGGATCGAGGCGCCCAAGCATTCCATCATGTCATTTTCTGACTTCGATGATTCAGACCTGACCGATCTGTCATCGGACGAAGACGACTATGTTCCGCTCGCACAAGTTACCAAGAAGGGCAAAACTCCGAGCAAAGCCACCAAGTCCAATTGCAAGGAGACGTATACCATCAAACAGGAGCTTAGGCCACCTCGCAATACACAGTATTCGGCCAGGTCGCTTTATGGTACTTCTTGAAACTGATGCGATGTCCTGTATTGTTGACTTGAATTGGCTGTAGAGCAAATCCTCGAGAGCTCCATTGATCTGGATCCTGATTATCAACGAGGTTAGATACTTCCATGCATGTCTGTCCTGACCTTGATGGTGAAGATCCCGCGACTTATTGTCTACAGATGTTGTGTGGCCCGAGACAAAGCAGATCGGCTTGATAGATTCCATCTTTCGAAATTACTACATACCTCCCGTCATCTTCTGTGAGTGATCTCTGGTTTCAACAGTCAAAACCCCATGGCAGCTGTTCACTAGCTCTTTGTAGCGGTCAGTACAACCGATGACGGGACGGAGACCCGTACATGCATTGACGGCAAGCAACGACTAACATCCATACAAAAGTGAGCGCAAATTCAAATCTCTGCCTTACAGAAAGTCATCAAACTGATCTGTACAACGGGAAAGGTTTATGGATGGTCTGGTATGTGACACTCGGCCCTTCTTTCCCAACCACGGCTTGACTATCATCATGTCCTTTCTCATAGATTCCACGCGAGTATGATTATTCTGCTCCAAATATCGAGTCCTTACTGTCAGCATTATTGATTTGTTGCAGATCGAGATTCGTGAGACATTCCGACCCTTCATCTGTATCAGATTATTGACGGATCTATAGGGTGACTGGCAAGAAGTACTGGTATAAACAGGCCGGTGCCACGAAACGAATGTGTCTCCCAAAGAGCATACGGCAGGCATTTGCCAATAAACAGATTGTTTGCGTTGAATACGACAATATTCCCGATGACCAAGAGCGAGAAATATTCCAGGTATCGTGTGTTCATCAATTCTTCTGAATCACGAATCTTCTGATCGTGTTCCAGCGAGTTCAACTTGGCGTAGCCTTGACACCTGCAGGCGAGTCTCTGATACTTTCCATCCCCTATACTCGTATCTAACATGCACGCGTTAGAACGAATGTCCGCTATAACGGGGCCGTGGCCCACCTTTATCAGGGAAATTCAATCTGAAGTTCTAGGTGAAGAAGGTTTCGGCGCGTCCCTTGACTGGGGTCAAACCCGAGGACGGGATTTTCAAGGCTTGGTGTCCATCGTCTTCATGATCGAGAAGCTACCGGCATTTGCCACCCCCGTTTCTCCGGCGCTCGACAAATGGTTGCAGCGCACCACCGCCGTGCCGGCACAGCTCCGCAAAGAGGTGCTGGACACCTTCCGGATCTTCATGACTCTGACGAAAGACAAAAAGTACAATGCGCCGTTCCACAAGCCGAGCCGGATCTCCCCTATCGAGTTCGTGATGATCGGTGTCCTCATATACTCCCACCGGACAAATCTGTCGTACACGCAGCTCTCATCCGCGGTCGAGCAGATGAGGGCCGATGTGCGCGCGAGGGAGAAGGACGTCCGTACCAACACGCGTGTCACCAAGTCTCTCTTTCAGTTCATCAGGAACAAGGTCAAGCCTGAGTCTCTTAAGAGTGATGGCAAGGGAGACAAGCCTGCGGCTACATCTGTATCTGCCCCGTCCACGGGCATGCATGCTCCAAACAAGAGGAAGCGCGTAGAATCCAGTGACGACGATGTAGAGGAGGGAGAAGAATGGGCACCCCGAGCAAGAGGAAGGCCCAAGACTACCGTCCCCGGCACTGCAGCCTCTCGACCCTCCCAAACCGGACCGTCGCAGACCACCAAGTCTTCTACCAAATCGACAGCGAAAGCTACGTCCGCTAAGACAACGAAGACATCCAAGAGTGTGAAACAAAGCCCAGCATCTTCTGTTCAACTTTCACCAATCATTCCACCTCAGCATGCTCCAGCAAGTGCAAGAGCAACCCCTGTACACAAAAGGCCACCAGTTCCGCCTCCCACAAATGCCGCTGCCCAGTCGACATCGGCGTCTGCGCCCGTCAGAGTCAAGCTCGAGCCGGACGGCGAGCCCGAGCTTTTCCCGAGCAGGCTCGCTGCTATCCGTGCAGCCAAAAACGCAGCAAGTCAGTCACCGAAGAGGTCACCCCCTACAGGGACTTCTCTACCATCTTTTAAACGGACTTCATCGACAATGGCTCCGCCGGCTTCGATTCCACCGCCCCAGTCTCCTTCCATGCCGCCTCCGATGCAACCTTCTGTGCCGCCCCCAATGCAACCTCCTATGCAACATTCTATGCAACCTTCTATGCAACCTCCTATACCTTCTTCCACGCAGCCCCCTGCTCCGCTCCCTGCGCATGTGCCTTCTACTCCCCCAGGTTCTTCTGCGGCTCCGATTTACATAAAAGAAGAGCCAATGCAAGTTCCCATACCACCTTCCTCGCCAATTGATCTCGCAAAGATCGAGGCTATCTTGGCCGCTGCCGGAATCGGTGCTGCACCCGCTCCTCAGCCTCCTGCCTATGCGCGGCGGAATGAGTCCAACGAGTCCACTCCGATGAGACCAGGTTATCCCCCGAATGGAACCCCAAATCAGAACACATGGTCTTCTCCTGCGAATTTTTCGTCCGACCAGAACAACAGCGGACCCATCTCTTTCTCGTTGCAGAACGGCCTTCAATCTCAAGGCCCTCCTGCCATCTATCTTCCGCCAAAGCCGCTCGGCGACCTGTCTCGGTCCGCTTCTTCAAATCTCAATTCACTGAAGGCATCTCCTCTGGGGCCACAGTACACATATCCGCCGGTGCGGCCCAATGGGTCCAGCTCGGGAGATCTTTCGCAGCAGCCGCCACCGCTCTCGGCGTCGTCGACGGCGTCGTTCACCGAGTATCGACGAGAGCGGTCGACGAGCCGCGAACGGGGGCGGGGTCGCCGTTACGATCGTGAGTACGACAGAGGCTACCCGCGCGGCCGCGGCCGGAGCGGCGAGCGTGGGCTCCCGCGAGAGTCTTCGCGGGGAGGGTCGTGGTACGAGAAGCGGGATCGCGACCGGGATTGGTACGAGGGCCGACACGCGGCGCACAAAGGGTGGACTCAGGCGCCGCCGCCGAGGGAGAGGGGAGGCGAGCGCGTTAATGACCGCGATCAGCACCCCGAGCGACGCAGGTCGGGGCCGTCGAGGTGGGACCCAGACTATGTCAAGACCCGGGTGAAAGCGGAGGACACGGGCAGGGAATGGGATGCGGGATGGTCCCAAGGCTCGAAGACGCCTGGAGGCAGGAGCGGCGGTCTATAGACCGGATCGAGCGACTCTCAGAGCGGGTTTCGTCGCCGTCCGCGAAGGCGTGCTCCTCGGGTCCCAGGTAAGCAGCGTTTGTGCTTTGCTTTGTCGTGGGCGCCTGTCAGACCCATCTATTCCAGTGCTTGTTCTTGAATGGTCTTCCTCCACTTGGGCAGGTGCCAACAGCGTCGAGACACTACGGCGAGGGGCATAGCATCCTAATTTGAGCGTTCAGCCCGTTTACGCCTACATGCTCCCAGCCTCTGAGCGCCTGCTATATATTCTTCCCGGGCCGCACCTTGGCCACTTGAAGCGCCAGCCCTAATTATCGTATGATCAGAACATAAAGTCTTACGGTATACGCTCCACTTGTTGTTGCTCATCCGCTATTCGTACTGTATAACCGACGGAATGTCACGTGTTGTGTGTCTGGATGTGTGCAGACCTGAGAACTGCGGAGAACAGCGTCAGCGCCGGCCCACATCAGAATGCAGCCCCCCATGGCAATCCCCCCGCCGTTCTCCCTCCCCCCTATATACACTCCCGCCCGAGTTGGCAACTGGTTGACCGACCTTGTACAGACCGGCGCACCGCGCAGAATAGCATGCTGAACGTTCTCGGCGTAGGGCGCGGAGCAACCGGCTTCTCCCCTTTCCCTCTCCTCCTCCTCCTCTTCCTCGGCTGGGCGTTCACCGCGCCCGCCCATGCCCAAACCCTCACAGACGACCAGGTCAGTGCTGTGAAGCAACGTCTCGCAGAGGGCGCGACGCACAGGTGCGTGTCTCCCGCACGCACGCACGCACGCAAGCGTGAGTCGAGCCGCACCCCTGACCGCCTGCCAGCTGGGAATTCGGCACGCGCGCACAAACCCTCCTCGAGCTCGACGCCCCGCCCTTCTCCGTCCTCTCCCCCGACTCCCTGCCCCCGCCGCGCGCGCTCAACGCCTCGGCCAACGCCTCGCTCGCCGACGTCCTCTCCATCGCGCAGAACATCGTCAGCGGGCGCGCCAAGTCGAACGGCAACGCGACAGGCCCGCAGCCGCTCATCGCCGACGGCAGCGCGGCGGACCCCGCGAGCATCGGCGTCGCCGTCCTGCTCGCGAACTGGACGGGCCTCGGGCGCGTCGACGGGCTCGACTATGCGGGCGCCGCGCGGGACGAGCTGGATTTTCTGTTCAACGACGTGCCGAAGACGTCTGACGGCGCGTTTTCCCATCGCGTGTCCCAGGTGCAGCTATGGTGCGTCGTTCGTTCGCGCGCACGAGCATGACGGGACTGGTCCCGCTGCGGACGGACTCGCGCTTGCGGGGCACGCTGGCTGAAGCTGGAACAATGGCAGGAGCGACTTCGTCTACATGGTCCCACCCTTCCTAGCCTACTACGGCGTGCTCTCCCAAAACCAGACCCTCCTCGGAGAAGCATACACGCAGGTCCGTGCCGCCCTGAGCATCTCACACTAATCAGTCTCTGCGTGCCTGACGTATCCTGTTGTGGCGATGCCAGATAAAATTATACCGTAATTACTTGATTGACAACAGCGCGGGCGGCCTATGGAAGCACGTCTTGCTCGGTGACAGCGGGAACGATGAGGGCCACTGGTCGACAGGTGAGTCTCGTGATCGGTACACACGGCTCTTGGGGGTGCATCGAACGCTGAGAGCGTTTGGGCTAGGCAACGCGTGGGCAGCAGCGGGCATGCTACGCGTGCTAGGCACGATGAAGAACTCTCCGTACTCCAAATCCTTCAAGAACCAAATCAGCGATCTCGGGCAATGGGCGTTCGACATCCAAAAAGCCATGTACCCCCACCTGGTGCGATGCCCTTTCTCCCTCCGCCTCCCCTTCTGCCACCCTCGAGACGAACCCATGCTCGCGACTGATCTCACACTGTTGCACTGGACTAACTGGCATATTGATGTATGCAGCAATCGAATAACCTGTTCAAGAACTACGCCGACAGCACAGACTCGACCAACTTCGACGACGCCGCGTCGACCGCGCTGCTCGCAGCGACCGTGTACCGCCTCTCGCTCCTCACAGGAACACACACCTACCTCCCCTTCGCCGAACGCTGCCGCACGGCCCTCTTCTCCACAAACGCGTCCGCCACCGACACCGCCGCCGCCGCCGCCTCCACTTCCTCCTCCACGTCCTCCTCCGCATCGACCACCGAAACCCACACCGCGAGCGCCAGTGCGACCCCGTCCGCGTTCGCAGCGACGGCCGCGCACTTCTCGTCCGACGGCTGGCTCGCGCCCGTCGTGAACCCGGACGCGTACGGCGTGCAGGGCGCGAACAGCCCCGAGGGCGAGGCGTTCGTGCTGCAGCTGCACTCTGCGTGGCGCGACTGGGTCGCCGACGGCGCGCGGGGCGCCAACGGCGCGAGCAGGCCGCTGCCCACGTACGGCACGTTCGCGATGGTCGTGGCCTCCGTGTGGACTGCTGCCACGGGCTGGTGAGCGGTTCGCTCGCGCTCACGCACGCACGCACGCACGCACGCCGGTTCAACTTCGGGACTTTTGGGGTTCGGCGAATCGCGCACGTATCATGTTGTCCTTGGGTTTTATGTTCTGCTGTGTTCTCTGCTGTCGGTCTGGATGTTACTTTGAAACACTCGTTTGTGTATACCTACACCCAAGTCTCTGTACCCTACACACGCTCTGTCATTTACCCGTGCACCGCTTTCGCGTTTTTTTTTGGTTAATCGTTTTCGTATGGACCGTGGACAAAAGAGCAGGGCGGCGTGAATATCCAGAACAGCTCTATAGATAGACGACCGTGTGCCTCGAACATCGCGAGTCCGAGCATCATGGGAGAAGGCATCTGCTACGCCCCCGACAAGTCTTCCCACACCTCGACCGTCGTCGCTAGCAAGATGCGGTGCGGGTGGCAAGAGAGTCAGCTACTTGGCACGGCTACGAAGTTGGAGCGCTTTGCCTTCATCGGAGATATCCGCGTGTCCGACTTTCCATGCCCAAAAGGGACCTGCCGCGAGCGGATCGGACGCGGTAACAGAGCGAGAGGCAAGGCGAGCAGAATGGGGCCACGGCATCAGGAGTCCAGAAGCGGGCGGGCATGGAGATCAGTTGCTCACCCAGAGGATCCATGCGCTCGTGATCCGCGCCCGTCCACATCCCGATCACGCCCGTCGCCGAGCCGAGCCCGCCCAGCTGCACGCCCTCCGACTGCCACTCGCCGTCCCCGTCCTCCCTCTCCGAGCACTGCACACGCACGGCCATCAGCGAACGCCGTCTTCCTCCCCGCGCGACGGCGGCGAAAAAAAACAAGGGGGAGGGGAAAGGGCTCGTACTGACCAGGCTCCATCGTATGTCCCCGTTCCCCACCATCTCCACTTTGCCGTGCACCCTGCGCGCGTCCGACAGGTCGTTTGACTGCCCCGCGAGGCCACCCTCGATGTGTATGGTCGGCCTCCCAGGCCACTCGGGCGGCGCGGCCGAGTAGGATGTGATTCGCAGCGTCAGGGGGATGATGCGCATCACCTCGCAGAGCGCCGGGTCCTCAAAGCGGCGGCGGATCTTTCGGGCCTAGAGATGTACACGGACGTCCGACGGATGCCAAGGGTCGGAGATGAGCCATAATTATCTGAGAAACGACGAAGGAGAGCGCGTACGTTGTTGGCTGTGCGACGGGAAAGTCAACGAGGTGAGCTGGAAGGGCGGTCGTCGACACTCACCGACGAGATCTCGATAATCCAGCCAACATACACACCGCCTGGAAGATACGCCATTAGATGATTCTCTGCCCACACAAAACTCTATCCTACACACCTCCACTGACCCTCGACCCCCGCCCAATCCCACCCCTCTCCCTCTTTCGCAGCCTGCATCCCGTCTGCGCCACCCCGCATCCCGTCCCGAAACCCGGGCGCGGAGCACGGGCGCAGGCCCTCTAAGTTGAGCAGCGCGCGCAGCACGTTCTGGTGCCGCCCCAACAGCAGATCGCGCAGGTTGCCCTCCACAATTTGACGCGCGGCGCTCAGCCACGTCCAGTCGAACAGGATCCTGGACCTCGCGATGCGCGGCTGTCCCGCTCCAGATACGGATCCAGAGCCCGAATCGGCAGACTCGGCGTCCGAGTCAACATAGTCCGAGTCGATTGCGTCGTCTTCGTCGAGCGCATCGTCGATCTCCGCCGACGTGCCGGCGCTCGCGAGGTCCCACCGCGCGCTGCGTGTGGTCGGAGAGCCACGGGACGAGCGACCGCTGGAGCCGGCGGTCGACGATGAGTGTGGTGGCGCGACAATGAATGGCCCATAGAGGCGGTCGCTCTGGAGGTAGCGCATATCGTACACCCTGATGCGCGCGAGGCGCCTGGCACCGTCGCTCCCGCCCCGAAACTCGTTCTCCTCCGCCAGCGCCTCCTCCTCGAGCTCTGCCGCGCTGGCGGACGACTCGTCCTCGTCTGAGCTCGCGCCCTCGCTGTCCGAGTGGCTTTCCGACTGCGAGCGTGCGTCGGACTCGGGCGAGTACGAGCTGTCGTCAGACTCGTCGCCGGTTTCTGCTTCGGCGGCGTTTTGCGGGACCTCGAGCGCGGCTGAGAGCAGCGTGTTGGGCACGCAGGTCTGGCAGCCGGAGATGGGCTGCAGGAGCCCGGTGTACGATAGAAGCTTATAGAACAGCTGGTCCTCCGCGCGCGGCTCGGCGGGCAGGCGAAAGCCCCCATCATCCGTAAACAGTGAGAGCCTGCTCGTTAGCGCCAGCGGGAACCCTGCCGACAGCACAGACGAAAGCCATGTGATGTTGCGCGACTTGGGGAAGAGTCTTAGGCGCGAGGCTGAGGCTACGGAAAGCGGCGGGAATAGCGGGTGCGTGTGGGTCGATGGCGGGAGATTGTCGAAGGACGATGATGGCATCGGCGTCGATGTTTGGACGACGTCTAGGAGACATTCCAAAGCCGTGCACAGATCGTCAGATGAGGGGTGGGTCGAATCGTCAGAAGCATAGCGGGCGATAAAGTTGCCTGCCCAGACCCGTCGTTTGTAGTGACCTTCCCAAGGGAAATCGTCCGAGTGCGGAGAGTCTGGCATTTCCTGGCGCTTGCCCGCCACGCGCGAGCTCTCCGCGGATGACACCGCTGAGACCGAGATCGCAGCGTGGCCATACTTCACGATCTCCATGGCAGGCCTGGAGTCGTCAAACACGGTCAGGAACATCTGTCGCCAGAGGTGGTTGTGCCGCGGTTGGTAGGCAGAGTTGTAGAAGTGGCGGCACGTCTGGGCGAATGCGGACACGGCGGTCGGTGACCCCATCGCCGTGGCGAATATGAGGATTTCTTCGATGATTTCGAGCGGCAAGCAGCCGATGTGTACGCACGAGGCGAAAGGCGTAGAGGCGACGGGGGCCATTGGGAAGACTGTTTCCAGCAAGTTGGTCAGTAAAAGGGCTCATACAGGCGACAGAAGAAGAGTAGACGATAAAGCCAGAACGACGAGTATGTGAACGGGGTCGATGGCTCGGCAGAACGCATTTGGGATCCCGCGGCCTTCGGAAGGCAGTAGAGTTCAAATACATGCTTTAGCCGGTGCGGTGTGCACAAGCTCAAGCCTGTAGCGACGGCAAGCTTCCAAACATGACCAGAAGGAGATCTGCAGGGCGAATCTGCTCTCGTGTCCATAATTGGATCAGTGCAGAGCAAATCAGCCCCTATCAGCCCGGTCTCGCATGACATAGACAAGGCGGCCAGAGTTTGTAAATAAGCGTCCGCCGAGACCATGAACGAGGGTCATGGTCTAGCATCTGCTGTTCTGGACGACGCCAGTATCGTGCACTCACCTGGACAGGGCTGTAGGAGAGCAGAGCAATAGGTATGTTCAGGAGGCTAAGTTCAGCAAGAAGGGGACGCAGTGAACGTCGACGGGTTGTGGTGGGTCGACGAGCAGGCCTTTCATACTAGCTGATGGGTGCACGAGCAGACGTCGGACCGTCATCCACTCCAGCTCCGTCACGAATTCATTTCCTTTCAAGGGTGACGCAGGGTGACTTGACATGATCTGCGTGACGCTGGGTAAACATGAGAAATCTGACAGTCATCCTATCGTCGCAAAGTGGGCTTCAGTTGGGTCAACAAATCCGTATGAACGTAACATCTGCTCCAACTAATTTCCGGCTTTCCTATGAAGTGCGCCAGTGTTGTTGCCGAAAGTGACTATCACATGACTTTCCACTTATATAATGCGTGACGTCACGCGTCCCTGCGCAGATGGAACGCGTCTGGTTTCCATCAGCACCGCGTCGTGAAAGGTGTCCACGAACGTCTACCCTCCTTCCTTTGCACTCTATAACCGTCTCAGACTCTCGTAAGGTCGCACAATAAGTACCTGCCATGCCTGCGCCTCTCACTTTCTCTCCCATCGCTGCGTCTCAGCCTCGGCGGGACCCCCAGGTAGCAGTGCCCACGGCGCGCAGATCGAATCCTATCACGAACTACATGACTCCTCTCCCTCACGGTACAACACGGCGGTCAAGACCACCGAGTCCGCTCGCAGACGATGTATTCTCAATTTCAAAGCGCACCACCCCAGCGCCACTCAAACGAAAGTCAGAGGAGGTCAGTTTCGACCCGTCGGAGCGTGCGTCGAAGAAGCGAGAATTGGGACAGGTGGGGAGCAGCACCAAGACACACAAAGACGCGCGCGGGGTCTCCAGTCGCGTAAGCATCTTCAGCCTACTGCTCTCTGCTGCGTCCTCAATGCACAAGGGATGTATTGGTATCGCTAGAAAGCTCCAACGCCAGACGGTACGGTGAAGAATGGCATCAGATGGGTAGACCTCAAAACCACCCCGACGCCCCAGAAGCATTCCAAAACACCAATCCTGGTCAGACACCACAAGGTACTCCCGTTCGACATCGACGCAGTCCGCCCGTCCTCACTCACTCCTTGCAGCAGACAAATGCGCCCGAATCCTCGAACGGGATGGCACAATTCAAGGTCAGCGTCGAGACACGTGAAAGGGTCGTGACATGGAACGCGATCCACTTACATCTTTTTCCGCGCGAGACAGACACCTATCGTCGAACACCAATTACCGCGAGACGCCTTCGACGCGCTCGTCTCGTTCTCGAGAACCAATGCATTAGCGCAGCCCCCCAAAAACATCAGCCTCGCCTACACGATCGTCGCTGACGCCAACACCGACAACCGGCAGCACGTGGCGCAGGTCGTCAAAGTCCTCCGCGCAACAACCAAGCTGCAGTTCTCGTACGCTCGTCTCACTCCCTCCCTCCGAGGCCCTGCCCTCGCGGCGCTCGTCCAATCCAGACTCACCCTGCTGATGACTTGGGCGCCGCCGGACAGCTCGCAGGTCGACTTTGTCAACGTCGCGATCAGCAACGGCACCCCTGAGAAACCGGGGCTGGTACAGAATAAATACCATTGCCAGTGTCCCCTGGGCAGGGTCCCCTCGGCCCAATCCCCGAACTCGACGTCGAACAACTGCAATGGATGGGTGTACGTGCGAAGCATGAACGTCACCTCGTACCCGGTCGGTATCCGTGGGCAGAGGGTGGAGATCGCCGTTGAGCATTCATAATCACTCGATTTGGCTGGTTCGGAACGTGTCGGATTTCTGCGAGTTTGGACGAAGAAGACTTGTTGCCGTAGTTGCTGTGCTTTTTGTTTTTATTTGCTCCTCTCCATCACTCTACATATCTGATTTCTCGCTGTAGGCATTAATGTATGCGTATCCACTCCTCTGGTGGCACATTGACGGTAAAATTACGATAGTATAATAGCGTGTAAAGTAAGCTCTGCGCAAATTCGCGCTCACGATTGATATAGGTGGTCCTTCCGTCTCAAAACTTATACCTCCGCGCGCGCTGGAGCCTCATGTCTGCTACTTTCCTGGGAACCCTCGCTCATAAAAGTCTGTCGTCCGATCGTGACCTGGCGGGTCAACTCGTAACCTAGCGCTATTGCACAGAGAGCACGCACCGTGATGGGGCGTTTTGCTGTTGCTGCGTCGCGGGGCACGATTTCGCTCTAACACGGGTAGGAAGATCAGGAACGATGAAAAGTCAGAGACAGAGCGGGCGGCTCACATCTCTCGGTGCGCTCCTGTCACAGAACTCGATGGTGCGGGGGCGGCTGATCCCGCCTATGTATCTGGTCGATTCAACTGAAGACGTCCAGCCTTTCCGGGAGTTTAGACTTGAGAGGAGGGAGATCGTGTACAGCTCCGCCAAGGAGTAGTTGAAGATGATGTGGCTGCGGCGGGCGGCATTGGCGATCGTGAGACATGCGGTCTGAACGGCGAGGATAGCGATCGAACGGACTCACTATGCAGCTGGCTAGTAAAGTGACGATGCAGGATCCGATCAGTAATGCGCCGAGGGGGCGCAGAGAGACACACACAAAGGTGATGTACAAGACCAAGTCTGCGACGGCCCACAGAGCCGTGACGAGGCCCGTCTGGATGGCGACTAGCAAGAGCACGGAACGAGGATCAGCTCGAGTCATCTCTGCTTTCCAAGCGGCCTCGCACGTCTGCAGCTTTGTTAGACTCACGTCGAATGATCCTGTCGATGACGTCGTCCGTCGGGGGAGACCCGGTCTTGTGCCGCTTCTATATCATCAAACAAAGCATCGACTCGGCGGAGCTCGTCGACCCAGCTGCGGACGACACGAGGTCGCGCGTGGAGGACGTACCAGGAATGTCACGAGGACGACCGTGATCAGCGTATCGTCGATGGTCGCCGCAATCAGCCAGACGATGACGGCCGACTGGATGCGAGATGTGATCAGGACATCGGGCATGCAGAGCATGGCCACGCTGGTGGCTATTGCTGCGACTGTTGGAGATGATACTTATGAGTTATAAGCCTCGCGGCGCGAGGTGCGGCTCTACGTACGGCACTCTATAACGGCCAACGCCGCGATACAGATGAACGACCATAGACTGTTGGTGAGGATCCAAATTCGACGACCGAAGAACAATTGGACCATCAACCCTATGATTCCCTGTGGATTGTTTAGTCTCGCGATCGATCATGAACAGCCCCAAAAACGCTGACAGTTGTCAGAGGGCCTGCGAAGTGGTCACGAGCACGTCAGTCGCGTGAGCATCATTGAGCGAGGGACTCAAAAGTTTACCGCATTCGAAAACTAAAATAGGAACCGGCACAGTCAGCGTAAACGATCGGAGGAAGACGGCTAGAGTAGTTACACCAGCTCGGGATTCCCTGCGCAGCGATGTCTCCTAAGACCATCCGATCCAGGGTCATCGGCAAAGCTCGGAGAGAGATTCGAGGTGAGGGACATACCGAATTTGTTAACCAGATGGTCGTAGATATGCGCCATGTCCAGCCCGATGTTCACCGTGCCCACGACGAACAACGTCCATACCTGTGCTGTGTACATCAGCCCGAGCCCACGAACCGCGGGTGTCGTCAGAAGCGTACATAGGCCTTTTGCCATGTCTTGTCACTAATTTTCACGCATGAGTGCTCTCAATTCACGCGTACACATCGGTTCGAGCGTACTCTTTGTAGGTCACATGATATGAATACGTCTGCATCAAGACGACACCATACAGGATGAGGCTGATGAACGTGGCAATGAGCGTCGGCCCGGACCTACATAGACATCTGTTGAGATACACAGAGACACGCGCAGAAGAAACATCGAGAAAAAAGACGGCTCACAGGAGCAATGCGTAGGACGACGGGTCCAGCGGCCGCGTGTTGAGGAAGGGCATAGAATCAAGATCGAGCAGCGAGCATGAGCGACAGTTGGGCGACTTATAAGTATGCTCGAGGCGGCGTAAGCAGCTGGTTGACCAAGCAGGCCTTCTGACCGGCATGCTGCGGTCTTGCGATAGAAGTAAATCTTCACTAGCCGCCGAGCCTGACAGGAAGCGCTGAGGGATTGCATGTAACCAGATGAAAAAATGAGGTATCAGGCGCTGCATTTCTATACCAGTCCGTCATTTCAATTAGGATGATCAATTCGAAGAACGCAATAATGTAATAGCCCATCGCCGGGCATGCCAGAGTCTGCAAGGGGGCACTTTGGACAAGCAGATGGATTCCCATTGACAGCATAAGCCAGGATATGTACACCATCTTTTTTGTGATTGGGATATACGCACTCACCGAATACTGGCCCCCCACGTCAAAGCTTGCCAGCTACGACGAGGTTGATCTGATAGGCTCCAGGATCTACGTCCAGGTTTGAATGACTGTCCCTGCATTCAGAAGCGCCTTGATTCTCCGGCTCCGCCATGGTACCCTGATTTGGGATTGGAGCCTCGTGATGCTTCAAGTCACCATCTTCGTCATAAAGAGATTTTCACCTAAAAGCAAGTTTTCCACGATCTTTTTGATCTCCGCCTCCCGGATCTCCCTCGTCCTTGTTTCTCCGTCGTCGTCCACATATGAAGTCTCGTGAAAATTACCCCTCCGCGCTCATGCTGCGTCCGCAGTCTTGAACGGTGCACTCGATCTTGTCCGTCGGCGTACCGGATCGTCTCTGCAAGATGGTCAAATTTCTTGCACTGTCGTTCTGCCTTGTCATGAGCCTTGCAAAAGCCTCTTGTCGCGATGACACAATGAATTTCGCTCGCGCAGACATTCCAGAGCAGATTGCGCCGCGAAGCCGCCAGGTAGAAGCTATCAACAGGTCATTGGACACTGGATGCAGGCTCGAGACGTCCCGAGATGACTCTGTGATGCTATGTGGGACACTTACTCTCTTCGTAGGAAAGCGACAGAGCGTGTCGCACCGTGAGTAGAAAGACGCTCTGGCCTGCGCATCCTTCGTGTCTGACGTGCGGTGCCTGGGATTACTCACCCACTCCTCGATAACATGCTTGTACGGGCGTCCGGCGATGACTTGTTGACATGCTTCCGAATGATATCGAAAGTGCCGATATAGTATGCAGTTTTGTCGACCATGGATTCGCTGAAGTCATCTGGGTAGCCGTTTGGATACAGGTGCCAGAGTTCTGGAGTACCTTCAGGCGTCTACGAGTGGGAATGCGTGCGGAACGACGTAGCATTGAGGACGAGATGGTGGCGGGTCTAGCGTGATGAAGAAACGCGGCGGGCGAACCTGTATGTAAGGGCTCGAATCCATAAACGTACCTCAGACACCCACACTGTCATCGGAGGTCAAGTCGTGTTACGAGAAAGATAGTCAACAGTCTCGGGATATGATCAAGGGTTCAACAAAGCCCCGTGGGGTCGCTATTCAGGTACGCATTGGAGATAGACCGAGAGGTTAGGTCTTGCGAATGTCAGATAGATCTCGAGGAGCGCGGAGACACAGTAGCAGTAGCAACTAGCGGGGAGTGCGGCGACGTTGCCCTTGCAAAGAGGAGACGGTGTTGGGTTAGTTCGTCGTGACCGAGTCGACGGAAAGCAAAGGAAGCGCAGGGAAGCGCGGACGAGAAACCAAGGAGCTCGGAAGGTCCCTCCGGGAGCCTTCAGGTCACCTCTCCTAGTCCTCTCCTTCGCAGACGCAAACCTCACACGGAAGATGATCCTAGATCCTAGTAAGTCACTAGAGAATTTTTAGCCCTACGTACCTTGCAGGGAGTGCTCCTGCATGTATGAGGACACGGGTGGGAGAGTTTGGGGAGTGCGCAGTCGCGTGCGCTCTCCTGACAATTGCAGGTTCCCACCAGCCAAAGTTCGCATCCTTGCGCCTCGCTTCCCCAATCCCCCCGAGTCGCCGTTTCTCGCTATCTGCTGTCCTCGACCCTTGTAACCTCCTGTAATCTGTATACCTGCAGAAGCGAGAATTTCTCCGTACCTTACGACCGTCTACGCCCTCAGCCCTGTCGACAGACCGTCTCTTGACCAGTGTGTCTTCTGTACCAGCTTGTAAGTATCACCCAGACCTCGCTCTCGCCTCTCTTCTGTACGTCCAACATCTACGAGTGAACGATCGCTGGCCCGTGAGTATCATATACCAAGTCTGTGCACGACGGTTTGTAGTATCGGTCATGGTTCGGGGAGGCGGTACCTGCACCGCCATGCGCCCACAGGCTTCTGTCAGAGGCCCCAGCGAAGTAGCACGCCGGCCAAGGCTAAGACCTGAACTGGGCTCAGGCAGGCTCGGGAGAGCGGAGCGCGAGATCAAATGGAGTTAGAGACTGACTCAAATGTCGCTTTTTGTTTCGCAGGGTCGCCTGCGCCTCTTGTCTTCCTACGTCCATCCCGCCCACACATTTCTACTCCAACGACTGCGACACCCTTCAACAGATCCTTGACGCTGCGAAGCTTCAGAAGCCTTGTCATTCTATCATCTGATTTGATCTGATTCCATCATGACTCGTGTGTAACCAGCCGCCTTTATTGCTTTCAATCTATCCTGACGTATTCCTATCCTGTGTTGCCCTCTCGCCCGGCCGACTATGCAGTATTACGACCTCGGCTTCCGCTCACGCTTTTCCTGCTCTCCTCCGCGCTCGGCGCCCGCGCCGACTGCTTCATCGACAAGTTCGTTTCTTCCTTCTCTTTGCCCGCCATCTATGACATCATCTTAACGTTCCCGCGCAATTGTGCTTACACCCTGTGCCCCCCCGCTCTGCGTCCCGAAATCCTACGACATACGATAGCAATGGCTTCGAGCGCTGCCGTATCTCAACCGGCGCGCGCATCGCCATCGCCGTCTGCCTCGGTACGTTCCTTGCCCTCCTTCCCTCTTCACCTCCATTCTGAATCTCTTCCACATATCCACATATCACCCCACCCCTCCTCCAGTCGTCGGGCTCATCCTCCTCCTCGGTGCGCTTGGCATGTATCGCCAACGTCGCCAGCGCCAAGCAAACCTTGCCTACGTGCACGCATCTCAAAACCAAAACGCGTACAATCCCAACTCCGTCTACGTCGCCAACGGGCAGTATCCCAGCCCCGGTGGCGGTGGGGGAGGAGGGTGGCAGCAGGGCGCGCAGTACCCGCCGCCCCAGTATCCGCCGCAGACGTTCCAAGGGCAGAACGGAGGGTACGGGTACGGATACGACCCGAACCAGGGCTTCGCCCCCGTGCGTCCATCTCTACTTCGTCTGTTTGCCGTGGGCGCATCTTTCTTACGATCATCGCGTCGCCCGTTTTTGCTTCACAGCCTGCTGGGCCCCCGCCGAACCACACCGGCTACGACGCAGGGGGAACGCCTGGCGCGCCGGGATCGCCGCCGCAGTACTACCCGCCGCCGCCTGGCGTGCCGGGGTTCGCGGCGAACGGCAAGACGGGCGCGTGAGGAGGCCCTCGAAACCGTGCATGGACTTGTTTGCGATTCGTCGCCGCTTCATTCAACTTTCTGTATTCGTGTGTTTGGTACGGACGTGTGTGTTCGGTTTGTTGTATAATGCTTAGCTGTATGCTACAGTACTTAATTGGTGGGCTCCTCGTGAGTTGTGTTTGGAACGAGACGGGTTGCCGGTTGCCCCTGGTACGGTACTCGGGACAGCCGGACATCCCATAATATTATCTTATCAAATAACTGGCTATAACTGGTCTGCGACGGCTATGTCCGCGCCCGCCGCTGGACAGCAGTCGACAGTGACCACGCCTTTCAATCGACATTTATTCACAAGGACCTTTGGTCTTTCTGTACGTGCAACCACGCAAAATTTCATCGGTTGAGACTCAGCGTCTCACTCGGAGGATGTGACCTCGAATCGAAGGCTCTCAATATTCTAGTTCGTCCGACAGGAGTCCTTGCATTTGCTCAGCGCGCGGCAGGACTGGGGTGGACGGGATTAATATTCGCTGTATCACCTGGTCGCCATGTCCGGGATCATTGGTTCTTTCAGAGATGGAGAACCGGGTGAGCGCCACCTCCAGAGTTTACAAGTCTTCTCTCGTCCAAACATCTGTCCTTCTATATTCCACGCGCTATGCCTCACTTCACGAGCTGATGATCTCCCTTTGCTCTTAGGAAACCGTTGCGCTTGAGCAGTGAGTACCCTATGGCTTTGGCTCCAATATTTCGATCCCGTCTTCACACTGCAGGACCGTGACTATGTTCTGCGCTTACTGATGTCTCCAACCCTACACTCAGGCGACTCTCAAGTGCCTATACAAGGTAGCTTGGCTAGCTTTGTGGAACGAGGACAGTTTCGACCCTTCAGAGAACTTACAGCTATTGAGCTTTGTCTGAGGATCCCTCACGCTTGGACACTTGTCGACAGCCCTCGTCCGTGCTCTACTCGTACAGTGCGTGCGCCGTGATTCTCTGCCGTACCCTCCTTGCACCGTCTAAAGCCTGAACCGTCATCACTATCAAAACCCGCAAACCCCGTGGACAGGGACCGCGAAGATGGCTGTATCTGAACGTTTCGGTTCTGCGCAGACGACATATCGGGCAGTCCTCTTAGGCATCTTGAAGCAAGGCTATCCACTTCCCAGTGTATGATGTGTCTTTCAGTGATGCATGCCGTCGACAATATTCCTTCCATCCGAGCTCGAATTCCGCTTCGTTCTATTCACCAATTCAGCGATGTATGACGTGGCGTGCTAGTCAGAACGAGCTATTCTCTGAGTGTCTTATCTTCTCTACAGTGATAATGTTCTCCAGTGTCGATGCCAAGCTCCCATCTCGTACCGTGTTTCTCGTACGTTTTTCGCTCTCATGAGTAGTGTTCTTCTTCTTGATCAATGATATCCCTTCATTTCGGCCTGCTCTTTACTATGCCTGCTCCTATCGCCATCAGCGGGGACTACACAATCACGATGGGTGGCCAAATTTATATCGACCTTCCCGTATGGCGATCTGATTGATCGCGAGGTCTGTAGCGATGTACCTGCAGGTACCTGCCTCGTCTATTTTGATCCAGTTTCTGATGCTATTCTCCGCAGTCTCATGTACTTTTTGGGCGTGGGGCTAGGTAGGTCTTCGGTTCTTCTGTCTCCGGTTGTCTCTGGCTGAGCGCTAACTTGACATAAATAAGCTCGTTTCATAAATTTTACAGAGCTCACGATCAACCCGGCCGTGGCTCCATTACAACCGCTACATACATGTATGCCAGTACATGCCGTGAGCCATTTTGTCAACATCCTCCCTTCTCTCGGCCCTCTTGTTTCACGATAGCACCCTAACACGACATCTTCTGTTCATCATGCCAACGTGGTCATGTGCGCTCCCATCCATACTAAAGGATCATCCCACGTCATATAGCTTGAGAAAATTTCAATTCGTACACGACTTGGCAGAGAATGAGAGCCGCCTTGCTCCGATGGACGACTTGCACCCGCAGGAATGGCAGACATCGCAAAACGCTTGAAGACGTCAACAACGGCCATCTTGTATGTGATCCACCCATGGAATATCCTCGACCGTCTCCAAGCGCGAGAACCATCTCAGTGTCGACCGACGTCTTTGATTGTTTCGCATACATCTGTCGGCTTGCGGTTGAACAGCGCCTCGCTCAATCTGATTCCACTTATTCCGGTAATTATTTGTCTCCCGCAGAGATATCCAAGGCATCATGCATCATGCAGTATGTGTCTCGAACAGTCACAAGCTACACCTTGTACCATGATATACGACTCGGGTCGACCGACCCCCTTCCCGAACGCCTTGCACGTAAGGCGTGAAGGTGAGCGGACCTTGGAATGAGATTAGATACACTGCAGCTTTTCGCCTCGTTACGATCATGTATCAGACCCTATCAGACCTTGGGCCTAGAGAAGTATAGTTGGGACGGCGTTGTGATGCTTCTCTGATGATCTGTCCCTTAGACTTCCTCCTACACAGGAGCATGATCTAGCATGACATCCTAGGACATCCTTTAGGAGCCTTTAGGGAGACTGGTGGCGTATCAGAAGTCTTGATGCTTCAATTCGAGCGCCTATTACTATTTAACCGTACTCATTTCCAATTTATACAAAGGCACCGACTGCGCTAGTTCTTCGATGCTCAGTTCCCCAACTCCCTCCTCCTTTCAATACTATGTCTGGCAATGGTATCACCAACCTTCCGATCCCCTACCGTCGTGCCCGTAAGTTCTCTCATCTTGCTTGCAGAAGCATTGATCGAGGAGAACCATTTGGCAGTGAACATAGGCAAGCAATCGCGAGCAGGTGCTTTAGGGCTTCTCGCTTATGATCACTGTGGGTTTTGGTTCTTCGCTCGCGCTGTTCAACGTTCATGTATTTCCTACCGTGTCATCGTGGAAAAGTCATAACCTTGGACAGGGAAGTCAGTAAGATGAGCATATGTAGGCTTGAAGGGATGCTAAGATGTTTGAGCGTTGGCAGATCGAGCTCATTTGGCGGCAGGATAAAAATCGCCAGGGATTCTGGCTCTTCGTTTTTGTGCGTGTTTGAATGGATTTGGTTGCTTAAATGCTTATCTGTTCAACAGAACAGGTTCTTTCCACTGCTATGGTTGATCTTCGACACCAGTATGTGTCTTGACAAGTTCATGATGATTTGATTTACGGAATGTCACGATCGGCAGTACCTCTCGCCCGCAGTGGGATCGTCTCCTCGAAGGTGAACTCCCAATTGTCCCACATACCCATTGATTCAAGACCAACTCACAATCTTCCAGATGTAAATTCCAGGTTCCCAAGTAATCATCTCGAAATTTAAACAATGATTTTTGTGCAGTTGCATCATATATCTTATGTGCGATGATATTGTGACGCTTTTGATCACTATATCCGTACAGTGTGCGTATCTTCATTTCGATGTCTGTGTTCTATTTTCGTGTAATAATACCTCATGCGATTAATTAGCCATCCTGCAACTCCGAGTGAGTCCATCCTCTGTCGACCAGTCGTAATGCAATGGAAGCATGAGGCCTGATGTCGAGATGTCAGGTTTATGCTCTATACGGGCGAAGCCGAAGAATGCTCATCTTTCTAGTATGTTGTTGTACTGTTGAAATCGCAATTATGGCGGTCCTGGTAGGTGTTACTATGAGGAAGATATCCCGTACGTCTTCAATATCTCTGCTTTCTTCACGTTTGTGCCTCATGAAAGTCGCGTGGGATTATATAGATCTTCCGGTAGTGTCGACACCGACCGGTTGCTACTATTCGGGGATCTTTAGCCTCTCCGCGTTGTTCTGGATCCCTATCCTCATTTTTGAGCCTATACTATGTTTGCTCATATTGTGGAAGGCATGGGGCGAGGAAATTATGTATCGCTTCGGTTTGGGGCTTCGCGAATTTGATGGGCGACCGAAGGCGACGTCAACCCCACGCATGGTCAAGCTCATTGCTCGTGACAGGTAACGGTACTCCGGATTTCGACGTGATTCTCCAACTGATTGTACTCACACCGCTGTCTAGCTTGATGTACTTTTTGGCGTGAGTGCTTTATACAAGTCTCAAATAGTACTTACTCAATTTATACTCTTTAACAGAATATTCGTGGAGCTCCTGATCAACACTATCATTTGGGCAAAGTTCAATCGGTACATTAACATCGTCATGCCGTGAGCCCTTGTCTCCCGCCTCCCACACATAAGCAAGCTGACTGGAATAACCTAATCTGTGATGTAGTTGGTCTTGCACACTCCCGTCAATATTCGGATCTCGCCTCCTCCTTAATATGCGGGAAATGGTCCTTGACAAGGGAGATCATAATTCATACATCTTGGAGACGTTTGCAGTCGCGGAAGGTCAAATGGAGCATATTGACGCTAGCAGCTCGATCACGATGGATGCCCCGCGCAGGAACAGGAATAGCATTGGGGTCGACTCCGCAGGCGAATAACTCTCTTTAAAATTCTTACTCGATTGTCTGCTCGTGATTATTATGTGTTATTGCATCGTATTGTGAACTATGTTCGATGGGACTTCATGTACTTTGTACAGCATTGACGCCAGATCCTCCGTTTTGCACAAGGACACCGCGCACTTCTGCAGCTTACATTCTCTAAAGAGAATTAGGATACAATGACTAGCTATAGAGAACTATCATCCAGATCGGCGTATATAACATAGAAAGAGGTCTTGAAACGATGACACCAATAAAGAGCAACAATATACTTCGATCAAAATTAGGAAAGGGAGCCAAAAAGTTCAAGACTGCCATGACCTATCCCACCAGGCGGAAGCGCACAATTGTTCGGTGGCCGGGGAAGAAACGGTGTCGACGATCCTCAGTAACTCGGACCTCGATTTCACCTGCCATGTTGCGAGTGATGGAAGGTGTGGGATCCGGGGAGATGGGAACAGGGGGAGCCAAAACGGCGGGAGAGGCGAGGGAGGCAGTAGGAGCAAGAGCGGGGTCAGGTGTGGCAATGGCGGGAGCTGAAGCAGGGGAAGTAGTGGCAGGCGGTGTGGACCGTTTGATGTGCTGTTTCTCATCTTCTGTTTTTCTGACTCCTACTGGGACCCCTGATATCGGCAGCACAAAGGACTGTAAGCATCCAAAGTTAACAACGAGTTCGCCGCCCTTGACCATGGGCATACCAACAGGCCTACAACGACAAAGAATACAGACGTCAAAATACAGCCACGCGCAGAAGTTGTCGTGACGCACTTGAAATCCAAAGCAAGCACGTCCTGAACGTGCTGTCTCAGGGCAAACACCTCCAACATTGTCACTTCGCTCTCGATCGCAGCACCCGTAACGATCGAGTACTCGCCGTCGAACGCGAAGATGAATGGTTCGAGAGGGCCGTTCAAGACCCCGCCTTTCATCTTCACGCCGATGTAACGAATCTGCGCGCGGAGAAACCCGGTGAGGTACTCATGTAGCGTTTCCAGGAGCTCAGAAAGGTCTTGATAGGATGTAGGCTGATAGATAATCAATGGAAATCAGACTTCACTCTTCTGAGACGATGTGCAGAATTCAAGACAGTGTCTCACCCCATACGGATCTGACTTGTCGGGTGCAGGCTTCACCAAACACGTCGCTCGGACTTCATCACCCACGTCCGGTTTTCCAGCTTGAGGAGGAACTACTGCATCGACGTCTTCCTGAAGGACAAGACGTCAAAACATCGCATAACAAAACGCTGCATCGGCTCATGCGAACGTACCTCCTTTTCTCCATGATCAGATCCAAATCTCTTCCGCCTCGCCTTCTGCTTCTCGTACTGATCGATGATATGCCGCGCAAACCCACCCTTGGGTTCATTGTCACCCTCAGGGAGCAGCAGGCCGATCGCACGACGCCGCTTTTGCTGGAAGCGAGAGTGCATCCGACACGACTCACACATCTTCCATTTGTAATTATTGAGCGGCGGCAGCGCTTTACGGCAGGTCCGCATAGAGCAGAAGCGCAGGCCGATGATGTCTGTAGCCTGTAAATATACAAAATTGATCAATCAATGAAGTCCTTTCCGCTTTTCTTTTGATGATCTCCTTACCTGAACATCCTGGCTTGTATGCTACAAGTCGCGATAAGTTTGGGTAAATAAAGTTGGTCGAGAAGTATAAAATACAAATGGCGTTTACCTGATTCCGACTTACGTCTAACTCGTCACTATGCTTCTGCTCTAAATATAACCTCGGTCGCTGGATATTGAGCCGCTGGCGCTGATAGTGTCGAAACTTGTTTCGACAAGGGTCGCATAGTTTCCAACGCGATTCGGGCGTCAGCACATTTTGACATGTCTTGATCCCACATATGCGCGTTGTTGCCTTGGTCTTATCGTCGTGCAGGGTATCGAACGAGAATCCAGCGGGTATCCGGATGCGGATTTTCAGACCAGATTTTTGAGACTTGGTAGCTAAGGGCTGGAGAGGTGCAAAATGATGAATGCTCAGGTCAGCGTTAACTCGCGGCTTTTTCGAAAAAAATTGCGTGTACCTCGTCGTCTGGATCCGAGCTGACCTCGCTGTCGTCGTCGTCGTCGTCGTCGTCGCTATCGGAGAGCACTGTCAAGTCGGACATACTGCTCCATCCATCTGGCACGGCGTATAATCTGGATCGATCGTTTGCAAACCCGGTCATGGGAGATGGACTCTCAAGGGTGCTCTCCAGAGTTGTGAGGCCATTCGGTTCCGCATCGGTTCCGTCCTGAAAACCCCGTCAGAATGCTGATATGTGAGATCCGAAAAGCTGTTACCTCAGGATAGGCGAGCTCAAGATCGTCCAGGTCCATGGCATCGGGATCAGGGTCGGGAGGCGTTTGACGAACACCGCTTGCACTTTGCGCATCTGAGGCTGGTATCTGCCGTGTCGGCACATTGAAATCTTCTGCGCGCGCAGAGCGGGCTATCCGCGTTGGGGCAAAAATTGACTCCTCCCTGAAGCCCTTCAGGTGCTCTACGGTCGGGTTCGCGCCCACGAACGGACGTCGGGCATACTCATGCACAGGTGCAGGGCCCCTCTGCGTCTGTGAACGTGGACCAGACGGGCCTGGCAAGTTCAAGGTCGTAAACGACGGTGGGAGCACGGGAATATGGGGTAGAACGGGAGGCGACAGGACATGAGAGGCATGAGGCAGAGGTTGCGATGGGACGCATGAGGCATGAAGAGGGGGAAGGGCGTACTCTGGCGCTTGCCGCTGCCGTGTCATTTCCCGCTTGTAACATGTCTCGCATACGAGTGGGCCGGATCCGTGCGCTGAAGGTATGAATATGAGAGCTTTACAGAAATAGCAGGACGTCGTTGGGGGGTGCGGTGCTGGCGGTGGAGGAGGTGCCGATGAAGGCTAGCATTCAATACACAGTCTAAGATCAGCGAGAATAAGGGTGAGGAAGCAAGCACGCACCGCGAAGATAGCCCCCCGGTCACGATGGGGCGCTCTATGCACAGCGACTTGTGCGCGCTCCTCTGTCTGCCTCTTCTTTGGCATCTTATTGGCCTCGCGCTGGCGCATCATACATAATTGACAGAGGCTGTGTCTCCATCCCGCTTCGAGTGAAAGGTTGCACTGTCTTCCACGACAGCGCTTTCCTAGAGAATACGGATCCGATGGACCAGCGGAGACATGCACCATGGAGTACATGGGTTTGTGGGTGGAGGGCTGCATGGCGAGAAAGAAAAAAATGCAACAACCTTGCGACGAGTCCGAGACCAATGCAGAGACCTGATTCAAATATTTGCCACATTATGGGATCACTCAGAATGTGCAAGATTATCGCCAGGAGAAACCCCACGAAAAAACTCACGATGCCTCTTCGATCTTTCAACGAGGATGCACAAACGTGCTTTCAATGCTCTCGTCTACTACATGAACCGTCCATGCAAGTGAAGAAAAGGGCGTTTTTGGTCGTTGTCGTCGTCAAGGGTGACTAAGTTTGTCTGACTATTCCGGCGACAAATTTTGCCATTTTTGCGAAATTTAGGCTCTCAACAGCTCTCAGCCGACGCGCCGATATGTTCGCGCGCCACTTGAAATCAAGCGCAGATCTCATACGCAGATTTGCCAGCCGGAGGAGATGCAGGGAAAGCGGGCGCAATGTGCGTTTCGGCTTCAACTCAGGTGAATGACATACAGCGCTATGAGCGTGTTACACAAGCGACCTGACTGAGCTCCAGTCACAACGCAATTTTGTCAGAAGAGCGATGATGATATTGAACGACTTGGACCTCTCGAGTAGTCCGACTGCCTTGAGCTGTCGGCGCCAGAGTTGCTAAGGGTTCTGTGGCAACCAGGCGATGCAGCGCAGCCTACTGAAGGAGGTAAATTTGCGCTCGACATCCACATTCGTGAGGGGCGCAGACGAGTTTGTGAATTGTATGAACCGCACAACCCATATGCCCTCCCACAGTTATGATACTGCTGATCGATTGCCTCAGGATTTCTGTCACTGACTCACCTTTAGGCGATGCCAGAGAGACATGTTGAATCAGCGAGAGCTCCAAGAAGTCACAAAGCGCTTTTTGGACTTGCATAAAAGGCTGAGGGGGGAGGATGAACCCCAACAACCCGACACCGACACCAATCACAATCACCAACCACCATCTACCACAAGTAGTCATGTCTTCGAAAGAACGTACGTACCAGAAAAGTATCGAAGCCAAACGACTGTTGAGACTGTTGACTCTGCACAGTCAAATTCGCTGTCTCCGGGTCTATCGTCGCCAAATCGACCCAATTGTCTCAAACCCGCGAGCTCCTCGTAGGTGGCAAGACCTACGTCGACGCTGAGCCGGGCACGCTGCACTGGTTTAGCTTCGAGATCGAGGCGAAGGCTGGCGAGCCTGCGCGCTTTGGGGTCTTCAACGGCTTCGCCACCGAGGCCGATCGCGATGTACACCAGGCGGGCGGTCTCGCGAGGGCGGCGGCGGCGAACGGCGACGCGCTCTTCGAGGGTCCTGCGGTGATAGAGAAGGTCGATCTACTGGCGTCCAAAGTCACGCCGGATGCGAAGGCGGGAATCAAGTTCGGCGTCAGAGTGAAGCTCACCGCGAAGCCGGAACACGCAGGCGACGTCAAGGCTGCACTGCTGGTGAGTTCAGAGAAATCGCTCTCTATGCTGTGTCCAAGATGTCAACTTGGGCCATCGTAGCGTCTTGAACAGGATGTAGCTCGTGAAGCCGGTACGCCCTACTGGTACGCTGTCGCTTGGCCGGGCACTAGCACCTTCGGTGTCTTCAGCGTCTTCTACGACGAGGGAAGCAGGCAGGCTTACATGTTGGGATCCGCTGTGAAGAAGTTCATCGCCGCGACAGAGGGCAGTGTTACTAGCGCCGCTGAGATTGACGTGCTTGAGGTGCTGGCGACGAAGATCGTTGCTTGAACGCAGTCTGGGAGGCCAAGGAAATGTATAGATGTTGAGTGAAGTTTTTGATGACAACTCATGTACAACAGCCTTAACGCTTGAATGAATATTACGAATTGTATGCCACAGTGAACTGAACGTATTGAGAATAGGGCTTGCGAAGGCCAGTTGATCCAAAAACGTGAGAGTAATGCTCTGCAAGTCAATTCTTGGGCTGGAAGCGGTCTCGTGCCCTGATTTGTATAATCTCGGGATCTCTGTCCAAGCCTTACCTATGTCGAAGAGAAGTTGGTTCAGCAACAATTCTGACAAACGAAGAAACGATCTCTGAGCCAGTGCAAAAGTAAATTGAGACTAAGGCGAAACTCACAATGCAGCACCAACCAAACGATCCCATTCCGTTAACATGTCTTCGAGCATTCGTACGTACTAGACAACTACTGAACCCAGATACTCTGGTTCAGTCACTCTAGCCATATTCGCCGTCACAGGGACAATTATGTCTAAACCGACCCAAGTGCTCCACACTCGCAATTTCTTCGTCGCCGGCAAGATCCACATCGACGCCGAGCCGGGCGCGCTGCACTGGTTCGGCTTCCAAGTCGACACTAAGGTCGACGAACCTGCGCGCTTCAGTATCTTCGACATGTTTGCCAATGAGGCCGACCGCGACGACCACCCTCTCACATCTATGCTTGCTTGCAGCATACTATGCCTAACCCCCCTTGATGTTGAAATCGATCCACACGAGGGTAGGAGTCACATGACGCCTATGGTTATGATGAATGGGCGTTTATGCCCACCAAGGGCATCCAGACATGGTATTATGATGCACCATGCAGCGATCAATCTATCTGTGATAACGCAACATGGTCAGGAAAGCGATGATTGATCAAACGAACAACTAGAACCTCATAGTTGAATATTAAATCCATTGAATGGCGACACCATAGTCGTCATGGAACATGTGATCCCGTGCAGGACACTTGAGAAAATCGACCCTGCGCTTGGCGCTCAAGCTCAAGTCGTGACCGAGGAAGACGATACTTTCCGACAGATGCAGATGTACAATGCACCGCCTCAAAATTCCTCTCCCACACCCGTGGGACCGAGGCTGCTGAACAACCATTTCGGGATCACACCCTAGACCGAAGACATATGTCAAATCAGCAGAAGTTCTGACAAATCACAGGATTACAAGCATAAAAGCAAACGAGAGTCGAGACGAGGATGAATCCCACATCGCAACAGCCTACATCCTTACAACACAAGTGAACATGCCTTCAAATGACCGTACGTACCAGACAACTGTCGAAGCAATAGCTATCCTGAGAACAATCATCTAACAGTCAAATTCTCCGTCAACGGGACAATCGTACCCAAGCCGACCCAAGTGTCCCAAACTCGCAATCTCCTGATCACAGGGAGGACTTTAATTGAAGCTGAGCCACGCACGCTGCATTGGTTCAGCTTCGAGGTCGATACCAAGGCGGACGAACCCGCGCGGTTCGGGATCTTCGATGCATTCGCCACCGACGCCGACCGTGCTGAGCACCTCGCGGCCGGATTTGCTCAAGCGGCTGTGGCGGCAACGGACCAGCTGTTTGATCGCCCCCTTGAGATTGAGAACGTGGGCCTGTTGGCTCATAAGGTCGTGCCGGATGGGAGTAAGGAAGAAGTAGGGGTGAAGTTTGGTGTGAGGGTAAAGTTCACTGTGAAGCCTGAACACGCTAGCGAAGCCAACGCTGTACTCAATGTAAGGCCAAGCATTGCATTTTATCCCGTGGTCGGGTCACTTACGAACTTTGGAAATCGCAGCGGCTCGCGAGCGACGTAGCTCGCGAAGATGGCACGCCCTACTGGTTTGCCCTTGCTTGGCCAGACAATAACACGTTCGGTATTTTCGACGCGTTCTACGACGAGGCAGGCAGGCAGGCTCATCTGTCGGGGGTCGGCGCGAAGACATTCCTAGGCGCGATCGAGGGCATTGTGTCCAGCCCTCCCAGCCTCGAGCTTGTCGAGGTGCTAGCGAGGAAGAACCTTGTATGAGCTGGTGAAAGGCTGGCTGGCGAGGAATAGAAATATGATGAGAATCTATTCATAACAATCCTTGTACAAAAGTTCGCTGTTGAAGGTCATTCAACCCTGCCGTGTGTAATGGCCGTGATATGAGCCATAAGTGAAGCGACGGAATACATTCAAGACGTACTCAAGTGCCTCCACGATACTTGGATCTGGTGGAATTTGCCCAGCTACCTCCAGCTACCTTGTTGGTGTCTGCGGAGGTGGTTGTCTGAGTCGCGATGGTCCGGGCCAACTTGCCCTGAAGGAAACAAGCGCAAACAACGCGGCCGTCAACCTCGACAGCTGAGGCAACCGTTCACCGACAATGTCTACCTTCATAGCACCTCTCCGACGGACATACCGTTACCTCGTAAGTATCACTGTAATCTCCTCGCTTCTCCTTGCTGATTCGATGAATCTCTCATTGGCCTCGAATATATGACATGCAAACTGCGTTTCGAATCACCAGCAACGGCAAGCCCATGAAGCTCCCGTCATCTTCTACTCTGTCGTGATCGGCTCCGTTGGGCCCGTTCTCGCATTCAGTGTTCCGACCATCCGTCAGAGCTATGGATGGAGGCCAGCCGAGCCTATTCCTATCACGTATCCAAGTGAGTACCCCTTGCGAGCGTCCCCGGGAGCCTTGCGCGTAGTGCGATTTTGTATTTGCGCCGTTCTCTGCTCGGGCAAAGTTGATTGACCTTCTAGCTTTGGGATATGTGCGCCTCCAGTCGCTGATATGCTTTTCGTCTAGTTCCGAATCGACCACGGAGGCCAGTCCAGGGTTACGAGGATCCGGAGTAGAGCTTTCCCTCGCCACATATACACATGAATCTCATCCATAGAGCAACATGTCTCACTTAGCATTCCCTTCTCCATGTGTGAGATGTCGCCTGAATCCAGTGCTTGATCATTGACGGCCGCAGGACCTGTACATTACATCTATTGGAGATCCTTGTGTGAGATCATGCTGAGACCAAGCTGGACCTGATATCCTCAGTGTTGATCGTAAAAGAGTTACATTGCTGTGCGATTTGTGATTTTCTCGCGCTCTCGCATTGCACATCTCAACTCATGACTACCTTCAGTTTATTCCCGGGATCGTGATTGTCGTAAGAACGGTGACACAAATCTAATGTGGTGTGGGCAGTGCAAACTACCATAATGCGGATACATGGGAAGAATCTGAGCGTTTGAAGTATCGTCGAAAATCATGAGAGACCCAACGCTTGTTCCCTCTTCCAAGTGTCATAACACTCGAGCGTAACGCTCGCCAAAAAGCACGGGATGCACTGCTCCTCCTCGACCCAATTCCGCATCAACTGCGGCAGCTCCTGCGGACCGCCTTCTCCCTGCGCGATCAGCTGCATCTTCGCGCCTTCAGACCGCGATGTGGGCTGGAACACGAACGACGCGTTTAGGTCGTACTGCGACGTGACGCGTACTTGGCCATTGGGGTAGAAGGCGAGCTTGACACCCATAATAGCGGCAATGGCTTCGCGGAACTCTGTGCTTTTCGCTGTAAAGACCTACAAGAAATACGAAAAAAACGGAACGATTAACAAGGTGTTGGCTAGCTAGGACTGCAACTGAAAACACCTACCTGCTGCAACCGTAACAGACGTTTCTCTTTCTGCTTCACGACCTCTTCCAGTTCGTGTTTCTCTTGATTTACAACCTCCCAGCTTCGCCGCGGCACCAGATCCTCCCCTGGCCCGTCTCCCCGCTTCGCGGCAGCCGCTTGGCCTGCACCGCTGTCTTCCAGCTCCTTCAGCCTGTTTATGAGCGCCTCGTTCTCGCCCTTCAACCGGTCCATCACCTCCTGTCTCAGGTCTGACCACTGTTGGGCTGGGTTGTCCTTCAGCGATAGGATACGGACGCCGGGCGGCACGTGCCTCCCTGCGCCGATCTCGCCGCGCAGCTCGAAGAGCGTCTGCTCCAGCTCCTCGATCTGCTCTAGTTGCTGCTCGCTAGCAACTTCGCTTTCATCGAGCGCTGGTAGAAGTGTCAGTTGAGAAGATATACGCGACAAGTCACTGTACACCGACCTTTCTGTACCTCCTTCAGCGCTTGTCTATCTTTCTCGAGAGCTTCCTTGAGCTCCTGTAGACGCGGGCCCTGCTTTTCCGTCGCAGGCAGTGGACGGTGGCTGAGTTCGTCGAGTTCTCCCTCCAATTCCTGTGTTCTCGATTTGTAGTCCTGCAGTAGGCTTTCGAGTTGCCGAATCTGCTCGTCCTTCGCCTTGTCGATGCTGTCCGCACCTTGGGCGCTCTGTTCTGCGGAATAACTTGCCTGAGATGCCAGCGTCAGAAAATAGCAGAACGCAGAGGGGGAGATCGCGACGCACATTTAGGGCCTGCAGGAAGCCGACTTCTCTTTCTGCCAATGCGGCATCGCGCTCCAGGTGCGCGATTTTATCGAGCAGGACACGCTTCTCCCGCTGTAGATCCTCGAGTGCCTCCTCTTTCTCGACATCGCGGTCTTGAGCGTCGGTCAAGTCGGCCTCGCGGCGGCGCAGCAGAGCTACGTTCGCACCGTGCTCCTCGAGCAGCTTTGCGTGGGCGAGACGAAGGGCAGATAGGCTCTGTGAGATGGAAACGGGCGTCTTGGATGGCGTGTCGAGCTGCGTAGCTCTCTTGGCCCTGTACAATGTTATTGAGGAATCATGTCCACCAAAAGAGACGCCACTCACCACTCTTCTCGCTCGTGTCGGGCGGCTTGGACTTCGGCCTCCAGCTTCGTGACCTGCTCGCGCAGCTGTTCCGTAACGCGAAGCTTGCCCTCCAAGCTCCTCTTCTCCTCACGGATAACCTCCACGTTGTCCTGCCGCTCTCGCAGGATGATGAGCTCCGAGTTGAGCTTCGCATTGGTGCCCTCCAGCGTGCGCAGGTACGAAGCTTGCCGCTGCAGCTCCTCGCGCAACACGCCCCAGTCCTCTTGCTCGATATCGTGTCGCGAGACGTCCAGCTGCGCCGAGCTGAGGTCTTCCATCTGCATCTGGATCTCCTCGATAGTGGCGCTGCGCTCGTCTGCGAGACGCTTCATGGAGGCGAGCTCCGCATCGAGGAAAGACACCTGTCGCGTGAGCGCGGCGATTTGTGACTTCTGAGACGCGATGGTTTGCGCGGTGTTGCGAGACATGGCCTCGTGCGCCTCTTCGAGGTTGGCGTGTTCTTCGCGGAGAGTGGCGTGGGCAGAGCGCAGCGCGCGCAGCTCATGCTCTGCTTTTCTCTAGAACAAGGCGAGGAAAGGACGCGTCGGGTCGAGTCGGCGCGACGAACCAAGAAAGAACAAAGGCGAGCCACACGCACCTTTTCCTCCTCCCGCCCGGCCTGCTCCTTCTCCTTCTCCTCCCTCTCTTCCTTCTCCCGCTCCGCGAGCCATCGCCTGTCCTCCTCAAGCCTCTCGATCGCCATGTCCTTCTCGCGGAGCTTCGACTCGAGCTCCATCTTCGTTGTCTGCGCCGCCACCAGCTGGCGCTCGAGGGACGCGTGGGCCATAGTCGAAGTGAACGCCTGCGTGCGCTGCTGCCGCTTGGCCGTGGACAGCTGGGGATCTGGGGAACCGGATTGCATAGACACAGACGCGTTCATTAGTACATGTAGGATAGCAGCCCCGCAAATGAGCACGGACGATGCGCACCTCGCTCGAGCTCGGCGACGAGAGAATCACGCTTTGTCGCGGACGGCTTCGCGGACGACCGCAACCGCGCGTTCGGAACGATCGGAGCGGTAAATTTGTTGCTGTTCATGGCGGAGCGTGCGCCTGCGCGGTGCTTCCTCTGTCACGGCGTGAGCAAGGCGACGGCGACGGGTGTTCTCTGGCGCCGGGGGCAGCTGGCAAGTGGCCTACGTTCGCGCTGTTCGGTCGAGGACAAGGCCATGAGCCCCGCCCGCGCACGCTCTGTCACGCCGTGACATTCCCTCTTGACCCACCTCCATCATCATCATCATCAACCCCACCTTTCTCTCCTCACCGTCGTCTCCTTGCTATGGATTCAGAAAGCGAGCTGTCGGACATTGAGTATGAGCCGGCCGCGCTGGGGCAACCCGAATACAAGCTTCGGTCAGCGCTCAAGCCCCCTCGGACGACCACTTATACCGCCCAAGCCCTCTATGGTAAGCTCTTTCGACGACTGATTGGCCTCGGATGTGCCCATGGGGAGATCACCCTCGTAGATCAAATCGTCGAGGGAATTGTTGATCTTGAGCCTGAGTATCAAAGAGGTACGCCATCTTTCTGTTCGACATCCTCTCGCCTCTGATGTGGCACACACACCAGACGTTGTCTGGTCCGAGGAAAAGCAAATCATGCTTGTGGACTCAATTTTCCGAAATTTCTATGTACCTCCTATAATTTTTGGTGAGTGCTTGTCTCCTGCCACTTTGATTGTATATTCATTTAGGTGAAGCTGTCACTAGATCTGAGGATGGGACTGAGAGGAGAGTCTGCATTGATGGCAAACAAAGGCTAACATCAATTCAAAAGTAAGTGGCCATCTAGCAGATTTTGATTATTTTATTCATAATTATTTATATCATAATTCAAGATTCATGGATGGATTGGTGAGTATACTTTATTGCTGATTGTATGGTAGTGCACATACTTATACAAAAGTTTTAGATCTATCGTAAGATTGCATTTAGTTTTTATGAAAAAAATATACTCAAAATTTTGATAAATCACAGATAGAGATATGTAAGTTGGAATGTTCAAAAAATATGGTATGAAAGCTAAACATAATTATGTTAGAGTCACATCAGCTAAATACTGGTATAAAAAACTGGGTAGTAAAAGACAGGGCTTTTCTTTATCAGAAAAATACAAGCGCCTATTTGCTAACAAGCAAATAGTTTGCATTGAGTATGATGAGCTAAGTGAGCAAAATGAGAGGGAGATCTTTAGAGTAAGCAATTTTATCTCCATCCTTAATTTTTTTTACTAAACATAGTTTTAGAGAGTTCAACTAGGAGTAGCATTGAAACCTGCTGGTTTGGATTTTCTTATCACTTTTCTATTATTTAACCTGACCTTTCAATTAATCAGAAAAACTTAGAGCAGAAGACAAAACTCCTAGGCAGGCACTTGCTCAAGAAATTGATGACAAGTACATGAGGGAATTTGTAGATTATGGGTTTGACATCAAGAGAGCAGCATCATTTAGAGGGGCAGCTCAGTGCATCTGCACCATTGCCAGATATCCTCAGAGCAAGGCAGTTACCAATGCATCACAGCTGACCAAGTGGCTTGTGGACCCTGCTGTGCCTGAGCCAGATTTTGTGGCCAAGGTGCACCAGACCTTCCAGATTGCTGTGGAGATGGTCAAGGAGAACAAGTCCTTCCTAGCTGTTACCCAGGGCCCCACCACCATATCTCTGCTAGACATGGTGATGATGATGCTGGTGATTTACCTGTTTAGGGAGAGGATGCCGAAGGAGGCGCTGGCGAGGTGTGTGCAGGGGATGAGGCAGTTTGTGCGGAAGGAGCATACGGATATTAGGTGGAATGCGAGCGTGGTGGCTACGGGCATGGGGTTTTTGGCGCAGCTGCAGGGCGGGTCGGAGCAGAAACTGCAGCTCGCGTCGAGTGCGTTGTGTTCGTGCTCGATCTTTCGATTTGGATCGTGCGCTCATGGGTCTTTCGTGTCTACTCTTGCAGATGCGCCCGCAAGCACCGGCGTCACCGCACCAGGCAGCGGCGCGCGTCACGATCCCCCTCCTCCGCCACCTCCTACCGATACCCCCGCCGCGACGGCGCCCGCCTCGGTCGTGCATCGCCGCCTCGCAGCGATGCGAGCAGCGAAGGAGAGCCTGAACGCGTCTAATCCAACGGCGCCGGCATCGTCATCTACGAACGTCGCGCTTCCGCTTCCGCCGACGTCTGCGGGCGCGCGGGGGATGGCGGGTCCGGCGCGAGGATCGGCGACGGCGGGGGGGTCGGGATCAGAGTCGACGGCGGGGCGTCAGGACGTGCGGTATCATCCGTATCGCGGGTCGTCTGCGTCGTCTGCGTCGGGGGCGAGGACGACGTCATCGCCGGCGGTGCAGCAGGGCGGGGACGTGAGGATGAAGGACGAGTTTGGGGCTCAGTGAGGAAGAGGCGAGAGGCGAGCGGAGCCGAGCGGAGAGGATGGGACCTGAGGCGATGCGGTGCGACGCAGTGCGATGGGATGGGATGGGATGGGATGTGGATCTGCGATGGGAGTCGAGGGATGGATGGGGGATGATGGGAGGCGAGGTGTGTGGTTGATGGGCTCTGCCTGGACGGAGGGCGCGGAGCGGGACGATACCTAGGCCTTGGAATTCGTGTACATAGAGTGCCCGTAAGAAGCTTTCATTCATTATAAATTATTGCGGTCGCGCTCGAACGCCCAGGGCTGGGGAAGGACGGGGGTGACGATCGAATGGGTTCATCTGGATGGCGGGGATTGCATGTGCACGGGCTCGGGAAGATCTCGCAAAGATAGGGAGCACGACGGGCTGCTGCTTCCCGGTTGGCAACGATCATGGATGTACCGTAAGTGGGCGAGAATAGCTGGCCTGTGCGCACTCGCCACTCCCTTATGAGCGCGCAAACGGCGAGGGGCGGCAGCAGACGTCGCACCTGTTCCAACTTCCCCCCCCCTCCTCCTCCTCCCCCTCTCCCTCTATTCCCCGAGACCGCCAGTGCGTGCTTGCCATCCCAAGGCGCGTTGCAAGGGGAAACCAGCGCGAAGGAGCCCCCGTCGCCGTTTGCCCGCGACTTCTTTTGCAAACGGACTGTGGCAAGAGGAGCAGGCGAAGCGCTTCTGCTTCTTTCATTTTGGAGAGGCGCGTCGCAGCCAGTACTAGTCGCTACACGACCGTCGTCCGTCCGCTCCTTCTCCTCCTCCTCCTCCTTCTCCTCTCCTTCTTCCTCTCTCCCTTTCTCTAAAAAAATACAACCCGTCCGAGCCGCTGTCTGTCCTTACTCGACCCTCTTTCTCTGATCGCTCGTCGCTGTGCTCTTCTGCTCTCGTTTTTTGCTTCTCACTTTCTTCGTCCTCATGTCGTTCTTCCGCCGCCGCCACCACTCGCAGCACCTCGTCCCAAACCCGCTCTCGACGCCCCAAAAACCGTCCTCCAGCGACAACGTCTCGAACACCACCCCCAACAAGCACGCGAACGCCAACTCCATCCGCAAACGCGTCTCCACCATCGCCTCCCTCTTCTCCGGACGGACCCCCAGCAAGGGCGTCGGGCACATCGCCGAGTCGGGCTACCAATGGGCCTACCCCAGCAGCCCCGAGCCCTCCCCCACCTCCCCCGACATACGCCGCCCGAGCGGACTGGGTCGCCGCGCATCGTCCCTCGAGAGCAGCCAGTCCTCCCCGGCCTCCTCGTCCACCCCGCCTCCCGCGATCATCACCACCGACGCGAGCGCGCCCGCCGACGACCGCAGACGCTCGCGCACGCTCAGCTCGCCGAACGCGCTGCCCTCGGCGCCCTACGAATCCGAAAAGGCGCTGTCGCCGCGCCCGCGCGTGCCGACGCCGACGGCGCCCCCAGGGACAGACCGCGGTAATCGTCTCTCGCGCATGGAGCCCGGCCCGGGCCTTGGTCTCGGCCTCGTGCTGCTCCCCGTCGAAGAGGCATCGCCCCCGCCGTCCCTGCGCTCGCGCCCCGCCGCCCCGCCGCCGACGCATGCCCTCCCCGCGACGCCCGCACACACACCCGCACGCACGCGACCCGCATCGCTCCTCCGCATCCCTGTGCCCCCTGTTGCTCCTGCTTCTGCTCTTGCTCCTGCTGCTCTTGCTCATTCTCCTGCGCCTGCTCTTGCACCTGCACCTGCACCTGCGCCTGCACCTGCACCTGCGCCTGCGCCTGCACCTGCACCTGCGCCTGCGCCTGCGCCTGCACCTGCTACCCCTCCCACCTCACCCCAGCCCCAACACCATGATAATCACGACCACGACCAGCCAGACCCGCCCCTGCACGCGCTCTCCCCTCCGCCGCTCCGCCGCATACGCAGGACGCCCCTCATCCCGCTCAGCCTTGTCTGCGCACACATCGCCCCGCGCGACCTCCCCGCCCTCGCCCGCGTTTCCCGCCGCTTCCGCACAGCCGCCCGCGGCGCGCTCTACCGCGCCGTTGACCTCTCCGCACGCTCGCACCGTGCCATCGACCAGTGCGTCACTTTGCTCGCATCCGCGCGCGACATCGCAGAGCTCGTGCACGAGTTCACGTGCCCCGCGTACTCCGGCGACACTGCCAACAACGGCGACAACGGCGACGAGGACGGAGACAGCGACGGCGCCCCGCCCTCCTTCCTCCTCGCGCTCACCTTCGCCCTGCGCAACATGCGCCACCTCACGACGCTCACCCTCCCACGCTTCGCCCCCGCCGTCCTGCGCGACGCACCCTTCCGGCTGCAGCGCCTCACGCTCCTCCAGCGCGCCATGGGCGCCGCCGACGCGCGCGCCCTCTTCAACGCGTGGCTCCCGCGCCAGCAGCGCGCCATCACGCACTTCGCGGCCCCGCACCTCGCCGCGCTCGCCGACGCTGACGCCTCCGACGCGCGCGACGAGGCGGCGGCGGCGGCGGGGTGCCTCGCGCGCCTGACGCATCTGGAGGGCACGCCGCAGGTCGTTGCGCGCTTGCTCGCGTGCGGTAAGGCCCTGGGGGAGCGGCGGCGCGTGGTGGCCGTCACGCTGCATATCAGCTCGACGCTGTACGATGGCCTGCGCCCCGCCGCGCTCATGTCCGCGATCGCGCGCGGCACCGCTTGCGTGGCGAGCGGTAGCGGTGACGGTGACGGCGACGGTGAGGATGTTGGTGCTGGTGTTGATGCTCGTGCAGTTGTGACGAGCAGCGTGACGTGCTTGGCGATCGTGTCCGCGGCGGGCGCGCACGCTGTCGACGCGCGCACGCTCGCGAAGCTGCTCCTCGCGGCGGGCGCGGAGCTGCCTGCGCTCAGGGAGGTGCGCATCGGCTGGGCGCTCGAAGACGAGGTATGTGCTGCTTCGCTCGCGCGCCGTGCCCACGCTCACGTGTGTCTTACTGTGTGTGTTGTGTGTATTGTGCAGGATCTGTACCGGCATCTCCCAGCTGTGCTACCGCGCATGCAGAACCTCGAGACGCTCCGCCTCTCGCGCGTCCCGCCCACCTGCCCGCTCCCCGTGTCCTCTACCTCCCCATCTTCCACCACCACCACTTCATCCCCGTCCCACCCACACTCGCCCCTCCCCGCCTCGTCCCCCCCGTCCTCCCCTCCCCCCACACTCTCCCTCCTCCCGCCCCCGGCTTCTTCCCCTCCCCAATCCGCATCGCCCTCAGCCCCAGCCGACCCCGCGTCCCCCCCGCGCTCGCAAACCTTCCTCTTCCCCACCTCCTCCCCCACCTCTTCCCCCACCTCCCCCACCTTTCCCACTTCCACCGCTTCCACCACTTCCGTCACTTCCGCCGCCACGTCCACCGCCATCGCCACCACGGCGGCAGCCCCAGCGGACGATCCCGACGCCCAAACCCGCGCGCACCTCGCCCACTGGGCAAAGCTGCGCCCCACCCTCCGCCGCGCGACGCTCCTCTCGGGCGCGCGGTGGTGCGCGCGGCTTGTCGAAGCTGGCGAGGGTGGCGAGGGTGTGCCGGGCGCGGAGGCTGCAGCGGGTGCGGGGATGGGGGCTGCCTGTGCGTCGGTTGTGTGGGAGCGCGTTGGGGCGTGAGTATTGGGGCCCCGGGGCGCGGGCGTGGGCGGGAGTCGGGATGTCGGGATGTCGGGCTGTTGGGCGCGGGCGGGCGGGGTAGAGAACACACCGTCTGACCGCCTGACTGACGGCCCGGCTGGCGAGCGTTGTGTATGCGCGTCCTTTGTTGTTGTATATGTTTCGCACTGCCCGTGCGCGCGTGTTGTACATAGGCGGCCGACCGCGGAGCGCGCGGCTGCCATCCTATCCTCCTCTTTCCTCTTTCCTCCTCCTTACCCCTCCTCCTTACCCCTCCTCCTTCCCCGTCCCCACCCGCGCCCACCCGCACCTCCTGTTATATCGCGGCCCACACCGCCTGTCCGTCCGTCCGTCATCCGTTGTTCGTGTATCATAGCTGCAGCCACAGCTCCAGCCACGGCCACGGCCACGGCACCCGGCCCTCTTCGTGCTCTATACGATATATACGCGCTCGCCGATACCATACAGATACACCATACGACTACCGTACAACCGCACGTACAACCACACATACATTACATACGGCTACGCATACGCTTACGCTTACAGACGCGCGCGCGCGCGCGCGACGCGCTAGTGATACCTCATATCCGCAGCTTTTTTTTTTTTTGCTTAATGCATGCAGATACCAGACGGGCGGGCGGGCGGGCGGGCCGGGCGGTAGATCGTAACGGGGGGTCCGAGGATTCGGGGGTGGGGGTTCGAGTGCGGGAGTAGGGCGTACTTACTTGATTTTGACTTTACTTACTTACCTACCGTCGCCGTCCGCATTCGAGTGCTCGCGGCGGTGGAAAATTGTATCTAGGTCGCTTGTCTCTGCGCAAACGTTGGACGAGGGTGTTGCCGTCGATGATGATGATGATGATGATGATGATGATGGTACATTTTGGGACCGTGAAGTCTGGCCGAGGCCGAGAAAAACAAACAAACGGCGGGAGAGAGCCGACTCCCCGCGCGCGCGCGCCGCCCATCCACTACCGCGCGCGCAGGCGCTACCGCACCTCGACCGCGCGCGCGGCCCAATCCTCCGCCAAGCGCGCCTCCACGAGCCTCTCGAGCGCGGCCGCGCGCGCGCACGCGACGTCGACGGCGCGCAGGACGTCGGCGACGGCGAGCGGGAGGCCGCCGGCTTTGTGCACGACGCAGAGCTCGCGTTGGGCGGTGAGCGCGAGGGAGAGGGTGCCGTGCGCGAGGCGCTGTTCGAGGGATGTGGGGTCGAGGAGGCAGGTTGGGGCGGAGGAGGCGGAGGGGGCGGTGGTGGTGGTGGTGGTGGATGGGGGGGAGGGAGAGGGATAGTAGGCGAATGTGAGGCAGAAGGGGGTGTGGTGCATCGCGAGGGGGACGGGGGCGCGCGACGTGGGCGGGTGCTGGTGGATGGAGGGAGAAAAGTCAGGAGCGGGAGGAGAGGAAAGGGGAAGGAGAAGGGGAACAGGGCGCACGACGGTGACCTCGTCGCCGACGACCTCGACGTCTGGGCGGCGGAAGTGGCGGAGGGCGACGAGGGCGGCGAGGCACGCGCAGTCGAGGAGGTTGCCCGCGTCGGCGAGGCAGTGGATCGTCAGGCGCAGGTGCCACACCTGCGAGCGCCAGCGTCAGCGGTGCGCGCGCGTAGATGTAGATGTATATGTGGGTGTGGGTGTGGGTGTGGGTGTGGGCATGAAGTGGGTGTGGGGACGTACGCGCTGGCCGGCGAGGACGCATAGCGACTCCTTGTCGATGGTGTCGCTCCGGCGGACGACCTTGTCGAGCATGCGCGCGAGCGCGACCTCCTCGTCCGAGGGCCTGCGAGGGTGGGTGAAGATCAAAAGGGCGGCAAGCGGGGGCGCGCACCTACCGGCCTTGCTCGTATTCTGGCGCCGCCATGGGGGAGATCTCGGCGTGGATGGAGACGAGGCCCTCGTAGGGGCGCTCGGGGGGCGGGCGCACCATCTTCGCGTCGACCTGTGCGAGCACGCTGGAGGGGGTGGGTCAGAGGGGCGGGGAACGGCGACGGCGGGGCGGGGTGCGGCGGCTGACCGGGTCTTGCCCAGGGCACACTCGACGTTGCCGAGGTCGGTGCCGAAGGCGAGGAGCGGGGTGCGCATGTCGAGGAGGGCGCGGCCGTCGATGCGGCGGGCCTGTGCGAGGGCGGCGAGGAGGAAGTCTTTTTCGGGGAGCGACGGCGACGGCGGACGCATCGTGGTGCTGCGAGGAGCGGTGATTATGCGCGACAAGGCCTTGTCGGGCGCATATATCGACCCCTTATCTGATAAGATCGCTTGATGACAGATAACGTCCGACCTGAAAGCGTCACTCCACTCCACATCCAACGACCAGCGCGTTGCCGCCGCCGCCGCCGCCAACAGCAACAACAACAGAAAAGCGCAGTCTCGACGTCGTGAGCGTGTGCCCTCTACATCATGCGCACGACGGCTCATGGCCACCACAGGCCCGCGCGCGACCCCGACGAGATCGCGAGAATGGGAGCTGTCGGACGACGGCGGGTGTCGTACGTGATCCCGCCGCCCACAGAGCCCGTCCCGCGGCTGCAGCTGCCCCCAATCCACACCCCGGCGTCCCCGCCCCGCTCCTCCGCCCCGCTCCTCCGCCCGTCCCCCGTCCAGCCCGCCCTGCCCCGCACACAGCCCGCACCCGCACCCGCACCCGCCACGCAGCACCCCCGCCACCGCCTCGGCGTCGCCTGCCTCGCCCTCGACCCCTCGACCCACCTCGTCGGCCGACACGCCCCCGAGGGCATCCTCTACACCGGCGGCCGCGACGGCCTCGTCATCGCCTGGGACCTCGCCGTCCCCATGCGCCCCCGCTCGCGCCCCCCGCAGGCCTTCTCCTCCTACTCCCCGCGTGTCGCCGGACGCTTCGCGCACCGCCGCTGGGACCTCCTCACGGGCTGGGGCGACGACGTCATCGACGAGGACGTCGAGGAGGAGGACGAGATACGCAGCGACGGCGATATCCTCGGCGACGTGAAAGGCAGCGGCAAGCGCCGCCGCCCGAGCGTGTCTGACGCCCAGGGCGCCGCCGACGCCCGCGCCGCTGCCGAGCTCAACTGGGAGATCGACCCCGCGCGATGGCAGGATCGCAAGGTGCGCACTCGCGTTCCCTGCGCTCGTCTCCATGTGATCCCGCCGGAGGGAGGCGCTGACCAGCGCCCGCGCGCGTGCAGCCGTCGCAGTTTCGCCAGTCTGCCCAGGCGCACACGGACTGGGTCAACGATATCCTTCTGTGTAACTACAATCAGACCGGTGCGTGCCCCGCTCCACCTGTCCCTTGCACGGTACCTGACTCGCACGCGCACGCGCTAGTCGTGTCCGCCTCTTCCGACGGCTCCGTCAAAGCCTGGAACCCGCACGCGTCCCAGCAGTCTCCCGGCTCCTCCTCCACGGCGGCGGCGGTCAGCGACCCCGTCACGGTGGGCACGCATCGCGACTACGTGCGCTGTCTCGCCCAGAGGTGCGTCCCTCCGCCCACTCGGCCGCCGTCGCGCACCGCTCACGCGCGCACGCCGGCCGTCCCCGCGCAGCCGCGAACAGAAATACATCGTCTCCGGGTCATTCGACCGCACCATCAAACTCTGGGACCTCTCCCGCTCCACCACCTCCCTCTCCTCCCTCTCCTCCACCTCCTCCTTGTCGTCCTCCTCGCCCTCGGCCTACGCCCCCGCCCCCGCGCGCGGCGCGGCCCCGCTCATGACGCTCAGCCCGCCGGACGCCGCGGGGCCCAAGGCGTCCGTGTACGCGCTCGCGGTCGACCCGCTCGGCCACACGATCGCCGCGGGCGGTCCGGAGCGCGTCGTGCGCCTGTGGGACCCGCGCGCGGGGAAGCGCATCGGGAAGCTCGTGGGGCACACGGATAATATACGCGCGATGGTCGTTTCGGAGGACGCGCGATACGTGAGTCCGGTCCCTGGGTCTTTGAGCATTGGGCGATGCTGATGTGTTTTGGGTTAGCTGTTGACTGCGTCTGCGGATGGTGAGTCGCGCGCCGCCACATTCCTCTCTTACTTCACTTCGTACTGAACACCCGCGCTCCTCCTCCTCCTCCTCCTCGCCGCCGCCGCCGCCGCCGCCCGCGCGCAGCCTCCATAAAACTCTGGTCCCTCGCCTCCCAGCGCTGCCTCCACACATTCATGCACCACACGGACTCGGTGTGGTCGCTCCACTCGACACACCCGTCCCTCGAGGTCTTCTACTCGGGCGACCGCTCGGGATACGTGTGCCGCGTCGACGTCGAGGGATGCGCGCAGATCGCGGAGGGCGAGTGCGTCGTGCTGTGTCGCGACGCGGATTCGGGGCCCGACGGCGGCTTCGATGGAGGCGCGGGCGGCTACGGCGGCGGCTATAGCGGCGGCAGCACCGACGGAGGTAGAGGAGGCGCGGGCGTGAACAAGATCGTGGCGATGGACGACGGGCTCGTGTGGACCGCCTCGGGAAGCTCGAGCCTCCGCCGCTGGCGCGCGCCCCCGCGCCGCGCGGTGCGCGCGGCCGCGATGGCGTTCGCGTTCGCGCCGGAACTGGAACAGGAGCACGAGCCCGATGTCGAGCCCGATGTCGATGTCGAGTGCTCTCCGGACCTCGATGTCGGCGCACACGCCGGGGTTCACGCTGGTGCTGGCACTGATGCTGATGCTGATGCTGATGTTGACGAGAGACCCGCCGCGCTGCCGATTGTGGCGTCGGGGACGCGCGCGCGGACGGGGACGGGGACGAAGGCGGGCGGCGTCCATCGCAAGTCGCGGAGTATGGATGCGTACCGCCCGCGCTCGCTGGCGCTCGAGAACGGCAGCGCGCTGCCTGCGCTGCCGTCGCCGCCGTCGACCCACTCGCCGTCAACGATCTCGATGCCAATGCCGGTGGGGCGCGCGCCGCCGAGACACGCATACACCGTCGGCGCTGCGTATCCCTCAGACGGGCACACGGGCTCGGGCTTCGGCTCGGCCTCGAGCGCGGGCGCGTGGTCCGGCGGGCACCCCGAGGGCGCGACGACGTGGTACGGGCTCCCGTTCGCGAGCCTCGTGCGCCTCGCGTCGCCACACGACGCCTTTGCGCCGTACTCGCCGCTCACGGGCGCAGGCGGTGCGGGCACGGGGGCGCGCGCGCGCGACGCGGACGTGGCGACGCTGTATTCGGCCGCGTCGGTGTTGTCGGTGCCGCGCGGGCCTGCGCCCGCGCTCGTGCACTCGCCGTTGCAGGCGGTGTTTCCTGCCACCGTGCAGACGCAGGGGTTGCGCTCGGCGAGCCCCGTGCAGAGCGAGGCGCTTGGTGCGCCACCATCGCCGCGCGGGGACTATGAGCACGAGCACGAGGAGGGGCACGGGGGCGAGGAGGGCTCGCCGCATGGGGCGGCGCGGCGGAGCGGGCGGGCGGAGTTCGAGCAGCGTGAGGTGTGCGGGGACGCGGTGCCGCTGTGCGGGGCGCCGGACGCGGTGATCGCGGGCGAGCGGGGGCTCGTGCGCGCGATCGTGCTGAACGACCGCGTGCACGCACTCACGGTGGACACGGCCACGGAGGTGCGGGTGTGGGATCTCGTTCGCGGGGTCTGTGTGGGTGCGTTTTTGAGGGAGGATCTGGACGGTGCGGATGGGGAGCGGGGCGGGAGCACGGCGAGTGGGGGGAGTGCGAGCGGGAGCGGCGTGGTCGGGCGGGAGCGGGAGCGGAGTCCAAGGGAGGCGTTGGAGATCGTGCGCGAGCGCATTGAGGGCGAGGCGGTGGTGATGCCGTGGTCGACGGTGGACACGAAAATCGGGGTGCTGACCGTGCACGTCGACGAGAAGTGCTTCGATGCAGAGCTCTACGCGGATGAGGTGAGAATCGGGAGCGACCGGCATTACGGCGAGGAGCATCGACGTGAGTCGCGGGCGTTTTTATCGTTTGGCGATCGGAGCGCTGACATCGCGTGTGGGGTGTCGCTGCAGTGAACCTCGGGCGCTGGGTGCTGCGCAACTTGTTCATCAACTTTATTCGCGAGGAGCAGCGCGCGTACACGCGCCGCGTTCGCGGGACCGACGGGTCGCAGCGCGGGGGCTCTCCGCCCCCCCTACCGCAGCACACTCATACCCATACCCATACTCACTCACACTCGCACGTGCACATGCACGGCACCGTGCCGCCCTCGCGACGCCGATCCTCCTCTACGTCGTCCAAGCAATCCGTATCCGCGCCCTCGCCCTCGCCCTCGCCCTCGCACACCGCCGTCTTCTCCTCGCCGACGCTCATCCCCGCCGTCACCCCCTCCATCCCCTGGAGTTCCAGCGCCTCGCCCCTCCTCACGCCCAAAATCCCGCTCTACCAGCCGCTCTCGCCAATCCAGCAGTCGCCCAGCGCCGCCTCCGCCCCTGCTAACGACGCCACCCCTGTCGCGGGCCACCGCCACGGGCACAGCAAGACGCAGACGGACGCGTCCACGACGCCCGTGGCGCACGCGCCGCACAAGGAGCAGCACGACTACTTCACCGTGCGCGTGCGCCGCCCGTCCGTGTCCTCCGGCGCCGCCGCGGTGGCCGACGTAGACGACTTCTCGGGGTGGGGCGGACCCGGAGGCAAGCTGACGGACGCGCCGGCGACGCCTACCGCGGGCGGCCTGATGGGCCGTCTGAAGAACATCGGGAAGATCAGCAAGCGGCCGCCGAGCGAGGCGGGCCCCGCGACGCCGCGGCCTACGACGAGCGGGACAGACCAGGTGCCGGTGGCGCCGGATACGACGGTACGTAGCGGTACCGCACATGTCTTCGTCGTGGTGTTTCCGTCTTCTGAGAGGCGGCGGTGCTGACGCTCGCACAGGATGTCCTCGCTCCAGGCCCGACGGTGCGGACACCGGCGCAGGCCGTGCTGGCCAGCGCGCTGAACCCGCCGACGTCGGCCGACAACCCGACGTTGCCGCTGAACCCGGCGATGCCGGTCATGGTGCAGGAGGAGGCCTCACCGGACTGGACCGTCGTCTACTTCGGGTCCGTGTCGAGCACGGGCGCGGACGTGCGCGCGCTGGAGGAGGCGCTGCCCGTGTGGCTGCTCGAGTTCTTGCTCCTGGGGAAGGCGCCCGCGCCACCGGTCACGAAGATCGGATTCGTGCTGCTGCCGTATCAGAGTAAGGAGCCGGACGCGGAGCGCTTGCCGGAGCTGCTGAACACGTAGGCGCTTTCCTCGTCGTGTCCGCGACCCGCATTCGAGTATTGCCTGCTCACGCGCGCTTTTATTTTTGCTTCGGCTTACAGGGCGCAGTCGAAGTTGACGGCGAGCCGGTTCTTGCGCGTGCGAAAGCTGACCGCACACGTACGTGCTCTCCTTTCCACGGCCCCTCTCTGTGTGACGACCGACGCCCGACGCGGTTTTTTTTCTTTTTCTTTTTTGCTTACCAGGTCCAAGACAAGATCGACAAGATGGCGGGCGGCCTGGGCGTCGCGTCTTCGGCGACCTCGCCCCGCACGTCCCCCCGGTCTTCGGCCGACACCCACCGGACGGCCTCCTCCTCGTCTCCCGCTAATGCCGCCGCCACCACCGCCGCGAGGGCGCGCGACGCGGACGGCGGCCACGCCAGGCCGCGGCCGGACGAGACGTGGGAGATCCTCTGCAACGACGTCGTGCTCCCGCTCGATATGACGCTCGCGGCCGTGCGCCAGTTCGTGTGGCGGCAGGCGGCGGAGCTGACGATGCATTACCGCCGGAAGCGGCAGGAGCCTGTGCCGCTAGGCTTGTCTCCGAACCTGTGATTGCATCTACTCGTCGAGGTCATGCTTGTTGTCGTGGTGATCTTTTTTTTTTATAAGTTATATGGAACCCGTGAATAGATTGTCTTAGTGTGTCATCTTTAATTTGTTACTCGCAGGCTGCAATATGGACATGTTTTGACCATGTTAGAGGTGTCACAGGTCACTCTCAACAACTTCAAATCCTGGGTTAAATAAGGACCATACTAAGAAACAAAAGTACGTGTTGCATTGCTCATTCGGATACGGGGAATCGAACCCCGAGCTGCCGCGCACAGTAATGAGAGGCGGCAATGTTAGCCGTTACACCATATCCGACATATCAAGATGTCTTCATCATGTACAAAGAGATGAGCTCCTCGAGTAATGGTGTCCCAGCAACATCAAGGAGACTGGCTCCAAATCATTCGAAACAAGGCAACGGATGGCTTCTATTTCGGCAGTGGATACGAGCACTAACAAGCCCAAGCCTCCCGTGGTTCAACCCGGGACAGGTAACAACATCATTATAAATCCTAGGCAAGTAAGTTCGATCCATGCTCTTTGTTTCATTCCCGAACTTCACAGCCAAACAGAGGTTGAATCCGGTCCTCGAGTGCATCCGGAATGTTGGAAAAGAGTTTGGCGAGATTTTGCCCGACTTCCAGGTAGGAAAGACGACTGGCGTGTTATTCCTCAGGTGAGCGCATGCGCGACCTCGAATGCTTGCATATATACGACTTATTGCTGCCTATATAGCCTACGGTACCATCGCCTTCATCCAGAGTACATCCACCAGCGAATTGAGGCCCTAGGGTACGCATACAATCTACGCATACTGCTGCTCATGTGTGATATCGTATGCGCTATCCTGCAATCCCGAGGGTCTAGAGATCCTGACAATGCCACAGACAGAACACCAAGGTCACATTCGAGAACTGACCAAAGTTTGTCTACTTCTATACTGAGCCAGAGCAGCCCTTCACAATAGTGTCTTCAGATGTGCATGATCAACAACATCACAATCATAGTCACATGGAGGTACGTCTCGTACTCGTCTCTTCGCCATCCCGAAACATATCCCAGATGCATCAGCGCGGACGAAGCTGGACAATACTTGTCGACTTTCAAGCAATTTGAGCGCAAGCCCCCGGATCTCATTCGTGAACGCGTCGAGCGCGAACCCAGCGCCATTATGCGTGCAGCGCTCACCGGCATCAGCAGGGTCAACAAGACCGACGTAGAGACCCTGCGCGCGTCTTTCGGCGTATGTTCAATCATGCATCCCCACCCGCTGTTGCAATTGTTCACTGCTCCTGATACAGAGCTTTGCGAATATATCCCGCGCGACGTCAGACGAACTCTCTCGCCTGCCGGGCTTCGGTCCTAAAAAGGTGGCGCGCATGAAAGATGCATTCAATCACCCTTTCCGCGACAGCACAGCTGGTGTCAAAGCGCGTGAGGCTCTTGGCACACGTGGGAGCCTTCTTCCACATACAACGCCCATCGACAATTCCACCGCGTCGCGTGAAAGTGGGAAGGGAAAAGAAAAAGCTAATGACACTGGAGACTACCCTCTCTCTTCATCACAGCTGAGTCGACGACCTGCGCGATCTCCAAGTCCAATCTGGGACATTGAACTCGATCTCAACTCCCCCTCTCCGCCCATCCCACGGTCCCCGTCAGAAGACCCATCTTCAGAACATAGACGCAAGCGTCAGGCAAGTCCAGTTTGGGGTATTGAACTCGACCTCAACGAAGAAGATTTGGAAGAAGTTGAACAAGCAAGTAAGCGGAGGAAAGAGTGACGCATATATCCTGATTCCTATTCGAAGGATTCATGCCGGATGATCCAAGTGCTTGGGGTGGAATTACTATGGATAATTTTTTGTTTCTAATGTGAATGCCAGAAAGTCTGCCGATACATCGAGTAAGAGATGTCATAGCTAGGTCCCGGTCACGCGAAACAAATATTAGAGTCGGTAGCTCCAAATTGGAGATACCATGCGTTTGGATGGGTGTCAACAATGCATAGAAATCGCGAGCTCAAATCGATAGGAACACCATGCGGGCTTGATAAGGAGGCGGTACAGCGTCCCACAAATTTCGTGGCGCCGCTCGCACAGGAGCTACATGCTGTGGTAGTTCCAGGTGCGCTCCTTCTGGAATCGAGGGCAGTACGGCATGGACCGGCGGGAAGGGTAAAGGATGAGGCTGATCGAAGGGGTGGATATCGGACATGGTTCGTGTCGGCGATGAGGCGGAAGCGTGGGTGGGGGAAGGGAAGTATCCCGGAAGAGGATCGGCATCGGAAGAGCCATCATGACGGGAGGGGTGGTTTGAAATATTTTCTGGAGACGGAACGCGCGTGACTGCGCCGGATCTACCCCCGCTGATCTCTTGGAAGTATTTTTGGGTTGTCATCAAGCCGGGCGAATGTCTAGAACTTGGGGTGCCAGAGCTCTCACCCCTATCATGTTCCGGGCCCCGATGAACGTCGATTCGATTTGACGAAAGCTGAAGAGGTGACTGGAGTGTGAAAGGACGTGCTCTCAGCCCATGATGAGTTCGCCTTCCTCTTTCACGCACTCGCCAAAGGCAGATGATCAGGAAGAGAAGAATAAGGCCAACGGAAATGGGAGGTGCTATGAGCATTGCTCTGGACCTGCTGAGTTTGTCGAAGTGAGCCGTTCAACTCCTCGCCACGCAAAAGTAAGTTCGAGGATAGCTACCTGGATTTCGAAGGTTGTCCACCTGCACTCTGCGCACCACTCGTACTAACCATCCACGGCACACGTCAGTAAATAAATAACTATACTGAACGAAGAGAGGTATTAACCTGTTCATTGCTGAGTATACTTCTGCGTGATCCATACGAATCGATGAAAGGCCTGATGCGCTTGCGTTCGTGTTCGTGCCATTACCATAGTCGAAGATGAGAAGCTGATGTGGGCCTTCAGAAAGGTTCGACGCAAAATAAATCAATTGAGAGCTATTGTTGGACGAGACTTGGTCTTGAGCGTCCGTCTGCTGTACCGGAATATCACTTGTGTTGTCTACATCCAGGGTTGATATCAGACTGTTTGAGATAAAACGCTGGGTCGCGGTATCATCAAGGATAATAGCAAAGGAGGATGGGTAAACGGAAGGTATGCCATAAAGTGCGATAGCCAATCCTTGAGTAGAATGCCGCCGATCAGCATATTACACGTAAATTCAGCTACATATAACAGTACCCTACGTTCAGGTCAGGACGTTAATATTGAAGGAAGGGAGAGGCTGAAACTGACTGTGAAATTAAAACGAAGTGTTGGGATGTCTAAGGAGCCTGAACTGATATCATCGCCAATTGAACATGAGAACAACCGAAAACTCGTCAAACGCGTTAGAAATGAACCTACCCGTCCTTGAGATCCGATGGCGCTGCCAAGCCATGTTGATTCGGAAGGTACGAGAATGACGAGCTTCCATTGTATGACTGGTCGACATCGACGCTGTCGCCGTCACTTGTAATTTCAGTCTCGAACACCAACTGGACAGGGACCACGTATAGTCGTTAGTGTATACAATAAATCGTCAAAAATAAGGATGGCGAACATGTGTGAACTTCAGAGTGTTTGCTAAATTGAATAGGCGCATAGTGTGCAAGTTGGTCTGAGATAAATTGGTAGCGCTATACAAGAGCATGGGCGTCTCGTGTGTGAATAGATCCTGGGATGTGAAGTTTGTAGCGCTATCATCCACCATTGCATTATACGCGCCAGAGACTGAGCTGAAGTTTCCATAGAGCCTAAAGTCTATTTAAGTACTAGTCGTTTCAAAACCTAATGGTGAGCGTACCATATAGCAGTTCCGAACCATTGGAAGGAGACGCTGGCATTGTCACTATCGGTAAAGTGATAGCTCTGAATCCAAAATCAGATGCCTTTTAGAAAGTTATCAGTAATCATCAGACATACCGATGACGCGAAGGCTGGGGATTCAAGCCACGCCTCATGAGGCGTGTAAGTCAGCAGTGGACTTCTATCATAAACGGTAGTGTTAATACGCATACTGTATGGTGGTAGAACGCGCGGAAGAAGCCCACATCCACGGATCGGAGGTAGTGAACCTGACCCATTCATATACGTTTCTTCTAGAGACTTGATGCTGTGCCGAATCATGAATGACGGACATCCATTCCGTCATGTCGGGAAAGATCAGATGACCTTGAAACAGTGATCAAGTGATATGGTGTCAGTGTGCGAAGTCTTGGGCGGTTAGCAAGTAGCACACTGTATGTAGTTGTGCATTGATCGAGGCTCATCTGAGTCCTTTACGCACGCTGGTCAAAAAATCATCAGAGATTTACAAGTAGAGCACGAAACATACATAGAAGCCCCCCGTTTTGTTGAATGTCTCCTCAGATGGATCTAGCACTCGATCTAGCAAAAGCATCTACCATAACACTCGCCAGACAACGTCCCTATAAGACCTCCGATGATGCTATCAGTTAGGATCCTTGATTCAGATGGCGAACCATGTGCTGTTTGACGTCGTGGCGCCCATCTGTGCACTGGTGAGCAGCTCGAAGTCGCTTTGATCCTGCACCGGCAGTGCACATCACTAGGTCCCATTTACTTCCCTCCCATAGGTTATATGCATGCGCAGCATGATCCCGCACGAATCAGGAAACTAGTTCCGAGGTCTCCGACTTCACTGGGTCGAGTCACTGCACACGTCAGTATGGCTTTGCCTCAGCCTGCAGTCCTTGACATAGTCGCGTATGCTGATGAACACCGTTGATACGATGTGAAAAGGACAGCTCATGCGTCATAGGCCGTGACGTTCTCGTAAAGAGCAGAAATTACGTCCAACAGCAATAAACAAAGACAAATAAGCTCCAAACGACAGGACTCATATCCGGTCAAACTTTGGCTCAATCCACTCGAGTCTCCGATTTTAGCATAATCGTCGATGGGTTGAAATGCGACAGGTATAGGTCTGTGTGTTGTGTCAGATAGATGTTTACATTCTCATCAAAAATCAGGATCAACGGACAATCAAATACTCGTACTCCGTACACGCGACGTTCTCGAGAACAAAACACTTATTATCGATATATTGATATATTATTGCAGGCTTCACAGCTTGCCGAAGCCAGGCCGAACATTGACATGATTCCTTTGAAGCTTGCTATCATAGGTGCTGGCCCATCCTCATTCTATGTTGCATCTCGCCTATTGTCTCTCTTTCCCCATGGATCTTCACAGCTAAAGATTCACATGTACGACCGTTTATGGGCGCCGCACGGACTAGTGCGCTACGGTGTCGCACCAGATCATCCGGAAGTCAAGGTATGTCAATGAGGATTCAGCACGGCGATCCTCTCACTGAATTGATAGAAAGAACTGCACACATAAATTTGACCAAGCTGCCGCAGACCCTCGACTACGATTCTTTGGAAACGTCAACATCGGCGCCTCTCCCCCACCGTCGATCCCGCACGCGCTTCACATCCCTCTATCATCCTTGCTGTCACACTACACTCACTTACTGTTTGCGACTGGCTGCACCGTGCCGACACTCCATCCCGCCCTCCCACCATCTAGCCATGTCATCCCAGCGTTATCTGTCGTTCATTGGTATACCCAACATCCCTCTCGTCCACCAGTACCAGCACTAGACCAAGTTTCACATGTTTCACTCATCGGTCAAGGCAACGTCTCTTTGGACGTTGCAAGGATGTTACTCACGTCACCCTCCATCCTTGAAAAGTATGACGTTCCTGAATCAGTCCTTGATGTTCTTCGACGGTCTACAGTCAAGCATATATCCATCATTGGTCGGCGCGGGCCCCTTCAGGCAGCTTTCACGACGAAAGAGCTTCGAGAAATGATGAACCTCACTGAAGCTTCTATGGTCCCTCTGGATCCGTCTCTGCTTGTTCCTCAGGAGAATGTGAAACCCACACGACAACAATCTCGCACCCTCCAATTGCTTGGAAAGGGTTCAGCCCTTGCTTATGGAACGACGCCGAAGACATGGTCATTAGATTTTTTCTGTTCACCCATTGGCATCACTCCATCCACCGACTCTACTTCATCCCGTTTGATGGTGGCACACACCGTCCTCGATAACTCTGGACGCGCCGTACCGACAGGTGCGATCTCAGCAATCGACACTGACCTTGTCATTACTGCATTAGGACACCATGCGGATCCATCTCAGACCTTCTACGACCCGACGCTGGGCCACATCCGCACAGCCTCAGGTCGGGTAATTGATGAAGCTGGACATGCTCGACGAAATGTTTACGCCTCTGGATGGGCCGCTATGGGGGCACATGGAGTGCTTGCTTCTACGATGATGGATGCATATGCAGTTGCAGACACCATCTTGTCCGATCATTTTTCTGGTACCACCCAGACGATGTCATCAACACCAGTACAATCGGACAGCCTGGAGTATGGTGATGATCTCATGGCTAAGGACGTTGACATCGAGAGCTTGCCGCGGGAGGTCGAAGACGGTATCAAAGAGAAGAAGGTGATGGAGTACAACGAATGGAAGGTCGTGGATGCAGAAGAAGTGAGAATAGGTCAGCTCAAGGGAAAAGAAAGGGAGCGAATGGAGTGGGAAGATGTTGGAGAGGTCATCAGCACCACATCACTATTGCATCGAGAAACATGAAATCCAATATCAAGTAGATTGCTGTAGATCGCTGAGTGGTGGGGTATTACATGCATGTCACCGAAAGGCAGATGAGGATCCACAGCCCGTCTAATATTTCGAAGACACAGATTTGAAGTTGGGTATATGATCCTGAAGATCGCCGCATGTTGAACTTGCTGCTTGCAGTGCATAGGCATTTGGGAGCTGCTCTATGAGCGACTGAAACAGTAGTGTAAGTTTTAGGATAACAATTAGTACAAGAAGGAAACGCACTCGAACTCGTGTTTGTGACATCGGGTGTGTGGACAAAAACTCTGTAGAGAAGTTTTTGCTGCTCTTCTCTAATTGATCAATGCGAACAAAAAACCTAGAGAACAAGACAAATTCGAGACGTGGAGGCGGATACGAACAATGGAGAAGCTCACTCTGGGGCTGCGCGAGGGTCGAAGCATGCTTTTGAGCTCAATCTCAGTCCAATGGCATCCGCTAGATACCGCCTGCGTTCTGAATTGAACATCATGGAGCAACATGCATCTACGTACCTTCGTGCTCCTGCTTTCGAGAATGTGGCAGCTCCATGAGGAGTGTGACGAGCATTGACGAGAGCGGGATCTGCAAGAAATCGAGAAGCATGGCTGCGGCGAAAACGATCTGTCCGTACGAGTACTTCTCAGCCACATGGCGAGCGACTGCGAGAATAGTGCAAGATCAAGATACGATCAATAGAGTCGCTATTATTACTTGCCTACGTGACCAATTTCTATGGGAAAGACAGTCAGACCGTGGTATACGCTTAATATCACGTATCAGGCACAACGCCTACCGTGGCCAAGCACAGCAGCGAGTCCATCCTTGGTGCCACAAACTGGAAGAATCCCAGTGAACACAACAATCGATCCTTATGAATAGACTGCCGTCATTCTCGGCGCTCAGAGAGAAAACAGTGGACTGGCCTGGAAATGCCATCGCGTTGGTAATCTTGTTGTCGCCTACAACAATCAAATTCCATTCCCTATGTGTCAATGCTTGAGAGCTTGAGCCTTTCTCTCTTTCTGTGTCAGGATCCCACAGGTCTTCCATCTGACTGAAAATCTCGACGGGCGCTGATTTCAGGTACTGTGGAGATTCTTGCCCAGTAGACCGCACATAGCCAAGGTTGTTCGCATCTAGGATCCGCGTGGTGATCTCATGAATCTCCTGAGTGACGGGATGGTTTGAGGGGAGGATGCGCCCCTTGTATGAAGCAAGGACTTGTTGGTAGGTCTTTTCTCCGAGCTATGACAAAGTATATGCGTGAGTTCGGAGGGTAACATGGGAAGAGTATCTGTGGCTGCACTTTTTTTTCAGACTCAGGGCTGACAGACATAAATCGCAATCTCCCCGTCTCTGGGACGCGTTCCAGACTGAGTGATGACACGCAGATTGTGAGAAGGACCATTAAAGATTACCAGACATTTCGGAGCGTACTGAAAGACAATATACAGGCCGGCACAACCTGCACCGACCGCAGCGAGGCGAGTTTCTAGAGAAACACTCCAAGATTTTTGTTCATCCGAGCTGCTAGAGAATCGACTGTAGCGTGCATGTTGCGGCGATGAAGAGGAGAACTGGTGGCTCGTGAGACGTATGGGACATCGAGGAAGTTGTTCTCGCGTTTGTAGTCGTGATGTGCCCTTAGCAGATACAGATCGTGAGGTAATCAAATAGACAGTACGAGCTGTTCTCTGCGAGAAGAGGGAGAACATCTGTCTATATGAAGGTTTCAGTGAAATACCTCACTTCTACCTCTGCGATGACGACGGTTCAGCACGAGTTCAGTGACATTTCGTGACATTATCTGTCACTCATCTCAATAACGTGCGCGCATGCCTTAGTGTAGGCACACCTTGACCATTTCAAGGTTAACTCCAACAACCTCAGGCAAGTAAGTAGGGGGAGCAGGCTCGTGCGAGTGAGTCGTAGCCATTTACAAAAATCATCTGGCACTCTGACGCCTCGGAAATGCTTAGATCCCCGATGATCACAGGCTAACACTGGTTCTCATTCATGACGATTTGAGTCATAAATTACCGTTCATGGTGTCAAGCACTCAATATCAATTCTTCAAGGATTGTCTCGCTCGTCGAATTATTTCCCAGTCTATCCCTACAGACTCAAATGAGGACACATCTCAATTAAATGAATTCTCATCCTTCCTTTCTCTCGAGGTCTGGCCATGTCTTCCATCCAGCATCTGCGAAGTCTCATTTGAAACTCGGGAAAGGCTTCCTGATCTTGACGCCATAACACTAGACAACATTCCTGTGCCCTTCTCCGACAGCCTCATCCTGTACGGGCTGTGCGATGACTGGGATGCGGCCAGGGAGTTTCTGCGAAAGGTTTTACTAGACTACGTTAAAGAGGCATGTGCCCCTCCACCTGTGTGGTCCGCTACGAGGACGATAGAATGTGAGATGTGCGAGCGCGAGATTCCCTTGACCTATCACCACCTCATACCTCGCTCGACTCATACCAAGGTGCTTAAGAAAAGATGGCACCCGGAGTCGATGCTGAATGCCGTTGCATGGCTGTGTCGGTGAGTGCATTGCTTCGAGTAAGCTTGTTCTCGAGAGCTCAAGATTTCTCCTACGTAGGCCCTGCCACAATGCAGTGCATCACGTCGCAACCAACGAAGAGCTAGCTCGCAGATTCTATACAATGCAACTGTTACTTGAGCGGGACGACCTGCAGAGATGGAGGCAATATGCTGCCAAACAACGATTTGGGGTAAAGCGGGGATAGCGAGGGGGGAAGAGATCTCAACGGACGCCTCGAAATCATTTGTAAGGATTCCGATCTGTCAGAGACTGGCCTCAACCAACATCGCGGGCTGACTGAATCTCTCAAGAACTCGATGACGAGTGGGCCGTAGTTCATGCAAATGGACACCGAACCATTGATAGAACATCTGCAGTACCTCTCCGGCGTTCACGACGGGGCTTGTCTTCAAGAAAATGGAACTTCAGGAATTCCGAATCTGCTTCAATCCATACTCTAGAAGCAGAAACATTTCGAAAATGTGCCTCATCGCGACGAAACACCTATCTTTGCTCGTTCGACGCCAGGGGTCAGCGAATCGTCACCAGACATCTCAGGCCCTCCAGGACGTGCAGGCGCTTGCCAAGCTCGATCATCGATATATGCATCTGATCCTGTGCTTCTCTAGGCTGTTCTAGGAAACCGTGCGAAGAGTCATGCAGTCACGACTGAGTAAAGAACTGGAACTTCTCACATCGTCTATATCTGAGCGCTGGGGACTGAAGAGGAACAAAGTAGATCAATTCGGCGCGTGATGCATCGATGTCTGTCGTTTTTTCGCACCGGAGCCCACGCGTCACGTTTCAACTCCCAACCTGTCCGCTCTCCGAGTTTGAACTACATTACGCCACTCCCATACGTTCATGCGCTGCGCAACGAGTGCTCATCCTCGTGCAGAGTGTACCATGTGGACCCGAATACCGATGATTCTGATCAGGCAACCTCGACTATCCCCGACATCGGTACCGAACCTTATCCGGATGTAAGGACTTGAAAACCTGTGAACACTGGGCCATAACGACAAGATTTTCTGTCAGATCACTCTTTAAGAAGCGCTGAAATGTTGCCCTCCTGACCTGCGATTGATCTCGTTTCGAACTGAGCCAACGTATTTTCCTCATCGCCGGCCTAGTTTGGGATTTACTTGAACCTCCCACCAGAATGCATCATAAACACGTGTCAACCAACACCTTCCATGGCGGTTTTTTTTGCATTGTTTGCGATCATCGCCATTCCAAGGTTGCCTCAGTTGCTCATAGTTCGTCCTGTGACACCCGCGAGACCATAAATATGAAGGTGGAGAGAGGTGAGCCTCCATCATCTTTTCATTGAGAAGTGCGACCCCTCGCTTACACTTTCGCGACATGAAGGCATCTATTGTGTTCAGTGCGCTTGTCGGTTTAGCTGTCGGCGCGCTGGGCAACCCCATTGCCCAGCGCGCGCCCTCTGGGTCCAAGGGTAGGTTATTTTCATCTGTCTCTCGTCTTAGATGGCCTTTGTCCTGATGTGGACGATGCACAGTGGTTATTGTCCAGATGTTCGAGTGGACATGGGACAGCATTGCTGCTGAGTGCACGAACTTCCTTGGTCCAGCAGGTATCGCATATTCTTGTGTCTATCAATGCGCACTGATACATCATATTGTGTAGGTTACGGTTTTGTACAAGGTATGATTATTTGACATCCCCAATCGGATGAACGCTCCTAAGTACACGAACAGCGAGCCCTGCCGCCGAGCATATCAGCGGTGAGAGTGAAGGAAATCGTCCTTCAAATACACTTTTCTGAACTATGATAGGTAGCCAATGGTGGACGGATTATCAGCCCGTTTCCTATATCCTGACATCGAAGCGAGGGAATCGTTCTCAATATAAGAACATGATAGACACTTGCCATGCGGCTGGTGTCGGGGTCATTGCTGGTAATCATTGTTGCTGATCTCTTCGGGGGGTATGCAACATTGATCTCGCATTTCACAGACACGATCTTCAACCATATGGCTGGAATGGACTCTGGTGCGCTTGACATCCTGATTGAACCAACGCCTTACTAAATAGCTTATCATCAGGGACTGGAGTGGCTGGAAGCAGTGTGTAACATTCACAATCGTTCTTTGATTCCCTCCCCTCATCGTCCGCAAGGCTTCACGCACTACAACTACCCCGGTATTTATCAGACGCAGGTAAATATATAAACATTTTGACGGGCGAAGTCTTCGTCAGGACTTATAAGTGTCTCAATAGGACTTCCATCACTGTGGACTCGAGCCAGGAGATGGAATTGTCAATTATGATAACCGTCTGGAAGTGCAGACCTGCCAATTGGACAACTTGGCGGAGTACATTTCGATCGTTTTTATCTTTGTCACTGCACATTTTGATTGTTCTTACTTCAGTTTGGCGACCGACACAGAATACGTTCGCGAACGACTGGCACAATATGCTAATGATCTATTAAGCCTCGGTGTCGATGGCCTGCGTTTGGATGCTGCTAAACGTAAGTCTATCAAGATTGTTCTTTTCCCGCATAAAACAAGCGTGTGCTCCTGTAGATATCGCCGCAACGGATATTGCGAATATCACGTCGCGCTTCAATTCGGCTCCATACATCACCCAAGAGGTATGTGGCCATTCGAAGTTCTGACAAAATCCTCCAGCTTCGAAAGATTGATTCGATCTGTAACAGGTCATTTGGGGATCAGGAGAGCCTATTCAACCCTCTGAATACACTGGGATCGGTAATGTTTGATTTTATTCGACTAATAGGCTCTGCTAATGTATATGCTTTCAGGCGATGTCCAAGAGTAATAAATCTCCGACGGATCACTTCGCTGCTTTTGGCTTACATCGCCAACAGGTTCCGTTACACTACGGCTCTCCAAGATGCTTTCTCCAGCTCGGGAATCTCTGGTCTACAAAATTTGGATAGCAACGGTATGAATGTCTATTCAATTACCTTACATGGCACCTATCCGAACGTTGGCTAGGTTGGGTTTCTGGCTCGGGAGCCAACGTTTTTGTCGCCGACCATGATACCGAGAGGGTGAGTATCCGTATCTGGATGAACACATTCATGTTAGCTTGAGCTTTGGATTTAGAATGGCAACTCACTGAACGCCAATTCGCCCTCCAACACCTACTATCTTGCTCATATATTCTCACTGTACGTTTCATGGAATATTCTCGGAAAACAGAGTACGCTAACAGCGTCTTCAGTGCTCACCCCTATGGGACGCCTACTGTTTTATCCAGCTACTCTGGGTTCTCAGACACCGACGTCGGCGCTCCGAATAGCGGTAAGATCCAGGTTTATATTGACTGGGAAAGCCCTAACACGAAACAAACGACATTAATCAGGAGTAGGAACGTGTTCAGGGAGCACCGGCACCAACGGCTGGTGGGAAATGACGACTTCTTGATGCTATGAGCGTGCTCTCATCCCGCGAAATAGGTTGTGTCAACATCGGTGGACCGGCATCGCCGGCATGGTTGGCTTCCGCAACAATGTCAGTTCAGCGGCGCTCAACAACTGGGTGGCTCCCAGCTCTCAACAGATAGCCTTTGGTCGAGGTGAGCACCCCCATGATCGTAACTCTGATGTCGAGTCCTGGATAATCAACCACCTTGATATCAAGGCAGCATAGGTTTCGTCGCTATCAACAACGTGGACTCCTCCTGGACCGCAACATTTACCTCCTCCCTTCCAGCGGGAACCTACTGCGATGTTGTCAGTGGGGGGTCTTCTTCTGGAAACTGCACGGGCTCTTCGTAGGGTTTCAACCATTGTGGGACCTTCTGAGGTGTTCAAATTTGAACCTAGCTTTACTGTTTCATCGAGCGGCACGTTTGCCGCGACGATCGGGTCGCGCTCAGCAATTGCGATCCACACAGGCGCGACTGGCACCGGCACTGGATCTGGATCGACTTCACCAACAAATTCCACCATAGCTGTCACATTCCAGGAGACTGCAACAACGACTTATGGGGAGGTACGCCACGTGTTTATTCACTGTTGATGCCGTTTTAACATACGACACTCCCACTAGAACATTTTCCTCGTTGGTAGTATCTCTCAACTTGGAGATTGGGCAGCAGCGAGTGCGGTAAGTCATGACTGTCCCATATACTTATGAAAACTGATCGCCTTGCCTTCTATGCATGAAGATCGCACTCTCGTCGGCTAATTATCCCACTTGGAGCGTGACGGTCAACCTTCCTGCGAGCACGACATTCCAGTACAAGTTCATCCGAAAGGAGACGGATGGGAGCGTGAGTCGCACCCGACTCTTGATCCATACGATCCATTGACTCGCGTCGCGTTAGGTCAATTGGGAGTCTGACCCCAACCGGAGTGACACGACCCCGAGCTCGGGTACTCAAACCATCACCACCTCTTGGCGCTGAGTGAATGGCTGGTTCGTTCGTGCTGGTCGTCGTCGGGTCGAACGCAAAAATCATCTAAACTTTTGTTGTGACAGAATACCTTTGTTTGTACGAGCTTCATGTAACTCTGATCAAATAAGAAGTGTTTTTGTATGACTTTTGGGATATACTCCGCAACATGAGTGACCTATCAAGTAACTTAGCAGAGCAAGCGGGCCAAGTCTAGAGGGGCCGAAACATGTAATATTACGTAACTTAATTTTGTCCAATTTGTTCCGAAAACTGGCTGTAAGCTGTTTCGTGTCTTCACCCCCACTGTCCATGTTGTCCTTGTCGCGACGGCAGCTACATAGTGCATTTCTAGAGTCGAATTCAAGGTCATGGTTCAACCTTGAACGGCGCTGTGCATCTGCCGTGGCTGCACTCAAACCCAAACCATCTCTACCGGACGCTGCTGAGGAGTCTGCCAATGTGCAGGCTGCACTGGCAAAGGCTTTCCAGCTCACAGAAGCCGACCATAAGCGCCTACGCTTCCAGCGGAATATTGGAGTGTCCGCTCACATCGACTCTGGCAAGACCACCTTGACAGAACGAATCCTTTACTACACAGGCCGCATCAGAGATATTCACGAGGTAAACACCTTCGATGTTTGATTCTCCCAACTCTGTTTATCTCTGTGGATAGGTGCGAGGACGTGACAATGTCGGTGCCAAAATGGATAGCATGGAGCTTGAGAGGGAGAAGGGCATCACCATTCAAAGCGCGGCAACATTCTGCGACTGGAGCGCAGTGTCTCCATTGACAGGGCGGGAGGAAAAGTTTGCAATCAACATCATCGATACACCAGGTATGCGCCTACGCGAACCCTTGACTGGCGTGGTTTCACATGTCTCGCTTCACCGCTAGGGCACGTCGACTTTACGATCGAGGTTGAGCGGGCTTTGCGTGTTTTGGACGGTGCAGTTTTAGTTCTTTGTGCTGTGTCGGGTGTACAGGTAAGTGTCACTTTATGTCGTTCATTGGGTCACTTTCTGCGAATCGTTACGATGACAAGTCCGACACTCCCTTGCCGCCACATTCTGCCTGTTTGGGCGTCGCTGAACGCCTGTATCCAGAGTCAAACCATTACGGTCGATCGACAAATGCGTAGATACAATGTTCCTCGGATTTCATTTATCAACAAAATGGATCGGTGAGTTTTTCTCGTTTCTTCTCTCAGCCTGGGACCATACCGTGTCTCGGGGCAAAGAGTCCTGCTCCTAGCGGTTGCTGACTTCGTGATACACGGCCATGCCTGGTATCTGAGGTCAGCTGCATCTGGGACGCAGGCTGCTCTGATTTGAAATTTCTATCTCTTTGAACCGAATTTCTGATTCTGCTTCCTCAATGTAGACCTGGCGCAAATCCTTGGCGGGTCATTCAACAAATTCGGACCAAACTTCGCATTGCAGCTGCTTCGCTCCATGTCCCTATTGGTGTCGAAGATGGATTGAACGGCGTCGTCGATCTTGTCAGGTGGAAGGCTATCTACAACCGAGGCGAGAAAGGGTAAGGGGGCTGGTGAATCCTTGCTATTGTCTACTTGTACTGAACTCGCCTACTTAGTATCGACGTTGTGGAATCGGATGACATACCGGAGAGCGTGCTTGAGCTCGCAAAGCAGAAGCGCATGGAATTAATTGAGCAGCTTGCCGAGGTGGACGACGAGATGGGCGAAATCTTCCTGAATGACCAGGAGCCATCGCAGACTCAACTCGTTGAGGCGATCCGTCGGACCACAGTCGGACTCAAGTTTTCCCCTGTCTTCCTCGGATCAGCCATCAAGAACACTGCGGTTCAGCCTCTTTTAGATGGCGTTTGCACATACCTCGCGAACCCTGCCGAGTCTGAGGTGGTGGCTCACGATACTTCACTCCCGGCCTCTGCACCTCCTGTTGCACTTGTTCCGGCTGCCGCGGCGCCACTCGTTGCTCTTGCTTTCAAGCTTGAGGAAGGTCGCTTTGGTCAGCTCACATATATGCGCGTCTATCAAGGTACGATGAAAAAAGGTCAGTTCATCTTCCATGGCCGCACTGGCAAGAGGATCAAGGTGCCTCGTCTTGTACGCATGCATAGTAATGAGATGGAGGTGAGCAAAGCGGATTTCCTAGCTTTCATCTCCTTACATTTGAGTCTTCAGGACATCGACGAGATCGGGCCTGGTGAAATTTGTGCCATATTTGGTGTTGAGTGCGCTACCGGTGACACTTTCACAGATGGGACGACAAATTTCTCCATGGTAAGTTTGAACAGTAAGCGCAATAAGTAGCGATGATGTTCACCGGATCTGTAGTCATCAATGTTCGTTCCCGAACCGGTCATCTCGCTAGCCATCAAGCCTACAGGAATGGAGACACCAAACTTCTCTCGCGCGCTCAATCGCTTCCAGAAGGAAGACCCAACATTCAAGGTTCACGTGGATCAAGAAAGCAAAGAAGTGCGTGCCAATTTTGTTCAAGAACTTGACTGACAACTAATTGCGGTCAGACTATCATCTCTGGTATGGGGGAGCTGCACCTTGAGATCTATGTTGAGCGCATGAAGCGCGAGTATAACGTCGCATGCACCACCGGTCGCCCTCGTGTGGCCTTCCGCGAGACAATAACTCAGCGCGCTGACTTCTTCTACACACATAAGAAGCAAACTGGTGGCGCTGGCCAGTATGCCCGTGTCATTGGATATATTGAGCCTATGGAGCCGGATGCAGATACAGGTAAGGATACGCAGTTCGAGAACTTCGTAATGGGTGGAAATATACCTTCAAATTACATTCCGGCCGTCGAGAAGGTGAGTGCAACTTAGCGTGACTTTCAATCAATGGTTTACTAATGAATATGCATTTTTAAGGGCTTCTACGAGGCACTGGAGAAAGGCACACTCTCTGGCAACCAAATTTCCGGTGTTCGTATGGTGCTGAAGGACGGTGCATATCACGTCGTCGACTCTTCGGAACTGGCTTTCCGTCTTGCTACTATTGGAGCGTTCCGGGAAGCTTTCGCCAAGACACAACCGGTCATCCTCGAGCCGATCATGACTGTTGAGGTTGTCGCTCCAGTTGAGTTCCAGAGTACGTCGTGGCTCGTGATCTGTGTTGCTTGAATACACTGATGCTTATGATTGTGGGGAACAGGCGCTGTCATTGGGGGAATCAATCAACGGCGTGGAACCATCATCGACAGTGAAGTCCGCGAGGATGAATTCACTGCCATTGCTGAAGTGGCTTTGAACGACATGTTTGGCTACTCTAACCAGCTCCGTGGAGCAACACAGGGGAAGGGCGAGTTCAGTATGGAATACAAGGCACGTCTTTCTGTTGCCGCGTCTGGAGTCTGATTTTTGACCATCTATTTTGAAACCCACAGACCCACTTGCCAGTGCTGCCTAACATCCAGAAGGAGTTGGAAGAAGCATACCGCAAGACCTTGCCACAATCCAAAAAGTAGACGCCTCCTTCCTAGATGTTATTCTGTACTTGCTGCTATTTATTGTATTCAATTTCCTATGCCTCAATAGACATAATAACACCTCTCTTCTGGTCGCTTTCCAAACACTTCTAACTGTCTAATGATCATCTTTCAAAAGACCAAATAATTTGAGCATGATCGGGAGCTTCATTGGCGTGCTGACGCTCATGCATGTGACGTGATAAAATACCCACGTGAGATACTCGCCTTGATCGCGACATATTTCCGTCCTTCAATGCAGCATAAAGCGGTGGTCAGTGCCATCTAATCTCCAACATACATTCGTCCAACATGTCGATCCCATTTGCAACCGAACAGCAAGTCGCGATTGCCGCAGTGCGCCGCGCTTGCACACTTACCACTGCGGTGTTCAATAACCTTGTCAAGGGGGAGACCCTTGTCAAAGGCGACAAGAGCCCAGTGACGGGTGCGTACTGATCATTGCATCAGTAACGGTGTATGAGGGCTCACGAACCCTTGATTTGTACCTTTGTATATAGTTGCGGATTTCTCTGCGCAGGCCGTCATCAATACTGTTCTTTTACACGCTTTCCCTTCCGATCCCATCGTCGGCGAAGAAGACGCAGCTGATCTGCACGACAACGATGCACTGCGCTCTCGAGTTGTTGAACTCGCAAACGACTGTTTGAAGGCTGAGCTTGGCCAGGGCGAGATGGCAGAGTGGGGCCTTGGGCGCACTCGCACAGAAGCAGAGTTACTGAGTGCGATTGATCGCGGACAGTACGAAGGTGGACGGAAGGGGCGTGAGTCTACTTCCCATGTTAAATACAGATGCTGCGCTGGGCTCTGTCAATAAAAATCATCACATAGGAGGATTCTGATGATTTTCCTGCTTCTTTTGATAGGCATGTGGACCCTCGACCCCATCGATGGGACGAAGGGCTTTCTCCGCGGTGAACAGTACGCTGTCTGTCTCGCGCTCCTGGTCGATGCTCGAGTAGAACTCGGGGTCATCGGTTGCCCAAACCTTCCCCTCGACCCATCGAATCCCTCTGGTCCTCGGGGCTGTATTTTTGTCGCCGTTCGCGGTCAGGGCGCGCAGCAGCTCACACTTTCCGGCGGCTCTCCAATCTCGCTCAAGATGCCGGAGCTCCAGCCCTCAGAGCTCAACCTACTCGAGTCCGTCGAATCGGCGCATGCAGCGCTCGGTGTTAATGATCGAGTTGCCAAGATTCTCGGTGTCACGCGTCCCCCCACGCGGATGGACTCACAAGCGAAGTACGGTGCTCTCGCACGAGGCGATGGAGGTGTATACCTGAGATTACCTACGGGTGTTGGGTATCGCGAAAAAATATGGGTAAACCTCTCATTCATATTATATACAAACTTCCTGACGTTCTGCTGCAGGATCATGCACCTGGCGCGTTGCTAATTGAGGAAGCCGGCGGCGTTATTAGCGATGGACGCGGAGAACCGCTCGATTTCGGTCAAGGCAGGACACTTGGAGAGAACTTTGGTGTCGTGGCCACTGGAAAGGGGATCCATTCCAAAATTATCGAGGCAGTGAAATGGGCACAAGGAGAGATGGCTAAGTAGGGGGTGTTCATCGAACATTGAGCGTACCCTTTCTGATTTTTGCCGGATCAGAAATCCAGTCGCGGCCCTGTAACATCGCAAATACGCTTTTGTAAATATACAATGTAACCTCAGACACGTTGTGTATCTCGGAACCACAGATTGCTGTAGTGCTTAGTATGCCACCCCGTAATCACTGCGGGCAAAGTTCAATGGGATCGGTGATCCCAGAATGATTGCCTGATGATTTCTTGCGCAAAAGAATCAGTATGAGATCTACAGATAAATCTTGGACAAAATAGGAATGTGCTCCTCAATTTCCGCACAAAGTGTGTTTGGATTACATCATGATCCGATCAAAAATATGTTCCAGCATAAGATCAGGCTGAAATCAGGCTGAAATGTCATAAAAGCTGCAACATGTGTCCACGGAGCACAAAAGGAAGGACATTTCAGCCTGATTTTAGCCTGATCCTATGCTGGAACATATTTTTGATTGGATCATGATATAATCCAAACACACTCTGTGTGGAAATTAAGGAGTGCATTCCTATTTTGTCCAAGATTTATTTGTAGATCTCATACTGATTCTTTCATCTGGGAAACCACCCCCTTGTATTAGCTCTGGAATGTATCTAATAGTGTCTAAAAGTATCTAAAAGTGTCTAATTTCTTAATTGGGAGCAACACATTATAAGCATTGGATTAAATTTCCAAATTGGGAACTGCCTCTTTCTATGGCTAAAAAGATAGTTTCTAATTTCATGATATTAGAACTAATTCCATACCAAGAAGTCTTTAATTAGTAGTAGAAAATAATAAGTACTAATCCTGTTTGAGTGAAAAGGTAAAAATGTGGCACATTCTATACTATTTCAGCACATTACTTTTCTTTATATATATCTGTACCATTATCTTGTAGCTCTTTTGCTGACTTTCCAGCTGCCTTTACAAGGGATATGGAAAGAGAGGAATGTGCATTGATACTCCCAGCTACTTTGTTGGCAGCTTTACAGCTGCCACAAGAGGCTATGAAGATCTTAGTACCTTGGCCTTACATACAAGATTATTAAAGTTGTTATTGTCAGCTAATACCTGCTACTGGTCAATATAGGATACAATATACAGGTTGAGCTTAGGAACATGCTATATGCAGCCTTGTAGACCTTGTCTATCCATGTAGTAGTCAATACTGTCTTGTGTAGCATATAGTTATCACCACTATTGATATTACAATTCTCAGTGCCATCCACATTGTCTATTGCCTTGTTATACAGAAGATGCTCAAACTTGGTGTTTTTCTCTAGCTATTGGGCTATAGAGAAGACAGTCATATTGGTATGTAGTGCCAGAATAATATATTTGCCTGCTATATAGGAAATATGTGCACCAAGCATATCAAGATCATCTCACAATCTTGTACTTATTTATACATAGGCATGCCATATATATACTCTTGTCCCCACCCTTCACCTCACTAGTGGCTATTTAGAAAACCCCTTTCTCCCATTGGATCTTAATTATTGATAATCATTAATGTTACTAATTTAAGCTAATTATGGCCAATGATTCATAATCATGTTTTTGATCAAATTTGCAAATTAAGATAGCATGATCTATACTAGTAGAGTCCCATTGAATATTATACTCAATCATAGTTTTACACATTCTAAATCCAAATTATGTAAGTGCCATAATTTGTTTTTACTTTATATAAAGTGTATTATTTATTTTATATTGGTTTATTATCTTTTTAGCTGGTGTTTAAACTAAATCCTGAAAGACCTGACTTTTTGGGTATTTATTGACCTATTTATTTATAAGAAAGAGGAAAGATAAATATTAAATAAAATCAGAGATGTTGAGGTTGCCTATATTATGTCTACTTATTTAGATTACCAAGTTTATATATTAGACCTTATGGCTTAGTGGCTTAGAGCATCTGTCCTGGGTACTTGTATATATGAGGTTGTTGGTTCAACTCTGGCAAAAGGTAAGTTTGTTATAAGGTATATTCTGTGTTTAGGTATTTAACTAGTGTTTTAATAAACATGACTCTATAAGAAGCCTATGAAAACTGTGATGCTTGATTTATTATTATTTTTCCGAAATATCAAGCTATAATCAACCCTAATAATTCTTAATTTAGGAAAATTATGTCTAATTAGAATAGGTTTAGGGGGGGTAAGCAAATAATTTCTAATCCTAATCATTCTTGATTATACATAAATTAAACTAATTAGAGCATAATACAAGAGAGTGATTTCCAAGATGCAACCTGTATATTGTATCCTATATCAATCAGTAGTAGGCATTGGCTAACAATAACAACTTCAATAATCTTATATGCAAGGCCAAGGTACTAAGATTTTCATAGCCTCTTGTGGTGTTAGGACCGCGTCCTAACACGTGCATAAGCACGTGAACAGAAGGGAAGGTCAGGTGTTTCCTCGGACTCAAACTATTAACGACTAGGACTGTGACTTGACATGCATCTAGGCACGTGACTTAGGACACGGTCATGAGCTACGCGCATGACTCGGACTCGGACTGACTACCATTTACATGCTAATGCATGAACGCTTACATACTATGATACCTCTTCTGCTGCGATGACTGATGTCGATCGTGATCAGTTCCATTTGATATTGCTGCGGACAGGGATTTTATATACTTACTATATATGGTTACATCAAAGAGCCGTGGAGTACGAACAATGACTGCGGCTTACACACATCGATCGTTGATGGTACTTAGCATTTAGAAGCACGGACCATATGTCCGTCCCACTCTAAATAGCCATGTACTATATATAGGAGAGCTGAGCTTCTTAGAAGCCTCAGCTCGTTCACTTTGTATACATCTTGATCTCAGCACTGCGCCCGGCGTCTGGCTACCTTCAGCTCACGCTTCGCGATCTCTGTCAGATCTAAAGAACTATACTCAGTCTGATGACGCACTGGATTCGTCTCATCGCTCTTATTATTCTCTACCGCCTGCAACCTATCAAGGACTCGCCGCATATCAAGTCATCCGTCTCGCCGCATATCAAGTCATCCGTTGGGATCCCTCCGAAATCATCTGTTGTATTGGAGAGGACTTGTTCGTACCAGACGAACACCGCCACATGATCAATCAGCACCTCCTTCGACTCTTCGAGGAGAAGATCAATACAGACCAGCCTTTCTTGGAACAAGCCCAAAGACAAGCCGTCGTCTTTATTTGTTGGGCCGTCACAATCAGCTTTAGCCCAGGGAACCCCTCTTAGTGCATCACGTGCATGTAACTAAGCCTAGCCAGCTTAACATGTGGCAGCTGCAAAGCTGCCAACAAAGTGGCTGGGAGTATCAATGCACATTCCTCTCTTTCCATGTCCCTTGTAAAGGCAGCTGGAAAGTCAGCAAAAGAGCTACAAGATAATGGTACAGGTATATATAAAGAAGAGTAATGTGCTGAAACAATATAGAATGTGCCACATCTTTACCTTTTCACTGATAGAGTAGTAGTACTTACTATTTTCCACTACTAATTAAAGACTTCTTGGTATGGAATTAGTTCTAATATCATGAAATTAGAAACTATCTTTTTAGCCATAAAAAGAGGTGGTTCCCAATTTGGAAATTTAATCCAATGCTTATAATGTGTTGCTCCCAATTAAAAAATTAGTGTTATAATATGGGCTAGAAGTATTACTCAGCATCTGTGTAGATCACTGTATATTTAATTGGTAAGTACCTAGAAGTATTACTACGTGATAGAAGCATAAGTAAAAGTGACATCTATGTCTTAAGAAGAAGCGGGCTCACCTCAGCGTCTGTGTAGATCACTGAGGGAAGCCCGACACCGAAGGCGTCAGTAACTACAAGTGCAGTGGCTGAGAGCTGTATAGTACTTCGGCAATCTCCGAGCTCATCAAGTAAGTACGCAATAAGTAAATCATAAGAAAGAGATGACGAAGGTGATTTGCCTCAGTCCAACACACCCCCTCAAATCTCCTGAAGTCCAATAAGCTCTATCATCTTCTCAATCTTCTGACGAGCCAGCAGTTTAGTAAATCCATCAGCTGCCATCTCACCAGTAGGACAGTAGCGTAGCTCAACGAAGCTCTTCTCGATAATGTCGTGGATGAAATGATAGCGGATGTCAATGTGCTTTGTGCGAGAATGGAAGGCATCATTCTTGGCAAGGGCAATGGCGGATTGGTTATCGCCATAGAGAATGGTAGGTGTGGTGAGAGGGGAGAAGATATTGCCTAAGAACATACAGATCCACAATGCTTCCTTTGTTGCGTGAGCGAGCACGACATACTCTGCCTTGGTGCTAGACTGAGCAACAATTGACTGCTTCTTGGAAGACCAAGACATAGCGCCACCATCGAACAGAAAAACATAACCCGAGATTGAGCATCTGTGCTCCTGACCCTCATGATCAGCATCTGAGAATCCCTCAATCCCCCGCTGCTCCTTCCCAAAAGTTAGCCATAACTCTCGTGTGCCCTTCAAATACCTCAGCAATCGCTTTGCAGCTTCCCAGTGAGCACGTCCAGGATTCTGCATGAACTGTGAAAGATATGACACCACAAAACAGATATCTGGTCGAGCGGCAACGGCAGCATACATGGCAGATCCAATAAGTTCCTGGTACGGAACATTGCGCATCTCAGAGAACTGCTGCGGAGTGGATGGGGATTGCATCATTGTGAGGTGTGCGTTTGGATCAGTGGGAGTGGAGAGTGAATTTGCGGTCTTGAGATTAAAGCGTGAGAGAATTGTGTTGATGTACGCACGCTGAGGCAGGGAAATAGTCCGCGCCCCGCGATCACGCTTGATCTCGATACCAAGCAACCAGTGAATCTCGCCAAGATCTGTCATCTCAAAGGCCTAATTGAGGGCTTCCTTCATAGCTAAGATGGCAGCCAAGGAACTAGCAAAGAGAGCGAGGTCGTCGACAGAGACAGCAATAATGGAAACACCCTCGTCGTCACGCTTGTAGAAGATGCCGTGTTTGACAGCACAGACCGTAAAGCCCATGGCGAGGAACGCGTTGCAGAGCTTCTTGTACCAGCGCCGAGAGGATTGCTTCAAGCCATAGATTGTCTTGAATAAGCGACAGACCTTCTCTTCAAGGCCGGGCACTGAGAAGCCCGGGGGTTGCTTCATAAAGATCTCTTCCTCGAGGTCTCCATTAAGGAATGCATTCTTTACATCCATCTGATAAATCTCCCAGTCAAAGCGAGCCGCGAGAGCGAGTAGAATCCGAATGGAGGTAAGTTTTGCAACTGGTGCAAACGTGTCTCCGTAATCGATGCCGGGGACCTGCGTGAAACCCTGCGCAACGAGCCGTGCTTTGTAGCACGTGATTTCGCCAGCCGTGCCCCGCTTGATCTTGAAGACCCACTTGGAGCCGACGATGTTGGCCTTCAAGGGCCTGTCGACGAGCTCCCAGGTGTTGAGCTTTGCGAGGCGGTCAAGTTCATCTTGAATCGCCGCATTCTATTGCGGCCAGTCCGGTCGTTTCCGAGCCGCTTCCACGGTGCGGGGTTCCATCCCCTCGGTCGCTTCTGCTGCCATTGCCCACTCTATTCCTTCCCACTTCCTCCCTAGCATCTCCACCTCCTCCAGGACCTCTTCATCGGCCTCTTCATCGGCTAGGAAAGACTCCATGGCCGCTACCTGCGCACTGTCGACAGGATTTGACTCAAGGTCTGGTTTGGGGTCCTTGGATGCTTGCATGCCGCGAGGGACAGCTGGCGCTCGTGCGCTGCCTGTCGTCGTTCCTTCGCCTTGTTCAAGGCGTCGGATATACTCAGAAGGCTTGGGAGTGCGACGGGGACGCGTCGTTTCGACGCTGTGAGGAGAATTGGAGCACTTGGGGATATAATCCGGGGTTACAGGTAGGTTTTGACCTCTTGTTGCACTTGCGTCGAGTTGCGCTGGCACCACGTTGTCCTGTTGACCTCCCAGGATGCTTGTAGGCTCGCGTGACTCGGTTTTGAGCCGCGACGCATCGACAGCGTTCAACGGCGTTGTGTCTAGGGCGCCAGGTGCGCTTGTGCGACCTGCACCCTTTGCAGAGCACGCCAGCGTCCGTGCGTTGTCGTTTGGGCTGTCATTATCGTCAATAATGACGTCCGGTACCGGTGAGTCATCCCAGCGCACGTTGCACTCGACGCTGACCTTCTGTTTTGTCGGCCAGTACACCAGTATCCCCTTGCTTTCAGCACTATAGCCAACAAAGCGTCCTTTGTCAGCTTGCGCGTCAAGCTTGCTCCGCCCCTCTATCTTCACCCATACTCGGCACCCCCACTTGTGGAGTCCACCCAGGTCCGGCTTTGTGCCGTGGACCTTCTCGTATGGCGTTGTGCCTTCAAGCGTTGTCGTGCTCACACATTGTTAGGCATCAAATAGTGATGGTAGAATGGAGGGCGGAATATTTGACTAGAAGAAAGAAAAGAGAAACAACCTAGAAGGGACAGGACATTTAATTCCGATTTTCTACATATTTTTCGAGTATTTTACCACTTAAACTTGATTTCCTATCCCTTTTCATACTCATAATTCGCTTTTGGGACAGATTCCAGAGCCTAGGGTCTATTTCAGAAAGGGCTAGACCATGGCAAGACAATAAGGAATGGAAAGAAAGCAGTGGAATCTGGTAGAATAGAAAGGAGCTTTAGTGGAAGGATGGAGAATGTTTAGGAAAGGGGCAAGGTCTAGGGCATTCCAAGCTGAAAGGAGGGGAAGGTTCTGAGCAGTTCTGAAGGAAGCTGAAGGAACATTCTACCACATTCTGAGCCTTTCTTTTACTTTCCTTTCTGTTCCTCTGCTTTCCTCCCTATTCTTTTTATTTCTACAGCATTCTTTGTGACTCACAATGACTCTACTCAGCCTGTATATACTAGGAAGGAGATTCCCACTTGAAATAGTATATAAGGAGGCTGATTGTCCTGCTTCAGGCAGAGACCATCTCTCCCTCTTACTTTTACTCAGTCAGTCAGTGCCAGTCAATAAGTTCTTTGAGTGATATCAGTTGGAGATAAGCTGCAAGACTTGTAGGGATACTAGAAGAACTAGTAGCTCACCTTCAATCTGTGTAGCACCTCAGCAACTTGAATCACAAAGTTCTTAAGCCTCTCCTCATTATTCTCAACATTTACGGAGTATTGTCTTTGTTAGTGGTCCGGCACCACTTCAGAAATTCGCTAAATAGCTCAAGATATTCTCATCGTTGCCTATAACTGTGACCAATATCTGTGTATTGTGCCAACACCAGAAGGTATCATCTAGAACAGCAATCAAACGAACACTAGGTACATCCGGAAAAACAGGAAACCCCGATCGTATCTAGGGGAGAAACCATTCCTCACCGCGACAGCGTGCACGTTCTGGTCCGATTCCACAACCAGATGGCATGTGACATTGCTACACCCCACAGGGACCTTGGAAGTCCCGACACTATCAACAACGCACGGCCGTGTTCTACAACAGTCCATAGGAACTGCTCGGCGGTCCCGTTTTGTGCCGACAAGTCGTGAACAGTCTTCTCATGGACCATTCCCTCATCTCTGAGGTGGGATTCGAAAGCGTCAGAGGTGTACTCGCCACCGCGGTTGGTGCGTAGAGTGTTGATCTGAACAACGCCACAATGGCCCTTCACGAAGGCCTTGTGTTGAAGATAATGCTTGAAGGCTTCATCCTTCGAGCGTAAGAGTTTCAGGATGATCTCTTGTGAGAAGTTGTCCATGATGGGCATCGTGTAGCGATAGCCAGTAAGGGAATTGATGGGTGCGGGGCCCCATAAGTCTGAGTGTAAGAGCTCGCCATAACGTTTTGTGCGCAGTCGGGTCCGTTCCTTTGGGAATGAGACCCGTGTCATCTTCGCCTGCACACAGGCAGTACAAAGCTCCATTTCGGAGATGAGAGCGTCGAGGGTGATGCCTTCGATGACTCTTTCCTTGACCAGCCTCTTTGCTGTGTCCAGGGATATGTGACCCAGGCGACGGTGTAGTTCCCGCGCTGATAGCATGAGGTTGGCATGAGCTTCCTCGTCCCCCCCATGTGGTATCAGAGGGGTGCCATCGGCGATCCTGGCGGAACCTGCAGTTCTCGAAAATTTTTGACTGACGACTTTGTACAGGTTGTTTGACCACAGAATTCTCGCGACAACATGATCGGAGGGGTCGGAGATCCTGCAGATCCCCCCTTTCAAGTAAATGGAGTATCCAGCCTTGTCAATGTGACTGGCTGAGATCAACGTGATCGCAATTGACGGCGCATACAGCACGTCAGACAGCCGCACAGCAGTCATGTCGTCCCCATTTGGGAGCATGACTGTAACATTTCCGCGGCCAGTTGCCATGAAGGTACGTTTGTCGGCTGCGTAAATGGGTTTGGATGGGATACTGACAAAGTCTGTGAATTCTTCTCGATAGGGTGACATGTGGTGACTTGCGCCCATGTCAAGGCATCGGACACGTGTCATGGACAAGACGCCGGGGCCTGCTGTCAGTGCTGCAAGGTCAAATGTCGCTGTGAATCCAAATTTGGGATCTTCAGCATCCTCAGCAACTGCAAAGTTCCCCACACTCTGGTCCGCACCCTTCTTGTGTTGGCCTGGCCGATGCATTCCTGCTGGCTATTGGCCTTCCTTCCCACCGCCAGGTTGGAAGCAGTCTGCAGCTACGTGGTTGGTAAGTCCACAGTTATAACACTTCTTGCCACTCGACGACTGATTGCCCTTCTTTCCTTTCCCGCGTCCCCCTTTTCCTTGTTTACCTCCGCCATGTGAATACAGCGCTGTCTCGTCAGACAATGCCTTCTTCTCGAGCCGACCTTGAATGCTGCGCCGGTCGTGCTCCTGCGTGAGGTGCTGAATGATTCCGGAAGGGGTAAGGGGCTTTGAACTGAGACTCAAAGTGGCCATCATTACTGAAATAACGGACTCATAGGACTTCAGGAGAGAGGAGAGAATGACAGCAACAAAGTCATTGTTGCCGAGAGCTGCATGCATGCCAATGAGCTCGTTCTGGAGTGCGATCAAGGTGTCGAGGTGCGCATGGACATCACTGCCCTCTTGGCATCGAGAATCGTGAATACGCTGTCGAATGTCAATTTCGACCATCTTTCCTTGCTTCTCCGCAAGATCGCAGAGCGCCGTCCAAACTTCCTTGGCGGTTGTCTCCCCTTTGATTTGATTGAGGATGGAGTCGGGGATCGTAGAGTAGATCTGCTGCTTGATGGTGGCTTCTCTCTGATTGTATTCATCGACCTTCTCAATAGCCTTGTCATACTTTTCTAGAACATCATCTTTAGCATCTTCGGCAGGAAGCTCGGGCTCTTGTGGTTGCCGAGCAGTGCCAGCCAGGTGTTGCAACAGCCCTGTCTTTGATTCAATGGCTGTCTGTACCCGATCCTTGTAGATTGGCCAGTTTGACAGATCTTCTGAGAGCTTCAGAACAGTAGTGACAGTGATTGAATTGGCAAGCGACATGGCTTGGACAGCAGGGCCCATTGTTACGACTGCTCGTCGGTAACCCCAAGAGTAGGAGGTTCTTCCCTAGGTCACTCGTGGAGGATGTGTGGAACGGTGGTCTCGACTGTACGTGTAGCACAGGAGCCAGAAGTGTATTGCGATGTAGCAATGAGAGTAGACAGTATGAAGACTGCCTAAGAACGAAGGAGTACTGTAGGAAGACAGTACTGAACGAAGATCCCTGTATGTGAAGATACAGGGGAACGAAGTACTGTGGTAGGAAGACCACAGTGAACGAAGAGAATAGACTGAAGATCCTCAGCCTATTCTATGGGCCTTTTATACTACTTCAGGAAGTAGGGCGTGAGAATACCGAATATGTATCTGTAGGTATTCTCTAAGTCGTCTCTCTCAATAACGACTACTCTTGTGCTTCTCCGTTGGTCTCCTTCCGGCCAGGAGAGACTAGGAGGTTCATGCCCTGCGTGTGAGTAATTTATAAGGCGGCGTTCCATGCCCGCTAATACAATAGGCCCGTGATACTCGACCAACGATAAGGTGATCCGTTGGGAGTGGATGACCAAGGTTAATATCTGTACCTTGGTGTACGCCTCAACCTGTGAGGCCGCGTGATATTTGTGATGATCGTATCGGTATAGACCGCCGTGTAGGCCCGATAGAACGTGATCATAACAATACCCCCTTTCTACGTCCTATTCGCCTGGTAGGACCACGCCTTGCGTGTCATCGCCGCTCCATATACGATTTGCTTTCTTGATCCAACGATGGTCGCCGGATGCGACTTCCGGGACATGACTTCGTTTTCTGGGAGGAAGACCGACTTACGTCGTTTGATCCTCTAGGAGTTTTCCATCTCCGTTGAGCTGTTTGTTTGTCGAGGCACGAGGGTACCAAACCTCCGCTCTGTAGGGTGTTCTTCCTTCACCCCTCGGTTGTTGTGATCTTTCCTGGGTTCTCAAGCCAGGATGTCAGTCCGGTCGGTCTCCGGACAGGTGTCAAGAAAGGCGTATGAATGCGAGTGGTGTGTGGATGAATAGAAACTCTAGCATGTGGGTTCCGATTCGTGTCATCAGGTTCTTCTTCTTCCTTCTCCGAGGGCCAAACCTCAGTGTTTCCAGGATAGTCGTCTATCCTCATGATTTGTTGTTCCTCTTGACGACAGTGGATGGCGCCCATGGACAAGTAGGTTGATCGCTTTACGAAGGCTTAGGCCTACTTCTCCAGGCTACCAGTCATGATGCCCCAAGCAGTATCGCTCCCATACGGTGAGCTCATCTCCGGTGAGGTTGCAGCCAAATCCCAAGCAGTATTGTCCCCATACGGTGGACTCATCTCCGGTGAGGCAGTTTACGGCGTCCAGAGTTTGTTTTTCACAAACGTGGGCCTATGGTGGGGGATACCACGTGTAGTGTTGGGTTCGAGGCAAGGATGTGAAGAGAATTAGACTTGAAGGGTGCAGCGAGGAATAAGGAGGAGTCTGACTCCTTTCCCAAGTCTGCCCGTTCACTTGCACGAATGGACATCTAGACCACAGCTGATATATTTGTCGGGTTGCGAGATATATCCACGACTGGCAGTTTAAAACGTCATGCGGGACGGTCCGTAGTTTATCGTCGTTTCGGACGATCCGTAGTTTAACGTCTTTGCGGACGTGCTTCATCATCAACATGGAATATCTGTGGGGAAAGATGTTTCTGCACGCCGGAATTTCCATCGGTGATGTGCATAGGGCCATGGACCAGACTTTACCCGCTCCAGATTCCACTGAGGCATGATGGACGGTTTATACTTTATCAAACCGGATAACTTGTAACGCCTCATGGTTATGAGACCGCTCAGTTTAACGCCGTGAGGTAGGCGGACCTGCAGTTTAACGCCGTGCATTAGGCGGCTTGCAG